TGAGAGTGCAGATGGTATGAGAGTTGATGAAAAGTGAGTGTGAAGAGTAGTGAGTGTTGAGGTGACAGCGGCGTGAGTTTTCATACCAGTGCCCTATTATGAAATGAATTGAAAATGAATGAGCAATGATGTTCATGATCAAATAAAGCTATTACAACTATGGAACTCAATGTTTTCATCAAAGGTTCATCTGTCCATAATCGTCCTCATGTCGTCACATACAGACATGAAATCACATAACAACATATCAACCAACGAATCTCATCAACATGATCATAATCCCGTCATCAAATCATCATAAAGATCATTTAAATCATCATTTGCACTTACACTGCTGGAGTCATCCCGACGTCCCAACCGTTGAGGGAAGCCGTTGATTACGACCAGCGTAGAAAGGAGAACGAATACGATTGAGTGTACCATTGCAAGTATTGCTAGTATGGTATTGGTATAATGGACTGTATGTAATTAATCTGTCTCAGATCTTTCTTGTTGCGAAGATTTGGTGGAGTTGAGTGCTTAGTTTTTGCTCGATGGACCGAGTGACGCGTGCTCATTGGTCGAATATGTTTTGAGACGTCCCAAACAGAAAGGACTTCCGTTTGACATCGGTCGAGCGTGTTTTACGCGTCATGAGCCCGGCCGATCCAAACTTACATAGTTAATTTACAGTCAGTTTATTTTCAAAGTAAATCAGCCCATCGAATATTACAAGAGGCTTTGCGTCTCATTCCTCAGTTCCAGCTACTAAGGCTTTCATAGCTTCTCCATATTGTTTAGAGGTAGTCAGCAATCCTTCTGTTGCGGCAGAATCGATTTTTGCTATTTTGTGAAATATGAGCATTTGATGCAGCCAATACTGACTATTTCAATAATCTTACCTCCAATAAGGAAAGGCTTTTGGAACCATTTGATCCAAATCCAGCCATGAAGAGTTGTTTGACCAGGACCTGTGATCCAAACGAATCAGCAAGCGTTCTCAAAGACAGAATGTCGCGCTTACCATCAGGAAAGACACACAAGCGCATCATAGGACAGTAGTTCTCGGAATATGGCATTTGAGGAGCTATTGTATGCGTTTCGATAATGTACAGTTGACCTGACCAAATCCAAAAAGTTGTTCTTTAGCCAGTATTCAGACCAATTCAAAGTCAAACCGCTTTACCAGGCTCTTCGTGAATCAAGATCTCCATTTCTTGTACAAGTGTCTTGGTAGCTCCAACTAGGGAAATTCAAAATCAAAACCATATAGCGGGTCATCGTCAACAATTGAAAGCATACCGACAGGTTGATGAACAGGCATCACGTACTCCAAGGTTCTAAATCGAAATATTTAGAAGACGGGTCAGAACGTAAGTAGGCTAACTCACCGTTGAAGAAGTCCTTGTCCCTCAGCTTGAGGAGTTTGCCATTCTCCAATCTTTATATCTATAGAGTAGATCGTTCAATACAACATGGCAGATTTGTTAGCTTTAAGGTACATACCTGTAGATCCCTTCATTTCATGTACTTTGCGAATGGCCTTTGCATCTTTCCCTGCCACAAGGTCCCAAACTTGTTCGATTGGAGCATTCAAAGTGAGTTTCAAGGCCTCATACTCATGAAATTGTTCACCGCAGGTGTCTTGAGACACTGGTATTGGTAATTGTTGTGTGGTTCCCATCCTTTGTTTCTCTTGATTATTTTACTACTAGTAGAGGGGAGTTTGGTTTGGTTTTGTTTGATGTTTAGTGGAAAAAGTAATGAATTGGCTGGCAACCTACTGCAAACTCAAACCAAGTCAAACTCGGGATCCTCCAGTAAATCAATATCGACTGGTAGTTGGTTTGAGTTTGTGGAGCGAAGTTGTCAAACTTGGTTTAAATTCCATAGTTTGTTGTTATAGTTTGGATTAGACAAAGTAACTGCCGCAAATGCGATGTGAGGAAGACCCGGTCTTTTTGAGCTCAACAGAGTAATACCAGATCGCATCAAGGTCATATTTAATTTGATCAACGGTTCTTGCAAGGGCTCTGCTTTGTTTTTTCTGAGGAAATGAAACTCCACCTTAGTAACGGGCCTTTTCGAGGTTGGTAGTTACCAAGCTTCACACTGAACTTCCCTCACAGTTTGGATTGATTAAGGCATATTAGCTCCTGGACAACACTTTTGATATTTGCGCAACACTGCACTTCGAGTTTGATTTTTTTGGTTTGGAAACTAAAAGTAAACACGAGCTACTCTCAGTAGATAGAGTGGGAACGAGACGAGAAACTCTACAAATGGTCAAAATCGCTAATAAACGGAAGGGCAATCAGCCTACTAACTTTGACAAAAGCAGCGAAAACAAAAGAGAATGACAGAAGGAATCAAGTTTCATGAATTGAAAATGGGGGATTAGTGTAGGCTTTTCAAGTATTATGATTTTAAAACAGGACCTTTATAGTGACAGCAGTATTCTCGATCCTGTTCCATCCTGTAGCAGCTCAGTGTCTCCTACACTTGTAAAGCAAAACCAAGCACCATATTGTAGGTCGATGGATTCGGTGATTCGGTGAGTGTAGTGGCAGCATCAAGACCAGGACGCAGCCACACCGCTCTCGAAATGTAGTGAGCAACGACCCAAGGCCCTTCAAGCGAGTATTCCATCCCGTTCTGCATCATAGCAACGGGCTTGGTTGTCCTCTCCGTCAGTTTGGAGAGTGGCAGTGAAATGATTTGTACGTGGCAGTTTTATCAACTTTCCCATTTATGCGGTATACTCGACCATCGTGTACAGTTTGACGTGATCATACAACTGCATTTAGCTTCCTTTCGTTGCCCCCTTCTCTCAATTCCGTGTCGTTAAATCCCTTTGCGGCATTTTGCCACAAATGACACATTTTGGACGGACAGAGATATTTGAGCGAATTCAAGCAGCAAGTTTGTGAATTCGGAACCGTGTCGCACTTGCGTGGTCCTATACAGTCTGCAGTGGAGTTGATTTCAATAAGGATTTTCCCGAATCTTGTCCGAGACAACAAACCAACTGGATTGAAATATCTTAAGGGGGCATGTGTAATCAGACTCAACTACTACCAACAAGGAACATATACACAAAATTAACCCCAAGAGACAGAAAACTTTAGGTAGATGACTTAAGGAGTCAAGGTCTACGAAAAGCCAATGTGATTGGTGAATGAGCCGCACTCAGATACAAGACATTCAAAGCAGAATCTTACCGAAGTTTGAGCAGCGTTCTTTACCCTGTTCCATCCAGTAGCAATACCGTTTGGTCCGTATTTTTGGAGCAATACACCGTATTCGACTTGAATAGTCTCGGTGAGTACACCATTTGCATCGACGCCAATGTTGATGTTCGAGATAGCTACTAGACCAAGTTCAATAGTGAAGTATGGTGCACCAGTGGTCAGCTTTTGTCAACAAAGATTGGATGCAAAAGCGTCAGTACACCAGTAACGGTTATTGAATTCGATTTTGCATGCTTACGTCTGAGACTGCAGTGACGGTCACATTGCTGAAGTGCCCTCCCGATGACATTAAAGAAAACCAGTAAGGGGAAGTAGAATCCGTGGGTTTAGTAAACGTCAAGGGATTGAATGTAACTTTTCCAGCACCAGCTCCAGCGGTAGCAGATCCAATGTTCAAGGTCTGTTCTAGATGAACATTATATGTAAACAAATTGTCAGGCCGATCATTTCTTGAAAACTAACAGGCCGGGATGCCCGGAAATCACATATATGCGCCCAACCTCCAGAGAAATCAAAGCTTTGTAAATGATATGAGCCCACGAGGAATGGCGGACTAGCAACGGGGCCTTTGACAACTACGTTGTTTGCATCTCTGGCAAACAGAAATGCATTAAACGCATCGACTTGGGACAAAAGAGCAGTCACTGTGAGAGCCAATGCCAGCAACATGTTCCGGTGGATTGTCATGATTGTTAACTAGCTGTTTGCTATGATCAACAATGAAGTACTTTAAAGGCTGGTTTTGGCTAGCACACGAATGGGTTACATTCAAGAAGGAAAGGGAAAAGGAAAGACCACAGAAGAAGGAAAGACGTGACCAGCTTTACCCTGGTACCACTTTATTGTGTTTTCCGTGGTAAATAAATCGTAGCAAGTGCCATAGAATAGAGAATTCTGACTAGAGCATTTCCCCTGGCAAGCGTGATCGTTCTCTCTTTCGGTGGGGTCGTCCGCCGATTGACAAATCCTCCTTGCATCAAATCTTCATATATGCGCAGGAGTGAGGCATGCGGACCGCAATTGTGAATTGTATATTCAAATATTCAAATACCTTTTGAGGCCGCTCTTCTCGTTCTTCCATCAGTTTGACCTTGATTCGAGGTTTTGCATCTTTTCCTCATGTTTCAAGCTGACGTCTATAGAGCTGGCTCCAGGTGCATCATTTCAGCATTTCTGTCACAATCCAATACGACAAACATCAAATTGAAAGGCCATGTCTATTATTTGCCAATATCATTATATTTACAGCGTCAAAGTACAAGCTTAAGCAAAGTTATTGAAGAATTTAATACATGGATTCCTGAAATCTGACTCAGATTTGGGGACGGCATGAATACTTAGTTTCGTCCATGGTCGATGATGAACCACAGAATCAAATCCAGGTTGGACTACAAGTGGGCGTACACCAACTTCATACAAGTTGCCAGAAATCCAAACATCATCATGGATTCTGCATCCTTCAGGAGCTCTAGAGTGATTGAATACGGCCTTATTTGAAAAGTATCCGGCGCGATATGCGGCTGCTTTGTAGGCATTCACAAATCCTTTACACGGCCCTTCGTGGATTTGACCTAGGGCTGTAAACCACCACCATGGAAAGTATTCACATTTATATGTTGGTGCACTTCCTGGAAAGCGATGTATTGCTTCCACCAGACCTTAGATGATCAGGGAACAATGAGTTAGCTTGCCAAAAAACTGCCACCACTATAGCTACATACCTAGTACGGTGTCAGGATGATAAGTCACATCATCATCTACGGTTATTATTACAGTGTTTGGATCAGGTTCTACTAGGAGAGCACCTAATAACTTTGTAGCTGGCCCATAGTCCTCAGTTCTCTGAACTATAAGCTTTTTGCCATAAGTGTGCTGTAGTTCTGACACGATCGATGGCACAGTCTGCTAGTTCAAAGGGATCAATGAAAAAGACGAGTCAGCCATGATGTATTGATACTCGCAATTCCATCAGAAAGGAGGCTATTCGACGTACTTGTGGTATGCCATCCAACCTCTTGACCTCCTTTGGAATGGAAAGCACCACGACAGTGGGCGGTCTTGACTGCTTCATAAGACTATTTATAGTATCGGTAATAGTTTCCAGGCGCTGTGGAAATGAGGTAAGGGATACGACGACTCTCGTGTCTGGATGGATGATGCTGATGGAATTGCGTTTACGTGCATCGTCGACCATTCCACGAGAGAGTGGATATAGTATTCTCCAATACGACCATAGAAATACAACTAGTATAAATAGAGCGACACATACAGTGCGAGGATGCGTTGCAAATGACCGTATCCTCCATATGATTCCTCGAACCGTCTTTTGCGTTGCTGGAGCTGGCAGCCCTGTTTTACGTTTAGCTGATGGCGGCGGCGGCCGTTTAGGACCCATTCTCTTTTGCTGGCCTCCTTACTGCGTCGTTGGCGTCTGACTTCTGTACCTGACAGACCGAGAGGCAGGTCACTTTAGATGGAATTGTGAGATCCCTCACGGCCCTCACGGCGTAGTTTACTTTAAATTTTTAAGATCGCGTATTCACTAACGCTTTTGAACGCTAATAGATCAAATATGGCCGACGAGAAACACGAACCATTACCTCCACGTCACGACAGAAACCCAGCAGTTCCAGACACCAAACCTAAAAATGGCATCTACGAAATTTGCAGAGCCATCTTTGGAGGCGTCTTCATGGCCGCATCGACACTGTTTGGTACGTCTCAAGGCATCACGTTTTGAGAACTGTGACACCCATCTCCCCTTGTTTCCGGATCATAGTCAGGAATATATGGCTCTCTGTTGTTATATGGGGTGTGCTGAGAGACGTAACTGTGACGAGATCCTCCCAATGCATCCAAATCTCACGCGAGTGTTCGACTTATCCAGGTTTGACGTGATCTATGTCTATGTCTGACTCTCTCGTCTTTCGCTAGATCCTTCAATGTGCGAGGACGTTGTCATCAGCAGGACATCGCAACTAGCCTTTCTTTCATGTGATCCACATCGTAGACAGTGGAACATGGTAATGGGCCCAATCAACTGGGAATACGCTGAAAAGCCAGGGTCAATATACGTATACAAGTACGCAAATCGGCAATCTCAACCCATCAAACTCACCATGGTTGGTGCTCCGTCCGTGTTTCATCCACTGGGAATCGATATACTGACAGCTAAAGAAAACACTGAAACTGGCAAACTACGCCTGTTTGTGGTGAATCAGGTGCCACGCTTTTATGGAGGCTACTCTATAGAAGTGTTTGATTTAGACTCTGATGGTGAAGAGGAACGTCCCGTGCCCAAGACAATGAAGCTGGTGCATACTATTAGGCATAAGGAGATTCATACACCTAATTCGTTGGTGGTGCTTGGTCCTCAAACTGTACGCACATGACAAGAGATGTTAATAGTTCTCGTTTCACAAAACCATTTCTTCTCCCTCTACAGTTTTATGTGACCAATGACCACATGGCTCTTCATCCAAGCTGGGTCAAGATGGCCGAAACGCTGTTTGGAATGGGTGGTGGAACTCTTGTATGGTATCATAAAGGGCATGCTCAACGTGTAGTCCAAGGTAGATCAAACGACAGCTGTCGAAATCCAACACTTGTTAACCTCCTCACCTTTATTGTCAAATGCAGGTTTGGCGTTCGCAAACGGAATCACATCAACTCCCGACAAGTCCGTCCTCTTTGTAGCAGAGACGTCTGCTGGCAAGATCCAAATATACGCACGATACCCAATAACAGCATACCAACAAGCCGCAAACGACACACTCGGATACAATGGCTGGTCATTCGCACTCTCATATGTAGATAATGTCGATCTGGCGAGAGCTATAGATAACATGTCGTTCGAGCCAGAAACCGGAGCAGTGTATCTAGCAGCACAATCAAATTCGTGTACGCCAAAAAGTCGGCAGACAATTTAGGATATAGTGGTGTATATCGAATCCTGCCACCGGACGGCACAACGGACAGTTGGGAAGACATCATACCGATAACAGTGCCAAGATATTTACCAAAACCACCTAGTGGTCTACCAGAAACGGAAAAGGGTATGTTTGTCATGCAAGCTGTAACAAAGCATGATGAGCATCGCAAACGAATGTTGGAGTTGCTGGCTAGAAAGACTTTCAATATATCAACCATCATGGAAGATAACGGGACTGTGCTGTCTACAGCATCGGCAGTAGAAGTGGATATGAGGGCTGGACCTCATGGAACAATGATAATTGTCGGATTGTATTCGGAAGGGTTTCTTGTATGTGACGTTACAGATAGGGTTGCACCTCTGGAAGCATAAAAAATTATGCTGCCCCAATATTCACGTATTTTACTATAAACTGAGCCTACTATACCTTAAGCACAAAAACCATTCTGCCTATCGCTCCAGCTATTCTCCTTTGCGTCGGTAGAGCTTTCACAAGTTGGTTTCAGAAAACGCCTCGACAAGCTACAAATCATTGTGGACAAATATTGTATAACTATACAACTCAAGTACAATTACTCTATGCACAACTATTTGCAAGTCCTTCCGGTTTGTTTTATACAGATTTAGCTTTGCTGATCCGCTAGTTTTAAAGAAATTAATAGCTCAGCTTTCTCTGCTATTTGTCTTATGCTAACTATCTCTCCTGTGCTAACTATTGCTACTCATTCGTCGTCGGCTTCTCTTTCCTCCTCACTGAGACTGTGGTCTGCGTATTCTTTAGTTGGTGCAGGGCTTGACGACATTCTATAGTTTGGGCGAGAATCACCACGGGCTCTTAACGCGCGTTGCTTGACTGGGCTGCTCTTCTTTGTTGGTTTGACCCCTCCACGACTTCGTAACTAGGAAAAAACAAAGTAATCGTCAAATTCCGTTGGCCACAAACCCCACCACCTCAACTTCAATACATACCGTTCGTGTAGGATTGAAGAAATCTTCAGAATCCGAGTCTTCTACTTCTTCACTAGACTCGGCATCACCACCCTCATCATCTGTACCGTCACTGTCTCGTCGTTTCCTAGGAGTACGAGATGAAGTTGAAGTTCGTTTCTTCGTACGACTTGCAGCAGAAGACGATTTACGGCCTCGTTTGGCTACAGGCTTGGATTTTCTACGTTTTGGTTTGGACATGACTACAGAATCTGAATCACTTTCCAGTGAATCCGACTCCTTATTACTGGCAGAAGGAGTAGCAGATTCAGCAGCTTTATCAATCGAGACATCATCAAGCACAAGATCGTCGTCCATTATGATGATTTCGGCACGATGACTAGATAGCTTCGCTGCTTTACTACGTATGACTGGTTTAGCATCTGATACACTGCTGTCATCATCGTCATCCGAGTATTTGACTCTGCTAGACCGTTTACGTTTTGACGGCGCCGTTGTATACTCTTTTTCTTCCTCCTCCTCGTCATCATCATGTTCCGAGTCTTTGCGTTTGGTTCGTTTAGTGCGTTTGGGTGGCACCTTCCTCCTTCTATTACTACTATCTTCTTCGTCGTCTTCATTCGAAAATAGAGGTTTTAATCTTTTGGTTTTCTTTGTTGCTACAAAGTCTTCTTCATCGTCATCACCCGAGTCTCGACTACTACTAACATCCCTATCAGACCTCCGAGACCTAAGACGTGGTTTGCGAAGTGGAGGAGATTCAGCTACTCGCTCACATCCACGTCTAGCTGCTCGAATAGCCCTCATGTCTACGGCAGAGATGCGTTCCGATTCGGATTCAGTCTGGCGACTTCTCTTTCGAGCAGCTCTAGTTAATTTATTGGAGGGCATATCGGATCCAGGTGTTGATTCTCTTTCAACAGGCACGACCTCTGCATCATCGACATCATCTACAACCTTGAAGGTATTACGACGAAGCTTGGACTGATATTCGATAATCATGAATTGAGCCTGAGCACAAAAGTCACTCCAGGTCGATGCTTTATCTACCGCTGATATTTTAGTAGTGCGAAGGTCTTGAAGACTGATCATGTGGCGTAGCCAAGGCTTCAAGCTTCCAAGGTTGTCACAGGCTAGTATTGTTGTCATTTCTTCGTCAGTAGCTCCTAGCAGAATTGCAGCTTGATCCATCAATGATTTGGATTTTCCAAGCATATATTGATTATATTCTGTACGTTGACCTTCGGAAGGTTTACCACGGAAGACTTCACCACAGTCTCTGACCCATATTCCAAATAGTTCGAGAGACTTGGCCATCTTTACGTCAATGTCAGGTGCAGCGTTGACCACTACGATGCCAGATTCACGTTTATTGGTTATACCAGGAATCAGGTATCCAAGAGACTTGAATTTGTTACCTATCGTCTTTTTCAAATCCCTCTCTCGTATTCCCTTGTCGTTCAGTGCCTTTACGAGTTGTTGGACTACTTGAAGACTATCAATATAGTGGAATCTCGACGTGACGGTACACTGCACATCACTATTGGAGCCTGGAGATATTGGGTGCACGAGTGGTGGAGGTGTACTACGATGTTTGGATATGGGAGTTCCCACAGATGCTGGATGACTCGGTGTACTAGACGAAGCGGCATTATTGGGACTGGCAGTAGTGGTTGATGAGGCGCTTCGTGCTTCGAATTCATAGTCGACTCGTTCAATAATTATTCCAAATGAGGCTGGAATCATGGTTGGCTCGTCTTCGGTAGCCATACCGTTATCATCGAGTTTCTCTTCTTTACGTTCTGCAGATATATCATACCACCAATAGGCACGACCGTCACGATCGTGTCCCAACAGATGTCTATCAGTGCTACGTAGTTTGTTTGCTAGAGCGTCATAGTTTGTTGTGTATGAAGCGTCTTCTTCATTCAAAGCCTCGACATGACGTCTCTTTGCTTCAGCTGTGCTCTTCTTCTCAATGTGTTCATTTTGCAACTCTTGAAGTTTGATTCGTCTTTCTCTGGCTTCCTTTTTGTCAGCAGCCATTTTCTCTCTCGATTCCTGAGTTCGTGATGAGCTTCGTGGCTTTATACTAATGTCGTCGATGTCGTCTTCATCGTTTTCATCATCACTTACAGTACCATCGTCCAATTCGATAACGGCAGCCGCGATATGTGGGTTCAGAGATACAATATCCTTCTCGAGTTGTGCTACTTGGACTTCCAGCGCAGTTGCTTCTCTAGCACTCTCTTTACGATCTACATTACGATGCCATTTTTCCTTTCTCATTTCGGCGAGTTGCTCGTCAATACCACTAATATACTCTCTGAATCCATCCGTAACCATACATTCACTCATTAGGAATGACAAAGCTCGAAGATGAGCAAGTGGTGGTATGTTGTCAAATTCGAAATTAGTAAAGACATCGGCGACAGCCAATTCAGCCTTTTCTTCAACCAGCAATTGACCAAGACGATATTGTGATAGTGCTGGATCTGTGGGGCCACCCTTCTTTTTGCCATCAAGATGATCAATCAGGCTACTATATATTGGCGCCAATAGATGGTAGCATGATAAGGGTGTTGTGAGCTTCTCTTCGAAGGCACCCAACATGTACTTGGTATCTGCTACGAAGCCAAAGAGTTCTGACCCGAATATGTTCAAGAATTCCAACACGGCCGCCAAGTCTGCAGACTCCTCTATAGTCAGCTTTCTAAATGCCCATATGGCATCTTTGTCCTTCCAAACATGAGGAACGGCCTTAAAATGCGGCAGAGGTTTAGCTGCTCCTACTTCCGAGTCATCAACCGCTTTTCCTTTACGTGCAGCGGCTGCTGTTTGGAAAGTAGGAGGAGGTGGTGGTGGAGCAGGCGCGATTGCAGCAACAGCGCGCTGCGGACGTTGCATAATGACTATAGTTGCTCCGTCAAAGTCCTCATCGTTATTACCAGCCCTGGCTGTAACGGGAGCAGATTCAACTTTTGCCGCTTCAACTTTTGGTGCAAAGTTGAGTGTAGATTGCTTGTACACCTAACAATGAAGAAAGAAGGATCTGATTAAGAGGCGAAGTAGAACTTTCGCTCCATTTTAACACACCTTCTTGGGAGATGCTGCTGAAGCGTTCGGACGTCCATTCTCCTTTTGTGCTATTCCTGGTTTAGAAGCAGATGCGGCTGATTTAGAAGCAGATGGTTTGGATTTCGAAGCTGCCGGTTTAGGCGTTGCTTTAGCTGCGGTCTTGGGAGCTAGCTTGACTGGAGCAGCGACTTTTGCAGCTGTTTTTATAGGAGTTGGGATTGGAGCCGTTGGTGCATTTATAGGACTCTTTGGCACTACAACGGGCTCCTTCTTGAATGGTAGGGTCGTTTGTTTTGATGCTGATGTTGGGTTTGACCGATTGAATGACTTTGTCGGTGTGCCATTTTCAAGAGATCTAATGACAATCACGTCATCATTGTCTTCCTTTGATAATACCTGTTGTTTGGAAAAGAGAACGCATAGTCAGGTTTCCTCAACACTAGGTCAAAACCCTTGAGGTGCGATTGAATCGAAAAATACCTTTCGAAGCGAAGATGGTTTCGTTTCTGGAACAATGGCTACATCTTCGTCAGATGATACGTGGCCCTAAGGAGAAAGATTCAAAATGAATGTCAGCTAAACGTTGAGAGCGAATCGATGCAGATTTGCGAGGACATACCGTCATTCCTCCATTAGCACTCGAAGTAGGTTCATCCATTGTAAGATCGACATAATCACCATTAGCCTGCTTCTCTACCGCTGGGCTTGTTGGCATCCTGCGAAGTCAATTTAATGTTTTGTTAGCCAGGCTGTTCTAAACGATGCGCCCAATATAAAGGATGATTCTACCTAATATGTTCTTAATCAGCTTGATATATTTACTCCTGCTGCCGGTCTATCTCTGAACCTTGCGATGGAAAACCAGTGAGGTCAAACAGAGAAGCTGTGTTTTGGTCGTTCTTTTGGGCCACTTGAAAACCTTGAGCTCGCAGGGACGCGATTCCCCTGAATTTCGAGAGAATCTTGTAACGATCAACGTGATTTACGGGTAAATGATTACCATTCAAAGCTTCAACGGTTTCGTCAGACTCATAGCGCTAATTTTATGTGCAAATCACGATACTTGGATAGATCCAACACTGATCTGCTATCAACTTAACAGGTAACATGCCCTGGTACCAAGTTTGTCTATTTACTTCTATACAATAGTATTAGGAGAATAGAGTACTATATCCGAGTAGGTAAATCCAAAACGAGTACATGTACCATACACCATATTGCAAAAGCCTTCCGGTCCTGCTATAACCACCCTCCGTTTTCCGGGCTTCAGCTGCTCCAAATACCTCGTTAATGAGGCTTCACTCAGCCGACTACCTGGGTGTATCTCACCAAACTCGGTTTCATAGACTGTACTTGCCATGGGGCTTTTGGCAGAGACATAAATACAGGATTCCATTAGCCACGGGTACGATAATCCCAATAATTTAAGTGTTGGGTTGGCTGCAACATCAGACACGGAATGTACTCCGTATAGTAGCTTTATCCTCGTTCGAAGAGGTGAGAGGGTGTGGGAGACTGGAAAGTATCCATTCCTGGTATTTTTTTCGGTGGACGTAGAGCCCCAAGCCCACCCGTCACCCATAAATTGATTAATTGTTACGGTGTTGTGTATTGACGGATTTAGATCTAGTTCGTCTGGATTTCGTGCTACAAACGGTGCATGTATCTAGAGTCGAGCTACTCGTTAGTTCAAACAATAATGCGCTGTAGTATACTACTATATATGAGACTATGACAGTTCTTACCTTCAGTGGAATGCCAGTCTTAAACACTTGATATTCCACAAATTGCAGGAAGGATAGTATACCAGATCCAGCCACTATAAATATTAACTCGTCCGGTATCCAATCCGGCAAAGCTACATTCAATGGTCGTGTTGGATGTATCAAAGGAGTGCTAAACAAACGGAGTTTTAGGTTCTGGCAATATTGAATTCTACTACAAACAAAAGCTCACCCAAACGGTCCTCGAATCTTGAATTGCTTCTTTCCAGGTTTCAACGATTTCACCAGACTTGCCAGCGGCCCTGTCTCATTCTTCTTGACCTTGATCAAGACTTCGAATGCGGTAAGGTCGCCCTTTATTGGAACCAACCACCGTGTGACACGTTGAGATGCTTCACCACTCCCTGGCACTATGAATTGCAATTGCATGCGACTTCCTGCTATGAGTTCCTTGGGTTCAGCGTCCCTCCTATCAAATGGATACACTCTGGCTAAGCGGACTCTGTACCAGGTGTCACGATCCTCAATAATTACTGGTCCAACATCCGTCTTTGGTGAAGAGGATGCTGGCGCAGTTGCAACAATCCTTATTATACTGGTGACAGAGTAGCGTAGAAACTCATACGGCGAGAACGCCTTATATGGCGATGGGGGCACCATGACTTGTTGCGGCGATGAGACAGACAGTTCTCCTACAATCATCTGCGACAATCTATTTATCGCAAGCCGTGTATGGATATGGGTTTTTCTGGAAGATAATATTTTTTCCCAATCCTTCTTCGTAAGTGATGATAATGCAGCAGGGTTATTGGCTACTTCAGCCATAGTAGGAGATTGATCATTACTGGAGCCTGTTGTTGATGTTATTGGTGGAGCGGGTAGAGGTCGATGAGCGCGTGGATCGATTCGATCGAGCCTCGGTATGAATTCCGTAGCATCATATCCAGCCGATGTCCAAAAATCGAGTGAAATATCGGTTCCAGCTACTTGCTCTAGTATAGATTGGCCCCCAGGATGCGAGAACCTCCATTGATTCAGATCAAATACGTATATGCCGTTGGCTACGACATATAATTGTCTAAGAGGGTACAAGATCAGTAACTTGTCAGAGTTGCTGGAAAAAACAGGCGACTTGAAATACCCAGAGAGCACAGCTTCGTCTAGACTCTCCCATGTAAATGTTTTTAAGGTCTCGTTAGGAGCTGGAACCGGAATTTGGACAACCGCTGGCACTGCTTCTGCTGTCAATGTCTGCAAACTAGATTCTGAGGAAGGTAGTGGCATACTCTTCGTCCTGTTTGGCAGACATAGCTTAATCCTCCTTATCTTGGTCAGCCATGTTTTTGGTCCTCGATTCTTTTGCCCAAGATACCTGAGGATAAAGAGCGTGAGATCTCTGCGGCCCCCAATACGGTTAAGGTAAGAACATCAGGCTCACCATATCTCATACGTGCTAAATACAATAATCCACATGCCCAACAAACTAAACCAATAAAACCACATCGATTTGCCTCGCGGTTCACTCCAAGGTACAAGCGTCTGAAGGCCGAGATACGCTTGTGCGCAACTTCCCGCTAGCGTTAGTGGACCCAATACTCGATGCGAGAGCTGAATCCACCAATCTAGGTCTATCAGCTTCTTTGACCTCATACCATAATACTTGCAGGCTCCCAATGACGCCTGTATGAATATGAGTGTAATGAGGCTGACACCTAGGCGAGCATGTGGCTGGTTCCATAATTGGATTGTGAGGAGCATAATGACGAAGCAGGATATGATGAGGAGTAGTCCGATTGACTGCACGGACAAGTGCACAAAGAGCCAACCGGGCGATGAGCGGTCTAGGAAGATCACGGGTGAGATGGTTACATGGGTGAACAAGACAAGAGTGGCCTACAATATCTGGCGTAAACTATGCCAAAGGGTAATATCACAAACCATGCTGTCAGCATGCCCCAGCCATGTAATTCCTACAAATGATCGCAATCACCTAATGTAAATGGTCTTGAAATCACTTCCTACAAGCTCTCACCTTGAAATCCCATGAGATGGTCTCATCCACTTTAGACATTGACGAAACACTTCCGACTGCAGACCCGATATACGAACTAACCGAGATTCGTCCACGGTATTGGTAATGAAAATTAAAAAAATTATTGTCCAAAGTCGGTTGTGGTTGGAAGGCGAATATTAGACGTTGCGAGTCGTTCAACGCAATCGCTGTGTGGTAACCATCATTCACGACAGCTGGCCTATAAAACTCTGCAAAGATAGTCTGCGTTCCGTCGGCGGCTTGATCATAGCCTCCCGACAAGGAAACGAATGGAGATGCAACGTTCGGCAATGCCTGACTCAGTGGGATCTAAGCGTCGAAACGTTGAGAGTCCAGAATGAATTAGTGTACAGCAATTACACGTACGGGCGGCTGATAAGCACCAGTGCTCTTGAATTCACCGAGTGTGATTCCATTTCCAGAGCGCTGCATCACCATGAACATTGTTGTTGGGTCCAACATATAGTCTCCAAACCCAAGACCAGCCCAAGCTCTAGTATCGAGGGTGCCCGAGCTGTTGGATTTAAGAACTATAGCAACCCGTAATCCGTCTATAAGAAAACCGTCTGTTTAGTATTTGGACTGGACCGCAGTCATTCGACAAATCAACAAGATCCCAAACCTGGACATGGTGCCGTTTCCGCCCTCCAATAAATCGCGTAATGAAACTGTGAGTCGATCCATAGAGTTACATTCAGTGGATAGTTTGCCAAGTTAAGCGATGATGATGGCAATGACAGCAACACCGTTGACGGCTGAGTGGTGCATAGTGCGGCGAGAATCGTGGTCAACAGCTTAGAAAAAGCCAGTAAAAGTAGTAGCCACCGTGTCGTTGCCATGGGGCGGCTCTGTATCAAGATATCTTTAAGCAAACTGTGTCCGAACTGTTCAAAACTTGACACGCACATGGAAAATAATGTAGTGGTGTTTGAAAGTTGAAGGCGCACTGACTTACGAGTCTCGAGACCTATTCTTTGTACGTCTCCTGGTCGTCGCTGGGCTTGTATCTGCAAAGGAACGACGGCGAACGAAAGCCTTTCGTTTTTTTCAGGTCCAAGTTTCTTAAGGACTGTCGAGACAGCCCGTGCTGCCATTGAAGGGATGTCGACGTGTCTCGACGCGTTGATTCAAACATTACGACCTCTGCGTCAACGCTGCCTTTGCACTTCGGCTATAGTCGTTGTCCTGGTTTCTTCTTGTTTCTTGTGTTGCTGCCACACTCCCCGCAACAACCAACACTTTACAATCAACTTGAATCCAAAGTCTATACAATGGCCCCGTTATTAGGATTCCAGGATGTCATTGTCACCATCGAGGGTGCTATTGGAACTATTAAGTGAGTGTGTACCAACTAACTTTTTTCAACTTTCCTGAAATGTTTTTCACACGTTGTCTGAGCTTGTACCTCAAATGCTAATGTTTCAATTATAGAATCAACCGACCAAAGTCATTGAATGCCTTCGGTATGAACCAACTCGCTGTGTACTACTCTGCTCAAGAACACATTTAGCTGACGCACACATCCCATTCCCTGTTTTCACAGGTGGTAACGTCAACGCCGACCTCGTAAAAGCTTTCCGAGAGCTAGACGCCAACCCTGATGTAGTCATTACTGGTACGCTGTCCCTCGTTGCCTCACAGTTCCATGGTTGCTCCAATTTCGGCTATACAGATGATGACGACATCACACCCAATCTTGGTTGACAAGCACATGTACTAATAATATCTCCTATAGTCTTGACCGGCGAAGGCCGTTTCTTCTCCTCTGGTGCTGATGTACGTGCTTCCGGTGCTCGTCACGCTACCGAGAAGCCAATGACTGCCTCTGAAGTCAAGGCCCAACAAATGGCTGGATTCTCTATCGCCATTGAATTATTGCGATCTATGGTAAAGAGTCTTTGGCCCCAGACCTTGCAGAGACGGAGCAATATCGACCTTTGGGAAAGGAGCTCACCTGCTCAACCATCTAGATCGACCACAGCAAGGTTTTTGTCTTAGCTTTGAACGGTCCTGGTGTCGGTCTTGGTGCTACTTGGTTCCGTAAGTACACTACTTATAGGAACGGTTCTTGATCATACATCTAACTTCATCATACAAACTTAGCTGGTATTGCTGACATTGTCTTGGCTGCTAAGTCTGCCTACCTCCAAGTTCCATTCAGTGCTTTGGGTCTAGTACCTGAAATGGGTTCTGGTAAGAAGCTGTCCATGGTATATTCATTTGCTCGCGCATTCCACAAGCTCACCTGCACTATTAGGTGTCATCCTCCCTGAATCCATGGGTGTTCGTCGTGCAACTGAGTGAGTTAATAGCTTAGTAACCGATTCTAAAGAGATGCGAACTGCTTGATTGGATTGCTTAAGGTCTAACACCTGACTTGTCACAGATTCTTGATGTTCGGTCGCAAGTTGAGCGCTGAAGAATTAGAACGTTTCGGAATCGTTAACCAAATCTTCCCCGATGGCACCTTCCAACAAGACGTTAAGAACTACTTGCTCCAACAATTGGAGACCAACGATGCTAAGTCTCTCTTGGAAACCAAGGTAATTTTTCCTTTGAGAATGAACATCGTCAATGGGGCCTGTAGTACTCACACGATAAATCTCTATAGCGTCTCATTGTTGAGCCTCTCCGTGAACGTCGTATGCTCGCCGTATACCGGTAAGCTGCAAAAGCCACTTTCTGAGCGATGTAGTATAACATATTTGGCAGACTCGCAAACCCACATTTTCTCATTCTTCCAGAGCAACTGACGCACTCGCAAATGCATTTGTTGACGGAAGACCCCAGAAGCGATTCGCTGCTAAGGCTGCCATCATGGCTGCTAAGTCAGGTATGTCTTGATTATTTCAAACTGTTGCAAAGATTGAGAGAAATAGCATTGTGTAACAAAGTCTTTCGAATTTAGCCCAACGTACCGGCCAAGCTGGTGCCAAACTTTAAATTCGATATTAACGTCCATCTGGTTTTGAATTTGTCTGTGTCTCCTACTCAAAATACAAAGTAACTGTTTCTATCGAAATGTGTCACAAGGGATTCGAAACATTGGACCAAGTCACAAGAGGGACGAGATTTTGCAATCTAACATGCCGAACTACAAGCTGTTAGATGTAGCGTTGCGTTTGGTGTGGTTCGAATCGACATTCAGCATGATGACGTGGCAGCAAGTCTTCACATGGTTTGCTTTCTCAAACAACCAAGCGGCCAACTCGCCATATCAGTTTTTATGATGTCTGTGTTCTAATTAAACTACAAAAATACTGTGACTATATATACACTGAAGAGGATAAGAAATAAATCAACAAATAAAATAAAAAAACACCGAGAATCATAAAGGCACTGTATGCCGCAATTCAGGCATCTCAAATATCTCATCAGCATCATGTATAGCAGTAACATCAGTCAATGGAGTCGATTCTGCATCATCATCAATACCATCACTGATAAAAGTGACTGCCGTGTTGTTCGTCATTTGTTTACGGACTGCTGTTACGAGCCATGCCGGGATTGCAATGACTTGAGTTGTAGGCTGCAGTCGGTATATGCGAGCCAGTGCCATAAAGCAACCAAGGTAGCCGGCTTGTTGGAGGGTGATCAGCACGTAATAGTCTGGGTAGAGACCTAATATGTCCACTGCGAGGACGACGACGGTTACTGCACAGTAGATGCTAAACATTGCCCGTGCGCGTCTGTGCATTGATGTGGTGTCAGTATGAAACAACACTCGGACCTGAAAAAAAAGCAAGCTTTGAGACTGTGATACTTACTTGAGCATACGAAACTTGGACTTGTACACCTCATTCAAGTCCCAATCACCATCAAGCGCCACGACTTTCGGTTTTGCTCGAGTTCTCGCACTGCTAGCTAACGAAGGATCACGTCTCCTCCTACGCCGAAACCATCCTTCCTCACGATTATTTGCAGCAGATGGATTGCTTGCTCCTGCAGCAGATGCAGTGTTTCCACCATTCCCAGTTTCATCAGCATCATTAGCAGCTGCTTGAGCAGCTCGTGTTGCTGCAGGCAATAGTTCGGATGGAGGTCGATCTAGTGGTATGGCTGTTGTTTCTCGTCCATCTTCAGTGCGAACACGGGTCGCGTCCATATAGTACATGAGGTTTTCGAGGTGTACTCTGACACACCAGAAGAGGTAGAAGAAGGCCGTTACAGTAAATACCACATAGCAGATCTGAGAAAACAAAAGCGTATTAATAACTCGAAAGATGACCAAAACTCTGATGGCTTCGATATGTACCATAGCCCCTGCCCCAACGATACGATAAAAGACTTCAGCACCGGCCAAGAATCCTGCTACAGAGTAGATTGTTCTCCACTCTACATTGGCTAATCGTGTTCGAAGCACACACCATCCTTTCGATGCCAAGAAGAGAATTACAAAGCGGGAGAAGACTGCTACACCACTTAAAATCCATCTTGTTACGCCCATCCAATCGGGAATCACACCTAGAAAACGAATTATTAGGGAAGCGTTTCGACATTGAAAAGGATGCACCTAATCAACTCTTACCAGCAAAGGAGAAGTACAGCACTACGTAATAATGGGCCAATGCCGCCAAAAATTCAGTCGCAGGTATCAGTACAATTAGGTCGTGAAACATGATCTTTTGTTGACGGTAATAAATCCAATTCCAAGACCATATGACGATAGCAATTAACCATAGTCCTGCTGCTACTAGATATGTCCACAGTAATGGATAATCGTCTGAAGAGAGTTCGTTTGCCAGACCTTGTAAAGAAAGGTGTAAGCATCGATTGTTTGAAACACATCAAGTCGAAACGTTAGCTCACCAGGATTCTTGAAGCTCGCATTCACATTAAAAGAAAGAACTGACGAGTGGCACCAAGTAAAAAAGGTTGTAAACACTGCATTGATCGGTACTGTCAGGTTCATGGAATATGGCGGCGGAGGCAGACCGTTGATCGTAGTGGGAATACTAAACGCATATTGCCCACACGTTGGCAGTAGTGTACATAGATTCGCCCGGCCAGAAGCGACGAATATACTCGCATCACAAACGTAAAGTGTCAACCCCTACGAAAAAAAACCCCTCATCAGCACAAAGCGTCATGTGGGATCAGATCATGTAGATCTTGACAACTTACAGCTGTATTGTTGACTGGCTGGGTTGCAAAAGGATCATTTGGATTGATGGCAGCGGCGTCTCCCACAATTGTTATGTTGTTGACTACAATGTTGAGCGAACCTCCTGCATAAAAGCCATAGTTTCCAAGTATTTGTGAGGTAGTTCCTATCGGGAATGTTATTGGCAAGTTTGATATCTCGTTTGCAGCAATGGGCGAGATCCAAGCGATGATTGAGAAGATTGCGATGAAAGCAGAGAGCCTCCTCATTTTGTTGGCGATGGCGAAACAAGTTAATGGATAGATCCCATGGCTCCTTTACAGCTCTAGTAGTAGCTCCTAAAGCCAACTTCAGTCTTGTCCTCTTGTGGTGCTTGTCAAATTCTCCAAAAGTTTCCACCGAGTTGCGCGAGATAGAGTTTGACGCACAAAAATTTAAGACTCCAGGCAGCCAAATTCGAAGGAGAACTGTATAGATCCGATTGTTCAATTAGTACTTGGGCTCGATCTGCCATCGTATTCTGGGCAACACGTCCGTTTGCTCCATTTTACATCCAAAACACCAAAAGACAAACACGCTTGATTCTCTTCAAATTTCGTAGCGGTCGCTCAAAAATCACGAAAGTTACGATTTAATACACTCATTGTAGGCCTCTGTGCTATTTTGAGTGCTCTAAAAGTTGACGATCGTGGCAGTTTGAATGTCCCGTTTTTTGAACAACAGAAAAACTGTATTTCACAACCGTTGAACACAGCTAGCCATGGCTGTCTCTCCTGTCAGAAATGGCATTAACGTTAACGATATCGTATTAAAGACAAAGGAAGGAAGATCCTTCCCAGCTACAGACTTGTGGTCCAAACAACCATGTGTAATCTTTGTCGTTCGACGACCTGGCTGATAGTAAGTTAACCGTATTGTGCACGTTTCCTTTTTCAGTCGGAATGGAATCCTTCTCGGGTCCTGCCTGCTATTACATTTATACCTGTAAGATTGTGGCATCAACTAACCAACACCATTTTTCAGTTTGTGCAGAGAAGAGGCAGCCGACTTAGCGTCCCACGCTAAGGAATTTGCTTCTTTGGGGTTGAGACTTGTTGCTGTTGTGAAAGAGACATTGGGCTGGGAAGAATTCGTTGAGGGATGGTGGCAAGGTCTAGATATCTATTTGGACGAGCAAAAGGGATTCTACAAGTTAATCGGAAAGGAGCATGGCAAATTCTTCCACAACGTATGTCACTATATATGCTCAACGAAGCACTGATTGTTGCATCGAAATGTTCAACTTGAATATGGAACACAAGTGGTCGATGTGACACTCATGGTTTTACTTGTTTAGACGCTGGAAGCATTGAAGGATCCAAAGGCTATCTCTAACGGCAAACGTGCTTCTGCTCGAGCCTTCAAAGGAAACTTGAAGGGCGAAGGCCTGATTATGGGAGGAACTGTAATTGCTTCCAAGAAAGGCGTTCACTACAGGTAATACATTCTGTGTTAACAACCTCCACCATACCTAACTGGTTTTCACACCCATGCTTCTAGCTTCCTTGAAACCGAATTTGGTACCCATGCGCCTATCAGCGAAGTGATGAGCGTATGCAAGTCAATCTCGGGCTCAAAGCTGTAGAGGACGACTTGGGACAGAATATGAGAAATTGTGGAGAATCTAGCTAGGGTCTTGCTTGAATGCTCTGGTAATGAAGTTGTGGGAACTGTAACCAATACTAGTTTGGTCCTCTCGCGAACTGATACAAACCATTTGGAGCTTTGAAAGGATGTTGCATGATTTCTTTGCAAGTTTATCATATTTTTTGAATTAAAACTGGTTTATACTAAATCGTATTACAAAACTACGTTTGTGTGCAAGCGGGTTTACTTTGAGCATTTCATTGTAATCAATGATCCTACAGCGAGAGGTACGACTCTTCCTGGCATGGCTCGATGCATTTCAGCGGTCGCCTTCCAACCAGTACAATGCCCACAAACGAGGTATTCAATATTAAGTTCCTTCAGGTCACTCACTGTAGCAGGTATTCTCGACTCAGCACTCCCAACCAAATGATACCCTCCCACCACAGCAAACAAGGGCACCGAAGGAAAGAGTGATTTACAGTGCCGAACGACGTTGACCACACCAGCGTGACTGCATCCTGTGAGGATAACCAAACCTCGTCCTAATGGGGAAGATTCAAAGAGCAAGAATAAGTACCAATGCACCACGTATAAACCCGATAGCCACTCGATTGCGAAGTTTTTGTTCACCTTTAAGATTCATAACAACCCATCTCTCATCCATAATATGTTCATCAGGCACCCACGACCCTTTCTCCCTCTCAAACCGTAACGCCCCCGGCAGTCCTATTTCATAGCTTGTTTTACGTGGTATTTCTCCAGACACTAGAAACAAGTCATTCTCGACTGTATGCATTTCAGCATGTAATTCGACTTTGGTTCCAGCCTTCTCAAACTCAGCATACGAAGTATCCTCTGCGAAACTCAATACTGGTCCAGCCTTCGGGTTTCCTGCTCCACGGCGTTCAGGCCTGTCTGGACTGAAATCCATTATACAGGGAGGGAGGGATGCTGCACTCCGTGCTTGTGAAGTGGATTTGGCTGCGGCTATTAGTCCAGCAGCGTGGTCGCCTAAGAAAGTAAACAATGCGATCAGAAATCAAGAGCATGTCCAAATAGCTAAGAACTGCTAACACCGGGTTATTCTCGCTTGTTTTTACCATGCCAATGGGAAAGTATGATACGAGAAATACTCTGAAAAGGTAACTTCAGCCGTCTCGCATTGTTTGAAAAGATTTCAGGGTCTGGACCTCCATCAAACAGTATCTTGATAATGGGGGAAAAAATAGGTACCTTATGCGAGAAAGTACGAGTACTGCACTCACAGTTGAAGTCCTGTCTCCTTTCGTAGCCTTCACCATCAAGCTCAGCCCATGAGCGCCCTGAGCAAGTCCATGCCAATGCATCCTTTTAGCATTCAGAGCTACATCTGGATCCATGTCACTGCTCGTCACCAGTCGAGTTAAATCAGTCCGTATCGAGAAGGAGTCATTATCAGGGACTGTTCCCAGTGGATCAATCTAAAATCCGGAAATTGGGCTTTGTAAGTGTACATCTTCAAAATCACGAAAAACGTGTCGTGGCCAATTCGGACAAAATGCCTCAGATGTGACTTGCTTGGTTATCAACCACCACGGTGATTTCGATAGCGTCGCATTCGACTAGTTTCGCAGTAATCGATGCCATTATTTGTGGAGCTGGACTAGGTGTTTAGATGTAACAAGTTCAAATGACTGCGAAGTGATGCAAAGTCCTTTTTGAAAATAACGTGTTATTCACGCTCATGTTTTGGCTATACGGCACGAACTCTGTAAATACGCGAGCATACTCTTACCGCTGCGGTCTGTCTCCTTGTCAACGCAATCCCTCTCTTGATTTCGAATCTCAACACCCAACTCCAAAAAAAACATCAAAAGCCGACGTGTCAACTAACAGACCTACATATTATAATAGGTAAACCAAAGGATCGCTTCTTCCATAATGTCCTACTCACGAGTCGAAGAAAAAGACACTGTAATCTTCCTCACAAAGGACGACTACAACCAGCTCCCAACACTGCAACAACAGCTTGAGAAAGAATCACCATCATCTAGTAGTAAACCAGAATCAAGCGGCAATCCAAACGACGCATATAACCCTGAAACAAATGAAATCAACTGGGACTGTCCATGTATTGCTCCAATGATCAAACCACCGTGTGGAGACACATTTAAAGCTGCCTTCTCATGTTTTGTATACTCGACTGCTGAACCAAAGGGATTTGATTGTGTTGACCAGTTTAGAGAGATGCAGAAGTGCTTTAGAGAGCATCCTGATATATATGGAGAGGAGATCGATGATGATGATGGTGCTGATGAGGTTGAAGGTGTTGAAGGTCAAGCTCAAGCTTCAACTGGTGATGAACAAAAACAACACAAGGAAGGCGAGGAAGCTTCATCGGGCGCTCAGGTGCCTTCTGTAGACGTAGTAGATACCAAGGCATAAACATAGATCCTCCGTTTAAATTGAATATAGTAGTTTGCATCCAACCAACAAGAACAACAACATAGATTTCTTTTCTTTATTTACGATTCATTCCTAGTTTATATTTGGCGCACACTTGACGGCATGAGCATTTCACTTCATCAAAAAGCAACAAAAAGGTCAAATTTCATGAATGAGTTATAAGTATTTTCGTTTTATCCACATCCCCCTCCTCTTCCACCTAATAATGACCTGAACCTCCTTGCAATCATCTAGGACCACGCAAATCCCGAACATCCCGATCAAAAGCATCTAGATGACGAAAGTTACAGTTATCACCTGTGTACAAGTTTGAGAGAGTTAGCGTATGGATTCGACTAGCAAACGACAAAGCAGACAGACAAGACCGACCTTTTAGGCATCCCTTCTTTGTTGAAAAGTATGTGCATTTGACATCCGATGGCGTCCCTCTGAGAGGATTTGCTGGCCTATTCCCAGATTCTGGACTTCTTGGTCTAGCATACGGAGGCCTCCTACTGTCGCTATTCCTGTTGCTGCTATGTCGATCAGTTTCCACCGTTCTACCCATACCTCGACCATTTGATCCCCCTCCTCCTCGTCTTGCATCCTCATTACGGTAATCATCACGATACACATCATTCATTCGAGAATCTACTCCGTGACCTCCATGACCACTGTTGACACCGTGGTTGATGTGATTCATATTTATAGGTAGATTGTTGAGCTGGTTCATGGCTGGGGTTGTCGAGAAGGAAAAACCAGGATTATTTATTCCTCCAATCGGTAGCGTACTATTATTGAGATTCGCCAAAGCTGGGAATTGTGCCAAAAGCGGATTTGCAGCTACGAGTGAACTTGTCAAGTTTCCCGGTAAGAGCAGGTTCGTCATGTTTGGCGATAATTGTGGATTCGTAGCCGACGACAATAGTGGATTTGACGTTGATAGTTGATTTGATGGTAGCGTCGGCATGAATGATGGAGTTGCTGGCGGTGGAGTTCCTGGCATCAACCCAGCAAGTATTGGGAAGGTTGCGGGGATGCTTCTACAGTAATAAAAATTTAAGAAACTTGCATTTGCTAAGCATGTATGGAAACAACAGAAACTTACGTGCTGGCAGATGGGAGCGATGCAATCGGTCCTTGTCCCAATATAGCAGCCATGGCAGCAGACAAACCCCCCGAACCAAACGATGGGAGAAGATCATTCAGAGTTGAAGAACCACCCACAGGAGCGACTGACGTCGCAGTGGTTGCTGTTGGTCGATATGTGTCATATGGAGGTCGAAACAGCTCCGGTTGTTGTGTCGTTGGCCTGTACGAATCCAGTCCTCGTGAACTGTACGAAGTTTCTCCTGGCCTATACGTGTCTGCCCCACGGGAAATGTTTGGTTCATCTACTGGTAACGTACGGTAAGGATCGAATGACACTGGTGGTTGACCTCCAACAGCGTCTGCTGGACGTCGAGCCATATCTCCAGCAGGTGCATTCGAATATGGTGTATTCCCAAATGTATTTGGCGCTACGATTGAGACAGGCAGATTTACGGGTGTTGCAACTTGATCAAATCGAGGATTATCGTTCGGATTTGGATCAATCCATTCACCTGGTGTGTCTGGGATGTCGCTATTGTTGTAATATGTCACAGACAGAGTAGCAGCTGTGCGTTGCCTTTGTATTTCTTGCTCCTTCGATTGCAATGGTTTTATGTTCGAGTTTATATGATAGTAATAATCTAAACAAACACAGACATGGGAGTGAGTGAGAAACACAACGACCGATCAGACCGATCCTGAATAACGAATGATCAGAGCAATCAATCGGATGAGGAACATACCGCGAACCACATAGTTGGCAGTGATCGGAATCGTTTTAGTCTCAATAGGAGCGATCGCAGCAGCGGACGATGATGATGAGCCTGCTACTGCTGAGCCACTTGACGATTCTATCACTTCATCATCCGTATGAGTTTTCGTGACGAACGTGAATTCGCCCTTGTCAGCGTTCTTGATACTACGATGACTTTTGTGCTGAAACCCGTTGAAAATCGACGCGTCAGTTAACAGACAATCAAACAAACGCACGCGCGACTGCTGATTGAATCATCGGTCCAACTAACCTCTGTATCCTCTTCAGTTTCAAAAATCTTGATTTTACGTAATAATTCGCCCTTTTCAGGAAAGTAGCAACGGATTCCATACGTCTTCAACCATTCCTTCCTAGTCATGCTTTCAGGCCGAGGAGGGAGGACCGTTGAATCGTTACGTTGCAGAGGTTTGGAGGGATTCACGACTGTGGATCCTATAGGTGGTGTTGCTCGACTAGAAACTGGTCGTGGTGCTGTGGCTGATGTGGATGACGTTGTAGCCTTCTTTATAGAAGGTACAGCTGATGTAACAGCCTTTTCAGCCTTTTCCTTGTCCATTTGAGAAAATATACCAAATCCGGCCTTGTTAGCAGGTTTCGCAGTAGGTTCTACTGGCGATGATTTCATTGTTCCGTCCGGGATGGATGTTCGTTTCTTTGGTATTCCAACGTTAGGCTTAACGGGGGTTGCTGTAGCTGGTTTTACGTCGGGGGTAGGCGGTTCTGGCATCTCGGATTTGAGACGTTTACTAGCTGACATGGCTGATGTTGAATTTGACGGAGCTGGTCGTTTCTTTTCAATGACAGGCTCAGCCTCTGTGAGAAGGATTAACCCATTAGTAAATGGATGTCGTGAATTGTTCAGTCCACAACACAATAACTCACTCGTTGCTGTTGACGATGATGAAGCCATAGCTGGCTCTTTGCCCTTGGAATCAGCTGACGATTGACTTTTCTTTGCAGCTTGCAATTCAGCCGCCCATTTCGTCAGCAATGGAAGAGCAACGTTAGAGATATCAGTTTGATTACTCTTGAGCAATTCCTTATTTACAGCCATTCCTAGCTTGGAGTCATTAAGCATGCTGGCTTCAATGGGTAGTCGAGTCAAAAAGTCGACGAGATCCTTCATCACAGCAACATATATTGTCCTATCTTCAGGCCTGACTCTTTCAGAAGCTACCTCTGTCATCGAGTCCTTTATGAAGCCAGCGATCTGAGTCAAGAACTTGAAGTCTGACGCCAATCTAAGAGTTGAATGTGGGCAGGTTGTGAGTCCCCCCAAAAAAAATCAGCATAGATCTCTTCCCAACAGCAACAGTATTTTCAATCATGATAGTGCTTTCCAATTTGTGTGATTTGATCATCTCACAATATTGTCACGTTGGAACGAAAACTCTCTTTTTGTTCCGTGAAGGAAGCTCTTTGTGGGTTTGATGTTCAAATTTTGATTCTCACAGAGATATCATGACTGGTACATTTGGCGAAGATCGCAACGCGGAGACATGAGACGCCAGAGTTACGCAGGTCGATAGATGCTTACTTGGTGATAACGTCTTGATCCTCAGTTTTTGTCAACGCCGTTACCAGTACTCGACGACCATTCAATGATGTCCAATTTCCAAAGTGATCGCGAAACTGCTTGTATTTTGGATGATCTACTCCTTTCAGACCTTGTCCATTGGTGATATAAAGTCGTTCGGTATCTCGCACAGAATCAAACTCGTCCTAGTGAATGTGCGCAGATCATGTCAAAGGTCAAAGTGCCGATTGCCGTTCGCTCATGTCAAACGATCTATACGTACATCCATCTGTACATCTTCTGAGTTGGATGATACGCCGCCTTCTGCTTCTTCTTCTTTCTCCTCTTCCTCTTCTTCACTTGATACTAATAAGAATTTCACGTGTGTTAATGATCTGGCAGACGTCAGATTGTAAAATGAAGATGCATTTGCCTTCCGAAGTGTCGATTTGGATTACATCTGACGCATGAAGGCGACGATGATCAGTGGGCCTTAGTTCCGATTTAGTCTTGTCTATCATTATTTTGATGTTTTTTCAGCAACTTGCGCAGATGTACTGATTTTATAAAATCAAAAAACTCAGACACACCAGCATGTCGAGCTCTAGAGAACCATTTGGAGATCTTTTCAGCAGGCTAGAAAGAGGATGAATGATTTATAACGTGATATATGTTTCAGAAATGCAAACTTTTGATTTACAATAGGCTGTGGTCTTTCGAACAGTCTCATAAGCTGACTTGAAAATCTAGCACAGGCATCCAATGATGGATTGGCATCTTCCTTGTATCTGGCTGTCAAATATGACTTTTCCACGTCTTTGTATGTTACAATGTTGGTGTGCTTTTTGGTCATTTCTATACAGCAAAAAGAAAAGGAGGTTGTAATCTCTGTTCTTGGATTCCCATCGCATCTTGGAATAGTCTGACAGCTCGAGGATGTAGACTTCAAAGCACTCCCGAAGCAATTCTCACGAGCTCATCGCATCAGGTGGTTTTTGGGGTTTTCACAAATGCAGGGCGTTTGATGTCTTCAAACAATGGCGATAGAGACTTACTCTTTGCGGGTTGAGATCCGTAAGCCACGGTCATGAATTCAAATGATGGGGCTCAAGTAAATGCTCTCCTTTATGTATATGTATTCCTGTCTCTCTCTTGTTGCTCAGGGGAGCGTTTTTTCTGAACGAAAACGGACTAGAAAACAATGGTCGGGATGTCCTGAAAAAGCTCACGGCCACTCTAAAAATGTGCCTTGGATGCAGGTACACTGTCTACCTGTCTCAAACGCTTCTGTCCAGGTCTCGCTCGTTAAACTTTTGTTGGTTGGGATGGTGAGAGAGCGGACACCCACGATTTCAAATTCCATCGCGAATCACGGAATCGAAAGTTTCGTATCGGCGTGTTATATCACTTGTAGGCTATCCTGCACTCTGCATATTCTGCATATTGCAGAATCTACGTTTATTGCGGCTGTTCTTCGTATCGCCCAACAACGTTTGTTGTTTTCGCCTACTTCGTTACGAGAAAGCCGAACTGGGCATAAAATAGTCTTCATAACGCGTAAATTATGTGAATATTTCATGTTTCGTATCGAGGCTTCTTCTATCTTTCTTCCGAACAGTCCTGTATTTTAAGTTTCCAAAAAGTCATCGGAAGTTCGATTGTTGCAACTTCATACACAAAACCATGGGCATCATGCCAGATCTCATATAGCGCCCTATATTTATCATATCAACTCCCCCTTTGCTCCTTAGGAAGTGATGAGTTCATAAGCGGACGGCTACAAAATTTGGGGAAAATGAACGAACAACCCATCTCTGCCGACCTCAACCAACCTATAAAAGATCAAAATACTTATATTTCTATCTGGAGCCGTTTTTGGTTGCTTTTTTCCAGATCCGTATGGCCCTCTGCACCAACATCGCAGCCCAAATGGAAGTATCAAGATGGCGAAGAGCACCAACACAAGAATTCACGCAGCTGGAAGAAGAAATGTGTATCTCCCACCAACGATGGAGACGCTCCTGACCTCGCTTTACCCGTTCCTCAAGTGCTGAAGAGCAATCCTATCGCTGCTGATGAAGACGACGACGATGATAACCCAGCGTCTTCGCAGCCTATTGGACCTTCCCATTTGCGTATACGGACATCACGCCGAGTGCGTTTATACCTGGAAGTTACGAAAACTTTATTAGCCTCTATCACTCACAAGTTCTGAATTTAGGTGTCCAGAAGCTCGTCAACGTTGTCTTCTGAAAGGTCACCAAACAGCTCCAGGGTTTCGGCTGATTCTTCAAGTGAGTGTCTCGACAGACCACTGCAAGTTTTCAGCTCTAACTCGTCCTTTTGTGTCAATCCAGAGGGCTTGTTAGAAACTGCGACACCAAACCAGCGCCGTTCAATGCTCAACCTATCACGATCCTTCAATAATTTGGCACATTACTTGACGAAACGATCTCGTGTGGATTTATCTGAAAGCGACTCGAGCCACGAGAAACTTCGGATACACATTGGAACATGGAATATGAATGGACGGGTAAGCAATCACCGGACCCGCAAGCTGGTTGCAGTAGCACCTACGACAGTCCCAATCCAATAGGAGTGATTAACGGTTTTCTCGCACTGCAGCTTCCTCTTGGGCACCTGCACGACTTCATACCTTCAACCCACGACCGATCAAGAATGCATCATATTCTGATAATTGGATCACAAGAATGTCAACACAGTATCGAAAAGTCACTCGTTTTTCCTTCCAAAGAAGAGTGGGAGTCTACTTTGAAGAGTGCTGTTGGAGAACACTATGTGTGTGTCTGCACGCAGACTCTAGCTGCCATTCACGTTGCTACCTTTGTATTGAAACCATATGTTCATTGTATCAAAGGTAATGCGTCTTGAGTCTCCCGTTAGCTTGCAAGTGTCTCACTGTGCGTTTTGTTGTAGGAGTCGAATCTGGTTATTTGGCAACAGGATTTGCAAAAGTTGTTGGAAACAAGGGCGCGACTGCCATTGGTCTTCATTTCGACTCACTGTCCCTGCTTTTCATTTGCAGTCATTTTGCTGGTATGTGTGGTTTCTTACCATTGACTCCAGTCTACATTACTCACCCACTTGTCAAAACGTAGCGCACCAACATGGTGTCAACGAACGAAACAACAACTTTCAACGCATCAACGAAGAGCTTAGATTGTCTGGATTGGCCACTGGAAAGAAATCAAGTAAGACATCGTTACAGGCACTTTGCCCAGTGATGTTGTCCGCTAATCCCTCTGATGGTTGCTTAGACAAGTCACCAACAGAACGGTACGACTGCACCTTCTGGTTTGGAGATTTGAATTATCGAGTGGACGTGGATCGAGATATTGCAGACGAGAAAATACACAAGCATAACTTTTCCGTACGTTCGGATACGTTTCCATGCCAAAAAAGAAACCCGGTCACAGCGTTCTAGATGTCTAAAACCTTGATAAACATAGGCACTCTTATTACATGATCAATTACTTCGAGAAAGGGGTCACGGCCGTGTCTTTTCAGGATACACAGAACCAGACATTGAATTCCCACCCACATACAAATTCGATGTTGCAAACAAGTCCTCCAAACCAACATCCCCATCATCCCCAATCGCATGGATGAATCCCTTTTCACCTAAACAATCACCAGCATCACCAGCACCAATATCTCCCGTATCTCACCTTCCCCGACTCTTTTCATCTGGATTCTCACTTGCATCTCACCGTATACGCGTCTATGACACATCATCCAAAATGAGAGTGCCTGCATGGACAGACCGGATACTCTACAAAACCAAAGGACCCGCTATACAATGTTTGAAGTATACTTCATGTATGAATGTTGATGGATCTGATCATGTACCTGTTATAGCCGACTTCGTTGTGGATCACAATGTCTCGAATTTTGAGTCAAGTAGTAGTAATCACCTTGTTCATTTAAAACGTTCACGAGCTTGTCATATTCAATAATTTAAAAATAAAATCTCAAACAGTCCAGGCTTCCTAAGATGTGTACTTGACAAAGACCGACCTCGTGCATTGTATTAAATTGTGCACAGCCTGTCCTATGGACAGGGCCTTTCGCTTAGGGCTTTAACCTTTGCCTGTCAGGCTCAGTTGATTTTGAGCCAGAGCGCTAAGCAATAACTAACCCACAAAGCAATTCAAGACCATAGAGCAGCCACACCTATTATTCAGCACCTTCAAGTGGAATGTACTCTCCCTTCTACCCCAGTATTCTCATCGCACAATACGCAGATTTGCGTCGCAAGCAGGAAACCCAACACACACATACCGAGACACAACCAGCACCAGATAAACTGCGAGGATCAAGGCTAAAATCCACCATAAATGCTATAACTAGGTTTGTCAGTATGGGTAGGTGTAAAAGTGACGCAGAAGTAAAGGATGACAGTCTGCCAAGATATAGTGAATGTGGTACACCACCGCCGGATTATGTATATAGGGAGCCGCCGACTTATCGTGAAGCAGCACGAGGAATACGTAGATCTACACGTCCTGCTATTGAATTCCGGCTGCCTGTATTGTATGTGCATAGGGTGTATGCTTGATATGGGAGTGTATACTAAACGATCAGTATCAGGAATATAACAAAATAATTGGCTTTTGTAGTATTACTATCTTTGTAAGAAAAATCATTGTGTTAATATAAAGAGTTGCAAAAAATGGCCCATCTATTCCAAGTTATTTACACAATGTTTATGGAAGTCAAGTTCTGATACCCTTTTAATACTACATGCCTTCACGCTCAATGATCCTGAGCATGATGCGAACTACTTCAGACTCAGAAATGTCTAGCTTTGGGTTCTTGATCTTCTCATCAAGAAGCTGAGATAGCAGTTTTCTTACTCCTTCCACCAAAACTAGTCAGAGAAGCAAAAAAAAAGAGTTCAGAAGAGTCGGCTATGATGAAGTGACGTTAATCTGCATGTGCTATCTTCTTACCCGCAATGCGAGGGAAAGCTCTAATCGAGACCCAACCATCCACTATAACAACATTATTTGACATTTGCATGTCAAGTCGACCATTCAGCAGCAACAGTGGCCATGCCGATACAGCTGTGGTGTCTCGTAAGAAGATGGCTGAAGTGTGTACTTTTTGATGGTACAGCAATAGCGGTGTCCCAACAAAGCTTCCAGATCCATAATTTACTGATGATGGATGTATCGCCACTTGCCCTATATCAAAATTTCTGTAACGATCCATATTGCAAGCAAAAAAATCCCTTTTGTCCAAACTACATGGTCATACCATCCTCCTGTGTACAAAACGTGATAGATTTAGGATCAGCATCGACTTTGAATGTCCCAACAGACGTTTCGGCATAGGTGGTCTGCGGCAGTTTGATGATTGCGAATCTGGGATATAGGCCAGCCAGTAACGCAGCTTTTACTATTCGTGGTTTGGAGCTATTGACGTTGGCTGTATCTCCATGTATAAAGCCAAGTTCAGATAGTGTCTGATAGTATTGTTTGCGGTAGTCTGCGATGGTGGCTAGTGCTGATTTCGACAAAAAATTCTAAAAAGGGCATTCATTCGATGAGGTTGATTCACATCGCAAAATTTAGAGCCAAAACAATAGCCTGAAGATAAGGATATATACCGATTCACAGAAGTCCAGTTCATCCCTTCTCGATTTCCATGATGCTTCTACCCATGCCTCATATGCTCGAACATCAGTCAACGAATCTGATCTTTCTGTAGCAAACTTTTCTCGCGCACTAAAAAAACCCAGAATCGGTCAGAAAATATTGTGAAGCAAACACAATCAACCCAACACCACATAGACGTACGCTTTAGCCTCATCACGCTTATCAGACGGCTGCACCCATGGAGACTTGTGAGACAACACGGCACAAACAGTCAAGATTGGTTCCAAACATTGAAACATCGCTCCAAACAACAGAATCTTCCCAATACGTAAATCAGTCGGTATCTTGGCCAAATGTTCTCCCAGCGGTGACAAGCCTCCAGAATCATCTACTGCTCCAACTTGCAATAGAGTCTTCATGGCAAACTCAATGTTTTCTGTTTGAGGTGGGTCAAGTGCTTTTGATAGGAAACCAGAGACGTCTCGGATACCCATCGCCAGTACATTTAAACATAGTTGGTCGAGTGATTTGCGTTGAATTTCGGCTACAGCTTCTGCAGGCAACATTTCATCCTCCATTTTACGAGTCACTAGCTTGTAGCATATGCCCTTTTGAGTTCGACCTGCACGCCCACGCCTTTGCTTGCACGCCTGTATATTTCAAATGACGACATAAGCTTTAGCAAAAGATAACAACTACCAAAGCCAATCACTTGCCTGGCGAGATGCAAATGTTTCAGCCAATCTCATGATTCCACTCGCAGCATCTAACCGAATCTCTTTGACTCGACACACATCAATAACGTACACGACATCGTCACTACCGTAACAATGGCTTCAGTCACCCACCAAAAAGAAGACTGTCAACCGAGTGATGTCGTGATCATACTTACATAGTAAGACTCGTCTCAGCAACATTCGTACTAACAACAATCTTTCTAACATGTTTTGGCACCCTTCGAAACACTTGGCTCTGCTCTCTCGATGAGAGATTAGCATGCAACGGATATACTTCCGTGCTACCAATATCACTTAAATCCTTGATGACATACATGCACCTCTGAATCTCCATGACACCAGGCAAGAATATCAAAATAGCACCAGATGGCATATTGGTACAAATGTGCCTGACTGTAGCAGCAATCAGATCATAATCGATTTTAAAGTTGGAATCATCAAGACGTTCTATCCTGTCAGTATAGAGCTTGAAGTCATTTGGTGATCCCTTGTTGTTGGATCGTCGAGGAGGATTTGGCCATGTTGTGGGCGGTATGCTGACAAGTAGATCTTCCAAGTACCTAGAGACGAGTAACATTGCCAAAAAAACTCCGTTGGGTTGCAGCTGTGAACGACTTACACATCATCCACAGGAAATGTTCGACCTGGAATATTGAGCACAGGAGCACCACCAAAATACTTTGAAAAGGAGTCACTTTGCACGGTAGCAGACATCAGAATCACTTTAAGGTCAGGTCGTTTCGGTAATAATTCTTTCAATGCGATGAGCATAAAATCACTTTCAACTAGAAATGCAGCATAAGTCGTGAGTCTATCAACTCTCTCAAAGGCAAAAAAACCTCAACTTCGATATTACCTCCACGTTCATGGACCTCATCAATAACGATCACGCTAACGTCCTCCAGACCATCACCTTCTGAGGTCGACACCATCCTCACAACAATCCCGACTGTACAAAACAAAATCCGTGTTGCCTGGGATGCACGTCGTTCACCACGAATCGCATATCCAACAGTCCTACCAACATCTTCACAACGTTCAGCTGACGTTCGTTCAGCCAACGCCATTGCAGATATTCTCCTTGGCTGAGTACATATTAACGAAAACTTGGAACCGTTTAATGATCGCACAGCCTCTTCATATAAAATTTGCGGGATTTGTGTTGATTTACCACATCCTGTTTCACCACATATGACTACCTGTAGATAAAGAAAACTCTTCTTAGTCAATGTACACTTTTCAAGACGATTTAGATATGACGATTACTTGCCACTTGAGACGACTTCACTGCAGTTATGATATCCTGACGGTTTTTATGGGCCGGTAGTGTTGCTCTTGCCGATAGCATTTTCTGATATGGTGCAGTTGACTCTTGTGCGAGTAAGGCATCACGTATTTCTTCATCAGACTGGGTTGATTTTCGTGTTTTTCTAGACACCTTGTCTAGTTTTGCGGCAGGCGTATGTGATTCTACAGCCTTCTGAGGCTTATGTGGTGGAGCATTGGATACCAGAGACATGAGAAGTGGTGGGTTCTATTGCAAATTCCAGCGAAGTTGTTAAAGATATTTTTGTCTCTCGGCACAAAAAGAATTAAGCATACCTCAACCCACTCATTCCAATTCTCTTGAGCATTCTCCACAAGGGCAAAAGCAGCCGGCTCACCAGATGCAGCCAGTTCAATAGACTTTTCCATCAGCTTTTTCGTACACGACAATCTTATATAAGCAGGCAACGAGGGACATTGCAAAACGACTATTATCGGATGATGTGGGTACGTGGAGGACGTGTTCAAGTAAAAGGCAAGACTGCCATCAGATATAGAAGGTGATGTCAACGATACTTCGAATGTTGTTTCAGAATTCGAGCGGAAAGAGTCAGCGTAAATGGATCCTAGAGCTTCTGATTCTTCTTTGAAAACTATTAGAGCCTCGGATTCAGTTGGTTGTGAGTTTGGTAATGATGGATTACCACACAATTCCAAACATAGCCTTTCTAAAGTCAAGATCTCGTCCCTTTTACAAGCTCTATACACACTCTTGACTTTGGACATATCAAATCCAAGTGCATGGATGCGTTTATATGCCTGTTCCTCTACATAAGCATCTTCAGTGTTTCTCCCCACACTGAATTCGGATATGGGAGGTAAAATGCCAGGTGGCAGGTCATCTTCAGGCACATTACTAGTAAGCCAGTTACGAGCGTCTTCAAACTCGCTTTCGTAGGTCAATGCTTCGTCTACATGAGCTTTGCGGAAACCCATTTTTAACAGTTTGGTAGCTACTTCCGCGTCGATATCCGACGAGGCAGTAGGATTACTGGTATTAGCAGGAGCAGTAGATAAATTCTGTTTAATAAGCTCTTCTATAGCAGCTCTGACTTGCTGACCAAGCACTACAGCAGGAAATTCCTCCTCTTCCTGTTTGGCCTTCATTGCCTGATCTCTTTCCTTTTCTAAAACCAGTTTGGCAGCATCAGCTTCATCTTTGGCTCTCCACTCTATAGATGCAAACGGATCTGCGGCATACTGATATCGAGCTTCATCCGCGCGTACACTAGCACGTATCGGCTCAAGCACGTCAAGCCAGTAATCACGATGGTTTGGTGGAAGTAACCTATGGTACGACGTCCCAGAGCATAATCTATGCAGAGCATACGTAGAAGCAAAGTGTTTGGCCTCTTGATCCTGCTCAACTTGCAACACTGGCACGTCCCATTTGATGATTTGTTTAGCTTTAGTCTTGGGGTCGACTTTTACTAATGTGACGCTGCACTTCCATCCTGCACCAGCTTTGGCGAGATTCTATGAAAGCGGACTGAGTCACAATGTGTCTGGTAATAGATCAAGAACGCGTTCACGTACACAGTTTATGTCAGGTTTCGACCACTGCCTTTTCTGACAATACTCGTTGAGTAAGACTTGTGGCGTCTTCCCAGTCCCTTTTTAGACGTGATTTCAAATGGAAATTGGCGTGAGAGACCTTGGACAACGGCAAGAGCCTTCACAATTCAAAATGTGCATTTGATCTTTACATGATCCAAACAGCTGACGCTTGAGTTCAGCCGCAGTCAGTCCACTTTCTGACGCGACAGAGCTTGATGAACTGGCGACGCTCTTGCCTTTAGATCCTTTTGCGGCAGTAGATGGTGATTCCTTTGCTAGCAAAATTCAGATTTTTTGTCAGTCAATGATTTGCTAACTACGACAAACTTGACTAGGGAAAGCAGTACAACGCGTGACTTACCTGACTTCCCTTTAGATTCTGCCGCAGCACTAGACGAACTACTTAAACCCCCCTTCTTCATCCAAGCTAAATGTTAAAGCTATTAAGAAAGATATAGAATATAGAGCTTTCTTGGAGACTATACCAATATGGAACGTGGTAATAAAAGACAACGAATCACCATTGATTTCGGAGCTGCCAAATCAAAAGGAATCAACAAAACCAACAACATCAAACAGTCAACATCAGCTGCAGTGCCTCCCATTCAACAAGCTTCAGAACGTGAGTCATTTGCAGTTGATGTATGTATACATGTACGAGTAGCTGATGCCACTTTGTCTCCTTTTACTTCAGCATCACCCAGTGTTTCAGCAAAACCAGTCACTTTGGTCGAACCTCCAGTACAAAATGAACCTCCAGGTATGGTGAGATTTACCTTGATATTCAATGTCTATGTGACATCGTTTTAGTCAAGAATATCAGAACAGATATCTAGTTTGAGATATTTTGATGCTGAGAGTCCTAAAGTCAACGCGAGAAACAGTCAATTCTCACACACAACAGACAACCAGATGGTACATTTTCTATTAGTGGACGTTTAGAATCTAAACTCCACGCCTTTGTTTTAACATCATTCGATCTCTTGATACTTGTTATATTCACTCCATGTGCTATCTCAAATAGTTACTACCACACAATCTGAACGTGAAGCATCGATACCACCAACGTCAACAAAACCAATGCCCGTCATAAAAGCCCTCCCAGACACATTCAAAACACCCCTCGCACTCCCCACAAATCCAAACCCCCTCCGAAACCGCATTATAACAAGCCTCCGCAAACTCGACCAATTATCCATCCTTCAAATCCCATTTCCAACCCACGAAATCACAACCCTCGCATCCATGCGGACAGACCTCCTCACACGATGTGAAGACTGGATGCGCGGTGGACTACTCGAAACGTATTTACAAGATATCGTCGCGCACGTTGAAGGATTATTAAAGGACTTAGAGGTTTTTGCAAACAGTGTTGCGCCTGGTGGGTATCGCGTGGTTTGGGATGATATGGTGTATAGTTGGTATGTGATTCGGGCTAGTGATACTACGATACCTGTTTGGGAGCTTGTGGGTGGACCGCCTGTTGCTGCGAATGGATTTGTTATCAGTGCAGAGCCGAAAATTTATGGTGCTGATGTTGGACGTGGCGGTAATGCTGCTGGTGGTAGTACTATTAGCGGAGGAGATGAAGATGATATGGATTTAGAGTCAGGCAGTGAGACTAGTAAAGGCAGACCAGAGAAGGCTATCAAGAAAATCAAACCGAAACCGCCTTCAAAACACGTGGTATATGCCTTGTTCTTTGCACATTTTTTACTCTCGTCACTCAGTCTCTTTCAAACTCTAGAGTCAGCAAATCGATAAATGGAATGCCAAGAGCCAAGAATTGCATGATGATACTCGTGACGATATTCTCAAGGATAACAGCAAGAAGGAAGCGAATCTTCAGGAATGGGCAAGAAGGCAAACAGCATTGTGAGTTTGAAAGAACATAGCGGTGTAGTACCGTATCTTTTGGTTCTCACAATCCAAAATGGTTTCATGATAGAGATCCAGACAATCCAAACTTTGCTCCAGTTGGCAAACGCAAAACATAGAGAAGACGTCTTTTGCTTTGCTTCTTGTTCAAACTCTTGTTTTTAAATTATCATTTATTACAAAATACACAGGAGAGATGACGACATGTACATTGGCCTGTCACGAGTTCTGCCCGAATATATCATCCAGTTCCAATCCAAATCCAAACGCAGGTTTCGCATTCCCATTTGTATTCTGCATCAGCAGTTGCATGGCATCTTCGTCATCATCACCAAACTCCATTAATGGTGAATCAGCGTGATTCAACCCCTCTGTTGCTGCTGGTGTGTCAAATCCAACTTCACTAGTCAGATCTACTATATTTCTTGTACTAGGAGGAATAAGAGGTGGGTTGATGGGAGTGCTGCGTCCGTGTTTGCTACTATCACGATCTGTATTCTCATCTTCAACGGCAGTGTCTTCTGGAGATTCGTCGTCTTCTGGTCCAGGTACATAATCCTAAAGTTGTTAAGGGGGGGTTGATATAAGAATGGAGCCTCCATCAGTGTGCTCATTGCTATTTTTGAATGATCGAGAAGCAAAAAAGTCAAAGTAAACAGAATGCACACCTCATCTTGAGGATCATCCATATCAGCGGACTCATCACCAAAGCCATTCCCGCTATTGCTACCAATCCCACTACCACCAACCAACCCTTTCCTATCCCCAGCACCTCCACCATCCAAATTCATATCCTCATCATCTTTCACATTCCTCAAACTCCTCAACTCGAACGATATAGTTCCAGGCCCCTTAATCATTCTCTTGGTCAGCTCTCTCGTGGCATCATCCTCCGCAACAGTCGGTAACGGATTTAAATGTGGTGGATTCGGGAATGCAGGATCTGATTTCGTTTGAGGGAGTACGAACGGTTGGACTGGTGTATATGTTGATGGGTTTAGTTGATTTGTTGGGTTTGGGTCTCGGACCATGGCTGGTGGGTCTATTGTTGTCAGGATTGCTTCGGTTGTTACGCCTGATACTGGGTTGCTTGTTGATGCTTTGGGTTGTGATGGTTGTTGTGGTGGTATTGGTTGTGGTTGTTTTGGCACGTTTTTCAGTTTTTCTGGATATTCTATTGGCGATAGGTCTGGTACCGTGACGCCCTGTGGAGGTACATGTTTGCTCTGTGACGAAGAATTGGGATCAGTAAGAATAGCGCGAGCGTCACCAACAGTACGTTAGGAGATTTAGTATTTACATCCAAGAAATCCTGTGCAGATATCAAATAAGCGATATTTGATTGTAATCGAGCCTGATACCTAGATATGATACGAAGAGCGATGAGCAGTTGACGTTAAGCTGGAGGTTTATTGTCAGTTCGTTTTTGCTCACATCTTGAACTCTTGTTCTTGAAACCATCCAAAGTTCTGATAATCAATCAAGATCTTGATCAACTGCTTATTGATATCCAGCACCTGAGGACATTATGTTCTGTCGTTAGTTTACAAAATCGTGTGAACAAAACGAGATGGATGCTTACCGTTTGAATAGTAGAATGATTAAACTCTGGAATGGCCACTAGAGGACGAGTATTCCAACCAGGAGGTTTTCTTTCAGCAGCCTTCTTTTCAGCAGCAGTAGGAGGACCTGCTGAACTTTGCACTGTTGACTTTACAGATGAAGCGTGAGGCTTGTACATATCTCCCGATGGAGGAGCCTACATAAAATTGGTAAAAATTGAGTTTTAAAGCGAGATATCTAGACGTTCAATGGATCTGTCGCCAGATCCATAACACAAGAGAGTTAACTTCCAAACACCCTCTCCACCAACCAAACCAATTACACATTCAATGGATTTACCATTGGTTTAGTCTGCATCCCACCAGGCAATTGACTACTATTCATCATAGCAGAAGCAATTGTGGTTGGTTGTTGCAGCTGCAAATGTCCAGCTTGAGCAGGTATTTGAGATTGACCAGGACGTGGAGGTACTTGGAATGCGATCTGGCCCGATGAATGAGATGATGGCCGAACAGGCTGTTGGTGCTGTTGTTGTGATGGTATAGATGTATTTGCTGCTGTTGGTGCTGGTGAATATGGTTGTGTTTGAGGAGACGATGCTCCTGTTGCGGACGGAGGTTGAACGGTAAAGAAGCTCATGTCTGCAATCTGGATCTACCTAATCCACGTTCCTTCTCCTTGTTCGGTTGTCTGGCTGCATTAATATGAAAGTCCAATGTTCTTCCAGTTGGCGAAGCACCGACTTTTTGAGATCGCAACGGGAAAAACGGTTAGTACGCATTCTGTAAGCCTACATCAACTCGAAAATGAAGGGGATTTTTCTTTTACGAAGCTACTATACTACAAAAAACAAGGACTATATTATGATGAACGCCTACACAACCAAAAAGGGATATTAGAACAAATCGAGTATTCCGGGTGAGACCATCAATCCACTTACTTGCTCTCAGGTGTTGGGAACTTGGTAGGACTCTCAATACTCGACAATATACTATACGCAATCAACAAGAATCCAACCAACACGATGAGCACTGCAATTCCATGGAATGTGCCAGTAGTGAAGAAGACATATTTCTGAGCAACTGGCAACTTGCTCCAAGGAGTAGTTGCTTGTCGGAATACAGGTCTAGTAGGACCCGTCATGTATAACACGTAATCTTTGCTGATACTGTCGAGACGGGCTAGTAGATTGGTCATGTCTGATTCCGAGATTGCAGTGTTTGAGTTTAAGAGTATCAAGTTGTTTGTTTGTTGTGGGAGATCCCATGTTTGTGAATCTGTGTAGAGTGCAAGTGATATGTTTGGTCAGATTCCTTCGATGCAAGCCAACCCAACACACATACCTAGAGATTGTGAAGATGTAGATAATCCACATTGTCCTTGTACGATGGTAACCAGATCTCCAGAAGTATATGGAATATAGAGCGCTGTTGTCTCATTATCTGCAAATGACTTTGGGTGGAGGAGAGAGGGCAAAAGAATGAGCATCCTATGAAAGCAAAAACAGGCTCTAAGAGTTCAGCCGGATTGGGTTGCTCACCATTTTGCTCAACTGGATAAATAACAGCTGGTTAGTTCAACGAACCCCTGAATGGTTGAATATGTTTAATGTTTACCTGCGATACGGACATGACGACAGTTAAATCATGACATGGTAGCGAGTCCAGCGAATCATATATAATTTCGTTTCGTTGAATATCTCTACATAATGAACGGGTCAAAGCAATGTACATGAAAAGCAGGAGAACTTGTATTTGATTACCTGAATGCACTCTTTGCCATCAGCGGATAAGTTCCTTGGAAGGCTCTGCATGACTGGACGAGTACTGTGCAAAGTATAAAAATATAGCCCTTCATAGTGTACTATCGCTGTATGAGTATTGTTGACAACTTGGACTTTTCGAAAATTACGACCACCGTGCAATGGCCACGGGCATGATTCTCGCGTTTACTAAAACTTACACCGAATCTTTACAAATATTTCTAAGCGCTGAACGACGTGATTCCCTCAGATTTGATGTGTGAGTTCTTGTCTTGCTCCCAACTTCGTATCAGCACATTGCCGTCAATAGCAGCCATGGACAGGAAACAGCCAAACCCATTCCTACCAAAGCAGCCCTCTGCTCGACCATATTCAATGACAGAGTCCTCATCGTCCTCTTCATATACCTCTTCAAATCAATACCACAAGCCCCTGCCGCCATCCTATCAACAGACGCAATATGACGACCATGACGATTACGAGGATCTCAAGTCTGCAACTAGGAATACTCAGGATCGATCGTTAGAGACGTCTGAGAGAGCTCTGCGAATAAGTAGGCAAGCGGAAACTGTTGCTGCTCAGAACTTGACATCGCTGTACGCTCAAGGAGGTAATGTGGCTTATTTTGTTGTCTATCGTTGGAGGAAGAATTCAAGCTGTTTCAAGTGCATTGTGTCGCTGTCTGCATCGAGATATGCGTTTGGCACTTGACAGTTGCATCTGCCAACGACAAGCAGACAATGAAGACCTAATCCAATGACCTGTCCCACAAACATTCACAACACTGCCTAACAATCATCTATCTCTCCACCACTTTACGAATAGAACAACTCGGGCGTGTCGACAACCAACTCGACTACATACATGACAAGGCAAACGAATCAAACCTCGTCGTAAACCAGCTCCACCGCCTCAAAAAGTCCATCTTCAACCCTCTCTCATACATACCAGGCTGGAACGAAGGGGAGCAAATCCACGTCAAACCATCAAACAATACCACTCGGCCCCCAAAGCCTGAACCATCATCTCGACCACAAACCTGGGCTCATGACTTTGATACTGGCAATAACAATAGTAGAACAGGAGGACTAACAGGCTACGTGGACAATGACCCACATTCGCTCGTCGTAGAATCAAAGATCAATCACCACGTCAACGAAATCGGGTCTTCTGTATCACGACTGAAAGCCATGGCACAAGCTACGCATGATGAATTGGTGAGACAGAATGAGGCGTTGAGTCCTATTGAGAGGAAAACGGACGATAGAACGGCACAGATAAATAAGCTTTCTGGGAAGGTGAATCATATGATACTCAAGAGGTAGTAAGATGTGGAAGGTCAATGTTGGTTTGCTGCTACATTCGTTCAAAGAGGATTATATGATGTTGTGTATATAAGGTATATCTAGAAGAGGCAGAACATAATATTCTTATAGAATGGTCTGCGTCCATCGAAAATAAAACATGCTGCTACAGACAGATGTTTCCGTCCTTTCTAATAGTCGGCACTAAAGGTTAGCGTTAGCGAAGGGGCTGTTTCAGTTACAGCATATTCAACAGCACGTCCGGACCAAAACTTCGCTTTGGCAAATTGTCCCCGAAAAAGGCATGTTCTCTCATGCACATACAATAAATTCAAATCAGCGACGAAACTTATAGGAAGGATCTCTTCACTCTCGCAGAGTGATACACTAGTTGTATCTCTGAGGCTCAGTGCTTTGCGTCCACTTCCGTCAGCAAAACATCGCTCACATTGCCGCCTACCAAAACAACTCAACGATGGACAAGATGCGAGCAGCTCTTCTCTCTCGTAAAGAGCCATCTGCATCAACACCTTCTCCTCCTCCTACATCATCAAACCAGCAGTTCTCCAACGATGATATTGTTGTTGCTGAGACCAACAATTACAGACCGATACTCGCAACGTCCAAGCCCGTGCTAAGCCCGTAGTCTCAATCATCTGAAGCTGCGTTGAGAAGGATTAGACAGGATTATGCTGTTGATCGCAGCGTCGCATTTGACGAAAGTGGATGTACAAAGGAGGAATGAATGGAATTTTGATGATCCGTTGTTAGCTCGTTGTTATTTTGTGCTTGTGGTGCTGCACGCGGATTATGTTTCCATGTTTCTTTCATGAAACGTTGTATTGGACACTTTATATTTGTGTCGCACTCTTCGCCAAGCAGACATACACATTATTTAATCGGTACTAATCCAAACTCCCAAACTTCTTTCAAACAGCATTTGGAAATATGTTTCCAACACTCTCCTTCACTTTCTCTAAAATCCCGTCACAGAACGCCTTTCTCGCGTGGCCAACGAGCTCGACTACATAAAACCCAAAACCACAGAGGCAGACCAAACCGCAAATCAGCTCGGCCGGCTCCGGAAATCCATCTACAACCCACTCTCATACACACGGGGCTTCAGCGAGGGTAAACCCATCAAAGTCAACCCATCAAAGGATAGGAGCATCCGGCCAACGCTTAGATCACAAGCATCCCGGCCTGGAATGAGATCAGTACCTGATAACGGTGCTGGGAAACAGAGGGTCGATGGTATGCTTGGTGCAGCAGTCAGTTTGCCTGGTGATGAACGCTTTGCGGCAGTTGAATCAAAGCTTCAAGATAACGTAAACGAAATTGAGTCTGGAGGGTCGAGATTAAAGGCAATGGCACAGGCTACTCTTGATCCAGCTGTTGGACAAAAGAAACCGATGGAGGATATTGGTGTTAAAATGGATGAGAGGAGGGAGGCACTGGCGAACCCTACGCAAACGATTTGACCAGCAGAAAAGGTAAGAGACACAAACTTGTTGTCATTTATCAGCGGCATAAAGAACAAGAAAGGGTTTTAACCAATCTTCGTTTGTGCCAGGTGGAGAGTGAGACTTTCAGAGATTCCGTTTTTATACAAGAGGTGAAAATCTTACAAAGGAGGTTATACTACTTATACTATAAATAAAAGAATCTTGGTGTATCTGTTGCAGCTAAAATGTTCGTTTTTTTAATTTGGGTATCTCCAAGGATTTGGGCCATTTGAGTAAGTACGATGGTATCATCGATGAGCGACAAAAAAATTCTGGTAGTGTCAAAGCCGCATCAATTCCCTTGCATCCCCACAATCCTAACCTGACTCACATCCCCACCAACCTCCTCCAACAAGACCACGTTCACAACACTCTGATTCGTACTCCCTCCGCCAGGATACAACCACGACGCGGGCACGTGATAATACCTCTGACTAGCATACCCACATCCAACACGACACACCTGATTCGAATACGTTTGTGTATAGTCACATACTGGCGCCGTCCCTACTGGCACACATGACGGGTATGTGTCGTATGAAGTCACGTTAGTGGCGAGCTGTGACCAGTATCGTCCTATATTATATCCGTTTACGTAGGCTACACCGCGTTTCATGGAGGCCAAGTCCAGGACGTAGGTTGTGAGGTTTGTTGAGAGTGTTGGTGTTATTTGTGGGTAGAAGGAGGTTATTGGGAAGGTAAGTTTGTACCATGTTAGTGGGAGGCTAGGAATTACGGTGCTGTTTGTGAGTGGTTTAGTCCATGGAGCAGTTGTGTTTGTGGGAAACTATTTGTTGAAATGTCGAGTTCAGTAAGTTTTTGGACCATGGAACAAGCAAAAAGGGGTTTGGTACAAAACCAGGATACATTACCTGATACTGCTCTCCTCTCAATCCAGGCCTCATATTCCATCCACAATTAGTCATATCATTACCATTCACAGTAACGCGACCCGTAATCCCTTTCGTAATAGCCTCAATGTGCTGATTATAATGCGCTATACCATCAGACACTGACAGTATCGATATAGTATGCGTCGTAGAGCTATTCAGCTGCGACACTGGGAACGTAGACGTAGTACCATTCCCAGGCAACATTCCTAGATACTGATTATCTATATATGCATATCCGAGATCTAGTGGTCCACCATCAGAGAATGAAAAGGTGATTTGACATGCTATTTTACTGCTCGTAGTGGCATCATATCGCTCCCACCACAACATATTGTCCATTGTTGATGTAGTGTTGTCACGCTTCCTTTTCGATGTGGCACTGCTACATCCAGATATCGTGACTCCAGAGCACACATACCACATATAATCCGTCGTATCATTCGTAATCAGGAATTGATTTATCGGGTTTGCTGAATACACTGCTGCTGAATCCACAGTTGCTTTACCAACCGGTTCACTGATATAGGATATATTGGTTGGTGCAACTGTAATGTTATAGCTTGATATCTGTTGCCATTTCACAGAGCTGGTTACTACTGGCAGTGTTGCGGTATTATATACGACACGAGGTACTCGTCCAGATTCCATTATGACTACTGAGACTGATTTCGGTGGCATAGTGATGTTGAGCCCGGCGTATGTTATAGTGTCTGCTGCATTGGTGTTTAGATTACTGCAAAATAGTAATTGGGTTGATGTCGCGAGTCCATACAAGTGCAGTTCCTAAATTCGTGGTTTTGGGAGTGGTTTGTCAGCAGAAAAAACTTACTCTCCGGGGGATAATCTCGACTGAACAGCAAGCATACCACGTCACCGACTTGTGAAGCTACAGGGGTATCAGTATTAACAATGACACTCTCATATTGAGCTAATACGCGATTGAGACTAGCTAAATGCGATTGCTTTGGTTCATTCGCAAATCCATATTCATTCAATGGCGCGTCGTAATCATAAGCTGTTAATAGTAATGGACCTCCTGAATGCCGAGCAAAATTGGTACCTCCATGCCACCTAAAAAGGAATGAGTAGTTGTTCAACCATCTGGAATAGCGAAAAACGCACACACTCGAACGTATCATACATGTAATAAGAAACATAAGTTCCACCCTTTGCAAAGAATCTAGCAGCGGAAAATGCTACATCCTGAGCAGGTCGAGTAGGATGTGGTTCACCCCATAACTGAAACCATGCAATCCACAATTCTGTAAACATGTCTGGTTGATTTGGGAAGATTTGTCGATGGGAATGTATCGACGAATCACAGTAAAATCCATTGCATGTGTTTATGACTGAGCGAATGTCGCCTTGGACACACATAAGCCATGGCATTTGTGGCTCAAGACTGGAAAATGATGGAAGAAAAATTAAAATTTAAGAGTCTACGTAAAATCTCGAAGCGAGAACGACCACATACTTTTGAGCCAATCGAGCTACCCAATTGATATACGGATGGCCATAAGGGAAGTTCTTCCATAGCCATGCTCCATACTCGTTCTCGATTTGCAGTAAGATGATTGGACCACCGTTTCTGTTTCGAGTACGTTTGAGTTAGATCTGACTATGAGCGAAAAAACCTTGACATAGGGAATTGTAACACGTACATCGCAAGATATGGTCGCACAGCATTCATAGCCTGAGTAGTGAAAGTTTCCATGGCATTCATCCATGGCTTATTATATGTCCTGAACTGGATTCCAGGCTTTCGTGCCAGCCACGCAGGCATTCCACCAATATTGTATTCGGCACCTAATGCGAAAAAAAGGAAAATCAGTACTCTATACTATTGAAATAAACAGGGGACGACACCGTAACTTACAAGCATAAGGACCCAGTCGAAGGTTGACCATTAAACCTGCTTGCTGAGCATATGCCAGATATCCAAGTAGATTCGCTTGGCCTAATGACCCAAATAAAGAGAAGGACTTAAAAGCTGGAGATCAAGGATATGACGATACGATGACGTTCTCGACTATACCTTGATCCCAAACAAACACTCCCTCCTGAGGCTCATGAAGGTCCCAAAACACATAGGTGTCCAATACATTCACACCGGCTGAGCGCATTTTCGTTAACAGATATGGCCATAATGCTGGTGGAGATCGTGGATAATGAATAGATCTAGGATAAAAACGTGGAATGTTTAAGGATTCATATATGCCAAAGCTTGGATTCACATATTTTGGGTGGCGAGGAAGAGAATGCGACACATACCCAGCAATAAGAAGCCTTCGTTGCTGGGCCACGATGATAGCTCTTGAATCGAAAGTAACGTTTGAAGAAATTGGCGGTATCTATGTGAAAAGGGAGTCCAAATGTTAAGGCTTTCGAATCTGGACAACCACTTTTCAGACATGAAATTTACAATCATATCAGGACCAGCCAGCTTGTTGAAGAGAAGAGAGTAGCGTAGTTGAATATCAGCAGGATTACCACCCCAAGCAATCAACAAAATAGCGAGGACTCCTATGGCGATTAATGTACATATCCCACAGCAACGATTCGTACAAAACGAGCAACATTTCCTTTTCGGCCTCGGAAACTCGAGTAAGACTTCCTCAGAGGGTGAGTTGGCCACCGGAGAATAGGAAGCCGTCCTATACTTCCAGTACGGCGACTTCTTCTCCTCCATCTCGACTTTGGAGATTCTTGGTGGGTCAAGAAGTTTTGTAGCTACCAGGAACTATGAAGCGACGGGGGCTGCAAAATGAAGCTTGCAACGTATGAAATCACGCTGATCATGGAGTTTATACCGCGAATCTACTAGACAGTTTTGATCTCGCATCGTGGGCACCAGATCACGTCACAACCGAGTAGTGTATGATTTCGTTCCTACCCCGTTCATACGCAGATTGACAGCAATAAACTGACCGCGAATGCTAGAATTCATATTGCATTATTAAGATATCGTCCATTTTGTCTCATGTTTTGATCGAGGAAGCGTTTTTCACCGGCCGCAGTGCTGACCAGCCAGTCCTCGAGCCCATATTCACTTTCTTGAACTGGGTCTCCTTCATCAGCATTGGTAGCTACTAGTGTACTCTACGAAACTATTGTGATTCAATATGGTGCCTTTTGTACAAATGACCATATGGTATCGCTACCGGTGGAGTTGGATCAAAAACATACATTGGGTATGGGACTGGTTTTGAAATACTGATGCTGTGTTGGGTGAAGACTCATTCCAACTTTTTCAGTCACAACTGATATGCTAAGAAGCGAGGCGTCGAGCGAGTTGAGATTTTCGTTTGCATCAGACATTGGAAGAGATCTCCTCAAAGCAAAACCGATACGGCCGCACCAATCTAGTACAAACCTTTCTTCCGGAAAGCTTTGCAACTCAAACCGTGATATTTGGAAGACCGACGCAAATGTCTGAAATTACACAGAATCGAGGAAAGAGGGCACAGGGAAAACGGCAAGCGTTCGTTGACATGATATTGCAACTGTTTAGCACGCCTTCATGTGCAGGAATAATGGAAAAAGTGGATGAATTCTATTCTTGGAGTTCATAGCTCATCGTAACACAATGTGTTTCGCAAATGTTTTATAGGCAACGTTGACGTGCCAGATGTATCATGAGCTTTATTATATGAAAAAGGTTTCAGTATGAGGGATTGTGTGTATGATGAGCATGAGGGGTTGTCTAGTACTCGTTTTTCGATCGCTGCAACAGTGTATAGACCGACAATTGTCTTTATTATGAAAACTCGTATAGCTTTCCGCTCTTTTCAAGTCGCGACAGTTTCTCGAGTTTATGCAATAACTGCCATGTGTTTAATGCATGATTGACTTTTGCTTTTTGTATTCTGCTTATCAAAAGGTCCTTACAACATATAATATTGCCTTCACAAATTATGCAAATTTTACATCCACGACCTCCTTGACAAGTCCTTCCAAAGTGGTCTTGTTGAATTTCCTCCTAAAGACTTTGGCACCATCTTCAGTCTCAAAGAGAATATCAGCCGCGGCATCATCCGGTCTCATTCTGAAAGCCTTCACTTTTCCACATGATAGAGCCAAGTTTTTCAAGTCATCTTCGGATACACGAGACATCTTTTGAATGACTATAGCATTTGGATCTCCTTTTAGTTGATTCCAAATGGTATCGAGAGTAAAAGCCCGTAATGGATTTGATGAAGCTGTTGCTGCTGAGGGTGCTGCTGCAGGTGGAGTAGTGACGACGGCTTGGGTTTTCATATGTGGAGTTGGTGGTGGTGGAGTTGTTGGCCGCAACATTCTTTGTTGTTGTTGGGGTGGCTGTTGCTGTTGTTGCGGTGGTTGTTGTTGCAGTTGTGGTTGTTGCTGAGGAGGCATTGCGACAGGGCGCGGAGTAACTATCATGGGTCGCATAGGTTGAGGAGGCTAAAACAGACATACATTAGACATAATGGATGTGACCGGACTGTCATGTCCGTGACGTTGACACAAGGTAGCCCCATATGGGCAACCAGATTAGCTTACATAAGGTCCGTTGTCATAGCGAGGCTGCTTGGAATATGCTACATCTTGACCTCCTTCAAATGGTCGCTTCAATGGATTGTTGAGCGTTGGATCTGGAATATGTGGTTGATGATACATCGGTTGCTGTACAAAACCTTGCATCTCATTCTACAACAAAATGGAATGAGTACAAGTATTCGACAAACAAGCGCACTGAAGATATACAGCTGTACAAAAGCCAACATTTGACTGACCCTTTGATATTGTTGATTCAAACCCATTCTTCCTTGAATGTGAACAGCTCGATATCGACGTAATTGAGTAAATAATTGATCATAAGGAGGTAGCAATCCAGCATTAGCAAACTTTGGGTTTCTATAGATAGAGAGGGTATGGAAATGTTAGCACCAAATGCTGCAAGATGTTGAATGTTTTGAGTCCATCCAAGCGTACATGTACAGTTTGCCAGGTCCAGGCCGTAGATGGAAATAAGCTCGAGGTTTGTTTGGTCTTTCTTGTCTATTATCAGAACCACCAGAAGTATCTTCGCCATTTTGTTCTTCGCCTCCTGCATTATTGTTGTCTTCCGTATTCTCGTTAAAGTCATCAATCGAGGCAAGTGCCGCTTCATTCTCATAGTCGTCATAATCTAATAATCCCTCATCGTAGCCCAGGTCGCCCATTACATAGACCGACAAGGTGCGTTCTTTGTGAGGTTTATAAGTATGAGAGCTTGGTCAGATTTTGGAAAGACGCGTTGTATGAGGCGCGCATCAACGTGATTATCACTATTCGGACATTCGGAATTTGGAGCTCAATGAAGTGTCTGACGTGCTGTCTCCGCATTAGCTCAGTTACTGATTATAAGCCTTCAACATTGGAACATTTGGTTCGTGTTTTTGTCACAAGCTCCAGCTCCGCGGATTTTTCATTATTCTTGATAAAAAATCAAAAGCGAGGTAAGAAGCATCCCTCACGGCTCCTGTCTTTGCTGGACGATCGTGCTACTGCATGGATTTCTGATCTGCCATTATTTCTGAATTTCCATTAGATGGAAGATCGTGGAGATTTGCAGTCAAAGAACAATGCATTTTTTGATGAGAGATCTCATCAATGGGACAAGCCCGAAGTAGTTGATACCGCAAACCAAGTAGCTCTGGCTATACGATCCATGTTGACACTTGAACCATCCAAAACTGAACTGTTAGGTATGAGACGTCTGTCAGCTCAAATTTACTCGTATAGCGAGAATGTCGCATACAGACGCCTTTAACCTTTCCCTCTGCTTATAGACTTTGGTTGTGGGACAGGAAACGTCACTGTCGCGTTGAGTCAGTATATCAAAGGCTCGCTGGGTATTGACGCTTCAGAAGGAATGGTTGCCCAATTTAACAAGAAATGTTCCGACAAACCTGGCTTTAGTGCTCTAGCGCTAGATATAACTACTGATGCCGGTCTTCAACGACTTAAAGACTCAAACAGAGCCTTTGATATCATCCAATCGACTCTTGTCTTCCATCACATACAAGATCTCAAACTAGTCGTTACGCGGCTCAGTCAATTCCTGAAGTCCGAAGGTGTATTGGTAGTGGCAGACCTTGAAGAGAAGGACGCCACTTCGTTCCATAGTGACCATCAGGTCAATGCAGACCTGGTAGCTCATAAACATGGCTTTACAGAGACTGACATGAGGAACTTGGCAGCTGCATCATCTATGGAGCTTGTTACATTCAAAGCAGGGTAACAAAGGTGGTTTGCGCTTCAGTCCAAGTAATCGCTTACACACTATTCTCAAATAGGGCTGCACGAATGACCAAAACAATGCACGCGGAACATCAACATGGTGGTGGTCATGAACATGGTCACCATCATCATCATGGTGCATCTCAAGAGCATGGCGAACATCATCATCATGAACCTGCTTCTACTAGTCAACCTGAAACACGTCAATTCAGTATGTTTCTTGCAGTAATGCGTGTAAAAAGACTATAATTAAGTGTTAGAGAATATGGCATTGCGTATTCTATTCCTTGTTTGGCTCATTAAAGACTTTCCCTGGTTTTTGCATAAACTTTGTTCTTGAGCAGTTCTTTTTCGTTCTAGCATCGAGACGGCACAGTACGGGACATAATCGTCGCCTCTGAGTAGATCCGGTCTGCTCTACGTGGCTACCATTTCGTCTTGTTTAAAGTCAACGACGTGATCTTTGTGTCAAGAATCAAAAGTTATAGAAATGGCAACCAAGAGCGAGGAAGGTCAAACACTGCCGCCAAACACCTTGGTAAATTCGGAAATTGCTTTATTCGTACAGATATCAGGTTAATGGCTTTTCCTTGTTTTGTATAGACATTACAATGGACATTTGGACTAACCAGCAATCCATCATGTTCAATTCATCAACTGCCACAAACCGACAAGACAAAACCGCGGAGACTGTTTTATGCTACTTCACATACTGCCCTGGTCAAATCACTGGGCGATGACAAGCAGACTCTCTTGCAAGGACATGTGAGTATATGGTGGATCTCAAAGTCACTTTCTTGGATATTGAGACATTTTTTGCTTCTATTTGCAACAGTGCCATGCCGTTACCGCAACCGCAATATCACCCTCTGGACGATTCATGGCAACAGCTGATCACGGACCTGCCTCCTTATTGGCGATTTGGGACACACAAGCTGATGAGAATGCAGATTCAGTCATACCTATACAAACGATCTTTGATTCTCATGGGGGTTGTGGAGTGTCTGCAGTTGGATTCGATGCGCAAGAAGGAAGATATGTTGCTACGTTAGGACATGGTAAAAAAAACGAAATCCTTCAAGAAAATCATGGTTGATGTCTGTCAACTTACACGTTTCCCGCTATGTAGATGAAGAGCAAACTATTTGCATATGGGATTGGACAACATCAGAGCAGCCGATAGCCACGTTTTCTGTTATAGGTCCCCGACAGGTGTGTGAATGAAGGCCAAAGTACCGGACCTGCTGTATCTAATTCAGCTGGTTTTTTTGCAGAGCGTCCTCAGATTCAACCCAACGGACAAGAATGAAATCGCCACTACCGGCAGTGGTAGCTGTAGCTTTTTCAAATGGTCTCCAACTACCGGTATAACACAATCACTGCCGGCACTGGAGTCAAGGTTTGAAAGTTTATTCAATTGAGGGTCTTGTTACTTTCTGACGTGCTTTTTGTTTCAATTTAGCACACAAGAATCGCTGGATTTCTATATACCAGGCTATGCCATAAATCCTCCAACTGCCTTGTCGGGAACGATCCACGGTCAAATAGTGCTGTGGAAGGCCGGCACGACCGATGACAGTCCAAGATCAATAGGAAAATTCGTGAAAATCCATAAGGGTTGTATAACGGGCATAGAAACACTACCAGATGGTTTGATCATCACTTCTGGATCAGAAGGATCTATACTGGTGCACGATGACAAGTTACGCGTGATATGGACACTAGATAAATTGGGATGTGGACCGATTGACTGTATATCGCTCATACCGACATCAAGTAAAATCCAAGAGCACTTTTCCCCGCAAGTAGATGAATCACTGATCCTTCGCTTTTTACTAGCCACATTGAGCGAGGTGATTTTGGCAACATCAGCAGGATATGTACATAGTCTGGATTTTGGTTCCGTCAAGACACCCTTACCTTCGAAACAACCTCCTCAACCTAAATCAACGTCAATGCAATCTTTATTAAATAATCGGGCGCCACAGCCACCACAGCTTACAGAGTTACTGAAAGGTATTGCTCGACAAGCAACTGTTGTTGCATGCTGGCCTGCTACTACAAATTTCTTTGTGGGTCATGGTGGAGCGAATGGTAGGTTTGAAGCGTGGCGAGGAGTCTTCGTTTTGCTGAAATATAGCATATTCATTTGGGATCTAAAATAACGAGTCAAAATCGTAGGAGGCGCTCAAGTGTGGGATGCATCATCCAAAAAGACACTGTGTAGCAGGACATTTGGATGCAAACCAAAGTCAAAAGATGATTCCCCCGACAAGGAAGAAGTGTCAACCGCCGCATTTTCAGCAGATGGAGCATATTTAGCTGTAGGATTTGCAAATGGAACGGTCAAGTTCTTACAACCGTCGAATCTATTGGATGCACCATCGCCATCAACATTCTCTGCATCGAAGACGCGGATTGAAAGGATGAGTTTTGCACCGGATGGTAGCTATTTCGCGCTAGTGGATATGTCATTCGCAGTTGCTCTTTTCAAGAAATTGGATGGTGGTAATGGATGGGAGTTGCTGGGGCGATGTAGAGCGCATACCAAACCGATAGTTGGGCTAGTTTTCGTTCCCGGTAGTTCATCACCGAGACTCTTGTCTGTTGGCTCGGATCGCTTCTTGGCCGAGTATGATGTTGCTCAGAGCACTGTTTCGAGTGGGTTGCGTCTAAGTGTAAGCATTTGGCTCTTTTAATCACCTTTTTTTTCGTGAGCTTGTCGATGAATTGATGCAAACACGCTTCTTGACTTAGCAACTGTTTCGAATTGAACAAACAGCTCGACCAACTGCCGTTACAGTATTACCGGATTTGCATGATCCAGCCGGACTCCCAAGATTATTGGTTGCTACTGATGCTCATAAGTTACGGGTATTGGATATTGAGGGCCATGCTTGGAGGAGAACAGTGCTTGGCCCTCCTATACCCGGACGTGTAGTTTGGTAAATTTTCGGGTTTTTGGTTGTCGTACTGTGTTGGAATTGGTAGACTCATTTGATTATACGTCAAGGTTGGAATTATTGCCTCCAGTACAGGGCACAACAGCTCGCTACCTCATATTCAGATCTGATGAAAAGGTGAGTATCTTAAATGCTTTCGAAATGACCGTCTTGGTATTCACGCTCTACAACATGGGCTTGTTTTCTTTCTTTAGTACATTGGCATCATAAAAGTGCCACTAGACGGAAATCCATATCGCAGTGCTACAGTGCTAGCCCATCCGTCTAGATTAGCATCATGTGCAGTCTCTGGTGATGGGACACGAGTTCTGACTTGTGGCCTGGACGATGATGCCGTCCATTTATGGAAGATTGACTATGCAGCACTTGAATTACGAGCTGTGTCTGGAGGAACTGGTGTATACCCTTTCCTGGAGTTGGTTGATACGACTCCAGATGCTCGGGAAGATTTTGTCAAGGAAGCTGAGGACTTCTTTTATTATTGTCAAATACTTGAGTTAGTACCCCCGATTTGAGCTTCATTTATCTTGATTTTGAATATTAATTCTCTGAATTCCTAATAATAGGCAAGGCGAAGACACAGCAGAGAAGCGCCAGGTGTCTGATCGATTGGCTTTAAGACAAGTTCCCAACTTCATGAGAGCACTTGGATACTATCCTTCCGAGCAAGATTGTGAAGATTTGATACGTGAAATCCAATTTGGAGATTTGGAGTATGGTGGACAAGTTAAGGATGGTGTCACTTTGCCTGATCTGATTCGATGTAAGTCTGTGATGTAACTGGGGTTTTTTGTTCGCACATGTAAACGTGGGAAGCTCATTTCTTTTGTCTTGTTTAATTTTAGTGTTTGTCAACTACAGAGCCGTGGCGGAAGTAGATGAATCTCAGTTACATTCTGCGCTTAAAACATCTACTAGTGTGCTAGACGCTGATCTTGCTGACGAGGACGCTGATGATGCCGTCATAACAAGGAATGCACTAGTTTCGTTACTACAGAAGCATGGTATGTATTAGAATGACTTCTGGATTCTGGAGTCTTAGGAGAATCTTCTTAACCTTTTTTTTGTGTGTATAGGTGAAGTGGTTACCAGGCAGGAACTGGACGATGCTATAGACAGTCTAGCTATATCAGATCCTGAACTGAATAAGGCAACCAAATGGACTCGTGATCAGTTCATTGAGAAGATCCTTGGGATGGAGCGAGCAATCTGAGTTTGTAAAAACAGTAATGGAGACGCAATGTATATAATGGATTCGAAGAGTATATATAGACGTGCGATTTACGCAAAAACGATCTTTGATGGGAATTGTTTGGAATCCGGATATTGGGCATGGATTCGATTCGCTCCCCCAATAACTGCGCTGGCGAGAAAGTGATATAGTGTACTCGATTGAAGCACTGTAGTCATTAGAAAACTGCTTACTCCCGAAGGACGTCGTTCGACACGTAGCAAATCCGTTGTTGGAGTAGGAGCGGAGTGTTGCTCGTCACAGCCATATTTTACTTTCAAAAAAAGGTCGAAACTTGTTAGGAGTCTCACCAGGTTTTGTTTGTTTCGCAAAAGGAAGGTTGGGACAGGTTGGTTGGTGACAATTACCGAGCTGGTTAGTACCTTCCTGTGCATTGGATCCTACAGTTTAACTGATTCTTAAAATCCCACACAGTAATGGATTGGTTGTCTGATAATGTTTCAACGACTGGAGCAATAAAGCCATTACAGCCCAATATGGCTCGCCCAATAACACCATCCACAACGCCAAATCATTATAATCACCAGCACGACAACCTGTTATCATTGCAAAATCGCATGCAAAATCAAAGCTCAGGACCCCTTACCACAGGCAACTCGCTAAACGCAATCTCGAAAGCTAATGCTGCTTTCGACAATCTCGTGTCGTTTGGGAATAGTGCAAACAATGTCAAGCCTGCCGGTGGTGCAGCTCCGTTTGCCCAGCCTGCTCCTGTGATATCTAGTCAGAGTGCTCTATTTGCTAATGTCAGGCCATCTGTGAGTTTGGAAGACCAGAGGAGGCTGCAGCAGCAGAGTACTCCTAGCAAACCTGTTGGAAATACAGATGCGTGGGCTGCATTTCCTCCTGTAGCTCAGCAGTTTGGTCTAAATAGTCGTAGTAATAATAACACAAACACACAGTCATCATACCAACCCATAAATTCAACGCCGACAATGTCCAGCAATTATTCCTCGATACCTGTATTTTCAAGTAATACGACCTCACCCAGTTTTGGGTTTCAGTCACCATCGATGACTGCAACACCGTTACAGCAACCCATGTTTCCAGCTACGCCTATAGTGCCTCAGCAACAGCAGCAGAAAAGGACACCATCACCTAATCCTAAAGATGCTTTTGGAGATTTGTTGGGTGCGTCGCCATTAGCTGGATTTGGAGCTAGAAAGCCGAATGGTATACCACAACAGCAGCAACAACCTTCGTATTCACCCCTATCGTCAAACTCGGGCAATGCGTCCAATATAACGCCGACAACAGCAACAACAAGTACATATACTCCTATAAATAGTTCGAAGACTTCGCCTACGAATCTGGGCTTGGCTCCTCCAATAAAGTCAACTAGCCCGTCACCGCAACCCACTCCACCTTCTCATGTGCCGATAATACCAATGGCTTCAATGATGCAGCCGAGTATAGTGCCCGGTATGGCCGTCCCCCCGGCAGTAATAAATAGTAACGGAACAGATACTACTCCTGGTGGCGGAACTTGGGATTGGGATTTTTTAGCTCAACCAAAACCTATACCATCATCATCTATATCAACTCCAGTGCCTCTTTCACCAAGTCAGACAGTCTTGCAGAACAATGATGATGATCCTTTCGATGTAGAGTTTTTGGGTAAGGCTAGTAGTGTTGTGGGAGCAAAGAGTGAGAGACAGGATAGTAATCCGTTAGGTATATTGGCTCAACCGAGTCCTGTTATACCAGAGACATCAACCCCACCACCGCAGAGGCATTCGATTTCAATAGAGCCTGCTTCACCCACTTCTCCAACATCACCAATGTCACAAACCAGCAGGTTTATGGATAAGGATCATGCGCTAGCTATTGTTATGGGCACTGGCTACGAACACGTGGAAGCTGAGAACGCACTACAGGCTTCAGGGGGTGATCCCACCCTCGCAATAGAAATGCTGATACATCAAAAGAAGGTGCAAGAAATGATCGCTCAGTCTTCGAAAGATGCTCAGCTTGCCAAGAAAGTAGCTGCTGCAGAGAAGAGAAACTCAAGGAGTAACAAGGGCAAGGATGTAGAATCAGATAAGAAGGCTTCTGCGTCAAGGAAACAAGCAGAAGATCAAGATGAAGACAGTGATAATGATGTGATGGTACGACGTAAGCCCATATCAAAAGTCAGCATGTACGATCCAGATGATATGCTGCGGAATGTGTCGAACAAGAATTTAATACCTGAAGCTCCGACTCCGTCATCGCCTCCTATTATCCATGCCCCTGCATCTCCACAAGTAGAGCAACCAACTCCTGAAAAGTCGCCTAATATGAGTGCACCATCTAGCTTCATGTCATCCTTGTGGGGAAAGAAGAAGACTGTCCCACAAGCACCACAGCATGCACCCGATACTCCAACGACAAGTACTCCTGGTGAACCCGAGAAACCAAAGACATCAGATGCTGTCGAAATGGATGCTATAGAAGCAACAGTAAGTCGAGGACTAGGAATCATGTCATCGATATTTACAAGTCGTGCTGCGACTATACTCCCTCGCGGTAAACAGCCTAGAATAGATGGAAGTAACGGCGATGATCCGGATTATGTCGAATGGGGTGATATGGTGCCGTATAAGGATGATTCGGATGAGGATGAGTGGGAGCAGCCTCCTCCTGAAGCAGGTCGTGCCCCTCCTCAACGAGAGGTGGCTGCTGCCAAGCCTGTTAAGAGTAGCATAAATGTTGCGCCCAAAGGGATAGAAGGTCCTGCTATAAATGCAAATGTCAGACCTTCAGCTGGGTCGTCGTCTCCGCCACGTTCTCAACCAGCAGTAGCTCAGGCCGTATTTACATCTCAACAGACAATAGCGTCTTCATCCTTGTTTGCAGCCCAAACTACAGTAGTCATAGCAACGACCGGTCCTGTCGCCCCAGTTATACCACCTCAGCCTGTTAAACCATCTAAACCAGTAGTAACAGCCTCACCACAACAGATAGCCACGTCAGACTCATTCAGAGAAAAGGGCAATGCCTTATTCAAACAGGGTCAATTTGGAGATGCAGAGATTGAATACACCCAAGCAATAACAGCCCTGCCAGCCGGCCATCTCAACCTCATAGCAGTCTTTAATAATCGTGCAGCAGCTCGTCTGAAAACAGGTCAATTTAAAGAGGCAATTGAAGATGCTACAGCCGTCCTAGCTATCGACGATCGAGATTGTAAAAGCTTGTTACGACGAGCTTCCGCTTACGAAGCCATTGAACGATGGGCTGATGCACGAGAAGATTATAAAACGATTATGGGTATTGATACAAGTGTAAAGGGTGTGTCTGCTGGTTTGTCTCGGTGTCAAAAGGCTATGGACATGCATCAACGTGGTGATTCTGGTAGTGGTAGTGTAGTAGAACAACAGCAATCGTCACCATTGCAAAGATCGTCGTCTCCTCAACAGCTCAAACCTCGATCTCCGCCACCTCAGCAATCATCGTCTTCGGCATTTGCATTTGCTGAATTCGAGGCTCCGTTGCAGAAGCCATCTGCTTCTTCTGGGAATAATGATTTTGGAATGTTTAGTGGCGGTAGTGCCTCTTCGTCGGACAAGTGAGTGAGGCCAATTTGGAAACTTTATCAATTTGCAACAAAAGCAGCTTGTTTGTTTTCGAATGGATTGGATCTCACACAATCACACTCTTTTTCAGACCTACGCATCCGCACGTCGAAAGGGCTGTAAAGATGGCTGTAGATTCGTTACGACAAGCTAATCAACAAGCTGAAGCTGATGATGCTATGAAGCTGGCGCTCAAGGATCAAATTGACTTCAAGGTATGCATTCTGTCTATAGTACGGTTTTTTGTGGCGCTGGTATTCAACCAACCTCAACCCATCTATCTCTCAAAGATCAATCAATGGCGACATGGCAAAGAAGCTAATCTGCGAGCACTTTTGGCTTCCATGGAGACTGTTTTGTGGAAGGACAGTAAGAACGCATGGCAGGCTATACAGATGTCTGAATTGATTACACCACAGCAAGTCAAAGTCAAGTATATGAAGGCTGTATCTCGGGTTCATCCCGACAAGGCAAGCGTTTGAATCTTTCTTTACAATTTGGTTGCATTAGAAATGATTCTTGATCCCTTTTGTTGTCGTTGCTCACGCTCTTCTCGTTCTAGTTGGCTCGAGATTCTCCTCTAGAACAACAGCTTTTTGCCAACGCGATCTTTTCCACTCTGAATAAGGCATGGGATTCGTTTCGCAGCCAAAATGGGATGTGATCCCAATCATTAATTCTTGTACAAAAGAGCAACAACCTATCTTGTTTTTGGGGATTGCATCATCATTCTTTTCCTTTTAACATAAATTTTTATAAGAGCATCTATACAAAATAATGGTTGTGGGTTTTGCAATGATGTTATATGGGTAGTTCCTTGTTTTTGATCAACTGCGAGAGCTCCATGTAAAACCTATGTAATGGAAACCCAACCATGTTATAGTAGCATCCGTTTATGGATTCGACTAGTATGCCAGCTAGAGATTGATATCCATCTACGACGGGCAAAAGAAATCGTCGAGTAAATTCAAAGCATGGGATCGTCTCACCTTCCAACCGTTCAACTTACAGCTTCCTGCCTTGTCCATAGGATCACCCGTTGCAACATACGATTCAATCATGTCATCATCAATGTCTTTCCCAAACGTAACACCCGTAGACTCGACAAAGCTCTTAATCACCAGTTGTGATGGTTCTGTTTTACTTGGGTATGCTAACACGACTGCAGTTAGTACCTCATGAGGAGCACCTCGCAGTCTCTTCAATGTAGATATTGCGTCTTGTACCGAGGCCGGCTTTTCGAGAATGTCGGTACCACAGACAACGATAGTGTCTGCGCCGATTACGAGGTGTGGAGGAGGGTTGGATGCGGTGGTTTGTGTGTCGTATACCTATTTGAGACGTGAATTGGAGAACTGGAGTTTTAGACGTGGAGACGCATGTTTTGACAAACATATTGTATGGTTGAATTTGTTTTTGCTCTCACCTCTCTAGTCTTTGCTTCAGCAGTATCGCGTACATATTCAGATGGAGTTCGGGACGTTTGATTCAAGAGTTCTGGGAATGTGGATGGGATTACTTGGAATTTCAGTCCCTTGTAAAATGTATGTTGTTAGCTTGATGCAAAGCAAGCGTTTGAAGGGATATAACTACCAATTTTGTGAGGATTTCCTTCCTTCGTGGTGATGCAGAGGCTAGAATTACGTTTAGATTGTTTAGTTTCTTGATGGTGTCTAGTTCCAAGCTCATTTTACAGTTTCAAGTTTTGTTGGAGCGACAGCAGCGTGTTAGCAAGCTCCATGAAGCACACTGTATCTACATTAAAGAAGGTGCGTATCCTAATATATAGCGCGTCAAAACGCGTAAATGTTGTATAGTTGAGCAGTTGCGACTTCCTGGAGACTCGGTTCATACCACTACTCGAAACTTCAAAAAAATCACGAGTTGGGAGCCAAAAAGCAAAACAACAAATACAAGAAGGATGCTTGCTTCAGAAGAAAGAGACTCTAGCCATGTGCCACGTGAAGGTACACGAACTACTGCATCGCTTCGTCTTTCCTTGTACTAACGCACATATCCAAACATTTACAGAATTGGCCATCCAACAATCACTACTCGATTTCCGCAAGCAACTGTTGCAAGCCAAGCATAACAAAACCGTCAAAACTATTCAAGACCTCGAGACTTCTTGTGAATCACTTGGAGAGGTGTCGCATCGTATTGCATAATTTATGTCTTCGGTGTTTGGAAGCTAAATGACTCATTATGTTAGCTTATGGACAATCTACGTCTTGTAAGGGAAAGAGAAGAGCACTTGCGAGAACGAAATCGTGTTGATAAGCTCGTTGATGGTACGTATTGCTTTTGTGCTGCTTGTTGCAAGGTCTGAACGGTGTGAAGTACTGACGCACATGTGATAAACGGCGTTCGCTTCAATGAAGGTCACCGTTCACGTGCTGCTTTGCCATTTTAACGTACATATTAAACACAACTTTACCACTGTCAACGTGCAGCTTTACCGTTTCGACATACATTCAAACAACATCTTCACCTTTTCTTCTAGATATCTGGCTCATTCTCTTCCAACTTTGGGGAAATGTATCTTCTATCGACGAATGCTTGTATCAGGTCTACACCGAACTCTGTGGTATCTTGGAACAGCTCGAAATCTTGTCGAAACGTGGTGTATATGATCCCGATACCATTCGACCACTCCAAGAGCGTGCACATGCTATTGAGAACAAGCATTCTGATGGTGCTGGACGATGGTTCGATCCCTTGAAGCCTCGTGATCAGCAACCTGGATATCTGGTTCCAATGGGTCAAGCTGTGTTGTCTTCTACCCTCAACAAGATTATTCGCATGCAAGTGCAAAGACCTGTTGTCTGTCAAATAAGAAGCTCATCTGCGATCTTTCTTTTTCCAAACAGGGCTCATCAAATGATCACAACATATGAAAACATTGACGAATCCTTACGCCCACTCATGAAACGTCTGGAAGAATTGTCGTCTCGTGTCTCTGAACTCGAAAACAAGGATCAAGTCTCGGCTACTAATGTTGCACCATTGCAAGCGCAATTGGATAACATCGAGCTGGCCAAGGTCAGGGGTGCGTATTGGGGTGAGGGTGGTGCTAGAGACGGACTGGATCCACCTTCTGGTCAAACGGTTATTCAGCTTGCTGTTGAAAAGTAAGTTTCATAGTTTGACAACGATGTTGGATTTTTGGATTTGTCAGCTTAGTACTATGGACGTAGGTTGTATGATCGTCTACGATGGCTGTTGATGTCCTCAGAGCATATCGATACCAGTAAGCCAGCTGTGATAGGATTTTGTTGTTGATCATGCTGACCTCACCCAATCCTACGTTTTAGGCTTGTACCCTCTCTATGAATCATTGTTGTCCATGAAGTAAAACTACCTAATTCTTTATATTTCTCAATCGGATTTTTTTCTCACTCCCCAACTCTCAACTCTACTAGACGTGAATTGGAAACAACCATGACAGAAGACCACCCAGATGTCCAAAAAATGGCCCAACACTTGTCTTCTTTGGAAAAGTCATGGCTACACAATGGGAAATTCAAGGCCTCGTCAAATCTCGATGCACCAACAGATGCTCGTACTCAGATGCTCTTGCATTTGATGGCAGCTCATATCCACCATCGCTTGTTTTTCTTGTCGCTACGACAAGAGAATATCGATGCGTCATTGTCTCAAACTTCTGAGGATATTGGAGAGATTTGGTATGTGCGCATTGACTTCTTCTGCTTTCCGCTTTTTTGCTTACTGATTGTCGTCACAAATCCACATAGGGTGAAACTCCGAGATCTACAATTAAAACGCCCACTCACATTCAAAGACACTGAAGACGCCGCCTTCACAACAGACGACTTGAAAGCCCTTGATCTCAGTCTATCAAAGATTGCTACGCGTCGAGACCAAAATGGTGCATGGTGGCCAAAGGAAATGTCTGGAGTCGAGATTCATCAGGCTTTGGTTGAATCTCGTCCCGTGCCATCAGGTCAATTCCCAATCACACAATTGTGGTCGGAATGTAGGTTCCGTATTAATGCACTTCGATCTCGCTTTGATATGTAAAGATGGACGGAAGGGTATGGCGTCGAGTGTTGGTAGTGATGCATGATAAGCAACAATGAAAATAAATAGCTCAATATTGTAAGAAGTCTCCTTGTGTATGTTGTTGTTTCTGTTGTTCTTTGCGACCGTGTTGGCCCAATGCCAAGTGTTGCACAGTTTCCATTATTACTATTAACTTTGTATATAGTTCACAAATTATAATATACAAATAAGCTGCTAAATATTACTTATGTGGCTCTTGACACAGCATTTGCCAAAGTCTGAGCAGTCTTTTCAATACTCTCTCGAGTCTTGGCCTTCATCATCTTGAGCTCTTCCTCAACAGCCGAATGATGTGCCAATATCTTTGCTTCTTCTGCTCGTGCATCAGCGTCTGCTGACGATGGTGTCATATTTTGTAATTCTAATGAGGGTTCTTCTTCGTCAATGAGTGTCAGTGTTGATTGATTGTTATTAACGTTGTGGGGGTTGACATGGGTGTTATTAGTGGCGTTACTAGCACTGCTAGTAGTATTTCCGGTATTATAAAAGTCTTTGAGTGTTGTCGCCGTGTTGCGTAAGGACTCCAAAGACTTTTTACGTATCTGGGATATCTCCTGCTCTATTTTAAACTCTTCTCCTGAGTAAAAGTTGCCTTCTCCTGCATAAAAGTCACCTAAATACCCAAAAGACTCTTTTGAGAATCTTAGCGTGTCGAAATTACTGCCATCACTGTTATAGGCTGGGTAACTGCTAGCTGGTATCGGGTAGTCATCAGGGATTTGATGGGTATAGCTGTTGGTGCTGATACCGTTTACATTCAGAGATGGAAGCTGGTATGTTTCGATTTGGTAAACAGGTTTGCTGTATAGATGTGTCTCTACGGGGGCGTATTCAGCACTTTCTGCGTATACCCGTTCAATGGTGTGTTCTTCTTCGACTGTTTCCAAGTAATGGTCGTTCATCATGGGATCAGTTTGGATTGAGATTGTGGTTTGTGGAAGAGGCTCGGTGAGGACGTATTGATCGAATGTCTATGACAAGGGTGAGTCATAATTCAATATTTTCAGCTTGAAAACAAGTCTAAAAAACAATGGGAAAAGGCACATACAACATGATCGGAAAAACGACGCATACCTTGATAGAGGTCATTGTAGCAGCATGGATCATTACTGCCTTCTTGGGTCGCTTCTCGTTGACCTGTACGGCGATAGAAGCCATCAACGGTGCTCTAGTAGGTGCTGGGGACTGTTTTGCCTTCTCTCGTAGTTCGACCAGCATCATATCTCGTGACTAAAAAGCACTATAAGCATCATCGTAGCAAAACAAAAACGCATTCAAGAGTTTTTCATACCCTCAACGCAGTCATAAGACTCTCATTATCGACTGTCAGACGAGCCAATTCACCATCCAAGTTCCGGATACGTGCATTAAGAGACGCGATATCATTGTCTCCTCTTCCCTCGTCACCCAAATCCCTAACACCACCCTTAAGGGCCTCATCCAAACGAGCACGTAATGAGACAACAAGCCCCTGAGCATTATCCCGTTCAGCCTCTACACCAGCAGCACCCATCTCCAAATCCCTCACTTGGTTTTGCAATGCAGCAACCAATTCTTGGTGGCTCGCTACATTTGCACGTAACGAGTCTGCTTCTTCTGTAAGTGCATCGTGAGCTGATTTGGGGACTGTGGATCCTTGTAGGACTGCTACATCGTATTGCAGTCGTGATGCATCGGCTCTGTGGCTGGAAATTACTCGGTCCATTTCGACTGTTAGGTCGTCGTAGTCTTGTTGGAGATGAGCGAGTCGACTCTTTGTGTCGATGAGTTGGTTTTCGAGGGCTTGTATTTCGGCTGGACTGTGAGAGGGTTGTACGGTTTCGGTGTTTACAGAGTCTCCAGTGGGTGGATCAAGTAATTTGTCTATACATATTGAGATATATGTGTGAACAAACAAAAACGGGATATAGGGATTTTACATTGATTTCACATACCAATTGCTTCAGTACCAACTTCGTTCGCATTCACAGGTGGTAAGGTGACGTTATACTTGAGTTGAGCCAGCTCAGTCTCCATTGATTTCATTTGCTCAAAGGCAAAGTTCATCCGCTCTAACATGCGAAAAAGTTGTGAGGTCCGCAAAAGAGCTTCGGCGATAGAAGACCATTCTTACTGAAAGCTGTCTCTCTCTCATCAAGTAAAGCATTGACAGTCATCTCTTGCCTTTCCTTCTCCTTATCAAAACGTTCCTTGTCTTGCTCACTAGTCTGCTGCAAGCGTGACAATTCACCACGAACTGCTTCAAGTTTAGCAACAGCATCATGGAATTCCTCTGAATTATCAGATCCCTTCGACTCTTTGATACGACGGTATGCTGCAAACTCGGTTTCAGTCTTTGTCTTAGTTTCGTGTAAGACTTTGACTTCGGCAGACAAGGCTTCAATACGTTCTGTTGCTCGTTCCTGAGCGGCCTGAAGCTCTTGCACTTCTTCGGAAAGTGCATCCTTTTCAGAGAATAACGTCATATCTGTCACGTTCACACTACGAGCTTGCGAAAGCTCAGATTTGAGCTTGTTCTTGGCTACTTCTACTACTGCAAGTTCTGATACTATGGAATCATACAACGCCTTGGGCACTGTATCGTTAGACGGTGATGCGGATGTACCAGACGATGGTTTGGATCGAAGCAGTCTTATAGCAGCATTCTTTGACTTTTGGTTTGCCCTAAGTTTTACCACCGTTCTCATCAGATGCTGCACCAACTTGGTCAAGTATGCTCGTTGCTCAACGACCGAGTTCCAGCTCGACTCAAGTTTTGCGAGTGGCTGATTCAAGGCTTGGCTCCTGAGACTGCGTATTTGGGTCATTGACGTGGAGAACTCTTTACGTTGCTCAATGAATTGATACATGAGGTTTCCCAATGTGCCATCTAATATGACGTCGGGCTGGATGAGAGGGCTGGCATCATCAGTCCAGCCAGTCATGGTTCCATTAAATAATGGATTGTCACTAAGAATACGGTATGCGAGAGGGGTAAACTCTGGTTTCAAGGCTTCTGGTCTAATAACATCCATGATTTCACCAAAGAGTGAGAAATACTCAGACAAGTATTCAGCAATCCGTATAAAGATATCTCCATCAACTTCAGCATACGAGCTTAATTGGCCCAGTAACGAGTTGAGCGAGTTCCTATCTACAGAGATCCTAGACTTTAAGTTGAGCAGACCGTCCTTTAGTTTCGCTCCTTCATTCTCATCTACTGGAGGAGGCACGATACTTTTACTGAGTCGTCGATTTTCTTCACTCTTGTTACGTAGCTCTGCAATTGTATGCTCGTATTGAGCCTTCATAATATCGGATGCATTGGCAGCTTCCTGTAAATCGTCTAGAAGGGTGGATAGTGTGGCCAAGTAATCACGTTTTTGATTGTCCCATTCCTTCTGGAGAGAGGAAATCTCTTCTTGCTTCAGACGACCGAGGTCTACTGTGTGCTGTCGTAACTATAATTTGAAAGTTGTGTCAGCCAGAGCGCGGGCCAATTTTCTTCGCGCTTACAAAAGCACACACGACAAACTTACCCTAAATATCTCAGACTCAGCTGCCTTGTGAAGTGCATGCAGATTCACATTCATCGAAGTCATTGATGGAGACTTGGCTGCGCCACCACCTTTTATCAAACCACCAGGCTTCCCCTTACTCTCACTGACGATACTATTGAATGACGAGTCCTCAGACAGCTTTTGCTGCAACGACTCTAACTGCCCTTGCACATTTTCAAGCGCAATAGCCTTTGCTTCAATCTCATTGCGAAGACCATCAATCTCAACAGTCCATTTCTCTTCACTACGTTTCAACTCAGCATCATTGGGTACACCATTACGAAGACTTTTGTTCTCTGCAGTAAGGCGTTCACATTCAGCAGCCGTCACTTCGAGAGCTTGTTCAAGTTTACCAATTCGGGCAAGCAAGTCAACAATCTCGTCCGAGTCACCAAGGACTGGAGACGCTGCTTGTTTACGAATCTTTTCGTCTTGACCCTTCTGTAATTGAGCTTCGGTATCACCAAGTTTTAAGCGGAGTTTAGCATAGTCTTTACGTATGTTGTCATGGTCGTCTTGTAGTTGTTTGTACTGTTTCTGTAAGATGTGAACATTAAGAGTTGACGAATCTCTGACGTTTACAGAAGGTGACGATAATTCAGATTGAAGGCGATCTCGTTCAGCAACAAGAGCCAATATTTGAGGTGCGTGTTCGTCCCTGACAAATTTCTGCTTGTAATTGATGAAGATTAGATGCTTCGTGGCAAACAAAAAAAAAAAAAAAAACAGAAGTTAGAACGCACCAATGACATTTCCAAATTGCTTTTGTGTGCAGCTTCAGCCTCAGCACTGCTAGCCAACTGAGCCTGGGCAAGCTCCGTTTGTCGAGACTTCAGAGTTTCCAGATGACTATCTCGCTCTGAGATCTCCTTGGCGTGACTTTCCGACAAAGTATTAATTTTTGCAGAAAGCTGTTCTATCTGCTGATCCTTCTCAGCAATGCCAGCCTTGAGGTCATCAATCTGAGATTCAAGTTGAGCTACGGTTTGGCTCAATTCTTGATCCTGCTGAACCAACATTTCCATGACTGTGTCATGTTGCTTTGGTGACTTGGTTTCCTAAGTTGGTAAGAAATATGCGAAAAAATCGACGTCGCCTGCAGAATCAAGTCTTACCAAAGACGAGGCTTTTAAGTCTTCGAGCCGCGATGAGACCAAAGCTATAGCAGCTGATGATTCCTGCTTTTGTAAAGCCAAATCAGCTTCCAATTCTTGAATACGAGCCACTAGGGCCAATTTCTCAGTATTCAGACCAGACAAGTGGCGCTCATGACTACTCTTGGCTTGAGCTATGTCTGCTTCTCGAGCAGCTTTTAGTTGCTCAAGCTCGGCTCCCCGACTAGTCAACATGGCAGATGTATCTGCGAGTTTGGATTCATGAGTAGCTACTAACTCAGCATGATTATTCTTCACTAGCTCCAACTCTCGATTTGCGTCTGCGAGTTTGACTTGGTGCTCACTACTGATCTGTTGAATTCTAGCATTCTTCTCGGCTACGGCAGCCTAGAGAGAGGAAACCCCGAGTGAGCATCCCACTCTGTATCTGTATTAGTTATATACTCGTGCTGTTTTTCTTACCTTCAACGTCTCAATGAGCACCACATGCTCATTAACCTTTGAATTCAAATCACGAGTCGACACAGCAGCAGCTTCCAACTCATCTCGAAGAGCAGAAAGTTCCCGATCCATAACTTCATGACGCATTACGTACGCATCTCGTTCCTGTATAGTCTCTTGCAACCGATTTTGATGCATCGCAATAACAGATTTGGCATTCGCCAATTCTTGAGTTGCAGTAGCTAATTCTTTAGCTGATGCAGCATCAGTTTCTGATTTAATTGATCGAAGAGATTCTGCTTCGGCCTTGACAGTTTGCAAATTAGCAACTTGGAGTTTATGTTTGTCTAGTTCGGCGGAGACCGTTGCTAAACGTTTCTCGTAATTGGCTATAGCTGATCTTGCTTCAGCAAGCTCTTGAGACACCATTTTACTATTATTGTCTGCTTCGTCTCTGGAAGCTTTGAGACCTTCGTATTCGCGAAGAACATTTTCATTGTGAAGGGATACGAGATCGAGTTGACTTTGCAAGAATGCAGCTTTGGCGGTCAGCTCTGCATGTCGGCCATCGGCTTCTTGCTTCATATTACGTAATTCTAGCTTCTTAGAGTCAGATTGTGGAACCTGAAATTTCAGTAGTTGTGAGCAAAAAGAAACCAGACAAAACCTGTAATATGGGGCAATCCAACTCACTGGCATGGACACATCAGGAGTAACAGACGCCATTCCACCCAAAGCCTCCAGCCGTTTAACTTCAGCAGAAAGTCTCTGCACCTGCTCAAACTGAATCTCATTCTCACTAGCTAACTCGGTAATAGCCTCCGCCTTTTCAGCTCTAGACGATTCTATTTCACGACGAGTGGCATCCAGGAGAGCTCGTGTATCCACAAGCTCTTGAGTCAACCGTCTCTCAATAGCAGCAAAGTCATCTGGGGTCGATGCTGCCAATGCAATTTCTTTGTCTTCGAGAGTTCTTTTGAGTTCGTGTTGGGCGAATTCTAGATCTCCTACAGCAGTATCTAGTTCGGTACGGAGTTTCTTGATTGAGGCTTCGGCTTCGGCCATATATGTTTCGTGCTCCTGTTCTCTGTCGACAAGGTGTTCCTCGGTGGCTCTTGACGAGAGCTCCAAGTCTCGAAGACGGATCTCCAGCTATAAAGGCGAAAAAAATCACGTGTAAAGAGAGTAATGGCTTCTATCAAGTCGGGTTGGCTCACCTTAGTCATCTCCATTTTCATCGTCACCATATCCCTGCCAAATCCAGGCACTACTGCCGGAACAGGTAAAGGCAATGGCATGGAACCATCCCCAGAACCACGTTGTCGTTCCTTGACCAGAGCCCTAACTTGAGCTTCCAAGTTCATTTTATCCATCTCGGATTGCTCCCACAACGTATTTGCAGCTTCTAGAGTATTTCTCGCCTCGGCCAATTCGGCTTCACCGAGTGCCAATTCACTACGTGCTCGATCACGTTCACTCATTACTTCAATGAGAGCATCGTGCAATTTACGACGGTCTTCTTCAAGACCTTTCACAATGTTTTCCATATCGACTGTGTGAGAAGTGGTGTTAGGTCGATGAGGTGTACCATATTCTGAGGATGCACGAGAAGACACGGCCTGGCTTGATCTAGTTAGCTGCATATAAGCCAATTCACGTTCTGCAACTGCTGCATGTAATTCCTTTTCTTTGGCTTCCAAAGACTCTTTTGAAGCTAAGGTGAACAGACGCTGATTAGTATGTTCCATTTTCGGAAATGACTTCAAGATTTTTTACCATCGAGATTAGCCTTGATCGTATTCAATTCCGAATCCTTATTTGTAATCCATTGTTGAAGCTGGCTGACTTGTGCCTTCAAATCATTGCGTTCTCTCGAAATCAGGATAGATTCTGATCGAGAAGGATCATCCACTGACAGTCTATGCACTCCATCTGGTGCAAGCATACGCACAATGGATGGTGTCGCGGATGATATCGAGGTACGATCACCAGCAGTGGCTACTGTTTCAGGTGATGGTGGTAGAAGGACCTGTGTGACTACAAGACGAGGAGATGCCGGCACAAGAGCTATATCAACGCCACGGGCACTGGATTTAATACTGCTATTTGATTGCATTGAGTTGATGGAATCCTCGAGACGTTGACATAATGCGGCAAGAGCCTCTATTCTACTCTGATCATCATTAGACCATGGACTAATTTCCTTGTCAGTAGACTTGACTGGAGAGTCCAGACTAGCATCTGACGCATTGACGTCCACGAATGCCACTGGTGCGCGATCTTGGAATGCCTGGAAAAAATCATTGTTGTGGTGAAAAAAGGGTACATATTGAACGTTGATAGAACCTACTGCGTTCTTAGCTCGCAACTCTGTGAGCTCTGCTTGCATCTCAGCAATAAGGTTGTCATTCTCCTTTGAATGTACATCTTTTTGTCGTGCAATCTAGTGGATTTGCACGTGTCAGACTTCCTGATCACAAAGAGTACATAGCAATTGTAATCACCTTCTGAAGCTCATCAACTCGACTATGAAGACTGTTAACTAGCTGAAGAGAATTAGAGAGCTCACTGCGAGTCTTGGCCTAAAGCGAAAAAAAAAAAAATTCATCTAGGATGCCAAACAAAGCTCATAATTCATGAAATAAAATACCTTCTCTTCCTCAAGTGCCTGTATCCTCTGATCCGTGTCCCTCATTGACAACTTATGTACCTGTTGAATCTGATTAAGCTCATCATCATGCTGAGATTCAAGTTCAGCAATCCTGGTCTTGAAATCATTCTTGAGCTGCACATGACTATAGTCAGATAGTAACTGATCTCGAACTCTATCCGCGTCTGGATCATCTTCATCGTCTTCAGCAGAAGAACGAGGGAGAGGACTATCACTACCACCTTTGGCAATAATGGCACGTAAGGAAGCGTTTTCCGAGCGTAGATTGTATACCTTCTTGTCAAGCCGCCTATGTTAGTAAAAAACTGTCAATTAACAGGAAAAAAGAGTGTCCTTGATGGACATTGCACGTTCGTTTCAAACACTCACTGCACTAGCTCTCCATACTGCTCAACATTATCCCTCAATATCACAATGGAATCTCGAGCCTGCAATAAAGCTTTCGCAGCAACTTCCTGAACTGGCTCATCGCCAAGTTGGCTTTTTACAATAGATTGCTGAGACACCCTAGACCCAACAGCTCGTCCTTCCTGACCACCAATATCACGAGACGCTGCATCAGAGCGTTTTAATGGGTCTAAATTCTTGACACGTCCTAGACTACTAGATGATTGATCCGCCAGTTGTGATAACTCTTGATGCTTTTGTTCCAACTGATCGCGTAAGATGTGAATCTCATCTTGTAGAGATTTTACTTCTCCCTTCAATGATTCCGTGGTTTCTAGCGCTTCAGATAATTGTTCATGCTTGCCACTCAAACTACGTTGTAAGTCAGAGTGGTCTATAGATGTTCTAGACACGACAGCAGAATCTAATTGTAGACCAGCAAGTCTAGATTGATATGTTTGGACTTGTGTCATAAGTTCAGATACTGATTCCCTCAATGAATCACGTTCCTCACTCAGGGCTTCCATCTTTGACGAGTACTGTGTGGCTGTAGATGCAAGATGATTACGAAGTTTAGCGATTTCTTGGTCCTTGTCTTGTATTATGGCAGCCATCTTTGGGTCATCCTGATTGGTGGAAGAAATTGGTTAACTTGTCAGTGGCTACAAATTGGCTCTGATTAAAGAAACTTACTGTTGGCGAGTGGGGGACTTCACCAAGATCTGATTTCTTACTATCTTCGCTACTGCGGTTCGCAGTACCACTTAAACCCCACCATCGTCTAGTCGGGCTAGGTGGTGCAACCGTACTAATTGCAATGCTTCGTTCACTAGCAATGCTACCACGGTGACCAACAGGCGATGAAGGCACCACTGACTTATTTTCTGACACTGAACCTTCCAAATCCTTGTTTCGAGCTATCTGAGCATCCAGACTAGCAGCAAGTTGACTTTTGGCTTCCATCAACTCATGATTCTGAGTTTGAAGGTCTCGCATGAACTCTTCATTGTCCGCTCGTAATTGAGCGTGAGCTCGTAATGCAGCGTTTTCTTCACTTAGAGCTCTGACTTGGTCTTCTATCATCGTTGTGGTGGCGAATATACTGTCTCGCTGCGATGGACTGGTTGGAGATGTGGGTGATGAGACTTGCTCTTCGAGCACCTTGACTCGTTCTTCTAATATTCTATTACGAGCCACTATTCTAATTGGACTTGAAGATGTATCTGAGGAAGGTTTTCGGGTTGGAGACTTTGGTCGAACCTCTTTACGACCTCTCTGTGACTCGGTACTGATGGATCTCGACCGCGAGGGTTTATTACCAACAGGGGTCGATACTCGAGCCCCCTTTTCTTCTTTCAGTCGTTTCATTTCAGCATCCTTCTCACGAATCATTCGTACTAGATGAGCTGATCTCATCGATACCAATGTGGCATCTTCAGAAGTAATTGGTACACTACTTGTTGCAACAGCATCTTCTGATATAGGCTCCAAAATGGAAGCCTTTAATGCCTTCTCAAAAGTACCATGCGTCGATGCTGGCCGATCAAGAGTAGCACTAGCACCTGAGACATCAAGATTCGACAAACTATTTATAAAGGACCTTCTGTTTGTATCGAGACTCAGTTTTCGAGGTGATCCAGAGGGACGATTCAAGGATTGTTGAGAGCCAGCCTCAACAATTGACATTTTACGATTATTATTACTATTAGATATTATTTTGAGTAGTTGGTCTTCCAACTTGATCACACGATCCTGAAGAGCTGACATTGCAGATTCCATTTGAGTTCTATCGCGCTCTGATTCTTCTAGTATAGAAGAAACCAGGTTTTCTGCTGTAATCAGCCGGGCCTTTCGTACCAATGTCAAGTCAGCTCTGGTGGAGACTGCTAATGCTGCACCGTCGTCTTTCTTGGCATTCACTAAAGTTATGATGCCCGCTAAATCTTCTGCTAAGCGTTGCGAAGAAGTAGACGTCCTATCAGCTGCCAATGTTCGGCGAATCACAGTCAGCTTCTTGGAGACGTCCATGAGTACTCCAGATAAATTATCGACACGTCCAGCCAGAGACGATGAGTATTCTTCACTTTGTTTTATCGATTCGGAAACACGAACACGGGCTATCGTCAACTCTTCTTGACAGTATGCTAGACTAGAAGACAAAATTAACACCATGTCCAGAGCAGCTCTTGTCACGTTATACTGTTCGAAAGCAGAAGCTCGGAGTGTTGCTTTTATTGCTTCGGTTTGAGCCACGTCAGCTGACACCTGACGATTAAATTGCTCGGCTTCGTTCAGAATCTGCTTTTGGCTTGTTTCTGCACTAGCCATATAGGATTTGACCTGTTCCTGAGATATACGCTCTTCTTCTTTCGCCAACCGCAGCTCAGACGTGAGCTGGGCGACTTTTTCCAATACATTGCGGCTTTCCACTCTCTCCTCATTGAGCTAACAAGACAAAGTGTCAGAACAGGACCCATCGGTGACAACACTTGTTTACGCTACCTGTTTGACAGTATTCAGATGCGTGGCTTTATAAAACTGAGCAGAATGGTTGAGACGAACCAATTCTCCCTTCATTTCGACAAGCTGCCCGAATACTTTCTCACTGTCAGGGTTTCGATGGCCACAGTTCGGGCATATCGCTCTTGCATCAGCTATCGACTCTCCAGGAGACACACCTGGCTGTACTTTGGCCAACTCTTGAGTGAGTTTCGAGACTTCAGATTGAGAATTCATGACCTGCTCAGCCAAAAACGTCCGTTCTCGTTCGAGTTCGCTGATTCTGCTCTGACGTGTTTGGGACTCTGACTCTATGGTGGCAATCGTACGATGACATAGATCAATTTCGGTCTTGAGGGCAATGACCGCAGCGTTTCCAGCTTCGATTTCTGAGGTTGCTTCCTGCAATTGTCGTTTCTGAGTCAATGCGTTGAGGTTGGAAGCGGTGAAGGGAGTATGCCTAGCGAGACTGCGTGTTAGTAAAGTGGCAATGAGGTGGTTAATGTCTTGTTTTGAGGCTGTTATGATCAAATTCAAGACCCGCAATGCCTTCAGGTTTCGTTGGTACCTGATTTTCTCGAGGGATTCATTGGCAGCCAACAGTTCCTGACGGGACTGAAGTAGTTGTGCCCTAGTTTCCGCATGGTTGAATGCTTCTTGCTGACGGTCCTTGATTAGTTGAATGCGCTCAGATTCAATCTTGCGATGCTGGGTCTGAAGAGCGACAATATAGGATTTGACAGCATTATTAGTACTTGAGCGCAGAAAGTCCTCCAATTGTCCAGTCTCAGGGACCGATGCAGACGCCATCAAGGCAGAAGAGCAATTTCAAGACTTGTTGTTTTCGAATGTTGCGGCTGGTCGAACAAAAGGCTTTTTGCTGAAGGAACCCCAGGCGCCACCTAACACGGTTTCTCTATGGACTTTACTGTAATTGCATGATAAAAGATGACTATGCTAGATGCCAGTCGCGTCTGTTATCGTATAATGCGCGTACGTTGACGGGACTAGCCAAGAATGCAAATCAATCAACCTCCACAATTCTGCAATTCACTACACCACATTTGCAAGGGCAAGGCAATGGAAGTGCTATCAATGCAAATGCAGATCCAGCAGAGCCTGGTGACCGGAAGTTCTGTAGATGAATTCGAGCTGCCGGTCAAGTTTCTAAGCATCACAACAACATTCACTTTGGTTTCTCACTACGTGAGGGACACCAGCAAGGACCTTGCGAGGATGCCTGTGAACTACTATGCCACTCCCGCCCAGCAGCAGGGTCATTCCCCCGAAAACCACACCTTCAGTGACATCACCAATCCAGGGTTGGGTTCATGTCATTCACAATGAAACCAAGGTGCGCACGTCCGCAACATCGATACGAGTTTCTACCATCACGCTCGTTTTGGTCTGATATATCATGGAAGAACCTCCGAACCTGTAAGTGCAGAAAAATAGAGCATACATGTGAAGGATTGTTCACCCAACAAATATCCAATACCTGTCAACGTGTTGACCCACTTTTTAATAGCGACTGTGCCAAGGGCCTCCCCATTCAAACAAATCAGCCACTCTATACGTTTGAAAAAGATGGCTTCACGTTTCGAGAAATCACTACACAGGAGGAACTCAAGGAGGCATTCGCTCTGCGATACCGTATCATATGTGAAAGGTTGCACTGGGTCGAAGGTGATGTGCTCAGGGGACTGGAATACGATGGTAAATATCGAAATATCGACCGTGGTTTGATACCAAATGGTGGCCTCTTTGGTGCCAAATCTCAATTTTTCTCAACCTCCGCTTACATCGTTCTTCAACGCATGTACAGAATTCGATCCGTACAGTTACCATTTTGGCTGTTATTCAAACCATTACCTCGTCGGTTATTTGAGGTTTACGCGAGAAACAGCACCATGTGGCATAATGACGAGAAAATACTTTACAGAACTCATACAACGGGATCCAAAATTCACTCCGGAAGAAGTGGTGGACCTGTCTCGAATTTTAGTCGACATGGAAGCAATCAACCGCAAAAAACCACTGATTCACAAAATACTCGGAGGTCTCTTTCGACTGACTTTCTTACGCACTCGAAACCTACATTCACCTGCACCTGTATATGGATACCTAGTCACCAATCCGCTGATGCTGAAAGGGCTACGATGGACTTTTGGATGTAAGGTGCGAGAAATGGGGCATGCCAAGACGTCAGATGGCAAAATCACATATTCAGCATACATGTCGTTACCTGGAAGTTTATTCTATCGAGCCAAGATGGCATTGGCAAGCAGTAGAGAGATTAAGAAGCAGTACTCCACGGAATCCTTGTTTGATGATAATTCTCGATCCAAACTTGAGAGACAAAAGTCAACACCCGACAAGATACTTACCAAGCAACACTCTATACCTACGAATATTCTGTAAGTCGTGTACCTTTGATACCAGGCGGTTTTTTCCCCACTTCGAGCTATATGTACACTAACCACACTTTTCGATATAATAGTGACACAAGGCCATACAGTCCTGATCCAACAACAGCATCATCGAGCCAGCCACCATCGCCGTATCCGTCGCCACTTAACAAGTACAATTCCTTTGCTGGATCCAGAGCGAACTCTGTACACTCGGTGGCCTCCTCGTTTGATTCGTCGACGGAGATGTCTTCAGAGTCGCCACCTACTGACAACAATGCCTTTGGTGACGCAGTTGACTATTGATGGAACTGACTAAAAAGAAGGAAACCATTATACAAGACCGTAATGGAGAGAGTATATATATATTGAGACTGAACAAAAGAGAAGGGTTGACTGATCTGACACGACCATACACAAAAACGAATAATAACAATAAAAGGAAGGATACCAAACAAATTGAATGTGTTGGTTTTATTGGTGAGAGTTGAAGGCGTTGATCACGAAGTTAGTTAGGCAGTTCCCGGCGCGTATCATCGCAGAAACAAGTGCAAAAATACTCATGCATACTCTTCCACCCGCTTCCTGTACAAGACCACGCGGAAGTTCATGATGTGCTGCATGAGGTGTTTTGGCTGGAGAATTTCCGTAAAACTCAAAATCAGTCACCATCAGTTTTAGATCCCGCATCCCCAACAAGTGAATAAAAGAATCAAGCTTTTTCTATGATGAGTGCATTATCAATCAAGCCGCCAGGCAGCCGAGACTTTCTACCTGTGACGGCAAGTTTCATTTTCTCAGTTTTTTGGTTCTCAAGAACATTTGCGGATATAGTTGGAACGAGGTGGAACTAGCCGAGGGAATATCAAGATCGATTTTTAACTGTATTTTCAAATGTTCTAGTTCAATTGGAATTGGGGCGGCAAAACGGTCTACCTTTCGGGTAGTTTCAACTCTTGGGATCGTGAGTGTTTTGATTTTGAAGCCGTGTTGGTTTGTAGCAAACGTTGTCGTCAATGAAGTGAGATCTGTTTGAATTGATGCTGAGAGATATGAACGCATACTCTCCGGTATCCTTTCTTTTCTGATCTCGTGGTTTCATCTTTCTTGTACATGTTCTGATCATGATGTTCAACTTCTGTTCTAAGTCTCTCATACCATAATTATGACCAACATATGTATCCTGTCTCACACCGTATCCTTCGTAATCTAGGTTCTATACAAATGATGCCAAAAGTTGAAGCCCCTGGTGAATATGCCATTACCCTGTTCCTCGACCGCAGGATATCCTATGAGTTCAAATTTATCGTCGACGGCATCTGGAGGTGTTCTACAGAGTTTCCAACTGTCAGTGATAATCAAGGAAATGTCAATAATGGTATGTATGCTTAAGTCTCTTTGTGTTTGTGTCAATAAGAAGGATTCGTTGCGATTCACCACCGAATCTAACTATGTGGCTACCTGTTTTATAGTCTTGGCTGAGAGCACATCACCCACATCTCCAAATAAAAGAAGAACGAGTTCTGTGCCGCGTGAACTAGCTGCTCAATGATACTTCTAGTAAGACCATCTGAATCAACATTTTGTTTTCGAAGAATCATAACTAAGGTTCTCTCTAGGAAAAATCATAACTAAGGTTCTCTCTAGGATCAATACTCTACCTTATGATGCTCCTCTTGACCGTGCCTTCTTCTTGGTGAAAACTCTACTAACACCAAAAGCTACTACTACCCCTATAATTTTTCCGTTTACATTATTAGACTGGCTTGAAAATAGATGCTGTGTATTTTGATCGTGTCCTTGGAATTGTTTTCAAATTCTGGCTTGTTCAATGATACAGATCACGTCCTCGTAGATCACGTCCAAGTAAACGGAGCTCGCGCCGAGTCATAGAGAAAACTTCAAAATCGTTTATTCAAGTGCTATTTTCTACGAGAGCGTCAGGATAGGGACTTTCTAGCTCACTCAAAAAACCCCTGCAGGAGATATTCATTCATTTTCAACGAAAAAGACTGTGGCTCAAACCCCAGCAGGATGAGCTCACCGGTCGACAGCAAACGAGATATAGATGCGGTATTAGGTGTGCCTCCGCATCCTTCCAATACCACCACAGGCCAAAAACATTCAAGCCGGAATACTCACAGAAGACGACGAAGAAGGAGATCAACAAGCGACCTTCACACTGATCGCCCTACATCAGAAACCGATATAGACCATTTATTAATCCAAGCTGACTATGCTCCACGTGCCGTCCTCGCAACACTCGACCATCGCCAACTGTTGATTACTACATCAACACCATCAAGTGCCATTGACGCAAATGCACATAAAAGAGCCACAGTGCCAGCAGCCAAGACATTATTAGCCGTCAGAACGCTCACACCAGCATATGTCATCAACTTTGTTAATGGTTCAGAGGACGTTGATGAGCTGATTCATATTGGGGATGTCACTTTGGAATCCAATCCGTTTTTGCATGATATTAATCAGGTTATGGCTGTTGGTGATGCTGATGATAAAAATTTGAATGGTGATGGTGGTGTTAGAGCCAAGAGATTGAAGAGGAAGGCTACCATACTTCGTAAATCACAGGGACGTCGACAACGACATGTACTGCACTCGACTTTTTTAACACACGATATGATTGGAGAGGGAAACGAGGATAGCAATGCTACACGAATAGTCTTGCTCAACCCGTCTCAATTTCCACCGTACTTGCACATCCCTATTGGTCGTGCTGCGGAAGATATTGATCAGCTCGTTACTGTCGGATCAAGATGGAGACCACATTCGCCTCGACTAGCCAAACAAGTAAAAGACATTGATGGATTGTTGAGTTCTGGTGATGCAGCTGCTGCCCATAACGCTGCTAGTAGTAATAACGCAGAATCATCACCCCATCAAGCAGCCACTACACGAGTCAAGGAAACAAGTCAGTCGGAACGCAACTCGCTTGACGCAAGACCTAAACCCAAGAGCCGGTTACGCCGCTCCACATCATCACCTGAGTTCCCGATTGAATGGATGGACGTGGAGGAATACAGCTGGACTGCTGGTGTCACACTCTCTGATGGTCCACGAGACGTTGACGATGTACTACTTATCGCTGCAAACGACGATGAGTTGCAAGTACTCTTCAAAGACGGGCTAGATGTTGACCGTATCATGGGACTCAGCAGCGACGCTAGTCCAGGCGCTGGATCACCTGGTAATTCCGCCAATCCCCAAACCAGAAAACCGCATACGCGCGAAGCATCGCCATCACCCACCGAAGCAACAAACCCACCACCATCACCTGCCGCGCCAGCGCATGCCTCTAAAGCCGCACAACGAGTATCCTATGTAGAAACAGATGGCAAAGACGTTTTACATCGTCACAATACCACCATCCGAACAACACCCACATTTGCACAAAACGAATTCGGACTTGATATTGATGGTGTGCTTGGCCATGGCAGGAAATCGCATCTGCATTTCTCGGCACCGTGTCTTGATGAGGATTGCTATGATCAAGCTAATGAAGACGAGATTGAGCCAAGACGGAATAGTATTGGTGCGGAAGTCGTGCTGGATGCGTCGCGTAAAGTTACGAGGTTTAAAGAGCCGTTGCATATTATTAAGAGACGAAGTGGGATTAAGAGGTCGCAGTCGTCACCGACAAAATCTGTGCAATGGCAGCCTCCTAAAGTCGTACATCGTAGCAGAACGAATCTCGATATTGAGGTATAATTATGTCGTTCAAATCATCGTTTTTTGTTGGATCTTGATTTTTCACTGACTCAAAACGTATCCCGTTCCTTAGCTATACGTATCAGCCAGCAACAACGAAGACAGCCCAACCACAGTGCAAATGGACCCTCAAGACCGTCCTGTCCCCGACATTTCCGAAATCCTCAAAATGGGCAAGAGCACAAGCACCAGCAACACCACAACCAAGAAATCTGAAGAAGACGCTCTAGCAGGAGACGCACCAATCCTCCGCACGTCATCAAACGTCTCGTCGGCAGCATCATCACGACGCAACCAAATCAATCCTGCAACTACAGACAGAGCAAGCGCCAACCCTTCAGAATCCATGTCTCGAGGTGCATCTGGTGGTTTGGCAGGTGCTTCTTCCGAAGGCCGTCTACTGTTTGGACCAAGGCGATCGGTACCCTCTGAATCTCGTACTCATGGCCATCAAAAGGAGGGCAAGCAAGTCATCAATCAGCAGCATAGGATTCAGACCCTGTCAAATGAGAACCAGTATCGTCATTACTCGTGGAGGTCTGAACCTGAATTGCAGAGTCCGCTTGAATTGCCTGCTACGGATATCAATGACATGGTGGAGTGGGGGTTAAGGCTTGGGAATAAGAGTGAACAAGTTTGAAATCATGTAAATTTGCAATATATCGGTCAATTTCGTTATTACATTGGACTTACAAGCTTATACGGTCCATTTTATTGTGAGAAGCTTCTATCATCTACGTTTTAAGGTTTTGTGTTTTACATCTAAGCGACGATTATGGTTTTTATCATATATGAGAGGCCACTATATATATTGTTTAGAAAGGAAGGTCCTACCTTTGAGATGTGGTGGTTTTGTTTCTTAGCATCCCGTCACCTTTCTGGTGTGGTCTGCGGTGTGTTTTCTCGAGCGACCGGTGTGGTCTGTGGCCTGTTTTCTTTAGCTAATGGTGAGGTCTGTGGTCTGATTTCTCGAGGTACTGTCGGTTTTCTCTCGACATGAATTGTTGAACTTTGTTGGATCTGATAGCTTGACAGAGTCTTACCCCGTTCAAGTTCAGTACCTTCAAATATGAGACGTTGAGACTTTATAGGTATCTTTTCTCGAGCAAACACGTTTGCCTTCAAATCATCAACAGTCATATCGGGAAACACGGGATATGTTGTAGTGTTGCCTTTGGGATTCATGAGAAAGATTTGGACAGTAGTTCCAAATGCCTCTCCACCTTCAAATACAGTTTCGTAGATACGTTTGAGGTTTTCTAATATCGGTTTGGATTTCTGATAGTCTGCTTCCTGTAGAGTGTATATATTCTTACTTCCTTTGCTTCCGTATACTTCAGTGCTCCTCATTCGACTGTTTGGTTGGGAAATCCAGACTGTTGGGTCTGGTCGAAGCTCTTCAGACATCATGCAAGTAAAAGTCATGCATAGTTTTTCGTCGTCACCGTAAGTGAAGGATTTTGGCACGATGACACCGATAATGCTTTCAACATTTTTTTTGATCTATGACAAGGTTTGTTCATGTTTGTCAAACACACGTGCAACAATGATCTGTTTAAAACACTCCAAATGAGTGTCGCGATATGCCCTTGAGACTTTACGTTCCATGAATACGAATGACTGCGCCAATACCGCACATTGTACTTACGTCAGACAAGCGACAAAATACCAAGCAGGCTTCAATATTCTGACCCGGATACAACCAACCAGCAGCATTACGAGATCGCTGATGCAAGCGTCGGACAAGGACCAGGAATTTCATTGTCTCATGGACAATTTGTCGATTCCTGTCCTTGTCGTTGTCACCAGCGACTGGCATCTTGTCAACGATGGAGTACATGGTCGAGTTAAAGTTTCTCATGGAAAAAGACGTGGGAATGGAGGTGATTTTATCTGGGTTTTCATGTGGGCGGAGTGATGATGGCAGACGAGACAAGCTGGTAATCCACTATGCGTTTGTAAACTGTATGTTAGGTAAAGTTGTAAATTGTGTGATGTCAAATGTTGATGATAGTTCTTCGAGTCCATATGATAGATGCAACAGAGCTGTGCATGTAAGCTGAAGATACCTTTGATGATATAGACGATGGCGTGCTGACAGCATCTAGTATTGCTTCCTCATTGTTGACTTCAAGTTCAATTGTTGTTGGATTTGGTCGATTATTGGATGTATCTGGATTATTATAGACAGCCTGCTTGCCCTTGTCAGCCTTTTTACGTCTATAAATACACATATTGTACAGCTCTACTCATTCGAGATCTGCCAGTCTAACAGGCTCTTCGCAAGCGCTGCTTTTTGTGTTTGTCAAACTCTGACTCCTGCAGTGAGCAAACCAAGGAGCAAATGAAGGAGAATTCAAGAAGTTGGGGGAGAATAATTGATTTATACCAAGAGGCCGATATTATATACCTTTGCTACATCTACGGTTTGTTTTGCTATTTTCTAACACTAACACAGTTAGCATCCACGCAAGCGCAGACCTGGTAAAACAAATATACAGCACAAAAAGTATACAACCCCAACCACCGCGCTCAAAACCACGGTCTAAGGCATCTTCTTTTAAAATCTTTTCCGCACCCGCCCTTTAGCTTGTTGGAAACATTCGAATGGCGTTTTGCGAATATGACTTCACTACGCGTCGGCCCGTCTCAAATTCGACAGAAGTCACGTAGAAAATTGATTAAAGCAACGTTCGACTCAGTAAGCCGTTCACTGCCAGGGTTCGCTGTCCTGCTCCAAAAGTATCAACTACTTTGCTAGATGAACCTGGAGCTAGGCAGACCTGCTTCAAGATGGAGGAAACCGACATATCTGAGGACGTATCGCTATCAGCGTCAACTGTAACTCCCTCTCTGGTCTATGATGACGAAGCTGGATTTGCACAGCAGCTAAAATCACATTTTCAACATTTGGAAAACAATCCAGTAACTGATTCTTGGCTGCTGCAACTAGTGGTATTATATTGATTGTCGTGCTAGAAAGGAAGATCTCTTCTCATTTATTCATCCCTTCCTTTTTTTGCTCTTCTAGGTGTTATGTGAGGCATCGCACTTCAATTTCGTGTATACTCAATCGCTACTGATGCGCCTCGCTGAAAAGAGTATACCGCACTCTTCAATTGCCTTGGCTATATCGCAGCAACTCAATGATCGGTTTCATCATCATGGTCAAGAGTACGTACTTGTGTGTTATGGCTTCATATTCAGGGGGTCTTTTTGCAAGGAGGAAGGCCGACCATATTCCGCTTGTTTCTTGCTGGTCGTATTTTGGTTCTGAGATGTGTTGTCTCATTTACTTTGAACTTTGACTTGCAAAAAACTGTCATAGTCGAAGTTGTCGAAGCGTCATGTCTACTGTCCTCTAGCTCACCCAATCTCCGCTCTCCCTTTCTTATCATTAGAACCCAAACCATGATCCTAAACTTTCAATGGCCAGAACATATCGTCGTCTTCCCCAGCTTGTCGGTCCGAGCAGCACCATTCGACAAGGACATCCGAGAAACGCTGCTCACTCTATCTGCTGAAGCTGGAAACGGAAAAATGGCGTCTGCTGGTGATTTTATGAAGATCAAGAATAAATATAGTGAAGCAACACCACCTTCAATCAAGTATCTACGTGATCCCCGTATCTTTGGTACGATTGCTCGCGGTGAACTGTGGGGTTTCTCTTTGATATAGGGCGTAAAATCAACTAAAAAAATCACCCGCATCACTCAATAGAAACATTTTGTACAGAAATAATCGGCACAGATCCACGTATCGACGACAAACTCTTCCTATTATCCTACGCGTCATGTTATGTTGACGGTCTACCACCAGCAGAACTGAAAAAGGCGAGAGACAAGACGTCGCAGGATATTAAGACATTCTTGAATGTATTTGCAAAGATAAAAGGACCTGCTGATTTGAAGGGACAGGATTTCATGAAGTTGTTGGAATTGGCACTTGAGTAAGTATACACACAGCTTCTGTCTTTTTTTGCATTGTTTGTAACCTTGGCCCAAGAATTGAATCTCGACCTCCCTACTCATACATTCTTTGTTTGTCATTCTAGACATCCAGTCATCAGCATGTCACTCATTCTGAAATCCGTGAGGCTGGGCTTATTACAACCAATTTCGATTCGTCATGATACGGAATTGAACAAGACTCCAGCTATATTTGATATGTTTGATGAGGTAAATCAAACAAATTGGGACATGAAGACCACATTCATGAGATTCTAAGCTATTGTTGTTTTTAGATTGCCACACAACGACCACTATCACGACCACAGATATTCAAATGCTATACGGATGTTCTCAAAACCAAGTATTCGCCAGACACGCTGACTTTGGAAGAAGAGGTAAGACTCATGACGAGCGGGGGAAAACCCCTACAGAGGACGGCCTTCGCATAACGCCTTTCCTTCAACGATTTAAGCTTTTAAATGGCACCAACCACTAACATAAATATCCACCTGTGTTGTTATCCAGAGTGAATTCAAAAAGAAGATCCTGGATCAAATCCTCTACCTCGTACGAATCGGATACTCCCAACACGTCTTGGACTATATAGCACGTACAGTGAATACGAGGGATGAATCGCTAACGATATATTTCATTGTTCGGGTATGTCGTCTTGATGCATTTTTGTGAAAACGACGAATCAGTGGCATAAGTGTTCCCGATTTCAGTGCTTTCTTTTACCATGGGATCTTTTTCTCAGCTTCCTCACCAATCCATCCCTTTTACACTAGTTTCTGGAAATCCTAGGCCCAACATCCTCCAAATCCTCCACCGTAATCAACATCACCCTAAACCTCGTACAAAACCTCACATCCAATCTCCTAATACGTGATGAATCAGCCCTTGTCACATACTATGAATCCCTACGTGACATGCTTGATACATTCAACGACGACCACCACATTGGGATACGAGACTTGATTGAGAACGTATATGGAAAATTCAAAGATGTCCCTGTTGTAAATGCGAGTAATAGACGAGGAAGCAGCGGAGGACATGACGATGATGATTTCCATGTGCCGTCTGCTGAAGAGGATGTTTCGTCGTCTGAGGAAGAAGAGGAGCAACAGCAAGAGGAGGAGGAAGATGGGGAGGATGAACCGATGCAAGGAGAACATCATCATATGGTTAGTAGTGAGGGTGATAATGTCATGCCAGGGGCCCGGGGTGCTAGGACGGTTTACGATGAACAAGATGTGATTGTAATCACAATGTAGTGTCATTCTTCAGCTCTTTTTGGGGTGATAACATTTGTAAATATCTCCTTCCTACTTTTTTGCACACCGTATTATAAAACACATCTGGCATCATAATTTGGGGTTGTTCTTTTCTATTCTATAAGCATGAAATAACTTTCTAGCAAGACAAAATAATTCCTTTCATAAAGAGTTTTCCTTTTATCTACAGGCACACATAAACTTCCACCTAACCAAACTCTTCTTCTCCTTCTCATCAGTATTAAACTATACCTAAATAGCATAATGACTTCCCTCCAAACATTCTACTTTTTACCAACAACATCGCCTTGTAGTTTCTTCTTATATGAGGAGATGGTTCCTTCCCATGGCGTTATCTTCTTGTTTTCACACACCCAAATTTGCTATTGAAGAATGAAAAGGATGTTTAACAAAGGCATTCAACTCGAGAAACAAAAACCTCAGCCCAGCGACAAAACGACTTACATCTGCAACTTGCGAGATCAGTCTGAAATCGTGAGACACAAGGACAACACCACCATCAAATGCATTCAGAGCTTCAGCAAGAGAATCAACTAATTAGGGAGGAATAACGAGAGCTTAGAAATTGATTGAGTATGGCAAAAACGAAGTTGATGACAGTCTCCCTTATTTTCAACCTCTACTCCCGATTCTCCACTCAACCACAACAGTACAATGCGACAACTTACTTGTTTCAATATCCAATGCATTAGTAGGTTCGTCCAACAAGATCACGTTTGGATTGGACAATGACAATTCACAGAATGTAATACGAGACTTTTGTCCATCAGACAATTGTCCAATAGGACACAATTGTGATTTACCAGTCAACCCGAATCGCCCAACCTGTTGTCTCCAATGTGAGATATCCTGAGGCTGGTCCTGGAATTTATTTCGTAGATAATCGATTGCTGATACAGTCAAATCTAGCTGATCCGCTGAATGTTGAGAGTATTTGCACATCTTTAATCGGGTGTGTCGTCCAATGGAACCTGCTGTTGGGGCCAAGTCTCCCATCATGAGTTTCAGGAGGGTGGATTTACCAGCTCCGTTTGGTCCGACAAGAGCAATACGGGATTCGGTGTCGACACCCATTTCAAGGTCTTCATAAATATTATCGGCCTTCTTGCCGCTGTACGAGAAGGACACTCCTGTGAATGACAGGACTGGTGGTGGGAGTTGACCTGCACTACCAAATCGGAAGCTCCAGATATTTTCTTTTTCGACTTCTTCTACCAAACCAGCGGCTTCCATCTTGTCCAGAATCTTTTGTCTGGATTTGGCTAGATTTGAAATTGATGTTATGAGTGACGAGTTTCAAAGTCTCACTTGAGCGCGTCTGGTATTGTTGAAAAGCTGCCACTTTGGCCTCTAAGAACCCATCCAACAATGACTAACCTTGTTTGACCAAGTTGGCATAAGTACCAACAGAGGAAATGAACTTTTTCATGTGATCGATTTCAGCTTGTTGTTTGGTGAACGCCTATATAATAAAAACCAAATGGTATGAGTGAGATCTTGATTTCATCAAGGTAATGTGAAAGTATTCTGATCTTTTTTGCATTTCACTCAAATTACCTTGGCTTGGTTGACTTCCAATTCTTCCTTGGTCTTGACCATGGAGTCGAAGTTACCAGCATAACTAAGGTTGAGGGAAAGAAAATTAATCTGCTGAAAGCCCTAAACCGACCAAAGCCCTCAGGGAATGACGTACTATTGGAAGACCTTCTTTTGGGGAGTCAAGTGAATAATATTGGTACAGACAGAGTTCATGAAATCTGAAAAGAAGGAAATAAAGTCAACAAAACAATCATTCCAGATAATATCACGAATGTTCACTCGCAAGATGCAAGAGCCGTGCTTCATATAAACAACCGTCAAACCAGACAATCAACATTACCTTGAGAATGACAAATCATCAACAAGATACGATCGTATTGAGCCAAGTAGTTTTCCAACCACACGACAGCACCCAAATCCAAGTGATTTGTAGGTTGATCCAACAAGAGCAGAGTAGGACGTACGAATAGAGCTCTAGCCAAGGAGACTCTCATTCTCCAACCACCAGACAAGTCACGAGTCTTTTTCTGCATTGTTTTATCAGTGAAACCTAGACCGATGAGGATGGATGCAGCTCTAGTTTCAAAGGTAGCAGGGTCTAGGGTATCGAGACGGGCATAAATATCGTCTAATAGTGGTGATTCTGGGTCCTGTGGATTCAGTTGATCGTGAGTGGTGGGTAATGATATATTGTGTTGGAGAATCATAAGGTGGCAAAGAACAGCTACAGCATAGAGCGAATGACCAATTGTTCAATCATATTCAATGTATACTTACTTCAACCATAATAGTCTCCATTTCATGTTCCAAACGCTTGACTTCCTGTTCACAGACATCCATGACAGCTTCAAGCGCACTCTTGTCCGTAGCGGGGTATTCTTCGCGCAACAGATATGTATCGATGTGACTTGGGAGCGGTATTTCACCGGAAGATAGAGCCTTCAAGAATGTGGATTTACCAGATCCGTTAGCACCGATGAGAGCATAACGTCTACCAAAGTTGAGTTCGATGGTAGTTTCTTGGATGAGGACTTGGGAAAAGTAGGACATTGAGAAGAGTTCGACTTTGATGTCTCGTGAGTCTCTGTGGGATGTCAAGACACCAGTGACACTAATTTGGAAACGGGTGTGTGTTTAGTGATTGTTGAGAGCGTTTGGTTTTTGAGAGTGTCAGTGCAAAGAGTAGAAGGTAGAACGGAATTCATGATTCCAATGATGGCAATAAATGCCAAATAATGACGATCTCAGTGTCCAAGTGTCAAGATTGATCAACAGTATTGCTCAGTTTCAGATTCATGATGTGCGAGCAAAATCTTCTTTTTTTCTGCACATGCAAAATGAAGGAGCAACTGAAGAGAAACAAGCAATGTCAAGAGTAATGAGACAGATCATATTGCATACCTTCTGTTGATATCAGATGGAGATTTACCAGACAGGCTCATTGCCTCCATGTCTTCAGCCAACAAGACAACACCGCTGTCCTCGCTCGCAACGGAGCCAGCTTTTGCCTCATCTTTGACTTTATCGGCAGCCTTTCCACCCTTCTTATTATTCTTATTCTTTGGCGGCATTCTTCTAGTGACTGTCTATATGCTAGTCTGTGAATCGAGTCGTTTGGAGGCGGTAAAAAAAAGTTTAAAGAAAAGGCCAGCATGCGAAGTACGAAAATTCTCAATGACGTCGTATTATGCATGAATGGACGTGAACTTTCGTGACTTTACTAGTGGATATCCCATTACTGTTGGCATAATCTATATGTGAAAACGCGTTCGCGACTTGACATCCAAATCCCCATCTCACATGTTTGGTCGCTGAGAACAGGACATAAACAATTGGACACACCATCATGCGCTGCTCACTTCTGATCCTGGCTGTCATCACGCTACTACTAAGTAGGCCGACTACTGCTTTCTTTGTAAGTGAGAAGAAAACAATTACAATAATGTTCAACCTTCACTCACTACACCTCTACCTTGCATCTCAAATGTAGCAATTCTTCAATCAAGGTGCTGAAGAAGAGCAGCAACACTTCCAACAACCAAAGGCTGAAGGTACAAGCGGGCAACGATATGATCGTTTGGTTTCGGACAGGATCCAACTTAGACACGCCACTCACCGTTATACATATATTCACCAGAGATATGCAAGGGATTCATATGTAGTGACTCTAATCAGTGTGTGGACGAGCCTATACTATGTCCTTGTGGAGGGAATCAAGTCAAGTGCCACTATGGCGACTGGTGAGCTTGCCTGTTGAACTCCACGATGAATGGATCTAGATGCACTGGAATTGTATTCTTACGACTATTATTTCTTGCTAGGTTTGTATGCATTAGAGGGGATCAGACGTGCAACGATGTATTGAACTCGTTGTCCAACTAATAATCTTGGAATTTGTCGCTTTTTTTGCTGTACAAGACATTTTGTATAAAGGATTGATGATATTTATGCCATACCACTTGTGTAAGCGTGATATTCGCCAGCGAACTAGGCAGATACGATTGAATCAGCAGTCATCACATTCTGGCTTTGGCGATTTGACTGAACTCGCATCAAAAGACGAGTAAGCGAGACAACACGAGAGGAAGCTCAAGTGTACATTCTCGTTGCATCCTCCATAGAGCATCTAGCAGGGCAGCCCGCTTCTCAACTCGAGACATCCACCACAAACAAGCAGCTCCTTCTCCGGAAAAGGTCACACTCTTCAACAAATCAGCACGCAACGATTTGATGCTGTAGCAACATTGTAACTTTGCCAGTGATGATGGCCTCCATGGGCAAACAACGGGTATGTCCGGAAACAAGTCCTCCCTGCTGCCAACTGACTCTGTTCAAACTCATCAAACCACATGTCAAAACACTTACAATGCCATTCTCACACACAAACTCACATTCACTATTAGGACTCGCCACTAGTAAAGAGCTGTAGAGTAGTCGCAAGATGCAGATTCAGAAAGTCACAGGAACCGGAACATCGGCACTCGGTCGAGAAATTCAAGGAGTGGAATGTCACTATTACATGCAAAAATCCGGGCGCAGACTTACCTGATGTAAACGTGTTTGATGATTATAAAGTGTATAGATTTCATTCCTACTTATTCCGCATCGTGTTTTTAGGAAGCCAAAGATATGCCGTACGTGCAGTGTGTCATCTTCCATCCTCACCCGGACTTTGGGCTCGGTCCACAAGGTACGCTGTTGTTGTATCGTGGATCATCATCGTTTGCATACTCCCCCCCTTGTTCGATCATCTCATTCTCCCATCGCATATGTTGCTCACTATTCCCAACCATCCTTTCGCTTAGTGAGGACTTCAGCTCCTTACAGATTCGAGGCTCACGGATATGTTCCACACGAAATGATGGTTGAAGTCCACTTTGTAGAAGGCCCCTTTTTGAAAACGATGGCTCCTATTCGATTCGAAGGAAGTGATATCAAAAAGGATGCTAAAAGGTGGTCGTATTATGACAAGGAGGAAGACAAGGTATGCGTACGATAAGAAGTTGTAAAGGGAGGAAGAATCGTGTCCTCGCCTTGAGCTCAGTGGAGAGGCAGAGAATTGTGCGCTCATTCTGAACTCCACTCTCATTCTCAAATAGGTGTTTTCAGGCTTCACCGAGAATTTCAGACAGCTTCTGATACAAGGAAACCTTTTACAAACGCCACGAAACTCTCCGTCGCCGCCCGATACCACTGCAGGATCAACCCCGAAACGAAAACATCCAGCACTTCAACGAGGAAAAATAAAATCATCATCACCAGCAGTAACAACAGCAGCAGACTCCTCATCAAAAAGATCAAGCCTGTCCAAAGAAATCGTATATGAAGAGTCTTATGATTCCGATGATTCAATACATTCGAATCATTCGACTTCCAAAGAATCCTCATCCACTTCTCCTCCGATTACTCGAGGACATGCTGCGTCAGGTGCTACTACGACCAATGGTGCTACCAGTAATGGTCATAACATTAAGTCTAAACCTAGTAGTGTTGCTAGTAATGGTAAACAGAAATCATCGTCATCAAGTAGTCATCCCGTTGTAATCGTACGCTCATCGACAACGGCATCATCACCCTCTACTGCAAAGAGGAAGAGAACAGTTGAAGACGATGATAGTGATGCGAGCAGTAAAGGTGGTGATGCAGGTACTAAACGTGCTAAATCAGAACCACTTTCAAGTAACAAGGAAACTGTAATTGTTAATGAACAAGCTGCAGTAATGAAGGTCAAGCAAGGAGTTGTAGCGATGAATGTAGAACAAGAAATGGTGAATGGAGATGATGGATCAGAGGAAGACGACGATGTAAGTGTGGAATTCGTAACACAAAAACTTGTCAAGACTCTCAAATGAGGGCTCACATTACAACCTCTTTCTCCTTTTTTTCATAGAGAGTCTTTCACGACCCAACAGGCAAATCATTCACACTAAATGATGTATTTGAACGTATCGAAAGATTGGATTTGGAAGGAAGGCCTGTTGTGGATCTCATGATACTCATCAAACGAGCAAAGGATGCTAGTCCTTCTGTCTTTTACAGTTTTGATCCCGATTCAGAAGGTATGATAGGAGAGAAACGAAACATCTGAATGGTGTTCCGAGGGGCTGCTGATATATGTTTTCTGTTTAGTCTTGCAGTCTCAACTAACCAACAAAAAACTTGTCGCAAAAATTTCCTCAGGACCATTCGATTTCGACCTGAATTCACTTCCTGATCAGACAGTTCTGGATTTATGGCAGTTATTGGATCAAGCTGAGGAAAAGGGACGGGATGCTTGGTGGACAAATAAGACTAGGAAATAGTGTTGGTAGGGCTCTAGGAGAAAAGATTAGTCAGCGTGAGTTTCAAAGGACATATCCGCGACTTCATCGAATTTGCTTTGTTCGCGTGGCCTCTAATTCTCAACTTCTTGTAGTTAGGTTTTGCTCAATACCCAATTATTGGAGGAGGGTGGAAGACTTTTATGGCTTCATTGTTTACATTTTTCACAGAGTAGCAAAAGAGAGGGATAAAGGATTATTTTTCTTGTAAGTCGAACACATCAAAAACTTGTACAAAAAATTACCGTTTATATCAGATTGCGAGAAATATATACACAACATATTAAAAAAGGAAATCGTTTGGGGTTGATGTCGACTATCAGTATGTCACTGTTTGGGCAGAAGTGTATCAAAGATTACCACATACATTCCCCACAGAGCAAAAGACACTGACGTATGTATATGTCTAAGCAAGCTTTGACCGGCACATCGCCGCTTTCAAACGTACAGCCCATTCCAACACAATGACAGTTCCAGCCACATAGACTAAATCCGATTCCCAACACCAATACTCAGAGAGTAACGACAATTCGAATGGCCGTTGAGACCTCAACGATTCACATTCCCATATGCAATGACGTATCATTCCCCAAAGGGATGACAAGCTTGAGAAGAGTAAAGTGTAATTGATTCCAAAGAACATAACAAACACCATAAATGATTCCATCAAGGAATCTCATCACCAATGCACACTCAAAGAACACAGCAACAAAAACGGACCAAAAGCAGTCGGCGAAGATCCATACTCAAAAGGAAGATTTTGCTCCGTCGTTTGGGAATGCATGTTCCGCCATAGTGATAAAAAGGTTACCCTTGTGACATAGTAAGGTCTTAAAATGGGTTCCAACACCATACTTTGAAGAGGAATAGACTTCAAAACGGACAGACAGCGTCGAGTTATATCAACCCAATCCCATTGACTTTTTTGTCGGCATTGCTGGGTATTGCAATTTGCTTACCAATGAGAGTGAAAGCCATCCTTCGTCAAGCAAGAACAGGGGATAGATACTCTTCTTTCTAACAACAATTTGGCGCATCGTCGAGACTAGCAATAAAATCACGCAGTGACAAGGAGAAGCACTCAAGATTGAGACCAATAACATGGCAACGTTACCAACCAGCAGCTCCATTACTTAATTGACTGTCCATTCCCAACAGTATTAGTACCTGATATTTGCAACAATACCGTGAGAGGTTTTCATTTCATACTCTTCTTGTTCGATTAATTGCAAATTCATTTTCTGGGGTCTGTATAATCTGTCATCTACCTTCTGACGAGAATACAGGCCCGCGCTGTCTCAACGTTTGAAGAGCAGGAAGGCGACGAATACCATCACCACTAACACAGTCCAGATATCAAAGCCAATAGAAAAAATGTCACTTCTAAACCAATCCTTGCATTTGCAGCCTTGCCAGGAGGGTAATGGAATTCAGGTGGCCTTGTTCGTGAAGTAGACGTCGAAATTTAGCTAGGGTTTCGGATGTTTCATAAACATAGGCATCAAGAAACCTTGAGTAGGGTTTTCAATTTCAGAAGTGAGGAGGATAATGGTGCTGCTTGTGAGTCACATAGTATTTGGATGCTGATACAACTCCAGCGATTGTTTGTAGTTGCAAATTGACGTGAGCAAATGAGTATTGTGCTGCTGTTGATATGCTGAGGCTCGTATTTTTTTTGTTTACCAGTGCCAATATCGATGTAGCCTTGAGCGATGGAAGCAGCAATGTTTTCACAAGGAGATAAACCAGAGCAACACATTACGCGGACAGTTTCTGTTACTGCGGAATATGGGCTATCGAAGAAAATCCGTCTGTCAGACAAGCAATTGGCAACAAGGCCCGAGTTGAATGCCACTGATTTTCACCCATAGTAGATAGCAAGCAGTTCACGAATCTTCAAGACAGCAATAATGGTAAGAGACACCTCAAAAGGTGTAAGATCTTTTGAACGTCAAGACTTGAAAAAAAGTAGTATGATGACGTTTGGGTTTGACCTTTTTTTGCAGGCCAAAAGTTAAAGCTCTCACATTTGGATGAGATCAAGTAAACATCCCAATGGTTATGCGACATAAAAGGGAATGGAAAGGAATGAAAAAAGTGTTAGTAACGAAACCGTAGGCAAACTCAATCTGACAACCGCACAGATCAACTACAACAACGGTTTCAACAGAAGCCGTATATTACACCACACGATGCACACCGAGGCAGTGATACCAGTGGTAGCCAGGGGCTCCCTCCTGGCGCAGCGATTACTCTCTCGTGCTCCAAAATCAAGAGAATCAGCCAGGCGCAAAACTCCCGTTTCGTTGCTGCAACCAGTACCCAGGGGGTCATGTTTTAGTACTCCTGCCTCGCCAGGGGCGAGTTTGGCATACAAGCGAATGTTGCGAGAGCGTGTGTATGTTGTGTGTGTTCGGATCGTAAAGGTTCAGACTTACCGTTTGATGAAACGCCTTGCAGGACTTTTGTAGGACACACCGAGGTTGTATTTTTGTCTCTGTCTCATCGTCATGTCTCCACTCCTCTGCCTTACTCGTATGGTAAAGACGTATGTGCAAATGACCCTGAATGAAGATGTTGATGATGGCAATGCTACTACCAAAAGGTAGACAAGGAAAGAACGAACCCTTTGAACGAGAAGTAACGGTCACATAAAGTAGATATAATCGTTTCCTTCTCGTCCTTGCGCTCATCTCATCAACAGGCCGTAAATGCTGGCAAGCAGTACGACTTAGAGAACAAAACTCTTCTTCCCGAGAAGAATCAGAGCCTCGTATTGTTCCACTTGACGCGACTGCTACGCTCAGCCGTGTATGATAGAGCCTGTCTGTCGCACCTAGCTTGATTTGCGTCAACCAGCCAATATGACTGTCAACCAATTACAACACGCACGAGCACCGCAACACACACGGAGTGACATGATCATTACAGACATTTTTTCGACTGCTACTCGCGCCTCACTGAAATATATAGTTCAGTCCACCCTTGGTGTGATATCGCGTGGTGCGGCTCATTAGCCAGCCAGCAGCCAGCCTTTGAAAACTAGTACACGCCTCCATCAAAAGCTGCAACGTTTTACTCAACAACGCAACCCATTCTAATTGTAACTCCTCGAAGGGTAAGCTTATTTCAGAAACCTTGTACAGTAACTCAGGCTTTCTACAAAGGTTTGATACGCTGCTCACAATTTTTTGAATCTTTTGTCAGCCAGCCCACCAAAGAATGCTTTCTCCTTCGCCATCACCTGCTAAACGGCCTCGAACCGATGAAAAAGAAGAGCAAGTCGACGAAATTGAAGCAGTCCACCTCATATTGACGTATCCCAAGAAAGAACCAAGCTTCCAAGTCCGAATTGCACATCCCGACGCTTTTCCTGCAACTCGAACTGGTGTAAGTCAAGACCACAGAGGCCATAAATTTAAACTTGTCTCTTTCTTCAATCACAAGGGTGGCGTCGGTAAAGTGAGTTTTGCGTACATTTGCAAACATTTTCACCATTCCCGCTATAGAGACTTTGTCGCCGTTTCTATTTCTAACGCTTTTCTCCACACCATATAGACTACGTCGGTGTACTCTATAGCTTGGGAGCTTGTCCGCAAGGGTCAGAGTGTCGTATTGTTTGACCTTGATCCTCAAGAGAACTTGACCCAGTTCGTCCTTGGACGGCATGTCAACACTGACCCCAATGATGAAATTCGTGGGGATTATGACAAGTACTTTCGTACCTTGCAAGCCACAGATACGATGTTCACTGCCTTGAACAACTTGGACAACCCTCAGCGTCGAGAGTTGGTTCCGCCCATTCTTATTGAGGTGCTGTCAGTAAGTGCCATGGTGAAGCTTTTACTTGTGGGATGGCCTGTTTGAAAGGCTTACTGACCGTATCGCCTTCGTTTGCACCATAGCCCACTTTGATTCCGGAACCACCCCGAGGAGTAGCTAAAGGTCACTTGTATTTACTACGTGGCTCTCCAGAACTCTACAAGTTTGAAGAAGCTTTGGTCACTGGGTCGCAGATATTCGACCTCTCGCCTGCAAACTTTGCTGACAGATTCGGAGCACTCTTCCATCTGGCTCAAATCACTGCTCGTGCTCACAAGGCCAACTTTGTACTCATGGATTTGAGTCCTTCGTTGGGCATGATGAATCGCATCGCTCTGGCCAGTAGCGACTTCTTTTTGGTCCCCTGTGGTCCAGAATTCTTCTCGTTTCAAGCTGTGAGCTCGCTGACCCAGTACGTATAGCATAGTACATTGTGACAGTCTCTTCGGTTTTTCTTCGCTGAATGTCCCAATGCTGATATTTATTTCCATTCGTAACGCCAGACGAATTCCCGAGTGGCAAAACCACAATGGACGTCCCGCTAATGCAGATCAACCAGAATTGATGTCATTGGAGTATCTTTACCGTCGAACTCGGATTGCAAAATGTAAACTGTGAAGATTCAGCCCTTGGAACGAATTCATCTCACGATTCCAAACCTTTCAAATGGCCTCGCTAATCTCTCTCATCAAAATATCTAGACAAGATGAAACGGACAAACCCATATTCTTTGGTGGCATAATTGCTCGCTTCACTTTTGGAGAGGGTGGTATGCCTGCCTTCGGCATCCAAAAGTATCTGAGAGAAGTCGGAAGGGCCTTGACCCGCATGTCAGAAACTCTTCCTGCCAATTGGCGTGGTGACGCTGCGTTTTACCAGGAAAATAAGGGCGTACAACACGAGCTGCTTGTCTCGGCACCAGGGACTGCTGCTATTGTTAGGGTAATCGCAGAAAATGTTATCCTCAACCAACTTTTGAATTCCTTCTACAATTGCTCTCTGAACTTTTGCACTGTATTATCTTAGGAGTATCACCAGCTGGCGGCAGTGTCCACCCGTGAGTCTCTTCCAGTCAACATGCTCCAGAAGGAGCATCTTATTCGACCTGACTCAGTTGATGACAGAGTCTGGAAGAAAATTGATAATCGAAAACGATTATTACACAGTATTGGGGAGTTTCAACAAATTTTTGCTCATGTGGCACAACGTCTCATGGATGCTCGACTGCCCGATGGCGCTCGCGACCCTGTCGCTCCAACCGTAAGTGCTTTCGCTACCACCTGTCTTTTACCAGCATGAAGGCACAGCTACATCTTACTTCAACCTTATCACAGGCGGCTTGAAAGGAAAACGTGGTGCAATTATACGGGGTTTGCTTTTCATATTTTCAGTAACAAGCGATAAATCGAACTTTGAAAAAAAATCTTAACAATGACTGAAATAAAGTTTTACCAATGTTTGAAGTAAAAAATGATGTATTCATGATCCTGCCTTGTTCTGCTATTCGAACTAGTCAATTCGTTTTACAATTGCTCATTCTCCAACACACAAGCCAATCCCATTCCAACGCCAACACACATGGAAGTAAGACCAAATCGTTTGTGTTGCCTCTTGAGTTCGGGCAATAAAGTAGCAATTTGACGTGCTCCTGTCCTAACGTACCACAAAAGATGTTTACTATATTGATTTTTGTTCCAAGACTTGAGACAAACAATGCTTACATTCCCAAAGGATGACCTATAAGCCAGGGGGAAAATGATTTTGTTTTGGTCAATCAAGTAGATCACTTTTTGATCCGCCAAAGTACACAGCACAAGGACTCCCAAACCCGGAAAACATCATGACCAAAGCCAAAATGCACTCACCAAAAGCAATAGCACCACCCTTGGGATTCAATTTTTCCATTGGAATACCAAGCTTCTTGACACAGTATGCAGCTTGAGAAGCAAATGCTTCATTGACTTCGAAAATGTCAATCTAGCATAAAAAAATCAGTTATGGCCTCGGAGGACCCTCGTAACGGTCAACCAACACAAAACTTTTGATGCGTGATCTCTTACGTCGTCAATAGTCAAACCAGTTTGTTTCAAAACGGCAGGAATTGCAAATGCAGGTCCAACACCTGTTGTTCACAGAATTGGCGGTTTCAGTTTTTGTTCGTGAGTTGTGAAGAGTGAAATGTTGTATTCTCGAATGTTGGCCTTACCCATAATTCGAGGAGGAACACCTAAACGAGCGAGGATGAGCAATATGATCGAGGTTTTGTTGGCGTTGCAGATAAAGTATGACCTTACCGACAACAGAGAAGCCGACCCATCGAGCAAGAACAGGGAGACCCAACTTTTCAGCAACACTTCGACGCATCAACAAGACTTAAAAAAAGACAACAAAAAGAGTTACGACGGTGGAATTGTAACACTCCGAATCGAGTACATGAATACATCCTTACCAGCAGCAGCTCCATCACTGACTTGACTGGCATTTCCAGCAGTAGTGGTACCTGTTTTCGGGAATAAAGTCAGGTTTTAGGACTCAAATTTTTGACAAAAAAAGACAGATCTCTTCCACATATTTCCTACCTTCAGATGAGAATGCAGGACGAAGTTTTCCCAAAGCTTCACGAGTAGTAGGACGAATACCATCATCAGCATCCACAACAGTTCCATCCTCCAACGTGATGGGGACGATTTCACTCTTGAACAATCCTTCCTTTTGAGCCTTGAGAGCTAGAGAATGAGATCGGAATGCCAAATCATCTTGTTCTTGACGTGTGATTCCGAATTCTTGAGCCACGTTTTCGGATGTTTGGCCCATAGGAATCAAGACGTCTTGGGCAGCTTCCAATTCGAGGATTGATGGGGAGATGTCTGTTGGCATTGCTTGTGGGCCATAGTATTTGGACATTGATTCGACACCCGCGCCTAAATATGAGTCAAGTCAGCAATACGGCACAAGTATTATGATGCTTGCTATTATAATATTTTTGGTTTACCAATGCCAATGTCCATGTATCCTTGAGCGATGGAAGCAGCAATGTTTGCACAAGTAGCCAAACCTGTGCCGCATTGATGATAAATACGTTAGTTTTGGATTCGTTACCATCATTGCCAACAAGTTAAACAAAGTAGCCCAACCTGAACCGCATTGACGATTGACGGCTGCTGTTGCAGCAGATTCTGGGATCCTATGATAAGAGAAAGCTGTGTCAGACCTTGCAATGGTAAATATGACCAACCCTTAGAATTCCAATGGATTGGGCAAAAAACAGAGATGCCCCTTCTAGTATGACCTCCAAGCTAAAGCCTCCTTCGACTTACCCAGCATAGATAGCAGCCATACGAGAGGTTTGGATACCAGCACCAGGCATGAGGACGTTACCAACTTGAACGTCTTCAATTTTGGCAGGGTCAATGCCGGTTTTGGCAATAGTAGCCTTCAAGACTTGAGTCAAGAGGAATTCAGGATGAGTTTCCTAGAGAATGAAGGGGATTTGGAAGTGGTTTCAGCAACAAAGGAGATGGTGTGTGTTGTTGTCTGTTTTTCACGTGTGAATAAGAGTACCTTGAATGCACCACGGCCGCCTTTACAGATAGGAGAGCGAACTATGAAATGATGTTGTTTTCGATCAGTACTGATTCCAGCGCATATAAAACCAATAGCGGATCAGATCAGGAAATGATTCCAATATATGAATTCTTCCAGAAAAAGACATAACAAATGCGACGACGTGGTGGCAGCAGCATCAAGAACGGACATAAATGGCAATATGATACCATATGAAGGGCACAAATCGAGTCAGCTTACGGGCAGAGACAATGACGACATCGTTTGGAGACTTGGCTCGCTTTCCGGCAGCCAGTGCATTTTCGGAAACGTGATTTTCTTGGTGGTTGTTTGCTGCTACCAAGTGAGCAGAGAGACTGGAGATACGTTGTTGTGCCGACATTTCTATACGTGGATTTTGATCTTCTTGTTTCTATTGGTTTGTTTTTCTATTGTGTTTGACGGAGCTGAAGAAACGTTGATAAGTCTTGGAAAGATTACGAATCATGGATTGTACTGGAGTTTAGACCGTGATTTGACGCGAACATTACCTTCACGAAAATTATTTGGTCTCCTCCATATCCACGTTAGAGCGACCTCGGAGGTCCCATCTCGCATGGATCACAGCAATCGACACGTAAAATTCAATCAACCAAAACCACTTTATTTTATTCCATCTCTTTAGAATTCCATTCTTCTAACTCAATCGTCCACAAGTCCACAATACTAAATTCTCCTCACAATTTCACCTTGCCACCCACAACATCATTGTACTCCTTCATCGTGAACTTTACATACTGCTTCTTATCCTCATCAAACATGTAGAGAGGATCCGTTACTTTACGAGGATCCATACCAGCATCTCGTAATGCTGTCTTCACATGTTTGAAGGTCACCGTCGTCGTCATCTCATTTTGCAGACGAACCCAAATGGGAAGAGCGTATCGAGGCAGCTTCTCAGCGACGTAGGTTCCAAACTCGGAAAGGTTGAACTCGGGCGTTTTTACAATTGAGGCCATTCCTGCACGGCCGTCTATGATAAAGCAGCACGTAAACACAATACAACCAAAAGGACGCAAATACAAATGAAACAATGTTACGTACCTTTGCCTGGAACCTGGACTCCATACACGTTACTCTCTTGTATGCCAGGGAAGGCATTAAGAACATCGGCTACCTCTACAGATTGTTGGCGATGTGTCAGAGCCAGTACTTTGGCGACAATTTTCACAAGATCTTCGTGCAAGAAAACGACTGTATGAATAAGGTTACCATTTGTAGCCACATTTTCGCCCTTCCATCTAAATGTATCACCGATACGATCCTAACAGGTTAAAAGAATGATGAGAAGAACGCTTGTAAATGCGACACAATAGCAGCACTCACCATAAAGTAGCAGTAACCGTTTCTATCCCTTCTAATGATATCACCAGTGCGATCTAATGGAATTGTAAAGCGAGCTAAGATGCGGTAATACGTTTACAGAACACACACACTTACACCACAAGTCTCCCTTTCTAAACACATCTTTAAGCAACTTTTTAGATGTCCCTTCGTTATTCTCAAAGTACCCAGAGAATGTACGACCAGCAGCTTCATCGAGTTCCGCGATCAATTCACCGGGCTCGTCGTGGAAGCACTCGACACAGAATCCGTCTGGTCCACGGACTGGTTTCTCCTCGTCAAAGTCAAACTACAGAAAGAGCATCGTACGTGGTTGAGTAAGTTGGATGTACATTTCAGAATATCAAAGAGGAGAGAAGTCAACAGACAACTCATCTCGATTGTGGATGACACACACCTTAACGATTCGCGAAAAGTCAGCGAGTCTTGTCCAAGCCGTTGATCGTCCAATGCTTCCAGCAGTGGCATCTGAATTATTAAAGTTAAATGTACCGACTACACCCTCACTGTCACGGGAAAACGTGTGAGATGCGGGTATCGTGATAGTGATTCATCAAATCGAATGTATCTTACGTTGCACCGTAAAATCTGAGGGGAGGTAAACACAAGGACCCAATTAGTTTGGTGGCGTCAGTTATATGATTTGAAATCCTGCCAGAAGACTTACTCGGCGATTTCCCTAAAAAATGCACAAAAGAGGTCACAAACTGGATCCATATTTATATGAGAACCTGCGAAATCCTCTGTTTCCACTTACTGGATCCCAAACCTCTGTCTAAATTGCAACCAAATTTCCGGTCTCAGACCTACGAAGGACCAAGGGTGGGGTTCAACAAGTTTGTTTCCCATTGTGTTCACTGAACTCATTTTCAGCATAATTGCGTACCATTTCCAACCATAACTCTCACTTTATGTCCACGATCGACAGCTGGATTTGGTGGCTAAGAAATGCGAAAAAACAGTCAGCTGCTACACAGACGCAAGGTCGATGCCTATTCCAGACGCTCCGAGGCATAGGCATGCAAAGATACATACCGTTGCTAGAAGGTAACTGCAAACGACAAAACTCGAAACATTAGTTGGTATTCTGAGTTTTGAAAAGGGACGACAATTTACCGGCAAAGCTCTCCAATACTACAACAATGTAACGAATTGTAAGATTTTTAGAAATTCGATACTCGATCCAACATGAAATTGACTAGTACGTACTATTGTGAAGTCGTACAACCATACTTGGCACAATCAGAAAAGAATCTCGAAGCACTGAATTTTCGTGCCAACACAAACGTCATTCCTGAAAAGAAGGAGGCAGTCATACAGAGCCAGTTGGCTGCTGAGTGATAGAGCGGCTAGATGAAGAAAATCGTGGGTAAAATGTCTTTTTGAACGCGAGCGGTCAATACTTGGTTGTCTAAGTACCATGCCAGTGTACGAAACGTCGTCGGGGCGGTATCGTGCATACATGGTCCCGATGAGACCTGCCATATCCAACCGAGCGTGCGATATGTTGACAGCCTCTGTGAAATGACAGAGAGAAGGAGGGGGTGTGAATTAACGATCTTAAGAGTTACAAACCGTTGATGTAAACACGTACTTGGAAGCCCAGTAGTTCCCGATGTCTTGAAGACACAAAAAAGGGGAAATTTAGCTCCGGAATGCAAAAATTATCCGACTATCCAACTCAAAACTTACATAAATAAACTCTGCCATATCAGTGGGCCCAACCGAAGTCAGCGCACCTGGAACAGGACTTGTATTCATCGTGCTCAACATTTCCAATGTCAAGCACTTGCGATGCTTGAGTTTTTCAGAACCAGGTCCAATAGCAATCAAAAGCACATCCTTCCGTGTGAGTAACGGTTCGATATCCTTCATTGGTTGCTCGAATTCGGGAGAATAGAGGATCTGACCACCGTGAGCAACATTTAAGCAATGTACGAGTGGTTTGTCACGTAGGTTGTGGTTTATGAGTGCGGCAGTGCATCCTGCTTTCATAATCGCCAACCACGACACTACAAACTCGGGGCTGTTTTCTTGCACGATTGGAACGACTCCCTTGGGCTTCGCGCCAACGGAGACCAGCATGTTTCCCAATGCATTTGACACTACAGTGAAAGGTTCGTGTTGTTAGTGTGTGTTATGACGACGACGATCGGGCCAGCGAGAGTCAACCCGCCCAAAGCTTACATGCATCAATTTCCCCGTACGTCCTTTATTAAAATAATTGAAATGCGATTAGCTCACATTGTGGTTTGACCATAACATCACGCCCGACACAAATTGTTTTACCATGATCTGCCATCCTCGGCAAAAACCAAACACTTCTTGTTGGGATGACGGTCCACGGAATTTTTCCAGGTGTGGATGAAGTTGCCTTTGCCAGTTAAGGCCCACTAAGCAAATTCCAAGTCTGTTAATTGGATGAATTCAACTTCCATTTTCGTGAAACATGAAACTTGCTTCAGTCGCTTTAGGAATGTATGCCTTTGTGGAAGCATCTACATAGGCTCTTTCTGCTATTCCAACCTCGCCCTCGAGGTACTCAATAGGGCTAGTCGTTGGGCTATGTGGGTTTACGTATTGTACGTTCTGCATCTTGTCTTGTCAAAAGTTGGAGCAAGAGGCGAGGACGAGGGACGAGATGCCTCTAATAGCAGTTTCGTTAAAATCCCGACAGTTCAAGCGACGAGGATGTAAATGATGAATAGTTTGGACGTTTAATATAAGACGTGTTATTATGAACAAACGACCGATCGGCTTGGTGCGAGTGAAAAGAGCATTCAGAGGTTTTTTGGTTTTTTCAAGCACATTCGTGATTCCCAGTCACTTTGAAGGCAACTACGCGTCGTGCCTATTATTTCACGCAAGTTTGTCTATGAGACTTTGCCAAACTCTCTTCAAGCGTGCCTGCGTGGGATAAAACATGAATCACGAATCGAAAATTTCTTAAAACTGAAAAATTTCAATTCGACCTCACACGCCCATAAACAAAAATGGCAGCCTGTGATATAACTGACCCTACCATCGTCACTACTTACTTGGAACTCGCAACCGCTACTGCAACTGGCAATGGAATTGACTGGATGATAATCTTAACAAACAACGCCAACGGCAGGTATATTGTCGCTGGCTCTGGCAAAAAGGGACTAGAAGAATTTAAATCAGCAGCCGCCACTATGTCTAAGGATCATGACGCTTTCTTTGGCTTTTTGCGGGTTGAGAACAAGGTCGCAATGATATCTTTTTTGAATGAAGCCGCAACAAGGGAAAGAAAGTTGATTTCTGCTACTCATGAAACACAGATTGCTACGGTATGATATCCCGCTATTGCGCCGTGCTTTTCGAGATCATTATTTGTGCTTTGGGTTCCTTGGAACACAGTCTCAGCTAAGTCTAATATTTCTTGTTATCAACATAGACTTTGAAATCTGCAGTCATCATGAACATTGCCCATGTTTCAGACCTCACCACCGAATGCGTTGCTTCCTGTTTGGTGAGTTTTCTGTGGCATCGCCAGTATCACTCTCACATGGCTAAAACACCTTCACAAATAGCGCCCAGACTCTGGTAACTTCCTCTCGGAAGCCCGCTCTCCTGCACCATCCATCAAATCTCCGTCTCGCTCACCATCCGCGGAAATGTCTCGCCCCTCCAACGCCCCTCCAGCAATCCCCGGATCCATGAAGCGTGAAATCTCAGCAACACACCGTCCCGACTCTGAAAACATGGAATCATCACGCGAGTCACTTGCTATAGACGAGACTCGTCGTCTCGCTGAAATGAGAATACAACAAGCGAAAGCTGCTAAAGAGGAAACTGCTAGATACTTGAAGGCCTACAATACTGCATTCAAGAATGATCTTGATGGGCTGGCTAAGGCCAATAAAGAGTTTAAAGATTTAGTTGACAAGGAACGAGAAAAGTGTGGCAAGAATTCTCGATTGGAGACTTGGATTAATTATCAAGGGCCAGAGCATAAGACGTGGCATCAAAAATGGGCTGTTATTACAGTACGTCTGTGTTGTTGCTCTATTCTGTAATTGGAGTTAAGATCTATTCAAAATTGTGAATAGCGTTAATCGTTTTTTCTGTCTTGTTTAGGAAGGCAAGATCTCACTAGTCGACCCAAACAATGGCCCTTCGCGAGACATTTTCTGTCGAGTAGCTACTTATGAGCGACAAGACAGAAGCACCAACGCTCTCAAGTACAGCTTCCTTGTACACGGAGCTTCCGAATCTCATCAATTTGCTGCTCTCAATCCAAGTGATTTCATCAAATGTTTGGCTCAATTCCAATAGACGAGCTAAATAACAACAACATAACCTCCTCCAAGATTCTAAACAAGAAAAGACCAAATGTAGCATTTTGTGAACAGTAAATTGTGTTTGCATTCATAGTTAATAAAGTGGTTGCAGGAACACCGGACATTTACATAAGTGAATGAACAATCAAATTCCGACCTGCACGATTTTGTTTCAGTGATTGAGGTGTTTCTATATATTCAAAGTTCATCATCTAAGTGCATAAATGTGGCTCTACCGATACCAACTACAACTACAACCACTACAACTTATGGGTTCACTCTCATTCTGTTTGACATGCTGTACACATGGTCACCCTCCTTCGGTGCGACAAGAATATTTCCTGGATGCACAATATTGAATACTGCAAGAGCGACAAATATAGCAGCCGTGTCGAATGTGTAGAGCAATCCTTCGATTTTGGAAATTGGAGAGAGGAATCCCTGAGCAAATTCGGCGACACGGTATATGGATCGGATCTGTACATTCGAAAATATTTAGTAAGCCATTCATTCACTCACGCAACAAAGCAGAAAAAAAAATAGCGTCAAAGAGATGAAATCTTACCAAGATAAAAGCAGCACTGACATACAACGCGGCCATCAATCTACGCCATTTGTAGCCAGGCACGACACGAGCCCGTCTCTGGAATATCACAGCCAAGAGTAGGAAGCAGGCAATAGAGAAGACCTGTACTGCCAGCCCAGCAAGAAGTGAATACAGTCCAAAGTTCAGAGTTGATTGATCTTTGGCAGTGACAAGAGCTGCAGAGCCACCCCCTTGAATGACAAAAGAGAGTATGTCCATTCCGACAAAAATGGGAGCAACGTATTTGGGGTTTACGGGTGAGAATTCCACCCCAATGTGTCTGATACTGGAAGTAAAGGTCGGAGTAAAGTAAGAGGATGCAAAAATATGGAAATACTTTTGTGTGATTCATCTCTTACATGCGAGTCAGAATCATGTAATCCCCTGCCGCAACAATAACAGGTGCCAAGATCAATATTGACTGTTGAGCAGCAAACCATGTTGAGCTCGTGACATGCGATGCAGCATTAATACGCATGCCAAATCCAATGAGTTCCCCTACGATAACATATCGTTGAGTAATTCGATTCTGACACACACACAGAGACACAAAGTTGGAAGTACTTACAGAAAGCACCTATCGCCATAAGTATCATATACCAGCACGGTCTGTAAAAGTACATTTGCACAGAATGTGCTACACCAGTAAAGAGGAAGGCGAGCATTGCAACTGCGGCAGCAGCGACACTTGGATCATATCCAAAGAGATCTCTATCTATAAGGGAGAGGTTTAGTATTCAAGACAAGAAAGAAAAAGTTAACTTGAATCGCTTGTTAAATGTTGTCAGTGAACTCACCTGCTGCTACTGTTGTGTTGGACATTGGTTTGATGATGGTTTAGAACGTTGCAGAGATTGAGTTCGACGACGAGAGGAAGTTCTTGGATGCTTGTATATGTTTGATGCCATGGTTGGGAAAGCTTGCTGTCGCCTTTAAATATGCCTGCCAATGGTGCCAATTGCTTGAAATTGCTTGGAAGAGAGTTTTTCATGTGGTGGCTCAGTATGTCCCAAAAAGGAAATTCTCGTGCCAAGATATTTCTTGCCAATGCAACTCACGAAGAGCGAAAGCAAGAGGGAGCAGAGACAGTAGTTTGGACGCCATTTGAAAATCTAGTGCTCAGATATCCAGAGGAAACAATTCGCCAAAACCCACACGGAAAACCCAACGAGAACAAAAGCTAAATTGAGCATTTTCCAGATCAACGATGTTTGGTGCTTTAAGCAGAACGAGCTTGTTGCAATAGGGCTGTGCTAAAGAAGCGAAACCTCTGCTTTTGCAACTGGTTAAACTCTTCTGACCTATATGAACGAGATCTGCGTCCAAAAAAAACAGAAATAGGGTTTTTTGTCTAAACATACACTGGATTATCGCATTTCTGAGTATGTGAGATCATATTTCGACGCAGTGGAACGAAAACGATCTTTTGCAAAGAGTGCGGCTGGTCAGAAGGATCCTGCTTTTTAAACCACATGAATAATCCAGGCCCAGACCGCCCGAGTTCTAGTTTAGTTTGTGAGGTGCATGCTTATATTCAAAGTCTATAATCTAGTGTATAAATAATGTTTTCATCTCAACTACTACTACGACCACTCATCTAGGGGTTGATTTTGTTTGACTTGGCGTAAACATTGTCTGCTTCCTTGGATGCAACGAGACTGTCTGCTGGATGCACAATGTTGAATACTGCAATGGCGATGAATATAGCAGCGGTGTCAAACGTGTATAGTAATCCTTCGATGGTGGAGATTGAAGATAGGAAGCCCTGAGCGAATTCGGCGACACGGTAGATGGATCGGATCTACATTGTGAAATGAAATTGGTATGCGAGTCAGTCATAAGTGCGAGCGAAAAACAACGCAACAGTGTGTCAAAGAAACGATATCTTACCAAGATGAAAGCAGCACTAACATACAGCATAATCATCAGTCTGCGCCATTTAGTACCAGGCACAGCACGAGCCCGTCTCTGGAAGATCACAGCCAAGAGCAAGAAGCAAGCAATAGAGAAGACTTGTAATACCAAACCAGCAATGAGCGAATTCAACCCAAAATTCAAAGTAGCTACATCTTTAGCCATAATGAGAGCAGCAGATCCACCACCTTGAATAGCAAACGATAATATATCCATTCCAACAAAGATGGGAGCAACGTATTTAGGGTTCACTGGTGAGAATTCGACTCCAATGTGTCGGATACTAGGTTGGGAGGCAAGTTAGACGATGCGAAAAAAACGATCGCCCAAAGTGATTTATATCTTACATGCGAGTCAAGATCATATAATCTCCAGCTGCAATAAGAACAGGAGCCAATATCAACATTGATTGCTGAGCACCAAACCATGTTGCACTAGAGGAGTGCGAGGCAGCATTGATACGCATGCCAAATCCAATCAATTCCCCTACAATGCCCGAAAAGAATGGGTTGAGCGAAAAGAGCAGAACCACTTCATGCGAACAATGTCGTTTTCCAATAACTTACAGAAGGCACCGATTACCATAAGCAGCATGTACCCACACGGCCTATGGAGATACATCTGCACAGAGTGTGCTACACCCGTGACAAGGAAGACAATCATAGCGACTGCAGCTGCAGCGATACTTGGATCATATCCAAAGAGGTTTCTATCTATAAAGTTATAGAGTCAGTAATCAAGATGAAAGCACAAATGAGACCGATTATGTTTGACATATGTTGTCAGAAGACTCACCTGTTGGTATATTAGACATTTGCTGGCAAAGTTAAAAGTTTTTGGTAAACCGAAAGATCAAAGATGAAATGGTTTCGAAAATTTGATGCTGGAAATTTTCTGCACGTCATCGTTTGGGAAGTGGTTGACTCGACTTAAGTATCCTCGCCAATGACTGCCAATGTCTTGGGTTTTATATCTTCGAGGCGCAGCTTTCTCCCAAAAAAGGAAATCCGAATCACCAACTGCCAAGTATTTTCTTGCCAAGAGTTTAAAACTGCAGAGGGCGATTTCGGGAAGGACACGTTTGGAGGACGTTTATGAGAAATAATTGTCCAGAAATCTTACAAAACCACACAGAAAATAACCTGGAGATGAAAAGATTGCCAAATTGCAGCAAACATTTTCATTAAGAGAGGACAGAAGTGGTGGTATTTTAAACAAGAAGACCTTATTACAATGGAGTGGTGCGATAAAACATGGTTGTACAGCGATCAGTGGGTCAATCTTTCTAACCTATATAAACGAGATCTGCATCCAAAATCCCCATATCAGTTGCAAACGACACTTGGGCATTTTGCAAGGATATTAATGGAATCTTGGGAATCACGATTGGGTTTTCGTCCAGATACTCTGTTATCGTGTCCGTGACTCGAGCAAATATAACCTGATTAGGATGCAAAATGGTAGTTACAGTAGGCAATCAATACCGTATCGGCCTTACCTTAAAGAGAATAGACAACTTGCTAGGGTCTAACGTCCCCACATTCGACTGCAGGACATCTACAGCGATATCGCCCATTGTTAATTCCGCTTTCAGCATTAGCAGTGCCGCATCCGGATCTGATGGTATGACTGCTGCTATAGCTCCCAGTAATATCTGATGGGTTTGTCCGAGTGTGAGTTAAGAGAGAAAAAAAACCTTCAGCGCCTATCTTGGTATCACTCACGTCGATTGAAAGCGTAAACAACTCCAACCCAACTTCATCAGATTCATCCATGATGGCTGAGAAGCGACTCTTTATATTTCTAACAGTCATAACGACCCCTTCTTCAGGATTTATAGCTGCCATTGGCGCTATTGTCATGTCCATATCTGCAAGTTTTAGCACAAGAATGATCAGCAAAGGGGCACTTCAAAACAGCAAATTAATACGTCAACCGGACCTAATAGCATGGGCTTCCACGTTGGAAACATCTCTTCGACTCCTGGAATGTACGTTGACCAAAGAGATGTATTCAGTAACCTGCAAAAAGTTTAGAAGTGATTAGTCAGAGCAATCAGAGCAAATACACAAAATCAGAACAGCAGGCTTACTCGGCACTAAAATTCTGTGGTGTCAAATGAAATACCATTCGTCCTTGCTTGTGGAGCGTCCAAGCAAAACAATTTACTACCGACACATGAACGGTTCCCCTTGTCATGGTTTCGCCCAATGAAGTATGAGATTGGGCAGAGTATGGACACTCTTCAAAATGTTCCGAGTCCGGAGATTGGAAGAGTCCGTACAGGTGCATTATAGCAGCTTCAGGTTGTATCGATGGATTATCAGCGAAAGAAGTATTTAACTGAGCTCCAAATATGTCGACTGCTCGAGGCATGCCGTTAAACACTTGGTTTGCCTCGTTTGGGAGTGTTTCCATTATGAACGCTGTGATCTGTGTGAAACAAATTGAGCAATAGAATCTGTCGATCACAAGAACAGAAACTTACCTTATCACAAACAGCTTGTTTCAAGTTGCCTCTAAACATTCCAACCAGCATGTTATACAGCCAGTTTGCACCACTGCCGGTAATTACGACTTCAATTCTAGCGAAATCCGTTGCAGCATCAATAATATTCATTTGTATGCCACCGTTACTCTCAGTGAATACTGGAATGGCCGCCACGACGCCTTCATATCCAGTGACTTTTAGATGGCCTGCTCCTGAAACATGTGGGAATGGTAATTGGTGGTACTGGTAGTCGGCTTCGAGCGAGAAAAAGACGTTTTCAATATCCAACGCGACGTTTCCTTCGCCGAGCCTTATGACGGCTAGATCAGGATCGGCATTTAAGGCAACAAGCTTGATATTTGTTAGGATGATGTTGACGTCGCCTGTAAACGTGTAAAATGTAAGTGCTGGTGCTCATGGTTTGTAGCTCCTGAATGTTTTTTATTTCTCCAAATGTTCAACGATAGAGGACCTACCAACGACTTTAACGTTGACGACGGTGTCGACATCAGCGAGATCCAATCCCTGGAATTTCTCATTGACGACATTTACGGCTACCTTGGCCACATAGTCGAATAAGGTTGATCTGAGAACAACAGAGACCGAAGGGGAAATCTCAGTGGGAGCGATATAGGTCGATAGCACCCTTTGTGCGGTATTAGATCTTGCATGGGAGAAGGCTATTATCCCCAGGAGGAGCCACACTAGTTTCATGGTAAACAATTGCATTTTTCGGGTCTGTTGTTTCAAGATTCATGTCACGAGTCTGGACCAATGGGTGAGCAGCACGTTACTTTCAAGAGTCATTCGATTGGCAGAAAATCACGTATGATTTCAGTAGGAAGAACTATGGGATCTGTGGAGAACGTCGCGAGATCACAAGCGTTGAGGACTGTTTGTCTGAGTTCTGGATGATAAGTCAATGATATCTTATCATTGCAGAAAACACGTCAAATCACGCCAGAATCCCAACGTGGAAGCTACAATTCCCCTTTCGTTTATATATACGTGCAATTCGATTTCGACCTGCTCTTATCTTTGTGAAACTATGGAGCAGGCGTTCAACGATGCAAATCATCGCAATTTCTTCTTCTGAAAGCTTCGTGGCAAGCTTATCTACTAGTGCTCTGAGTCTCCAAGATCTCAAACCAGAACTTGATTGATGCTGAAATTGATGTTTCATTCCAAAACGCCAAGCTGTCATCAACCAACACTGGCACTGCTGACTCCAACCAGGGAAGTTATTGATTCATTTAAGGCAGTTGCTGCCAAAGGGTTGGCACTTTTTTTATTATGAAGTCTCGTTGAAGATATGGATCAAATCGCTTTACTACTCAATAACGAGTAGAACTAATAGCCCCATTCATCTCAACATAGTTCCGTGTCCATATTAAATATGTGATTGCGGCCTCGCAAGCTCTACTACAGCAAGTGTAAGGACTCTCAAAATCATTCCTCTGCAGACTGGACTTTTTGGAGATGAGAATCGCAAGCTTGTTACTCGAGAACAAGTAAGAACTCTGTAGTTGAGATAACACAATGACCTAGCTCATACCGTTTGCTAGATGATGAACTTCACAATTGTTACCATGAGTCACATCTCTCTCGCCGGCAGCCCAAAAGATCCGAGCTCCTCATTCAACAAGATGGAGTTGGACCTTGTATTTAAGGACATCTTTAGTGCTCCAACTTGGCACGAGATCAATGAAAACAGGATTGAGGAGGAGATTGTTTTGGTCCCGATGTAAGTCTCGATCTGTTTTCGATTTACTGTTATTCTTATTGAGACACCCCGATTCGCAGAGCCGACGATGTTGAAAACAGTAGCACAACTTAATCTAAATTCAATGAAGAAGGGAGGATCTTCGCTTTCCCCATCAAAACAACACTGTTCTGGGGTTACTTGTTTTGGATCACAGGCCCAGCGATTTATGGTGGGCATGATGACTTCCCGTTTGTGTGAACGGAAAAACGGGCTACCTGGAATCTTATCCCCTCTTTGGCAACTTGTCGCATGTTGATGAATGTTGAAATGTTGATGTTGATGGATTTGCAAAGAGGGACCTTGAAGAAGGAAGAGGGAGCGAGGCCTTGAACAAGCATCTTCGGATCTTGGAGGATCCATCTACAGAAGTGGTGGAATGCGTTTGTTGGAGTTGAATGTATGTATTTGCTCGAAATAATGGCAATGCGGCAACTTGCAAATACAGACGATTTGACATACCAGATGAGTGTCCACTAAACCTAGACCACATAATGTAATGTCCATCCACCTGAATCTATGCTCTCTGGTCCCTTCTCTCAGATAATTGTGTCTGGTTGGGTTTGTTGAATGTCAGGAATGCGTTTGGAGGAAACGACCGATTAAATAGTTTATTTTGTGGGAGACAAGATATACAGAAGAACGCGAATCACGTGTTATGGTAATCTGTTGTCAACAGACTGTTAATGGAGTGGATACTTGATGTCGCGTCCATAAGTCCCTCTTGTTTTATTTGGTTGCTTCGCTTTACGTCGATAGCATTGACTTGCCAAGTAGCAGTCAGCATACATACCATGCTAGGCACCTCCAAGCAGCGAGAGGCCGAAGCAGCACATCTAGCTACACTCCGATCAAAGCGGCTCTCGATGACTGGTCAGGATATTGCAGCAAGTGGTGAGAACAAGGAACAACCAGCTCCAAACCGGGCATTGAAGCCCACAGGGACCAGTAACTCTGTAGATCCAAATGGTGCAGCACCCTCTGTAAGTTGGGAACTCTCGACTCGTACAGATGAGCTTCTTCGTGGAAATCAGCAGAACATCAACATTTGTCGACTCTGACAAAGCGACACCTCTTTTTTGACAGGCTGGGCCAACTGATGATGGCAAATACACATCTTTGGTATATCTGTCTGGATCCCTCTCAGATGATCCAAAGAGAAACTATGCAATCGTCAAAGAAACATTCAACTATTTGGAGCTTATTCATCGGTATACTCAACGCAGACACACAGTCTCGTGGTTGTATCCTGGGCCTTATATATCAAATTGCTTGGGTCTCCTCCGTGTTCCACATGTAAGACAAGAACGACCGCATTTCTTAAACATTGGGCCTTGACATTAACATTTCTGCCAAACCTGAAAGATCAAACAGGCAGCTGAACGTAAAGTTGGTGTCAAAATACCCGACCTAGTCACCGACATCAGTATCAAATCCCTATCAATGACTTATACAGCAATGATGATCGAGGGTCTTCAACCAAATGCAGAGTTATGGACGCCAAAAGGATACCGATTACAAGATCACGAAGTGAAAAGCATCAATGGAATCAAGCACATTTATAGATTCGAGCAAGTCGGAGTCCTTGACGGCACAGTCTTGGACTGGGAGGAAAACTACAAGGTGAAACGAGACCAAATCAAATCAATATTCAACGTATTTTATCCAATGGAACGTATGGTATATAAGCCGATCGCCATAATAGTCAACACTCCAACTACCCTACTTGAATTTACCGATATTGACCCTCAATCAACCGTTGGAGACACGGTGAAACGCATTGGCGACTTTGACGCTGCATTAGCCTGCCAATATAATTTTATAGCAAACAGGAAGATTGTTGGTCTCTCACTCACATTCTTGGACAACGACATCAATGATGGAGACACGATTCATATGCTGGAGAGGATGAAGGGGTACTAGAGAGGGGGTTTGGAAGTTTGGCTTCTGGTGCGAGAAGCAAAGAATGAGAATATAAGGACGGTGACGTCTTTATCAAGTATATTATTTTGTATTGTATATTTGCTTGTCATCAATGAGACCATTGCTTCTCTTGTATTTCTCGTGTTTCTGAACAGCAATCGTCAAGCGCATTGGGGCCTGTTTCTCAGTGACATGCTGTATGAGTTTCTTTGATTTCGATGGTGGGTTGTTTGATATATTCAAACTTGCGTCCATCGATACTCACATACTATCATGATATGACAGTACAAGCAGAAGCCAAAATGGTAGCCGTTTTTCAAGCTACAGGTTCTTTCAAAGCTTAAAAAAGCTCTAGTCCTCCAGATATCAATACGAAAAATCAATCCTGGTATTGGCATCGACATCAAATTCGAAAATGGTTGGATTTCTGCAAGCGACCCGAGATAGTTCCACCAAGGAACACTAAAGAAGAGCGTTTCCTTGTATGAAAAGGCTGGCAATCGCCCTGGATCTGCAGAAAATCGCTGGTACGCAAAACGAAAGTGTCGACATCAAATCGCTTTCAATGCATTTCAAGACCGTACGCTCTGATTCACCGTATTGCCAAAACGCATTATATGTATCAAATTCTATAGCTCTATATTTTAATTCGTACCAGAAAGCGTCACAAAACACCCTCGAGATGTGGCCAACCGATTGAACTCTTGAATCCGTCTATGGATTAATGATTACAATGAAATCATCATTCCAGATACCACATTATCTCCTGAAGTGACTCAAGCTCTAGCTGCAAAGCTATCATATCTCAAGTCTGAAACCATCACGGAGGACCAAATCAATCCTTTGACAGTTTTTGTCGTGAGTGTTTGTTTGGTGTATGGTGTGGAGAAGAAGTATACCGAAGGCACCGTGATTGAAAAGTCTGTACAGTCGTCCTTTCATATGAAGTTTCCTATTCAAGTGATGATGTTGCTGCATTCAATCACGCTGCCACGAAAAGCTTGGTGAGTGCTGCATTCAAGGCACGGTGAGAGAAAATGGAAGTTTTTTCTCGCTTTCCGCACTGACAGACTTTCCTATGTGATAGTTACGAGTCCATATCAAATATGGTTCGGAAAGGATGGAAATTATATTCCCACAATGCAAGAGACTGGGCTCGTTGGACATGAAGTTTCGGGACATATTACTCGATAGCACCCCAATGTAAAAGGCTTCGTCGTTTTGCCTCCGTACGATCTTTGCAATTGATGAATTCTTCACCTCATAACATATTAGGGAGATGAAACTACATCGAATGCAGGCACGTCCTATTCAATACTGGAACCGCTCACCGCCAGTGGATTCAAGGCTGAAAGTCGAAAGGAGCCAGTTATGTCTGTTGCAGACTTGAATCTCTGTCTTGCGTACAAGTAACTTTCAACCCTTGTTTTCAGATTTGATCACTGCATGGGCCTATTCTCAATTGTATAATCTTGCTTTTTCACATTTTTTATGAGCGTCGTCGCATTCGACGTGCTCTTGGTGTCTAGATAACGCTCGATCCGGCAAACGTCTCCAACGTAGCTGATCCAGCTCATGGAAAGTTACCATCGACCGCGTATCATCGACAAAGTGTGGTTGATGCATTTCAATATAGAACAATTTTCTTTGATCATTCAGGCCTGACGAATCTGTATCGAATCCAAGAATGTCATACTACTCTCTCCTATCGAATGCCCAGGTAAGAAAATAGGGTGACGAGTTCGTTAATAATAGGCACGCTGACACTTGATTCTCTTGCACATCTAGATTCGATTGTATCCAAATCTTTAAGTGGACGTGGACGAGAAGCTGTTCACATTGAACTGACATTGTGGATGTTTATTTTCAAAGTCAACCGCGACAACTAGAATGGCAATTGGGCACATTGGTGCAGTCATAAGAATCCACAGGAAGGACGTGATATGACCAAAAAAGAATATACGGCTTGCAACATGGAAAGTCTTGTCAATATAGCAGTTCTTGATCTGAGATTTTCACGTTCAATTTTGCGACAGCGAGTATTCCACATCTAGTAACATTTCATTCATCTTCTCATCCTCGGATGTCTCCGTTGCATTCTGTTCGTCAATCTTGGGCATATCTCCAATTTGTTCTGTCAACTTTGAGAGCATAGGAAGCGAGGAACAGCCGAATCAAGAACAGCGATGGCTCATAATGACGCCCCACCGACGATCAAGCACATGGAACTACAGTCCATCATTGGGTTTGGAGGTAAGAACTAGTCGCGAATAACTTGTTGAAATCAAGGACAGGCGCGAATAGAGACAAAACAAGATGCAATTTCAATCAATCAACCATCACAACTCGATATTTATATATCATAGGATCTGTACCTGGTGGATTGATAAAGCATCCAGATGGCATCCATATGATCTACCCACTGGGATCTACCGTCGTTGTCACCACATCAACAAATTCAAACTCGCTCGCAAAACCAAAACAGGACTTCTTACAGGGACATACTAACTCGGTATCGTGTCTGGCTGTATCAAAGGACGGCAAACTCATTGCCTCGGGTCAGATAACGCACATGGGTTTTCAGGTATATTCTTGCATTATGCACTATCTAGTTGCTTGATAAGCAGACAGAACAGGGTCATGCTTACTCGCATTTGCTACTCAATTTCAATATCTAAACCATACTTGCCCCTAGGCTGATATCATCATTTGGGATTTCGAAACAAGGAAACTCATACGACGACTATCACTGCACAAGGTTCGCGTTCAAGCACTAGCATTCTCTCCAAATGCTCAATTCCTGGCCTCGCTTGGCGGCCAAGACGACAACTCTGTAATCGTGTGGGATTTACCTTCCGGAACAGCTATTTGTGGTGCTGCAGCAGCAAAAGATTCATCCGGAACCGCCACCTGTCTAGCTTATTTAAATAACGATGAACGATGTTTCGTAACTGGTGGCTCTGGAAACATTCGTGTATGGGAATTATCAGAGATCGAACGTAAAGTGAGAGCTCAGGATTGCCAGACTGGTCAGATCAAGCGGATTGTCAAGTGTTTGGCTATTGATGATAAAGACGAGTTTGTTTATTGTGGAACTACTACCGGTGATTTGATGCAAGTCAATCTCAAGACAAAGTTATTCAAATTGGCTGGACCTCCGAAAGAAAAAGTGAGAAAACGACGGAATGTTGCTAGGGAAAAAAAATCGTATCGAGCTTCTGGATGCTGATAGCAATTATTCTTTACTTCTTAGGACTTTTTCAGTCTGGGTATTATATGCGCTACTATTAATCCCAAGGATGAATCCGTCATTGTTGGATGTGGAGATGGTACCGTTGCTACCCTCAAACTACCTACCCTGAAAATTGTCCAGTAAGCCACGTAGATCTCTCGGTCTATGCCGATTTTTCGTTTGCTTCTTACCAACCCATACGAAACATAGATCAACCAAAGTCGAAGGAAGCGTAACATCCATCTCACTAGACAATGGAAACAATTTCTTGGCTGGTACAGCTGCAGGAACAGTGTACATGGTAGACGCACTGACATTCAAACCAGAAATGAAGTGGGCATGTCATTATACTGCCGTTAACGATGTTTGCTTCCCTCCGTAAGGATTTCGAGAATAACAAAAAAAAAAACTATTGTGGTCGGGTGATTTTGACGTTTTCAATCAATCTTTGCAGGGACTCATCCGACATGTTTGCAACAGCATCAGACTCTGATGTACGAATCTGGAATGCTTTGAACGGTGCTGAACTCGTTCGAGTAGTTGTACCCAACTTGGAGTGCAAATGTGTAGTGTTTAGTAAAGATGGATCAAGTCTCATCACTGGTAAGCAGTGAATTGGTACCGAGAAATTCAACTTTTTTTCTCATACAAATTTCGTTTCCATTATAACAGGATGGAATGATGGCAAAATCCGAGCATTTGGTCCACAGAGTGGTAGATTACAGTATGAAATCAATGATGCACATCGCCGTTGTGTTACGGCTGTAGCTGTGACTGATACATGGAATGATCGTGGTGATTACAAGATTGTTTCTGGTGGAGATGGTACGTAGAAAAACCTTGACATAATTTTACAGATGAATGCAAAACACCTGGTATAAGTCAATGGTATCGCCGCGTCGCACTTTATCTAATTCGATCATTCCCTCAGATGGTCAAGTAAGAATCTGGAATATCTCAAGACATGTCCAAACTCTAGAAGAAGCCATGAAGGAACATAAAGGTATGGCATATGTGAGTTTATCAGCAAAAACGACACATCACTTAATACTCTACCATACAGGAACTGTCACTTGCATCAAAATCCGTCGTAACAACAATGAATGTGTTTCATCATCATCCGATGGTTCTTGTATCGTATGGGACTTGGTACGACGAGTCCGATCTCAGGTCTTGTTTGCCCCATCCTTTTTCAAGGCTGTTGTATACTATCCTGATGAATCTCAACTGTTGACGAGTGGTACTGATCGAAAGGTATGACCGATAGATGTCATTGGTAAAATCGCTCATTACTTTTCTGATCTATTCGTTTTTTTCCCGCCTGTTCCTCTTTAGGTTGCCTATTGGGAAGCATTTGATGGTTCCTTGATTCGGGAATTAGAAGTTTCACAAGCTGATGCTGTGAATGGACTGGATATTACACCTGATGGTCGATTCTTTGTTATGGGTGGAAGTGATAAGCTTGTCAAGGTGTGTTGCCTGTCCTCGCGGGTTGACCCTCTTCTTCTCTCACCATTCAATTGTTAAATCAATCCAATGCAACAGGTCTACAAGTATGAAGAAGGAGATGTAGCTGCTGTGGGAATCGGACACTCAACAGATGTAACCAAAGTACGAGTGGCTCCTAATGGGAAATACATGGTCTCTGTATCTGCTGAAGGAGCCATCATGTCATGGGAACTACCACAGTAGAAAAGACGAAGACTTTCTATGACACTTTCGAGCTTGTAAATATATCTACACCGACCAACACCAAACACACAGAAGCTTAATGAAACCTGTTCTTATTATATAACTCAAACATTTTTGTACAGAAAGTGTGGTGACGTAAAAAAAACACTACTCTAGACTCTTATCCGGATCCGGAGAAGCAAGAAACGGTTTGCAAAAGCTTGATTATGAGCTGCGGCTTTGTCCATCTTACAGCCAGCCTTGATAATGGAGAGAATTCTGATTGAGCTGCTAGCAATTCAGCAGCAGCTGAAATTGTCGCGTCAGGTTGTTGCAATTCCACTTGCAACTCGGGATTGTGAATACACCCGTGAGACTGCATGAAAACGAAGAGGAGAATCACAGATAATTCTTTCGATCTACCATTCATTCATATTCTTTTGCTGCCCTTACCTGCCATCTGCAACCTCCTCAACACAATCATCGAAATAGCCAGCTTCCATTTAGCATGATTTAGGCTCTTGAAATCCTTAGTGATCTCATGCACCTATTATTTCCGATTGTTCAGTATCGTTAATCGGTTTGACAAGTGGAACCAAGTCCTAAAATAACAACACTCTTGTGCTTTGCAAATGTTGCACCTGCCTTGTTCGTAGTCTTATTCGTAGCTTTCAATTCTCCAAGAATCTGTTTATTCCATCAAAATCAGTTCCAGACCGTTCAGTTTTGGGGTTTCTTGATCAAAATATCTAAGGTATGCAGTGTACGAGCAGGCAACACCGACTGCTTTGCATTTGAGTATAGAAAGAACAAAAGAGAGGGTCATACCAGGCTCGAATTTGGTTCAACAAAGAGGAGGCCTCTGTTGTTACTCCAAAAAAATTTGAAGCCCACTTCAAAGATCCAAACAAGAAGCGAATACTTAAAATCCAGTCGTTGACCCCATACAGCAGCCGATCATCATATTTTGAGGCGTACCACAAGCGAGGTTTTCTTTTCCAAACATGCACCATCAAAATTCCTGTGACAACTTAATGAAATAGTGCTATTATTATATACTCGACTTTGTACAGCATGGTGACAACAAATACAAATTCCAAGCCCTTTCACAGACAAGCAAAAACCTCGTCAGGGTCCAGCTATGGATTCCTCGTTTTACCCATCCCACTAACAAACTTGGTAAACTGTGAGAATTGTTGCTGAGCTTTAGTTTGCGATGCTGCAGATGCAGCACTAGCACTGTTGGCCGATGATGTAGCAGCATTACTTGCAGCAGCAGCAGAAGCTGATATTGTTGAAGCAGGTGTGCTCAAACTCGGTGTTGCAATACCACTAGCAGCTCGGTTTTGGAATACCTCGATTACTGCTTGTTGATCAGCTCGTTTGAGACCCTAGTTATAGAATGTTTGAGTGCAAAGCTGAGAGTGACAGTATGGATAATCTCGGAGTAACGTTTATTGGTAGCTCTGATTCCAAGAACAGCTTACCTTAAGATCCAAAACCTTTGAGAAGTTGGCAACACTAGGATCATTAAACAAGAGTATATAATTCTGCACCAATCCTTCCGGTGGCTCATGCGGTGACATGACGACTTTGAGCAACTGTTCAATCTTGGTTACACCTTTACTCAGAATCTTTATGTATGTAGCGGGTGCTTGATGAGTAGGATCAGATCCGATGTTGGCCATTTCGATTAATATACCACGTAACCCTTGTGTATCTAGCAGCATTTGCTCAGCACCAATTTCAGATATTGGTTTACATTTATATATAACATTGTGCCATTTTGATAAAATTGACCTAATCCATCGAGGAAAAAAAAGTTAGAGATCTGACTATTCCATGATGCCGAGAAAGGCCTTACTCTGAGAACTTGTCACAAAACGTTCGATAATATTTGTGATTTGTGAGGGTCTTTTTGATGATGGAAGCAGATGGACCAAGTGCTGTTGCCATTTGAGACACGAATTTCGATTGATCTCCAACAGACTCGACAGCAGACCATGACATCTTGGAGGCTGAATTGAGTGGTCCTTCATATACTAACTCCATAGCTCGAACAAGTGCCTTGACACCGTTCGAGGTAACGCTATTTGAATTGAATTGAAAAAAGGCATACTTGTGAGCAAAAGAATACATGAGACTGCCCGAGGGATAGCTGTCTCACTTGAGAAATGATTCTCGCTCCTTATCGAAGTTAACTTGCTCCTTGAACTCTAAATCAATCTTTTCTTGCAGCTTTTCTTCCAACTATACAAAATGAAGATGAAAAAAGAAGCCTCACATTGTGGCATAAGACGTTAACATTCTTGCAACCGTTACCTGGGAAGTCGTACTGGTACAATAATCAGCAGTATTAATCACAAAACTGATTGTTCTGAGTTCATCATCAGTGACATTTCTGGATCTTCCATCATCCCTAAATATCGTTTAAAAAGCGTAAAAATTACCAAAGCTAATCCTTATACTACATTCTTCCTTTTTTTCTTGCACCTACACGCTGTCATTTCTGGCTTACCTTGGCAATTTAACTTGCAATATATCAGCATACGCTCTCAACCACTTGCCAAACAGCTTACACATCTCCAAGAATGGTTTACGAGTAGACAGTTTCGCACATTGAACCAAGCTTTGTCGATAAAAGTAAAACAAGTCCGTGGATGACGAGTAGATTCCTTCTTCTTCTTCTGGTTTGATTCTGTACGAGTCCATCATTCCACCGAGTACTCTACGAGAGAAGTGTCACTATTCATCGACTTCTAGGGATTTTTTCTGCATCTTACATACTTGTCTTCAGATTCAATATAATAAACCAAAGACGACTCAAATGCTGCTGAGATAGCCTTGCTGAATTTGCCATTTTGTGGTGCAACATCATGATCTCCTTTTGGTGATCCAACTTCGTCGCCGACCTAGTGATAATGACTGTTTAGGCAAAAAAAAACCAATTACAATATCTTTCTTACATCACTCACTCGTGACCCAAATCTCATTCCTAGTTTACTCTCAAAGTCGATCGTCTGCTGTAGCGCTTGCAACATGATCTTGGTATCTACAGTAGCACCCAATTTGACTAGTACAGCTTCGAGGTCCTTCCTATAGGACAAAAAATCGAATGTTATCGGTCAGATGCTACACTGAATATCTCAAGCCCATACTTGGTATCCGAACAAAACTTGTCACAAAGAGACTCGGCCACACCCCACGACGATGAAAATATCTGTGAGTGTTCATCATCGTATGTTTTCAGTATTCGTTTTAGCCATGCATATCGACGAGATACGTTGTCTAGACCACCAACCTATATAAAAAAAATGTTTGCCACGATGAAACATAAAGCTGCTGGCACCGACATTCTTTGCGCCTGGTTCGAACTCACATCCAAATTGTTTCTGAAAATGTTGCGATAGTCTTTGAGCTGTAAATCCGTGTACCAGTCAATGAGTTGTCTCCTGTAAATCCAAAAAATCAGGTGTGAAGACGAGGCGAAGAAACAAATGCAAAAAGTCTCAAGCTGACTGAAACACAGCATATCTCCCACTTACTTGGCATCACCTTCCAACACCTCAATAACCAAAGACGCATCACTAAGCAACTTAACCTGTGACCTCAGGTTACCACCCACAAACCTATGAGAAAGTTCTCCACGATTATTTTTTCGTTGTTTGAACATCGATTAACTCAATTCAGCTCACCCAGCATCAAAGTCATTAAATATTTGCCTCCTCAAATCCGCCTGTATATTCGTAGCAGCTTCACAAAGGACCGAGATCTGACGCACGGATTTGTACGGTCTGAAATGTTGAAGCAATTGGACTGCCACTTGTAGGATTTGAGCTACTTCAGTGTATTGTTTGCGTGAGCCCATTACACGGAGTTGGTCTAGTGCCGAGACTATATTGACCAAGAAGAGAATTAAAACGCAACTGAGTTGATGTTGAGATGGTATGCATATGTCTTCCGTGGTTGGCTGACGTTACCTAGCATCTGCAACCTCTTCAACACAGTAATCGAAACAGCCAGATTGCGTTTAGCATGATCCAAACTCTTGATATCCTTTGTAATCTCATGCACCATCATTTCAGATTGTTTGGCTTTCTCTTTAATCAGTTTGATGCGTGTAAACAAATCCTATTAAAACACATCGATATTTGAGTCAACCCTTTTTGTCGTTCAATCGTCTTCTAAGATCCAAACTGGATGAATAGATACCTGCATAGCCTTCTTTGTAGCTTCCAGTTCTCCCCGAATCTGTCCACCGGCATCAGTTTGCGATCGAACCAATTCTCGTATTTCTTGATCTAGACCACGTATCTTGGTCCGTAGTTTCGTTAGGACTGTGTCGACTGTTGATAATGATTGTTCTATATTTAGAGAAACAACATTAGAAATTACTGGGACATGATCTAGCGTGTCTCTTGCTTAAACCACACGAAAGCTTTCCAAACTGTGTTTGATGTCCAAACCCCAAATCAACGACATGCGACAAAAAAACCAGAGCCGTCCGAATTATTGAAGGGTAATCTAGGGACTGCGCGTCATTTGCTGGCGTGTACGTACCGTTTGGAAATAAGGCATTAATATAAGTAACTGGATCGAATTCGCCTGAATCAAGTGGGTCCTTGTCCAAAAGCACACTGGCCACCTGAGATTCAATGTCTGGCGCGAGTTTGATCACTTCATGTCCTGATACCTCGTAATCTCCCTCCATTGTTGCGTTATAATTCAAAGTCATCCAAATCCAATCGTAAACTGTGGCAAGGTGCGATCAACACATTGCAATACACACAACAGTTTTCTGGCTTTTTGTTTGATTGGACATTGTACTACCGCCGCCTATCCTCCCAACTGGACGTGTTCCTTTGGTTTATAATATTTGCTTTTCTAACAAAGATATAGCTTATGATACAAACTGCATTTGACATCCTTCCTCCCTTTTTCTTCCATTCAACCATTCTCTCTTCACTAGTTGATGGCATCTGCAATAATCCTCGACACCCCTTCAGACAAACTACGAACTCCCAATTCGAGCGTAACTCCACTCGATGGATCAAAAGCCATTCGTGCTCGTACAAGCACTGGAATACCTCCTGCAAAGATACCAGACAAGAGCAAGGCATGTGTCGTGGCTCGGTCTCCTATTTGATCCGTGTTTTCAACCGCCATCATACCAAGTAATTCTGTTACTTGCGTCACAGCCTCTATTGGAATTGAAAAACGTTTCGAAGGTTAGTTTTTTTACGGTAGCAGAGAAGGCAAAGATGACCAAAAGAGATTTTTTTAACACAATCGTTCTTGACATTTTGTTATCAACTCACGTCGAATACTGGTAGTAGCAGTCAATGAATAAGCTTCAACAACTTCATTATCCTCTCCTATCTTCTCCCATGCACTCTTGAAATCAGATGCATATGTAGGCAATACATAATCGGATGTAGCCAAATCTACTGTCTCCAACTAGGAAAGGGTGACGACGATGAGCAAAAAAATCATATCTCACACACTCGAGGTCAACCAACCTGGTATTCATCTTCATATCCTTCCTCATCAGGCTCTCCAGAATTAGGATCACAATCTTTCACAATAAACTTCATCGTATTGGTAAAGGTCGCTAGTGGACAGATGCCTCCTGGTCGACTATATACTGCATATATGATTTGTGGACTGCCATATGCTAGTCGAGATACAGGCAATACCGTCTCCAATGTCATCAGACTAGCTGCTTCATCTGCAGATTCGAATGTCGTCTCCATCGTTACATTCTCCAATAACGAATCGTTGAGAGTGTTGGTGCAATTGAACTATCGAGGTTGGTCTTAGTGATGAACTTACTTTCGCCTTTTTTTTACCGTCAACTATCCTTCGACAAAAAGAAACCACATTCATAATCTCCACATACCTGCAAAACCAGATGCTCTGAAAACACATGCTTGATACACGTCACCACATACTCCAATTCAGCTTCCGTCAATTCAACAGCTTTAGATGACTTGAATAATGGCCCCAAAGCAGCCAATTGTGGAATCTTTTCCATCTGTCCTGCATACATAGATTGGATATCACCACCGGTTGCCGGGGCTGATGAAACTCCGCCTTGTGATGCACCACCTCGAGATGTAGGTGCAGATGATGGAGTACCGGAAATGGATGATGTTGGTGCAGATTGAGTTGGTACTCCCATGATTGCATCTTGATTGGCAGCTTTGACTCCTACAACAATACGAGTAATTCGAAAGATGATTAACTGTGAAAAAAACCATACAGCTATCTAGCATGACCGTACTCATTCTTTCAGATTCCTCTTGAGCCTTGGTAACAACTGGTGTAGTAGATATATCGAATGGATGATTGTGAGCTGAAGTATTGTTAAGGTAGGTCATGAGGTTTCGTTCCAGTGAAGGCCACGAGTAAGTCGTTTCTGAAGATAAAACAGGCGTGCATGAGTACGGATACGTATGTTTTGGATGATGTTTTTGCCGACAACGTGTCCTACTCACCATTGGCAATATACTTTTTACACAAGTCTGGAGATTCCAGGATTGAGAGATACAAGGCAGCACGATCTCTAACTTCATCATCGACATCGTCCAAGCATCTAAAACAAGACAAACAGGTTGAGATCTCCACAATCAACAGAGCCGAGCTGAATAAAAAAGGAAACGAACAACTGACGTATACCTGTTGAGCAAAACACGTATTCTATCCCGCAGCTCGTCGTTCTCAGCAGCAAATCGAGCCAATGAACTGACAGCAGCAGCTCTGACAGTAGCATTCTCCAAAATAACTCGATTATAAATGTATCGGATGTATTTGGATGGGTTGAGTGCTTTGGGTCCTTCTACTCCAAGCAAGTAGAGAATTCGAACAGCCAACTTGGTGAACTCACAATCTTCAATGAATTCACACAAGTGTGCCAGTGCTATTACGATATGGAAAAGAGTAATGTCAGTAAAAAAGGGCGATGTTTGATCATGATCAGCGCATAAAAACAGTCTTTGTTTCGAGACTAATGATCAAGTTCCCGTACCATGCTCTTTAGATTCTGGAATATGATAAATGATATCAAAGATGGCCTCAACAATAGCTCTCTTGTATTCATAACCACCTTCATCTCTCAAGACATTAGAGAGGAACGCCAACATGGACATTTGCTTCCCAGGGAATTTGAGACAAAGTGATCGAATAGCATCAATAACAATGATTTTGAATTCATCCGAGATTTCAGACATGAAGCTGGATATTTGCTTCATGAGCCTATCAACACTAGCCTCATTTCCAGTCTATTGAAGTTTTGTTTGTGGACAAGTTAGCAACGACCTAAAAAAAGTGGGTGCGGGAAACCACGAATTCACCTTGAGGAGTGTGGTAATGGCAAATGTAGCAATACTACGATTAGGATCTGTAATCAAATTCTCCATATCGACGTTACATGGAGATACAGCGGCAGGATGGTTCATTGCTAGTTTGTTGAGAGTTCGGATGGCAGCGAATCTTAGAGCTGGTTTGTGATTGACCAACATCAATTGTAACGCTATGATAATTTGTCGTAGCAGTCAATACAGGCAGTCAAACAAAAAAAGCAGGCTTTAAAAGCGTCGTACCTGCCACGGCAGGGAACAATTCTTTCGAAGTAATGTCTCGTAGATTACAAATTGCTCGAGCAGCTTCATAAATGACCATATCGTTCTTGTGTCTCAGCCATGCTTCTAATTGAGGATACATGGCCCGACCACCACTAAAACATGATCATGTTTGGTTTGAGTGTACAAACCACCACAAAAAAGGAGCCTTATATTGGACAAAACGATGTAGGGCTTACCCAGTTTCATGTTCATCATCCATAATCTTTGCAGCATACCGAATCAACAAACAATAAGCAAAAGGACTTCGCAAACTACCAGGAGCCCTAGCATAATTCTGCACCATCTTGATAACAGCCATTCGATCATGCTGACGAATCTGATACATGAGACCTAAGGCATGATACTGCGTAATGACACCCTTTGAATTAATAGCCTCTTGTACTTCATTAGCCCATCTCTTTACGATTTCTTTATTAGCATGGAAAAGATGTAGTGATGATACGAGGGCAGCGGAAGCGACAGCGGGGTTCTTGTCTACGATAGCCTGTTTGAGGAAACGTTCGATACCCTGCAGTGTAGTGGAGTCTGTGATTTTGCATAGGGCGCGGATTGCGTTTGGTCTGTAGATGACATCTGACTTTGCATTCATGTCCTTTGTCAAACTTGAGGTGACCATGATGACATCTTCAGCGACCGTGGATAGCTCCTTGATGACTAGGTAGACTATTTGTCGTAGCGAGACCTGGTGACGTGGATTATGATATGTGAGTAGCAGGTTAGGGGTGTCTTTTATTTGCTTCTTCCACCCAAGCAACACATTACTAGATGCACGTCCAACAAGGCACTTACATCTTGAGACTGAAATAATTTTGTGATTGAGAAGAATGTCTCTGTAGCTTCCTTTGTGCCGAACGATTCGCCCTGGGAGATGAGATAGAGTATTTTTGCAATGATGTGTCGACATTTGCGTGGATTTATGGGAGATTCGTTGAATGCTCTGGCTTCTTGGAGCACGGTGGACTTGTCTAAATTATTAAAGCCTTCTGGTCCTATCATAAAGAACATATGGCGAGTTAGAATTAAATGTTTTGAATCTTGTCAACTGTTTGAAACTAGGAATGAAACACTAGGCCGTGCATACCAGAATCCTCGTCCTTTTTGCCTCCATTGGACACTATTCGTGGTATCGACGACATGTCTTGGTAAGTCTTCCCTGTAATCGTATCACGGTCGTTTTGAATTTTGGCCAAAAGTTGTTGCAATGGTCGGAGGAGAAGAAATAGGCACTTTACTAACTACAATCTGTAATCTTAAATAGACATATCAATCCAAAATCATTATACCACCACGTTAATACGTGTACTTTTACGTGTCTCCCAAGGTATTGTCCTGTAACAAGACACATTGGACATCAAGTGGCACTGTGTGTTGATTTGCCCACACACAACAGTTCCAATGTCAATGACAACAGAATTATGATCTATTTGCCCCCACAATCAATCTTATTCACCATCTTTCACTGACAGATCAACTTGGGTCAAGCCTCAACATCTACTCACCGATAACAATGACACAATCTCGAAACACTGAATTCCATTCCCTCTTTCCAACCATACCAGAACATGAACCCCTACAAGAAGTTTACATGTGTGCTCTACAACGTGACATTCTTCGGCAGGGTTGGCTATATCTTTCAGAACACCACCTGTGTTTCCATTCAAACATCTTAGGATGGCACACTGAAGCCGAACTGGCATTAAAAGACATTGAAACTCTTATCAAAGCTAATTTGGGTCTCCTTTCTAATTCTATCGAGTTGACTACACGGCATGACAAGAAGGTGGGAACAAAGACCAATTTCTCAAACGATTCTACTTTTTTACCTCTCACTCAAACTCCTTTGGCTCTAGTTCTTTATATCGAGCTTCTTAGATCGTGATTCAGCATTTAACACCATCGAAGCCACCTGGAAAACCGCCAGAGTAGCAGGTACTGTTTGAACTCATATAGACGTGTTTTTGTTGCGTATCTCTCAACCCACTCTTTATTATTCATCACAAGCCCCACCACCACTCCCAGAAAAGGACTCCCCAACAATACCAAAACAATCTCCAATAATACAATACTCACCCTCAGCTCCCACAACATGTCCAGACGACGCATTGCACCACACCTTAAACAAGGTAGTGGATACCATCATACCAGCCCACATATCCGTAATATGGAATCTAATTTATGGGAATCAAGACGGATGGATATCAAAGTATTTTGCAGCTGTACGCAAACATACGAATATGCAGATCCATCCCTGGGTGTCGAGTGCTACTACAGCTGAAACTGATGCAGTGAATCAATTACAATTGTATGATGCTATTGATGAGAAATGGCATAGGAAGGTGCAGTATACCGCCCATCTTAACAATCCATTGATTAAATCTACGAGGGTTTTGATTGCTGATACGATACTGCATTATGAAAAGGACAAGTAAGTTCATTTTGAAGATTGGCTCAAATGGCCAAAAAAGTGAGCCTAGCCATATGCAAACATGTTACTTATGCACATCTTATCTCTCTCTTCACAGATACATATGCATCGAAACCATATCCAAAACACCAGACGTACCATCAGGCAGCACATTCTCGACCCGTGTACGTACATGCATCATATCAGATACCAACAATTCAGCAGCTACCCGACTTCGGATATCATGCAAAGTCGACTTCACTTCAAAGACGATACTGAAGGGGACTATCGAGAAGGAGACGTTATCTGGTCTTGTTAGTCAGAGTGTTGAATTGGTTGCTCATCTTGTTGGGTATATCTTGTCAAACACTGCGGGTACTTCGCAACAGCATCAAGCAACGAGTGTGGGTAGCCAACTCACTGCACATTATGATAAAGAAGAAGTAATCCTAGTTGTTGTTGATGAGAAAGTTGGTGAAGAGACGACGGGTGCTGCCAAAAAGGGACACGACAATAAATCTGCGAAGAAACGTCCATCTTCTGATGCAAACGTCAAGAAGGGATGCACTATAATGTAACACACTGTGTCGTCGTCTTAAAACACTTAATTCTGACACTCCCTGCCTCAATGTCATATCTTTTCTTATTCGTACAATTCACCTAATATACATCATGTTTCTTCTTTTATACAAATTTTAACCTATCTCTTTATATTTTCCGTTTTTCAATCGTCAAATTCCATTTGGAAGCTAGCATCCGCCTCGCCATCATTACTTATAACACCGTTCTCGTCTTCATCAGAGGCCTCCACATAAACAGACTTCTTGATAGCGGCAGCGCGAACCGCACGACCAGGTCGTGAGACTTCAGCGGTGGGTGCTACTGGTACAAGTCCTACTAGACCTCCGACTGGACGTGATGATGGTGGCGAGGCTTCCTTTTCGACAACATCGTCATCTTTATCTAATACAACGGTAGGTTTACCAGGTGCCTTTTTCCTTGATGTTTCCTTCTCCGTCACAAAATCTTCATCGTCATCTGATACAACAGTACGTTTACCGGGTGCCTTTTTCTTCGAGACTTCCCTCCCCATCATAAAATCGTCATCATCTGATACAACAGTAAGTTGACCGGGTGCGTTTTTCTTTGCTGCTCCTGCGTCTGTTAATTTCTTTACAGGTTTGTTGTCTTCTTCGTCACTTTCTTCTACTGCTTCTTTGACAGCTGCCTTGATGGTTTTCTTTGGAGCTGTTGGTTTCTTAATAGATTTGACGTCTTGCTCGTCACTATCTTCTATTTCTTCTTCTGAAACTTCTTCACTTTCTTCCTCACTTTCTTCTTCTGATTCTTTTCCTTTAGCTTTAGAGTACTTATTAGCCTTTGGTGCTGCAGCTGGTTTTGGGGCTGGGGCTGCCTTCTTCGCAGCAGCGGGAGCCTTTGCTGCTGGTCTGGCGGGTGCTTTCGTTGTTGTTGTTGTGGATGGCAATGGCAAAGTTTTCTTTGGGGCCAATGGAGACTTGACAGGTGATATAGGTACAGGCATTTTGGATTTGGATGCTAGAATCTTTGAGGGAGATCGTGCCAAACTACTGCTACTACTAGAGTGACTCTTGAAGGCTGACGATCCTGCTAGACTAGAAGGCGATGCTGGTGCACTAATGAAATTTATCTCTGTTAACAAAAGTAAACCGCAACCAATGCAGCGCCAGATACAACTGATGATCCAAGCTCTACTAAAACAGAGAAGTGATTCCAATCTCATACCTCGGCATAGATGGGACTGCCCTCTTCGAAGCTAAAAGCTTATTCAAACGATCACTCAAGGCATTCCCTGTCGGTTCAACTTTTGGTGACTTTGGTACAGCCGTCATGGTTGCTACACAGAAACAGATAGAGTTAGCACACACAAAACCGATTGACTGACCTAACGGCATCAGCTTATTGGAAACTTACGAAGAGCAGACTTCTTTGGTTTGGGTGAATTAGTGACTTCATCGTCGTCTACATCCATGGCATCCTTAAGAGCAGGTGCTGCAACAACTCTCTTGACTGTACGTTTGGTTGGTGGTTTGACTGGTGCTTTCACAGGTTCAGCCGCCGGAGCAATCACTGGTTTGGCTTTGGAAGCAGCAGGTTTCTTTGGAGCAGCTAGAAGCCAACAACGACAGAATTGATCATTCGGTGGATGCCAGAAATGCAATACAATTGATCACTCACGCTTCTTCACTTCAAATACATCATCTTCGTCATCTAGATCCATAGCATCCTCAATATCATCATCATCATCACTATCAGCAGCCTTCTTCTTTGGTTTGGTCTTCTTGATGGCAAGCTTGGATCCTTTCTTCATAGCAGGCTGCTGTGATTCAATCTCTTCCATTTCAGCTTCAAAGGCCTAAAGATGGACGTTGCGTCGTTTTCTTCTGGCAGTAGAAGGTATTGAGGTTTTGACTGACCTGCCATTGAGCAGTGAAGGCATCCAAGTCTGTAAGCCATAAATCTGTGGGTGATTTGCCTTCCAAGATTTCGAGCTCTTGTTGCTTCTCTGCCTTTTCTCGTTCGAGTTGTTGGATCTGGTAGATGTGCAAATAAGTGTTACCATTTGCCCAATCTTACACTTATCGCCCATCGTCAGCCAATCAAAACCTTTTCCAAAGTCAAGTTGTAGATCGGCATACTGAGCAAGTAATCGTATCCATGTTCTCTGTCACTAGCGTCTCCTTGCTCCTCTTCAGCAGATGCTTGATCATCCTTCTTCTTGTATACTGGATCGTATTTACGAGTTCGCAAGTCTGCAATGATTTCTGCTTTCTTTCTGTTTTGCACGACTAGGCTTCCAGATACAATCTCCTTAACGAATCGTACACGATTGTCAAGTCGTTTCCAGTCTTCGGTCAATTGTCCCAATACATAGTCCTAAAGAATGAATTCGTCAACATCAAAACCATACCAGAATGCGATAGACTCGTTTGAATACTCACTTTGCGTTTGACGTAGTATCGTAAACGCATTTCGTAAAACTCAGCCAGAATCTCGTCAACACTTTCGTATTTACGGATACGACCTTCGGCGTCAAAACAGACCATATTGGTCGTTGTAAGACTAGCCGTCATCTTGAAACGTTTTTCCAAACCCTCAGCTTCGGCAGCAGCCATAACTTCAGGAGTTACCGTAATTTCGAAATGTACACGAGAATCGGTATGATACTCCTTGTAATCCTAGAAAAGTGAAAGAAGTTTAGTGTTCCAGACACTAGACCTCGATAATTTGCCTGGTTTTACCCTGATCCATGGTTGAACCTTGTCAGACCCAACCAACCATTCTTCTAGCAGTTCTTTGTATGATTGGGTCCATGACTTGATTGGCAATTCGGTAATCTCTACAGTTGTATCTGATAGCTTTCTGATAATACCGGTGACTTTGTATTTACCCTTGTCCAGAGCTTCAATGGTACCCTAGAGCAAGACAACAAAGTTAGACTCAAGACTTGGCCAAGCTTTTAGGTGATACAACAGTACTCGCATTGAAGCCACGGTACCACGGATGCATCTTCACTGGAGCTGCGCCATTGATCATGCGAATCAAGTTGTCGACTACGTCACGAGGACTAACACAAAGGAAGAAAGGTGAGCGAGGGTCAAATTTGTTACATCGTCTGAAAGCAACCTACTTGTAGTTGGGAATAGCAGTACTCCATCCAGTGCCAATACCTTCAGCACCATTGATCAAGAGCAATGGAAGAACTGGCATGTACCTATGTTTTTATGGAGTATCCAAGGTCATTTTGCAGTTGAATGCAGCCAAGTGAAGCACATACCATTCAGGTTCGATTTTTTGACCATCATCTTGCAAGTATTTGAGCAAAGCATCGTCTTGAGGATGGAAGACTGTGCGAGCAAGAGGAGCCAACAGAGTGAAGATATAACGAGGACTGGCAGCATCTTTACCACCCTATCAGTTTGAAATATTATTAAACGTCTCTATTTCGAGCCAAATCGAAATTTTCAACATACTTGAAGACGAGTACCGAATTGTCCCTCAGGTACAAGCAAGTTTAAATTGTTGCTTCCGACAAAGTTTTGTGCCAGACCAACAATTGTAGAACACAAGGACTGTTCACCATGATGATAAGCAGAATGTTCAGCAACATAACCAGCAAGTTGGGCAACCTAAATAATACGAAAGAGTTGAGTGGCAATAAAAGCAGCAAAATGTGAGTTTGGGCGATTTGACCTTGATGTCCGCTCTGAGATTTCTCTTGAAGCACGCAAACATGATCTTTCTATGTCCAGGCTTGAGACCATCGACAACACTGGGAATAGATCGAGTATTATCAGCCATGGAGAAAAGAATCAACTCCTTGTTGATAAAATCGGAAATGGGTATTTCGTTTATGCTGTGATCCATATATGTACCAGGCTAAAAAGCCAAGCACAGGATGAGTTATTTCATCCTGCGAAACAGTTGAATGGATAGGCATACGGCACAGATACCTGGAATTGACGTAGCCAATCTTTACGGTCATCAGCCTTCTTCTTGTTGAATGCCATGTCTACCAGCTCTCGGTCTTCATTAGAAGCAATACGGAAAGGCTTGAGATGACGATTCATGGCACCAAAGTACTTTTTAGCATCTTCTGATGTACTGGTACCCAAACCCTGTTGTGTAAACGAGTTGAGCTTTAGAAAGGAGACGGTGGAAAAGGTGTTCGGGAATTGGTATACTTTGTAGTATTTGATAGTCCACCCTTTCCCCTCTTCATTTTCTTCCTTCCATTGTTCATACTCGGGAATGGTGAAGAAGGTGACTTCTCGCTTGTTACGGTCTTTCCCTTTCGTAACCTGTGATTATCATGAATGTGAGTTTGGATGAAAGGGTAATGATGATGGTCAATCTTCTCGTTTACCCATACCTTGACAATGGGAGTGATGAACTCTACCAAGAACTGTGGAACCTTCAACAAACTAGGCCAGAAATGATCGAGGAAGTTGATGATCAAGCCTTTGATATGCGATCCATCGTGATCCTACGTGGCATCAGGTGTTAGCCAAACAACAGCGGAAGAAAACTGGGGCCAATGTTAAGAAATACCTGATCAGTCATAATCATCAAATGACCATATCGCAAACTATCAACATTCTGATAAACTTTTCCTTGCTGCAATCCGAGAATTTTCTTGATGGCAGAGATTTCTACGTTGCCCATTATCTGAGAATGACTGGCTTCTCGTACATTGAGCAGTTTGCCTCGAAGTGGAAATACTCCATAATTGTCACGACCAACAACAGCAAGACCAGATACGGCCAATGCCTTTGCTGAATCTCCTTCAGTCAAGATGAGAGTACATTGTGCTGCACTACGAGTTCCAGCATTATTGGCATCATCTAGTTTGGTGATACCAGAGATACGCGTGGATTTCTGACCATCAGTCTTTTTCAAGAGTTGGTCTTGCTTGGCCTTGGCTTGGCTCATAATGGATTCAACAGCACCGGATTTGAGAACTAATGGAGCACATCAATGAGTCTTTGCACGATATGGGAACTCAATTCATGTGCTGTGAATACTGACCCTTTTTGATAAAGTCTTCACTGAGAGTGCATTTTGATCCAAATGCACTTGCACGCAAGGTCATGTGCTCCTTTGTCTGTGAGTCAAATGTTGGATTCTCAATCTAGAACGTGAGACTCGTTAGCAGTGTGCCGATGTGTAAAATCCGACTCTGTTGGATTAACAACATTCGAAACATACCTGACAATTGACAAATATCGACAAGTGACTCTTGATTTGGTGTGCTTTCAAAGGTGCGGCCTTCTTATCCTTTTTCTGTACAGCAGCAATCAGAGCTGTAACCAATTGATCCGCTACATGAGCTACATGAGTGCCACCTTTGGTTGTAGCGATAGAGTTTACGAAACTGACTTGATGGAACTGGCCATCGCTGACCGTTGCTCCAACCTCCCATCGTTCGTTGGCAGTTTCGAATATAATGGGTGCATTGCTAGCATTGATTTCTCCAGAAGCTGTGAAGAGATCAATATATTGCTGGAATCCTTTTACGGGAACCCTCTTTTCGTTGAGCCATACTTTTACACCTTTTACCACACCGGCGACATCATATACACGGCGAGTCAGGAGAGCTTCATGATCATCGTCAATTTCCGTCATGTGAAACTTGGCCAGATCAGGTGTAAACGTGATTCTAGTATAGTTTTCACCTTTACTATTTGACGAGATCATTGGCTCGGATTTTCGGCCCATATTATCGTTGAAGACCTGTTTATACTTTTTGCCAGATATCGAGTCTGCAGTCTCTACAATAAACTCTGTACTGAAGATGTTACATAGCTTGGCTCCATAACCGTTTCGACCACCAGTTGTCTTCTTTTCATTGTCATCATAATTAGACGATGTGAGAAGATGCCCAAAAATCAACTCAGGTACATAGATTTTCTCCTTGTTATGCATCTCGATAGGGATACCACGACCAGTATTATAAACTGAGATCTGGTTCGTTTCACGGTCAATGGTGACTTTAAGAATGTCCATTGAAGCATCACGAGTCTTGTTGTCGGCAGCTAGCAAAAGAGGGAGAGTTGATATGTGTGAGATCAGTAACTAATGTATTTGCTGCGTTGAAATAGCATTTTAAACAAACAAAGTGACATACATACCATTGACCAAGATTTCATCAAAGATCTTGTAGAAACCAGGTACATATGTGACATTGCGAAGTACCATCCCCCCTTCTTCAAACACCCACATCTGTTGCTGAGCCTTCTCTATAGATCCGATATATGAATCTGGACGTAGCAAGATGTGTTCCAATTGAGTCTTTTTCTGATAGATTTCTTCTACAGTCTTGGAGGCTGATGGTTTCTTGGCAGTCTTGCTGGGACCAGCAGCAGGTGATGGCGGATTGGATGCATCATCTCGTATCGGAGAAGCTTTCTTCGTAGCTGCAGAAGTTGCTTTTGGTTTGCGCGCAGCTTTTGATGATGTTGCTGTTGATGCCTTGGGCTTGGTAGATCCCTTGGCGGTAGTAGTCGTAGATGCTTTAGCTTTGGCTGGAGCCTTTTTCTATAAATAGTTCTGGGTTGATCTTTGCGCTCATCCATGTTCTTGACTGCATGCTCGCTGGCTTGAATAATTAAGTGATACGAATGCAGCTTACCTTGGTCTTTGCATCATAGTCTTCCGAATCCGAACCATTGTAATCGTCGCCACCGTCACTATCAGACATCTTGAGACCGTCCAATTCAGCTCAATCGATGTCTTTCCGATTATGTTTGGATTTTGGGAAGAATCGACGCGAAGGATGTGAAGCTTAGAAGACAAGTATGAGACGAGATTCGCGCAAGAACGCGTCAGATGCTTCCGAATCAATATTCGCAATAACTCTATCGAGACTGCTCTTCCACATGCTCAAAACTACTTTACAAAGACGGCACTTTAAGACTTGCGAAAGTCTTCAACCAGACTACAAAGCTACACCACATATTACAGATATCATACAGAATTTGTATTTCTTTTATACATACAAATCACATCCTTCTTGGATTATTGGTTCCACCATCTTCCAAGAGCAGGCACATCAGGACCATCAGAATCACTAAACAATCAAAGTCAGCAACGAGCAGGTGAAGGGCATGATATTAATGGAAAACTCACCAAGAAGTACATGGTTCCTGCGAGCTCTGACTTTACTACACCGTAAACCACATGTCTACCATCACCACGGCCTCCATCTCGCAAATACGAAGGAAGACTGCTGACACCTCCTCTCATACCAGCCATCTGCCCGATAGTAGGAGTTCCCATGACAGAAGATGCGGCAGAGCTACCACCATATCGTGGAGTCTCATAACCACTTCCTACCATTCCACCGGGTACAGGTGAACTAGACATTGGTCGAGGTGTAATATATCCAGACAGTTTGGAAGGCATCGACATATTGCTCACTCCAAGTCCCAAAGGCGATGGTGCCTCAGAGTCAGAGAGTGGTGGTTCCTGTGATGCATGGAAACGGGCTCGAGCTGCTACTGTGTGTGCATAATATGCTGGGGGACAGACAGAGACACTGCGAGTAGCTCGACAGTATAAGTAACACAGACGGTATGTCAGTTCTTGCAATCCTGTTAGAAAACAATGCAACGTCAATCTGGAGCGACAAAGTCGGAATTGTGATGTTGTTATTGTACCATCAGCGTCAAATTTGTTTTCATCATAGAGGACGTGATAATGAGTAGGCTTTGAGGTTCCTTGTAATCCAGGATGAGAGCACAAATAAAAATCGAATTCTACAAAGTGATGTGTCAACGTCTCGATACAAGCGTAAAAACAAAAACAAAAAAGAGAATGGGTAATCCCATACCAGAGGGGTGTGTGACGCCACTTTCAATGATGGTTCCAGGCAGTATATTTCCAGATCTATCAGCATCTTCCCGCTGAATGGGGAAAAAGCGAGCATGATGTCGTTTTTGCACAGCAACAAAGGTTATAAGAGGTCGATATGAGGGCTCCAAGATTATACAGGCCCTTTGAATGGCTTCAACTTCATTTCGTAAAACTTCTGAGAACTGACCCTCAGAAACACCATCACTATAAATCGAGATTGGTTCGTACATGACAGCTGCGAAAAACACAATGACATTGAAACACGCCAGAATTATACGTACCGATACATGATGACTCGATCTGGTTTGGATCCGCATCTGTTGACGAGATAGTGATTAAGCATCACTCCAAACTTCGACCAAACCCACATCGAAACTTACGTTTGATAAAATGTCTTGAGCAATTCAACTACCATTCCACTGAGGTCTTGAATGACTTCTTGTCGGCCACGTTGCACCCGAATAGCAGCAGCGTAACGTGAGCATTGAGCATCCATCGAACCAACCAATGCTGCAATTGACTGATTTGAAGTGGAGCCAGGTGCTGAAATATCGAATTGATGATGAGAGATTTGCAAGTGTTGACGCACAAATCTAGGGTGACTGTCCGAGCTGTCTGCTTACCCGGATGCTAAAAAAGACGAGAGTAAGAACAAGAGATATGCTTCGCACGAAATCAACCCAAATCTTACCGTAACATCAGCTCCGAAAATGATGGTGGGTCGTTCGCTTACAAACGGCAATTGGGCATTGCTGAGATACGAGTTCATGCCACCCAACTTGACATTGATCTATGCAACACAAAAGGGTCGTGTCAAAAGGAAATCAACTGTTTTACAACGAGCAACTCACTTTAAGGCACACATTCGCACAATATTGCCTTTTTGCAGCAAAGACATGTTTGGCGAGTACACATTGAGTAGCAATACCGATAACAGTATCAGAAACTCTTTTAATTTCGGCATATAATGGGACACTGGTATTTGGCAATATACACAAGATGAGTTGAGGTCTTTCCAGGAATGAGTTTCCGGCTACCATATAGGCATCAATGAGTGCTTTTTCTACTTGGGCATACGGAGGGGTATACGATATGGGTGGTTGTTGTGAGGCTACATATAATCCACATTCTTCACAGGTTTGTACTAACAATGTTATAAACTTCTGAACGGCAGAGACTGGATAGTCTGCTTCAGATCCAAATGCAACTACCGACCAGGATCTCAAGGTTACACCTTGAGCCACCATTTTGTCGCGTAGATTCCACGATCCTTCCCGAGGAGTGATGACGGGTTCCCGGGAAGCAGGATGATATGATATTGAGGGTGGTGATAGTATTCTTGCGGGTATGGTCACCATCTCTTGGCTTACATCTACATGGAATTCTCGTAGGTATTCGATATCACGTTGCTGTAGTATTTGTATACCAGCCCCTATTTTTGTCGATCTAGTTTGTGGTGGTTGGCAAGTAAACTTTATCATTTCGGCAGTCTAGAAACGAAAGCGTTATGAGTATGTATCGAGTAGAAACAACGGAAAGGCCCGTATGGGCACCAAAACACCAAGCGCTATGAGATTGTCACAACTCTTACTTGTCGTTCATTCAACTTTCTCAAATGCCGCTGACCAGGAACAATCTCACAAACCTCCATGGGCAAGTATACGTGGCGAGCTGGATCACCTACTACTAAACAAGGCAAGTTTCCAAACTGCAGAGGATGTCCATACTTTTGAGCAAAGTAATTCGAGACAGATTCCTCCTCGCCTTTATCACCAAATGCAAACATTGTACGATTGGCTGCTGTAGTAGTGAGTCTGGTTATGCGGAAACGACGCTTCATGAGTCCTCTATGCGTCACATATATCTTAAGCCCCTTCAGAGCCTTCTCTACTTTGCCTCTATCTCTCTCTGTCAATGTATATCTCAATTCAGCTACATGATTTCTACCTAATATCTGCGCTATGAGGTCTACTACGGGACCAGGTTGATGGAAGGCCGTGGCACTAACATCTAGATTCACGAGCATTCCTCCCTGAGTTGGTCTGACGCTCTGATGAAATCCTTGCCATAACTGAGCTCCACCTGATATGGGGGCAGCTGAGTCGGCAGTGTAGAAACATCGACCAATAGTGGTGAACGTCAGTGACGGGCGATGTCGGAAGATCACATCAAGAGCCATGATTGCATCGTATGGAGCATCCGTGATTCTTCCATCCAGAAAGAGACCTAGACGTTGCATATTGATTTCTGTCACACGTTTAAACATGAGCTTGAATCTCTTGACGCCCCTCCTAAAGCAAGATCTGTGTGAGTGCCAGATCAAACAGAAGTGCAAAGTAATGACAAAAACCTTTTGCCAGTAGGATCATCCGTCTCTGCATAATCTACATAGAATACAGCCGTATCTCCTCCAAGCGGTAGAGCACGAACCGAATAGACATTCCGTCTACCATCATATACAGTTCTTGGAAAAGGACCCAAGTTTGGGATGGCATCATACGACGGGGTTCCATCAGCAGACAATGATACACTTGCGAATGCAGCAGCCAGCAAGAATTCTTCTTCCCATAGTTGATATATGGCACGGTTCTTGGCCGGGGGTACTTCGGGCAGAATCAAACAATCGTAGTGGTGCAGAGTTTGTCCAGGCAGCGATGTGACGGCAAAGAAATTAGCTTTTAAATAAATGTGTCGTCCATTTAACCCAAAGTTGGGTCTGGAGGGAAGCTAGCGTAGAAGAAAGGGTGTGTTTAGTGAATCCATTTTGTTTCGTGATGCCAAATGAATTTAAATAGGACACGTCTCAGCACCACGAAACGAACGGTATTAGAGACAAGGTATAAATGATGCAAGAAGTTCTACATGAATAGCCACTTTCCACAATGGTTTGATTTCGAACAAAACCAATAACCGATTTTTTTGACCAAAGCTCGTCAGCAAACATTGCATTGTACCTGAACTAGCGCTGCCATGCGCCTGATGCATTAAAGGCCTTGACCCATACAAATATAAGCTTTATCCAAACTATTAAGTCGCTCCTTTTCACTAATTTGCACCTTTCTCGTGAACTGTGAACAAAGAAGCTGCGAACATTACAACCGACCAAATATGAAGCCACTCCTCGACGCGATAAGAGAATAGTCAATATGCGCAAATTTTATGGGTGCTGTTGTCAATCCAAGCACTTTCGAGCAAAGAGAAACGCAAATCAGTCATATAGAGAACATTCACATGTGAATTGTTATTCGGGTAAATCAAACACAGCATCTGCTAGTCGACTTATTGCCTAATTGAGCAATTCAGATGCCATGTTTTCAAAAATGATCGATTCACCCAAAGTGAAGGTCTGGGAGCGAGGCTCGGCAGTGCACTAACGAGGAAGAAGTCTGTTACTAAAATGCTCCAAATAGCACGTCTCTTGCTTCAACACAAGAGTCGAAGTTCACTAAGAGGTACACAGAATCAGCAGAGGACGACTTTACCAAAGTACAAACGATATTAGGTTCAGCAGCAGCAACCCACTACTCAAACCAGCATTGACGATTTGGCATGAGTTGAGGCCTTTCCAGGAATGGCATTGGAGCTCCCACAAACGCGTCAATGAGTGCTGTATCTACTTGAGCAAATGACGGGTATATCATCTAGGTGGCAAGAAAAACAATCGGCGTTCTTCACAGGTTTGGGCGAGAAGTGACATGAAGGTGCTTGAACTACTATCTTGTCGCGTAGATTCGTTGAGCCTTGACGAGTTCACGAGAAGCAGAATGGTATGACATGCAGGTCGTGATAGTCTTCTCGCCGGTACACTCACCATCTCTTGGCTTACATCTACACGGAATTCTCGTAGATATTCGATATCACGTTGCTGAATGCCAGAGCCGAATTTGTGGCTGTTCAACAAGTTGGCACGTAAACGAGTTCATTTATGCAGTCTAGTCACGAAAGGAGTGTTAGAATGCGTTGATAAGTGATCGTGGTCAGTGAGATGATCAAGGTCTTACTTGGTGTTTGTGATGTTCCTGCAAATGCCGCTAATCAGCCACAATCTCACAACTTCCATGGGCAGACAGGGGTAGCGAGCAGCATCAGTTACTATCAAACACTGCATATTTGTATAGTACAGGTGATTTCCACAGGTTTGGGCAAAGTAGTAATTCGTAACGGATTCTTCTGATCCTGTAGCTGGTATGAGTTTCGTAATGCGGAAACCATACTTCCTTCCTGAGTTCTCTATGCGTCAAACATACCTTGGGCCCCGTCAAGCCCTTCATTCCCTGGTAAAAATCGAAATCCTCAAACTGTGACTTTCTACACGACACAACAATGTTCATCGGTTTTCCCAACCACGCTCATTGCAGTTTCTGCTTTGGCGACGTTATAGAATTAATCGAATATATATTCTTTCATCCACAACAATTCCTATTAGGCTCTCCCGTCTAACACACACATCCGAAACTTTTGACACCACTGCCACCCGGCAACAATAAGGCACGACAAGTCATTCTTTTCCTTTCGTTCAACTAACGTTGTGATTGGCTGAAAGAGTTTGACGGTTTTCCGCTTGTGGCGTCTTCGTTTCCAAGAAACTAAATTCCCTATAATTCTTTCCGTCCTGCCATAAACCCCGGATTTATATACTTGCAAGAGAAGCCAAGAGAGCCAATATGCAAGCTACACCTAGCAGGTTAGATGCCCTAGCTCAAGCGGCCTCTGATGCTCTCGTAAGTTTGGATCCCCTGCAAAAGAAAAATGTGAATTTCTCAGTCTTTTCCGATTTTCTTACCGAGAAGGTCCTTGTAGGCCAACCCCGACAATAATGATAATCACAATAATGTTGTAGCTGCACCTGTCCATCCACATCCCGCTCGTCCTTTCGCAGGTAAAGTGACAGCAGTCCATCATTTGCTTGACTTTGAATATTTTTTTTACAAAATTGCATCATCTTCCCCATTCAGTATGCCGTTCAATCCACCCAAACATAGTCAATGATGCAACGAGTGTGTAAATTATTGGAAATTCTAAAGAAATAACGCACCATCCTTACAGCATCACCACCTCATGGCGGAAAACATTGCTGGCATCGCAGCACGATCAACTGGAGTTGGGAGTCACAGAGTCACCATCAACACTATCCTAACCGCGCGATTCAACAACGTCACTGTCAACAACCGGCTCGAAAATGGGGCAATTGGCCCAGTACACTTGATTCACCCTGACTTTGTTGTTATCTGTCTTTTGACCTTGTACGGCTACCTCCAGGAGTTGGACGCCTGGGAGGTAGCGCTCTCATTCGCCGTCGTTGGGCACCAGGAAGGCAACAGATGGGTTGGGCGAAAGAGAGTCATGGCCTTCGTCTCGTCCCCACTCGCACTGCAACACAAGCCCTTCCTAGTCGAATCCTAGATGGAAAACCAAAGGTGAAACAGCTGTAAAAGTATAAAAATGGATAGGAACATATATATACATGGAATTGCAGTCACACACAGACAACAAACTTGAGTTCAGATGTGTTTGAATGATCTGAAGTTGATGCTGATGCGACACACGATGATGAGATCCAAAGAGACCGGCTTCGTCGCGGAATGTCAAGATTCCGATAGTGTCGAGCTTAGTTGTCTTGTTGTCTCGCGTCATCACGTAAAATCCATTAATTAAGAAGAAAATCCCAACTTCCAGCGGTTTGACTCCAGCGAAGAGGAAACACGACGGCATCCGTTTTCTTTGACAGCTCTGAATGCACGCTAGTCACTCGGTCTTGATACAACGGTGTCACCATTGCTGAATTCCGCATTGTTTTGGGATTTTATGAAAAAACAGGTTGATGACGTGAAGATGCGAGTATGTCTTTCTGCGACGCGTTGGATCCTAGTAAAATGTATTTTTCACATTAGAATATACGACTCATGATATATATTTACCTATTTCTACTATGGCTCTTTGATGCCAGCCACCCCTTCCACATCTTTTAACAAAAAGCATCAACAACGACAACGCTATATAAGATAAAACAGGGATGAACGCCGCCATGATACGAGGCAGCACTCGAGCCCTCCGAGGAGCCATGCTTGCCCAAGTACGAACCAAGACATCCTTGTCTCCTCCCAATGTCGCTTCTCTCAAGGAATTGGGCAAGTTGCAGTCCTCCTATCCACAGGCCCATCCCGAAATCTTTGGCAAAATGAAGGCTTTCTATGCCGCAATACCAAAGGGCCCGGCTCCCCATACTGCACCCACCACCTTTGGCGGCAAATACTACCAGAAATACGTTGAAGGAGACACATTCTGGCCAATCTTGCACTTTATTGCTGCTGCATCCGCATTCGGTTTCGTCATTACATACCATGCTGGAGGGTGAGTATACAGCGAACCGACGTTGATTGTCGACTGTATTGGAGGGCATTGTTGTGGGATGATGCGTCAAAGAGTTTTTGAGTTTGGCAAGTCCCTGTGTCAGACGAGGAACGAATTCATCCACGCAGATGCAGTGCATATTACAATTACAGGAATGCTGCTGGAAGGAATTCGCTGCTTAATACATCCTTCCACCCTCTTCTTGGGGTTGCAACAGCAAATAATATGATGCAAAAAATACTCACACCTTACATTTCTCATTCTAGTCACTACCACCACCGTTACGAATTCCATTAAGCAATAGTATAAAGGTATGCAGAAGCGTAAATGTCAGTGTTCAACGCGTTGTTAACACGTCTGTCACCTTAGTGCTTGTCATTATCAGAAAGTGTCGAGTAAAACGATATAGACTGAGTATAGCAAACACCATAAAAACACCCAAACTATATAAAATCTATAACGCGTATATTGTGCTTATTCAATGCGCCCGTTAACATACAAGACATACGTGCAAGCCGTACAAGTGCATGTACTCCGACAGCGACAATTCTTCCTCCTCACAAAAAAACACAACAAGACAATCCAGCAATGTTTCGACTAGGAAGAGTCGCATCAGCCAGCATCCGTGCTTCGGTCGTGCGTCCAGCAGCACGACAAACCATGGCTACTCGCAACCATCACTCTGTATTCGCATGGGACAATTTGAAGAACTTGTTGCCTGAAGTGCCAAAGAGCACTGAAGCTACTCTGGGCTCTGTCTGGGACGGCATCTACACAAACTACAGATACAAGATGATTTACCCTGTCTTGTTATGGATTGCCTTCTTGGAATACAATCTATGGACTCCGTGAGTGTTGGCATCATTTGGATGTTGTTGTCGAAGGGGAGGAAGAGAGAGAGAGAGAATGGAGTATATATTATATATATTGTCGATGCTGGTCTATGTAACGTGAAAGTGGTTGGATGCATTACCAGCAGCTCTCTTCGTGGAGACTAATTACTCAAAACCTCAAATCCCTTTCTTGCTGCTACTTTCAAACTGAATACTCACCACCTGCTACACCTAGTTATGCCAAGGATTCTTCAAAGGTCGTCGAACGTGAGAAGGAAGAGCACCTCAAGAGCCTTGAATACCACCAACTGTAAAACATATAAAGTAGGTTGTTGCATCTTGGAAGCTCCCATCAGTATAGCAATTTCATGCGAAGGTCAAGCGACTGACATCTGTGTCTCTTTAGGTTGGCTCAAAATGACGAATAGATATAATGAAGCACACTTGAAATAAAAATACCATAAAACCTGCAAAATGAAAGAAGATCCACACAATTTGGGAAGAAATTCTACTGATGAACAACTGACTACTACTACTTGGATGATTACAAAAACGAGCCTATGATACATTATGGGGTTCTCATTCAATTCCACGGATTCAAATCCTCATCGAGTGGAATACTATACAAAACTGATGCACTTCCATCGTCTTCTTCTTGTACTTCAATGGTAGGTGATGCAGCATCCTCCATTCTTGGACTGCTGGGCATAAATATACTAGGCGGCTTGACCATTGCAGGACTTGCTACATGCAGTAATTCTTCAACGTCCGTTAAATCGAGATGGCTGGATGATGCGCTGTGTTCTCCTATTCTAGGAATATGTTGTGTCAAAGATGCGGTATCGATCTGCACCATTGGTACCGTTGCTGCGGGTATTGTTTTTGGCTCGTTTAGATCTATGATGAGACTATTGTTTGGTTTGGCATCAGACCATCGTGCCATGAGATTGCCTAGTTTTAAGCTAATGTCCTGCTTGTTACTGGTACTGGTGTTGGTCTTCTCGACACTCTCAATACTACCACTAATAGTAGGATCCGCGAGAGCTTTACTGATAGCATCATCAGCGTCCGAGACTACATCCTTCAAATCATCACCCACGTTCACGGAAGCCGATTCGTTGAATGCAGTTTGAGTGACTGGTCTGCTCGTATCCGGCATTTCATGCATAGTGACAGCGCGGAGTGGTGGTGTTATTGTAGCAATGCTGTTCACTGCTTCGTTCCTATCACTACTACTGGTATCGATTGATGTAGATGTATTTGGCGGTGACGGCGGTGGTGTCGCCAAAGATTGATTACGACCAGGTGATTCAGCCTCCTCGGCGCTACTGCTTCGACTGCCAGTTGGTCGTCGAATAAAGGATGCCATATTGAGTATTGAAAATCTGGGTTTCACTGTTTGTATACTATCAGACTGAGACGGTATGACAGAGCTGTCGATGGTTGGGCTTTCTACTGTTGCGATGTCGGTCTGTGGGTTTACTTCGGATTTGATACCTCCAGAAGTAGTACTGGCATCACTACCAGGTTTACCAATCATGTTCAGGACGGAGAATCGAGGTTTTATTACAGGAGTTGTGAGTGCTTGTGGTGGTTCGACGGGTTCTACATCTAATACAGCTAGTTGGGGACTCACGACACCATCGGCAGACACGATACTTTTTAATTTGGCAGCAATCCGAGCTTCTTCTGCTACTCTGGCAGCTTCTTCTGCTATCTTGGCGGAAGCTTTAGCCTCAGCCAATTTCTTGGCTTCTGCTTCCCTAACTTTTCGTGCCTCCTCCTTATCAATCTTTGCTTCTTCAGCTTGAAATGCACGCTGCTTTTTCAAGATCAATGCAATCTCAGCCTTCTCCTTCCGTTTCTGTTCAGCTTGCTCCTTCTTCAACTGTTTCAACTCCTCCCTTTTTTGCAAATCAGCTTCACGAGCTCTCAACTGTTCCTGTTTGAGAGCCTCGATCTCAGCTAGATGCATCTCCTTTTCTCGTTTGTCTTCTTCATCTTCGTCATCGAATGTCTCTCGTGTAATGTTGAAGCCAATATGCTTTAGTATTTTGGGCAGGTTTGATCGATATGCGAGATGTCCATCAATAACATCGTCTAGACAAAAGTTTTCTATTCCGGCGACTCCTTGTATCGGAGAGAGACCAGCGACGTCCTTGTACACAGCTAAGGCTCTGTATAATACCCCTAACACCATATCCTAATGACAAAAGAGGCTTCAGACGTGACAAAACAATATAACAAGGCATAATATGAGAAGTCGTATTTTACCTTGGTTAGATAACCATTGACAATTTTACCAGCCACAACACTAGCCACATGCTCCCATTCGCTGTTGTTGGCCTAGAATTATCAGAGCAATAAACAAGCAAAATTAGAATTGAAACTCACACTACACAAACAAGAGTGCGTGATTACCAGTATTGGTGCTCCAAGAATGTATACATCCTCAACAACTCCATAAACGCCACGCGACGCCAACTCGGTTAAACACGAGTAAATCAAATGAGCTCCCAGTGAGAAACCGATCAAGGTGACTGGCCGATTCTCTTGGACTTGCAATATCAAAGTGTCAGCCAAGACCTGCAAACCAGACATTGAGTATACGAAATGAGAGCCTCTCGACTAAAACCCATACCTTTCCAGCTTTAGAAGCTTTGGACATTGCCATTCCCCATGGGTTGTCCAACAAGTATCTGCGAAAGGATGAGGCGAGTCAGGATTATGAGAGCGCCCTGTAATCTAATTTGTTCGCCTCAAGTATTCAGGCAAGACGTACGTCAACTTCATAACCCAAAGAGGTCCAGTCAATGCCATCATTAAACCAGGAAGTATCGTGAATTGCTATCATGACAGTGAGAGTTAATATGCATATATCGTTGATTCTTTTTAGCTTTCACGCACTCACCAATCCTTGACTGATTAAAAACGAAGCAACCTCTGAAGCCAGCAGAGTTAAAGATGCTCCAAGTTCCTGTAAAATTTTAGTTTCCCATATCAGTGCGTAATGATCACCATAATGTGATGGTTCCAAGACCGAGTATGGCAAAACGTGGTCCTGTGTTGCATGAATTTGGAGTTAACTCCTAAACCCCAAAAAAGTAGCTGCACGTCTAAAGTATCTCACCTCGGACCCATACGCAATATAGCCAACGACCGAGATAAGCACATTTGCTTGCTTCACGCGGTCTTCACGTGTAGGAGCCCGAAACAGCATATCACCTTCCTTGTCCTCAATTGAAAGCAATGCTTCTCCACTTATAGAAGTAGACGATGCTTGCCGCTGTAATGAAGATAATGTTTTCGATACTGATGCAACGAATGTACCCTTTTCAGATGGAGCCGGCTTTGATGAAGATTGAGAAGCAGTCTCGTATGAATCATTATCAGAGTCCATGGACGAGCGATGTGTCGAAACTGTTGCCAGTGGTATATCGTGGAGTTCGTCGTCATCAGGAGCGACAAACGTATTATCTGGTATCGGTTCTTCGAGTTCAATTAGCGGTGCTTCGATTATCGGTGATGCGACTATATCTGGTAGTGTAATAATTCGTGATGACGAAGATTGTGCATTCGAATATCGACGAGTTGACGTCGTCACATTCGAGTAACGGCGGTTACTGCCCGTCATCTTACTAGACGAAGATTTCTCTTCCTCTTCATCGACTGCTTCATCAGCATCAAAAACGACTTCAACATTTGACGGCTGAGCTTTTCTATCACTTGACGGCCGTATAGACTTTCGTTTCTGTTTCACACGTTTTGAACGTGCCACTGCTCTCGCAGCACGTCTGTCCTCTCGTTCTATAATATACTGTCTTACACCGTCTTCAATGGATATAAATTCGAATTGGGAAATGCCTCTCGTTCTTTTCAGCATCTTCCAACCACTCATGCCGCCTCCAGCCAATACACCGCTGCTGGTTATGAAGGCAAGGCCACTCGTACTAGCCATGAACGCACTGACTCCGGTTCCGGCTAATGAAGCAGTGATCAACGGTGCCGCTAGCCCTGCGGTTAACCCAATAAGAGCACCACCAGCTACAGTAGCGATACCAGCAGCCAACCATCTAGATCGTGCCTCCTTCTTATTCCTGTCATCAACAGTCTCCTTTGACTCCTTCACATGCGATGTGTCCTCATATATACGTAACTGTGTAGCAAAAGACGTCTCTAGTTTTACCAAATCCAACAGCGTAACCTGTAAATGGTTTGCCACAGTCTTTAACAGGCTCCTTGCGCGGGCGTCATATATGCCGTCAGATATACTCAGAATGAATAGGTGTGATAATATGGTATATCGCACATCTGCAGGCTTGTCAATTGTCGGTTGCGGGTCTGGTAGCGGTAATTGCCGATCAAGAGCAGACTGCTCGTCGGTTTGTTTTTGTTGTTCTTTTAGGGCCATGCTTTCTGCTGTTGCCTGGGCATCATCTATCAATGGTTTTGACACATCGACTGCCTGTAAGCCATGCTCTGCGAGTTGTTCATACATGGTCCGTTCTACAATGATGTACAAGTTAATGCAGCAGCTTAAGAGATTGACATTGAAGTTTTTACAACTACATTCGAACATGTTGAAAGTAAACTCAACAAGTCAAAGTAGGTTTGCTATTTTCCGAAAATGTCAATATTTTTCACACCTTTCTCTGGAACGTCCAAGTAGAGGAACAGCCTCTCCATAAACTCTGACTGCCATTTATCATACGCCTCTCTTCCAGCTTTCCGAAACGCCATGAGCTTTGATTTTCGGAGCTCTGTCAACGACAAAAGGCACAGACACACATACGCCACCTATAGGAAGAGAGAGGATCAGTCCTCAGAACACATTTTACAAAAAAGCTACATGCCATATACCTTTTGGTCTTCTCTCATAAAGTTCTGAATGGAAGATATCTTTTGCGATTTTGAGAGTGGCAATTGAATGCTGATCTGAGATGAAGAAGCAGCTGATTCACTGTTTGATACAGATTCCGATCGGCTAGGTGTTGCGTCTTGGCTGCTTGATACTAGTGTGGTGCTGTTTGACAAAGTTGTTGTGGTGCTAGTAACGGTCGGGGTCTCAACTAGACATATACCAGAAACCTGCTGACTTTGAGCGGATGCAGGGACGTTTGTGGCGTCTGTATCTTGTATATCCTGTATTATCGAATCTCCGTATGCGTCCTCAAACTGCTCGTCTTCATCTTCATCCTCTGCAGCACTTGTGGAGGCTCGGTCAACGGCCAATGTATCCTGAACAGATTGCTGTTGTTCTAGCTTGGAATCTACCTCGTCCCATGGAGAAGGTGGAAAATCATCACTGAAATCTAGTGCAGGTTCTGCCTTGCCCCACAAGTCGTTGACCTCTGAAGAGAAATCTACATCCGAAGTCGAGATTACAGGCACGTTCTCACGAGTTTGACCGAGAGAAGCAAAGAGCTCTTTCATCGGCCTTTGCAGCTCTTCGTCTGGGCGTCCTTCTTTGGAGCTCATTGGACTAGTTCTGCCCCTGCGCAATGTTCCACATATGCCAAGTTTATGGGAGGAGTAGGGCGACACCACAACTGTTCCTTTCTGGAACGTTTTCCCACGAAATCATTAAATTTCTGTGAAGCTATGTTATCGATGTCACGGATCTGCCTCCCTGCTAAAGTCAATACTGGGAAGCACGTTCAAACACCGGGACAAATAATGAGCAAGAAATCTACGCATCCACAAACTTTTCCGAGTATCTGGTTGTCTGCCATTGATAGATGTGACCTGATGAAATCAGTTCCGAGTCACTCAGACCTGTTAAAGTAAGGATGTTTCTTCCTTTGAGCCATCTGCGTCTATACACATGAATTTTTCAATCTTCCACTGTGAGCTATGTACACCATACCTTCTCAATGAGTTACGGACGCAATATCCTCCGATCTGAACAAAACAATGTAAAGTTATAGACTGTAAATTTATATTGTTCCTGAGGCGAACAAATGTTTAAGTGGGCTCTATGATAACAATGCTGTTTATGAATCTGCCAAGAGACATGACAAGTAGTCTTGTATCTCATCATTTAGGTTGCTGTAGAAGTTAGCTGACTCCAAGAAACTCGAAACTTCTGGTCTCAGTAATCCTCCTGCACCTCCAGGAACTGCCAATTGCTGTTGCAAGCGTTTGTCTTGACGTTGGACGCATAGAGTATGGAAGTTGAAATCCAATGCGTTGAAGTACCCAACTTGTCCCAATAAATGAATAAAGGTCATTCTACATAGAAAGCTTCTGTTGAGTAATCTTCATGTCAAAACTTTCACTATTGATACTCAAAAACTCACCCAGCCCATGACAAGCCCTCACCAAAAATAGCTCTTAGAAGGAAAAAGGTGGACTTGAGCAAATTGCACTCAAACATTATGTTTGACATTATTACTCCTACCGTGTACCGGCTTCATTCGCAGCAGGAACATTACAAAACACAAACTGAAGAGCCGACCAGATACGGAAGAAAGCCCGGGGCGATTCAAGAATAGGGATTGCACTATCACCCTTCCATTCAGCATCGAGTCGCTGAAGTCTAGCCTTGAGCCGAACAAGGAATGGCTGTAATAGTGACGATGGTGGTGCAAACTTGTACAGTTGATCCACTTTATCGGCCCACACTCCAAAGGGCTAGCAAAGATCGAGTAAGAATTCCATTTGGCGACATTTGTTTCAGTTTTTTAGACATACCATAACATGTTCATTGGTATGCAGCACTTCATCCAATCCTTTGATGGAGTTTATACTACCAGGCATCTCGGTAGTATCGTTCAAGATGGCAACGGTCTGAATACGAGTCCATGTATCCTCACTAGTCTGTTGATTTTCGTGTTAGCATGTTTTCCTTGAATACCGAAATGGCTAAATGACAACTCACTATAACTTCCTCCAAGATACGAACGGTAAGAATGGCATTTCCAACTTCTCTGAAGGCCTGTAAGACTTCAGGGCGTAGATCCTTGTATGACAACAGTGGTTTCAAGTGAGCCGAAAAGTATTCAAAGGTTCCTATTCATACAATTGCCATTAGTGTTGACTTGAGAAGAGTCGAAACTGCAAAACTTACCAGCCGTTCCGTATTCGAATAAAGGCAGTTTCAAGGCTTGTGGAATGCCTTTGAAGATGGCATTGATGTAGGCAGTCATAGTGTTTTGTACCTATTTTATTTTGATCTCAGATTGCGTTGCATAAAGCGCCGGAAGGAATTCTCCATGACTCACCAACATGTCAGTATGTCTAAACAACTCTCCAACAATCAGAGGAAGACCCTTGTGACCAACAAGTCTCGCAACTGCCGAAAAGTGAGGATGTCCAACAAAATCCTTGTATAATCCATGGGTAGCATTGAAGGCGGTCATGATGCTCTAATGTTCCCAATGGTGAGCCTAATGCACAAAAAGTGATTTTACGGTCTCAACATTGACCAACCTTTTGTCCGTATAAATACATGGGTGGTGATTTGGTCATGGGAGGTCTAGCAAGTTCTTGGACATACGAAACTGGACCTCGTACGTATCTGGTTGTGACAGAGTTATACGCAAAATTGGGGATCAAGTCATCAATCAGTTCTTGAATTGTATGTGTGAGAATTCGTCCATTGACACAAGTCAGAGACACAGTTTCATCAATTTCTAGCAACATGCTGTCGAATGAATCAAGAGGAAGACCAGCTTCAAGTAGAAGAGTGTGTGTGGCACGTGCACAGTCTAGCAAAGTCTCCAATTCCTAGGAACAAAGGTGAGTTTTTTTGGTGTTCTTGAAGCCGATCACAGCAAGCATACCACAACGTAAGTAAGATCAGACGACTCGTATCGACTGATTGCTACATCAATGCTCCTTCTCAGGTATTGATTCATGTATTGGCCAATCAATTCAGTCATATTGAGAGCACGGCCCAATATCTGGATTTTGAGCAATGTTCTTTTCAGTTTTTGGTTATTCGTAACACACGTATTTTTCAAAGCTCACCGGCAATTCCCGTTGTCTTAAGATGGATATGAAACTGCTGAAAGGAGTATCCTTGCTGCTTTGTAATTGCGCTTCCAACTCGAGTCGGATTTCTGGAGGCAAAACCATACTATCGCGAGAAAAGTCAACAAATATCAGGTGAGTAGTAGACACAGTGGCATTTCATCACATACACTGCTCCAGCTTTCTTGTAATGAACAAAGATCTTTTGGCACATCTTGAAGATAAACTGATCAAAGCAAAGATTCATTTCGGCAACTATCTCGTCGTAGACAAACTTGGACCGCAACGAATTCAATGTTCGATTGGCTGCATCATTGTAGATGTCGAAGGGGAAAAATATGTTCCTAAAAGAGATTGGATTAGAATTCAATGAACCTATCGAGACAACCAAATATCGAAGCACTTACTCCATGACTTCAAGATTGTTTGATTCCAAGGCAGTCTCAGTCAAAATCCACGGTAAAGACATACTAATCGGGAACTTTGAGGCAAAACTGTCAGATGCCGGATGATTTTTAAAATTTCTCGTAGATATTTTTGGTTTACCTGGACTTGCTTGCACAACTCCAAATAGAACTCCTTAAACCACAAGTCACTTAGATCACTGGCACGTTGGACCATACCTAAGACACAGATCATTAGCATCTCAAACGCGGTCCAAAAGACCTTTTGAGCTTACTCGTAAAGTCCAAAATGTATGGGAAAAAGTAACTCTTGTCCATAAACGATTGCATCTCGGTGACTTGGGCGTCCTTGAAGTCCTTTTCTCGCATGAGACCGCCCTTCATACCCTTAGCCTTTTCATTGAAACAAAAATCGAGCAAGCATCGAATAAAATGCAATTGTGTCAAGCTCGTGGCATTTTTCCTCTTTTTCAAATCTGACGGTGGTGGTCGTGGGCCTTTGCCAGCGACAGCATTGTCATCGTATGGTCCATCTAGGCCAATGTCCCGTATGTGTTTAAGCACACTGTTGCAAAAAAATTAGCAAATCTTTCATCGTGATTGTTGGCAGCAGAATACACACCTTCCAATGGTTCGTTTCTTCTTGATACTATGAGCAAGGAGTTCACCCACTGAGCCTCGCATGAATGACTGTATCTCAGCATAAATGTGGTTTGATATTCCTTGCATCTGATCACGGTCAATCTTTGATAAAAGGTTGGCCAAAGACTTGATCATGGAAATCATCTACTTGACTAGCGTAAGCAAATTACCATTGAACAATACGGAGGCGGTCGAGTAAAATACCTCTACTAGTGCTCGCTGGTCTTCCTTAGAGTAGTTGTATCTCACAGCCTAACGAACGGAATTGCTTCTGAGACATGCCTTGTGGCCGGTGCAACAAACTCTAAATTACCAGCTCATAAGACAATGCATTCAATGGAATACCACTTTCAGGATTCGGATGTACAGGATTCGCGTATTTCCAGGCACTCTACATCAAATATCTGTGAGTGGACTGGTTCTGAATGACCAATCAAGCTAAACACACCTGTTCCAGAACTCGTGCTGTCCACGTAGACAATAACCGTAGACCTTGAAGAGCTAACTCGTACAACGCAGCATTTTCTTCCGGTGGTAGAATTCCATATCTTTGTATAGCAATCGAGCTCTACCAAAAGGGACAAGTGTCAGATATTCCGCTGTTATCACAGGCTTTGATTTCGCAGACTTGCTTACCAAGTTGAGAGATCTCTTAAAGTTTTGAACAAACTTTTGATAATCTTCACGAACACTGGCAATGGAAGCAGTAATAGTGTACGCTTTTGATAGGGCGACTTTCGCGTCTAGATCTGGGTCTTCCCACTTTCCAAATCCAATATGTGGTGCCTTGCCGTAAATTTGAGATAAAGAGACCGGCATGTCTCCAAAGAGAGGAATGACTGGTGTGTTCTAAAGATCGATTGGAGTAAGTCGTCAATAATTGGATTTCGTGTGGTTTCGTTTTGGTTACTTGCTTTGAATGCTTTTCCGAATGAATCAACTTTAAGCTTCTTCCTCTTGTATATGTCCTTCTCTTCACCCTTGTCATCCAACAAAAATAACCCCATCGCGATCGCCTAGGTGAGTTGCGTCAATGGTTGGAAAAGCTTATAAATATTCTTCCAAATGTTCTTCGAATCAAGAGATCGCATACTTTCAAATACATGTGCTTGGTCTCGCATAGTACGTATTGACCTGACTCGAGGGCAGACTGACAGTGGTACATCATATCTTGAACAATCTCGTCAAATCCAGAGATTGTAACCAAGGCAGTCTTCAATTCGTTGATGAACTGATCTTGCTGTCCAAGGAAGAGATACAAGACATGATTTATAGCCGTTTCATCTTCAGCCAATCCGTTTCGTTGCAGGTCCGATAGAGCACTGTGTTTGATTGTGTGATTAGCAACTACCTATTACACAGAATTCATTCAAGCCTACCGTTTGTAGGTGGAAAGATCATTGTTCATGGATCCCTTAATTGATTTCATGGCATCCATTACGACAAACAGATCAAACACGGCCGCCAGCGTGTTTAGGAATGCGACGGATGGGAAGAACTCTCGTTCTTGAATGTCCTGGACGGTCGACAGAAACACATCACTGACAACTTGTACGGCGCTGTCACGGAAGCTCAGAAATGCTCTCATTTTGGCGATTTCAGGCTGGAGAATTCGGACTGTTCGAATATACATTTCTGTCTTGTTGATTTGATCGGATTGTACCTGCGCAAAACGAGGTTAACTGGCATTTACATGGGTAATTTGGATTGATTTCGAAGACGAAGCGAAGTGACTTTTACTTGTGGGATGGCTCTTGCCAAACTGCGGTAGGAGTAGAGTCTGGACAATAGGTTGCGTCCATCCTTGAGCAAGTCGTTCTAATATATTCGGGGCTGTGTTAATACTTTATGATACTGGTACAGCAATGAAATGACTTGGATCTAGTCGTTCAACCCGTAGAACGGCTCCAGATCACATTTTACGACATTTTGCAAATGTTTGATTTCCAAATGATGTTCAAGACTGGGGGCAAAGACAAGAATAAAGGAGATGGATGCAATTGTGTGTACATACCAGTCTAGATATATGGCCAGCCTCTCTTGCAAAGTAGGCCTGTGTAGATAATTCGTAGACTTCGCGGTCTGCCAAATTCACGTCAATGAGTGAACGAGGGACGACTGCTGCCCGTTGAGCAGCCAACACCGGAGTCTCTATAGGGCATGGAGACAGATCCAGCTGTCCTAGGTACTGCTTGACCTCTTCTACGGAGGTCGCCATCCTTGAATCAGTTGCCAATCGTTGTTGATGTTGGTACGAGGTAAGAAGGATTGACTGACAGTGAAGATATCAGCTATTTTACGTATTGATGTTTATTATTTACATCGTCATTCACGATTCATCATGAACACAATTACCAAGCGCGTCGGAACATCACATTCAACATTTATTTTGACAATCTATACAGCACTTTATTAGTCTTGTCTACTATATACGGCTCTGTAGAGATGAAGCGCTTCGAAGCTGACCAACAACACGCATGCATCTGTCTGCTTCTTTACCGAATCTCAGTCTCTTGGGGGTTTGTTTCCGATTGGGAAGCCATAAGAGGTGTGTTAAAGACGAGAAAACAAGAGCCTCAAATTGGAAGCTATCGGGATCTTGATCTTCATTCAACAAAGGGTCTCTGTTAATATCTCCATCGGCTTCTCATCAACATCGGATCTAAATTTGGTTTGCTCGTTCAGCTTGATTTGTATGTACTTTCTTCCAACACACTCTTGCTCTTTACTGACATTCGCGTAATCCCTGCCTAGCCCAACATTCGTTGACGTAAGAAGGGAGCGAGAGTAAATGAGTGCTGGATCATGCTATGAAGCAAGTAAATTTCAAGGGTGCAATTGGCCCTTGTTACCGGACCCATTCATTAATTACCTTTGTTGGACGTTGTTATGACTACCGGGTCACTCGTGTCTTGTTGTAATAGACGACAGTGGTGTTATCGTTGAAGAACGTGTTTGAGAGGTGAACTAGGTAAGCCCTACGGTGAAATATTAAAAACTATTCAATCAATTACGTTGCTTCAGCAGAACGTGCAGCGGCTGTGGTTGAATAATTGACGATTTTTATTTGTTAAATTGATGTGACGAGTTGTTTGTATATTTGTAGTTTGCTGACTGGATTTTGTCAACTACTGTCTTAAATTTAGTGCAAAGTACGACCTTGGCGGTATCAAAAGAGCAACCAGGCATTCGATTCGAACCTTCTCGTCTTTAAGGCTATTTCTTGGAGGAAACTCTTAGGGTACCACCTGTCGCTGATGTTTAAGCATAGCTTTGACTAGGTCAGGTAGTCTTAGGGTGGAAGTCTGCATCTTAGGCTTCGTCAGAAGTTCGGCCCTTAGTTGCATGCTGCTCAACTACCCTATGCCAGGGTGCCACATGATATTTCAGAATTCAGACCAACTTAATATACCACGGCAAGGCTCACTCAGCTTTGGAATCAAATACGAAATGGAAAGCGGACAACCGTGTGGAATCAGTGCATTTTTGGCTAATCATTGAAGTTGTTTCATCTAGACACGTCACCTCTTTTGTCGTTAAAAAACAACTTGTGTCATGAGTTGATCCTTGTCGCTCGTTCCAATTAACTTAGAAGGTAAAATCAAGGACCAAAAAGAGGTCCCAAGGTTATTGCTTGGAGAGACAACCAAAGTTGCCAACCCCCTGTCGTTTTCTGATGCTAGGTCAGGCAGGTTTGACATGGAGGCCGCATTTGAAGCCACGTAGACCAACAGTTCGGATATTAGTTTCACGCCGTCCATTCTCTACATCTGACGGGTGCTGGGTGTCGAAATTTGATGAAAACGTTTGAGTATATGACGAACAGCAAGAGCCACTGAGGTTTGCATTCAAACACACAAGCGAGGAGAGAAAGATAACGAAGGTTTATGGAGACCTCTCGGATCAAATCAGCTGTGTGTAATGGGTTGCAACTAAACCAGTTTGTCCTACTTGTGGTACTTGTGGTCTGTGGTAACGCCTGACGTGGTGATTGCTGTTGATTATCTTGCAACTGGAGCAGTTGTCTTGCTTTTAGTCATACTGAAACATAGTGGCATTTTCCCTGATTAGCTGCAAATTGGAAGGATAAGATGTCGGTATCTGGAGATTGGTCTTCAGCACTTCTGCCTGTGTAGAGCACCAGTTGTGGATGTGTCCTAAACATTGAGTATTATTTCAACCTTAGAGGTCCGTTAGATGTACGAAGGGTGAACGCTGATCCCAGTACTTAATACACGTGAAAGTGATCGTCATATGGTGATGACTGGTTTTTTCTGCTTTGGTGTGGTGGGAATATGGAATTTGGAATTGGGCAGTATTTCACGCTTAAAATAATGAATTTGAATAGCTTTGTGATATCTTGAACGAGTTTTTAGCTTCCTTAAGCGTAAAAACTCTCACTTCCAAAAAAACCGAGCGTTACCTCAGCATCACGAGTTTACCTCCAATGAGAATCTCTCTCCATCATTTGCGACTAGGGCGAGCCGACATTCGCAGCTCGAATAGAACTCACGTCGGTCTAATAAGAATGCCGGGTGTCTCGGAAGTCAAGGATGGTGAGTCTTTTTCATTGTGTTGGTGCTAGCTATTCCCATGGTTTTCGGATGGAGAAAAGGGCTGCATTGGCATCGATGCGCGATCAATGGTCGTGGGTGGACATTGTTATTTATAGCCTAATGATGTACAAGTCTTGAATGCTGTTGACATCCGAGAAAAATCCCACTCTAATAAACGCTGACACATTCCTTATTATTTCCATCTAGCCAAATATATACATGGCGCCTCAAAAGTATGGACTGTAGACTCCATGAACCATCACGTCGTGAACGTCCAATACGCTGTTCGTGGTGAATTGGCAATCAAAGCTGACCAGTTACGGCAGGTCAGTGTTGCGATGGTTCAACTTGGATGACACCCTATGAAACTTGGACTGAATCCTCTGGAAATCATTATAGAAATTGGCTGAGAACCCTGAATCCCTACCTTTCAAACATATTACGAGTTGTAATATTGGAAACCCACAACAACTAGGTCAAAAACCAATCACCTTCTTTCGACAAGTAATATCACATACAAATTCCGTTTTAACGAACAACCTTGACTTTAATACGTTATCGTCTCGTAGGTCACATCGCTTTTAGAATACCCAGACTTGTTATCCGCTGAAAACGAACCTATTGTCTCCAAACTATATCCAAAAGATGCCTTGGATCGAGCGAGATCTCTATTGGCTTCAATTGATGGTGGTGTAGGAGCATACAGTCATTCTCAAGGAATACTCGCCATCAGAAAAGATATCGCCAAGTTTATCGAGGAACGTGATGGTTTCCCATCAAATCCTGATAATATCTTTTTGACAGCTGGGTATGCAAAAAAAAGAAGTTAAACACCTCGCAATATCATAAGTTGACTCTGTGTTATGTAGAGCGAGTCCTGGAGTGCAACTGGTTTTGCAATCCCTCATCCAGAACAGCAATGTTGGAGTAAGTTACTTCTGCAGGAGATTGTATTTTGTGAGTGCGAAGCCTTATACTCATGAGCTTTGATGTTACTTTGCAGATTATGATTCCAATCCCCCAATATCCTCTATATACTGCCAGTATTGCACTTTATGATGGTACACCTGTTTCATATTACCTCGATGAGTCTAATGAATGGAGTTTATCGGTAAGACTTATCATACCTCTCATTCTTTGGATATTTTGCCCACAGCACTATCACCCTCTAGGTGGAAGAACTGAATAGGTCGATAACGGAAGCACGTGCCAAGAAGATTGACGTTCGTGCTCTATGTGTCATCAATCCTGGAAATCCAACAGGTCAATGTCTAAGTGAAGCCAACATGAGAGACGTAAGTGCGCAAAAAATGGTGGAATGCACGCATATGATTGTTGACTCATTGTTCAACTCAGGTCATCGTATTTTGTCACAAGGAAAAATTGGTCTTGCTGGCAGATGAAGTTTATCAAACGAATGTGTATACTTCAAAAGTCCCATTCAATTCATTCAAGAAGGTTCTCACGAGGTATAAAGAACGAGCCCTCGCATTGATATGAATTTACTTTGTGAGCAAATATACAAACAACGACTTCGTCGTTAGCATGGGACCATCGTATGAGGCACAAGAGCTGGTCTCATTTCACAGCATATCGAAGGGTGTCATTGGAGAATGTGGCAGACGTGGTGGATTCTTTGAGTGTGTTGGTATTGAAAAGGATGTGAGGGATATGCTATACAAGATTGCTTCAGTTTCGTTATGTCCGCCTGTGTCTGGTCAAGTTTTGGTAAGAGCAAGCAAAACCATTGTGTGAACCTCCCACGAATTTGTCGCTCACGCCGTAATTGTTAGGTGGACCTGATGGTGAACCCCCCGAAGAAGGGTGATATCTCGTATCCTGTCTACGCTAAGGAAACTCAGGAGGTTTATGGTATGACAGAAGTTCACCATAGTCATATCAAAGCCAATCCTTTCGTTTGGACCCATGATCAAATGCAAAATTATTGGACAGATTTCTAAACATTCTCTCTGCCATAGACACTCTGAAAAGGAGGTCCATCAAGTTGGCAGATGCCCTCAATTCCTTGGAAGATGTTACTTGCAATCCTGCTCAAGGAGCCTTGTATCTCTTCCCTCAAATCAAATTGCCAGACAACGCTATTGAGGCTGCCAAGAAGGCAGGCAAGGCTCCTGATGACTTTTATGCCTTGGAATTGTTGGCTGCTACTGGAGTGGTGAGTATTGAGGTTGATTGCTCCCGTTTCTTCCAGGGAGATTTCCTTTTTTTGGTGCTTCGCTCATACACTCCACGTTTGTTTAGTGCGTGGTGTCGGGTTCTGGTTTTGGACAGAAGGCTGGTACATGGCACTTCCGTTCAACCTTCCTGCCACCTGAAGCTTCATTTGATGAATTTATTCAACTCGTACGCAAGTTTCACTCAGGCTTTATGGACACGTATAAGAACTAGTTTGTTTATATAGAAACTATCAGACACTGTACGTACGATTTGATCACGTAACAATATATTCTAGTTTTGGCGAAAACATTGGCCCTGTTGTCTGTGGAGGTAGACGCACTGCAGCGAGCTATCCGAAGTCAGAGAGCTACGCGTCGGGGAAAGTGAATTTGGCAGAAGTATAACATAAGCATCGCGTTGGTTTCAAACGGTGCCAGCGAGCTCCACTTTATAGAAGGTTTCAAATATCTCTTTTTGCTGTAGCTTTTCGAACATATACCGATCGGTGACAACAGAATGAGATGAACACTCAGGAAACAGTACCAGCTCCATTGGCGCCCTTGTCCAAAAGGGCTTCTCGTCGTAAAGCTCTTGAAGAGCTCCATGCATCGCCTCTTCCCATTCGCCCAAAATCAACATTATCTTGGTGGTCGCCAGCTTCATGGCGGTGGTTGATGCCATCATTTTCTACTATGAATGCGTCTAATGATCACAATAAAGTATCGAAATTTCAAGGAAGTCTGCTCGGGATGGGTGTTTGGATCACATCAGATACACGTCAACTATGGACTGATGGATTCTTTGGAAAAGGAACACTATCACGATCAGAACCGCTATACGGCAATGAGGATTTTCGTATGGGAATAATGAAACGGAAAGCTGCTGGTCGTTTGGGTCCTGTTGATGAAGCCGAGAATGAAAACACGACTGAAAAGCTTGGCTATAATCCTGAAAGGGTGCAGCTGTCGCCTTATGAGAGTGTGTTTTTGTTGTGGGCGTTAGATTGTTTGGAGATTAGGGATTATGATGGGGTAAGCGTGCTGCTAATTTGACATTGGGCAACAAAGGTACACGGTATCTTAAAACCCATTTTTTAGACGGAAATGACTGCGAGATCCTTGTGGCGGTACATGATGTCTCAATCTAGACTGTATGCTACACAGCCAGACACCCTCTATGAAGGCTTGCCTCTGTCTGAATGGGGATTTATGGCTCGCTATGTTGTGTATCACACTTTTCGAGCTCGAGGCTGGGTTACTTGGTCTGGAATCAAATTTGGTGTCGATTTTGGTGAGTTCCCTCTATTGAGTTCCTTTGGGAATATTGCTCAAGTTCTTTTCATCTAGTTGCATATAGGCGTGGTCCAGTATTCTCTCATTCAGAGTATGCACGATGGTTTTGTAGCTTTTTTTCGCAACGTCTAATAAATCTCCTTAGATATGCACTAGTAGTACTTCCAGTAGTCAAAAATCAGCTCATAGGCTTCTCGCAAGACCTGAAATGGTATTTGGGAGTGAATCGTGTTTGCGCTCAAGTCAAAAAGGTAAGTTCGTGTTCATTTGCTTGACGCGTAACAAATCTCATTGCTCCTTTTATAGAGCGTTGTATTATGTTATGTACATTTCGAGGACGAATTCACTGTATCTGATTCTCAACACCCTTTGGACGCTCTGAAAAAGACTAGAATATCTGAAGTGACAATACGCCGGTTTATACCAGAACGGAGCAGGGATTGAAGAACGCACGCCTTCGCCGCAGAGCCACCATTGTATTATACAAATCATCTTGCTTGCCTGTTAATACATGACACTGTGAAGTCCTTCAATCGGTTGTCTCCATTTGTCAGATCATGACTCCATTCCCACTATCCGGCCACGATCGCCCTATTCGATAGTACCCCTACTCCATACTTTCATTATGAGAACAATGAACGGAGTACCAGTGCACCTCGTGATGAAAATGCTCCAATAGTTTTTGCCTACACCACAACCAATCATAGGTGGAAGGCCAAATAGTTTCAAACATCGAGGTGCGTGCTTTCGGTTTTAAATGCGTAAAATCACCCTGAAGGTCATCAGTACAAAAAAACTCAAGGAAAGTAGTGGCAATGGTCTTCAACCGTACTCAAGTCGTCACATCCTTCGTAAGTGAGAATTGGTCCTATCGGCAGATAAACTCCATTCAATCAAGTGTACATTCCAGAAGTGTCATTCCATGTATTCAAGAAGCTGCTCACACCGAAATAGCCTTCGTGATTGTTCGAAAGCCCTCAAGAACGATAAACATCATGTAATGATTAGCATGAAGCTATTCCTTTATTGCACGCAAGAGATCCTGGCGCTTTTCCAAGACCTGTAAGGATCAAGATCTTGTTCACGTCACAAATGATACGGTGATTTCTGGCCTTAACCGTGTGGGTATTTTTGCGTGTGGTGGGCATGGCGTTTTAGCGCTGTCGCTATCCTGGGAACGACGCTTTTGGCATATGCTTTGTGTCAATGTCAAACTCTATCAGGTCGTTTTATTTCATCTTGACGTCTATCAATATCGAGATCAAGATTGTTATATTGTCGTATATTCGCATAATCAAATGACTCACTTGGAACCAAACACAAACAATGTGTGCAAAGTCGATTTGTCTACTGGTATTCTGGTTACTGCATTCAGCAACTCCTCAAACAACAAACCTCTCCACAACCGCAAAGACAAGGTTTGGATCAAAAGTATAGACACTAGATTCTGTTAATCCCAATGTCGTCAAAGTTCAGTACGCTGTGCGTGGACAAATTGCTTTGAAAGCAGATGAGATTCGACAGGTATGCCTTTCGGTCAACTGCATATCAGTCACCCCGAGATCCAAGCAAATAGAACACGTTATAAATGCTTATCTTATCATTTGTTGCAACTGACAGAGAATCCTTCCTCACTACCATTCAAGAACATTACATATTCCAACATTGGCAATCTACAACAACTGGGTCAGCCTCCAATCTCCTTCTTTCGACAAGTACGCCAAAAGAAACTAGCAAGGAGGTATTCCGGAATTTTATGCTGCTTCCTCATGAGCATTTTTATTTTCAGCCTTCATCGGTGTAGGTCACATCACTATTAGAATACCCAGACATGCTATCTCCTGAAAACTACCACATTGCGTCCCAATTATATCCCCAAGATGCCATGGATCGAGCGAGATTATTATCGGGTTGCATTGATGGTGGTATAGGAGCATACAGCCACTCGCAAGGTTAGCTCCCATCAGAAACGACGTTGCCAAGTTTATCGAAGAATGTAATGGCTTTCCATCAAATCCTGATCATATCTTTTTGACTGCTGGTTAAGAAAAATTTGGTTTGAAGCTAGAAGCCTTATCATAATTTGCCGTTATATCAATAGGGCGAGTCCTGGAGTGCAACTGGTATTATCGGTAAGACTCATCGATTCATGTTAGGCAGTCTCTTTTCCCGCCTTAACACGACCGCTCCCAGGGTGCTGAACTGAGTAGATCCATAACAGAAGCTTGCCAAGGACATTGACGTACATGCTCTCTGACATCAATCCTGGAGACCCTACAGGTCAATGTCTGAGTGAAGCCAACATGAGAGAGGTAAGCCCAATGAACTGAGTTCATTGATCGTCTAGGACAATTTCACCAAGGGCTTATGAAGACCTACAAAGAATAAGACGTGGGCGTCAAATTACAAATAAAAAACTTTTGATCTTGCTTCTCAAAGATATGAGTGTTTAGTGTTTGAATCTATAATATTTACAATGCTATAGGACACGACGACTAGCTTCAAGGATGGAAAGTCTTTTCCGCCTGGAATGGATTCCACACCGGATCGACCCCTTCCCCACGTGCCCTCAGCACCGGCGTTGTATACGTCCGGTCCACTCCACCAGCAGTATTAGCAAGATAGAGTATCTTTCTATGTATCTCGTCCCTATCCAATTTGGCCACCCACATCTTCTTCTGATGGCCTGTGCCATAACTGCCGACGACTTCCGGTGGCTGTTGGCCTCTTGGCTGTATTGCGATTTCGATATGAGGATGAGATTTAGCAAATGGGATGAGTTTTGTGTGTAGCCATTCGACCATTCCTTTTGATGTTCCTCCAGCCCCCATTCTTGGGTGGTCGTAGTAGATGTGGAGGCGTTGCAGGGGTGGGATGAATACTACTGCGCCGTTGCGAGAGCGTGATATGGTGTCCTGATGATATGAATTGGGTGAGAATTGTGAGGGTATGGTAAGTGGAGTTTTTTTGTCACTTTGCAAGGTCGACAAGAAACAAGTACGATACCTTTATAGGGAGGACCTTCTTTACGCTTTTCTGTAGCTGTTCGAGCACTCTTACAGCTGGATGGTATCCCATTATGGTGGTTTGTCCTAGAAGTATATGTTGTAAAAAAGTTTGAAGTAAACTGACAACGACAAGGGCTATACGGCATATTGTCAGAAAAGGGTAGTTTTGCTATTGTAGCGGTTGAATATAGCTTACAATTCGCGAAAAACACGTTCAGACGCTACTTTGGCACTGATGGATTTCTCGTCCAAAATCCAAAATCCTTCAAAACAAGCGAAGCTAGCAAGCACATAGCAAAATAAGAGTAAAGGCGATATAACGATGATGACTAGTGCTGAACAAGAATTTGATGAATTCAAGTACGTACACCATATAGGATGCGAACGTGATCGCATCTAGGCAGTGCTCATTCGTCCTTTAAACTTCAACATCTGAAGCACAATCTCAAATGCACGCAACAACCTATAACTTGGTGTTGTGCGTTTGCATCTATGTATCTAACTGGGTCTTTATTTTTCTCTCGCAGAACACTCGTTACTCAGTTAAATGATAATGAACTCGAAGCCGACGTGAATGCCTACATCAAGAAGAATGGAGGAGAAGCAAAATCAATACTCGAACGTGTCTTGAGGAAGCTTATACCATCTCAACCTACTTCAGCTGCCAACAAGAAGAGAAAGTTGGACGATCAGGTCGCAGCACTACCAGACGACAAACCAATTCTCGCGACCATTCACGATGTATCCGTCGTCTCCCCAATACGTAAGAAGTGTGATGTATCGATAACCGAAACCACAATCTCATTCTGTAACAAGGATAAGATCGAGTTCACAATGGCCATATCTAGCATCACACATATCTTGTGTCTACAGACGCCCGAAAAGCAGAAAGCACATTGGACGTTTGTGTTGATTGGGCTGCCTGAAGCTATAGCATTCGGACTGGAAGATAAAGGAGGTGTTGAAAAGGGTGGTGGAGTCAAGATCTCGAAAGGATCTGAAGTCACGGTCGTGGAAAAAGTGAATAGTAATAAGGAGCCTGTAATTGAGTTGCTTGAAGCTCTGGTAGCAAAGAAGAGCAGCGGATCCGCCAAAGCCATTCAATCGAACGAGAAGGACTTTAAGAGTGTTGCCAACAAGGGCAAGCCCTATGTAGGAGCAAACATTGGTTCACGGCAAGGGTCAGTTTCGTTGAATGTGCTGCACTTTGTGCATGTGCAATATTTTTTTACATACGTTTTCGGCAGGGTTATGTATTGTCTACGAGAAGGCATATTTCATGGCTTTAGGAAACCAATGTTGTTTATACCTATGAATCAGATTCAAACCGTTGGTGTATCCAGTGTTGTTCAACATACATTCTCGTTGACTGTTGATCAGATTCGCGGTGATGATACTGTGCAGCACGAATTCAGTTATATTTCGACTGTCGAGGTTTGTCTATGCCACTGTGACTGTAAATGTATTTGCTTTTAAGACTCATCTCGTACGCTAGTATGATAACGTATCGACCTTCTTGGCTAAATTCAAGTCTCTGTGGAATACTACACCCATCGTTAAAGCTAAGGAAGAGCAATCGAAAGCTGATGGTACATCCGCAGCAGACGATGAAGCTGGTCCTGTTGCCGAAAAGGCTATAGATGAATCTGACGAGGTATGTGATATGTGTCGGAGTGTGTATTTGACAATATTGTGTATTTGATAACCTTGAATTCTACTTTTGCATAGGACGACGAAGATTTTGAAATGGATTCGGATGATGATGAAGTCGGCGAAGAATACGACTCAGATCATGATAGTGAAGCTGGTGCTAACACTAGCGGTACTGCTGCCGACGCTGAGGAAGAGTTGGGAAGCGTGGATACAGCAGAGGAGGATGAAGAAAATGGTGATGATGAGGACGAGGAAGAACAAGAAGGGGAAGAGAAAAGTGATTCGGAAGACGCGGTAGCTCAAGACAAAATGGACGTTGATAAAACTGCTGAAGCCGAGGTAGACGAGTTAGATAGTTGATGGAGTTTTTGTTCATAGTTTGTAATATTGTAACATACAGAACTTCGCCATTCTTTATTGTTGCCTGTATACCTGTATATTATTGGCTATATTGTATCCTATTTTATCGGTCGTATCAGCTGTCCATTCGACTTTCACATTTGAGACTTTGAAACTTGGTGACCTAGATGCGGGATAGATCCGGACAGTTCTGATCAAGTTCTGATGCCTGACACGTTCCAGTATACACTTAACGTTAATTTGAATGACGTCCGTCTAGAAGTCAAGGCTCGATATCTGGTTAAAGCATCGATTTCAACAAAAGGATCAATCCCGTCCCTAAACGATGTGTCAAGCGATGCACAGCAAACAGATGTCAGCAAGATAGCATCTACCAAACCTACATTCAATACAAGTGCATTCCACTTTCCACTATCAGGCTCTCCACCGCTGTATTTGGACACATCAGAACTTTCATTAACATGTTTTCGTGTCGACGATGCCGTGGACTCTGAACCTGTTATAGTAGGAGAAGCCTCATTGCCTTTAACAGACACATATGAGTACCTTGTGGCTGGCAAATTAACCAAATCTGTAAAATTCATTGGATCGAAGCTGGTCAATATCAAGAAAAACAATGGACAGAGGGTGTCGTATGTTATTGGTGAGGCTACAATTGTATTGAATATTGAGAGGCATATCAGCAGTGGGCTTTCGTATTCGAACTTGGAACGGGGGGCTAGTGCGGTGAGAGGGAACAGCGCCGGTGTCGCTGTAGATCATCAGGGTGTCATAGGGTCGACTAGTTTTGGATCTAGGCTGGATATGAAGCCCGGGAGACAGTTTACGGTTAATGGGAGTCTTGATGCGTTGAGAGGTGAGGAGCTTGTTGCAGGTCGGATGTATCACAGGATAATGAACATGCAACATTCTAGATTCATTGTCGAGGGATGAACCGCAAATACAGCCTGCCGCACGTCAGATTAGCGCATTAACGTAAGAATCATTGCATTTAATGATGGATTGCATCCTTTTTTTGGTCTTGCTTGAAGAACATTGCCAACTTTTAACACTGTCCACATATTTAGAGACGATCTGCGGCCGATGTAAGATCATTGTTGATCGGAGTATTGTGAAGTCAAGATTTTTTATATTTTTACATTCTGTTCTTGGTCTAGACGCAAGGAATCGTCCCCTCGACTACCACGCAACCTCAGCGCTAACCACCAGAATCCACCCTCAACAACCTCACCATCTCAACGTGACATAACATACTACCAAAACACAATAGACAGGCTCCTCCAAGAACTGAACTCTCGTACAGACGCCCTCAAACGAGTCGGTGCAGATCTGGTAGCGGGTCGAGAAATACAAGCAAAACTAGAATCCAAGATTCGAGAACTCCGGAAAAGGATTGCTGAATCTGATGGTCAAACTGCTATGCTTATGGATATGATGGATTTGGATGTGCTTAGTGCGGAAGAGTTACGGAAACGGTATACGATCCTGTGCAAGAAACTGAAACAGGAGAAGGCGTATTCGAGGGATATGGTTGAGAGGCTGGAAGTTGTTCAGAATGTTGCTATAGAGGTATGAGTCAAATGGCAAAGGCTTTTTTTGTGGTCTCATTCATGTCGCCCTTTAGAAAAACGAATTGGAAAAATCTTTCTTGGAGATACGGCAAGCACACACAGCGCAGGCAGCATACGTGCTAGCTTTACAAGAAACAGTAGAAGAGGGAGCAAAGGCAACTTCTTTGGCCAAGAAGCAGGAAGCCATGATCAAAAAACTTCAACGTGATTTAAGTGATCAGCAGAGACTTGTTAAAGGTAAATCCTGTTTTTCGAGTGTAAACTTTTTATTGCGTCTCTGAGATGTTTTCCTTTGATAGAATCTGGCAGGAGGCATGCTGAATCCGCAGAATTCCCGCGTCGATACGTTGAACTCGAATCACTACGACGACAAGGTGGTGAGACAAATGAGATATCTAGAGCTCTGTCGAATGAGAATCAAGAGCTCAAGCAGCGGTTGCTTGATATGGAGAATAGGATCAAGTTTCTGGTATAGTCGTTTCTCCATGTGTTGGTATGACAATCATTTATAGGCGATTCATAAAGTGGGTTTTTGCTCCCTAGTCGGAACCCAAAGAAGACAGAGCCCGTGATCAACGAGTTGTGCATCAGGCTGATCCAGAGCTTGCTAATTTGCGGATGGAGCTTGTCAATGAGTTGAGGGAAGAAGTTGCTAGAGAGAACAGAAGGTAAGACAATGTCATTGCTCTAGATGAAATGCATGGCTCATTTTATCATACTCCAGGGCCGACGATGCAGAGCGTGAACTCAGGGATTATAGACTGGTTTGTACACATTGATAGCGCCCTTCTGTGGCTTTTTTCGTGCTCACTCGTCGTTTCAAAAGGAATGTGAACGAGCCATCCAGAGTGAGAAAGCTCGAGCTGATCGTGCCGAATCTCATGCTCAAGCTCTGAATGCTGAGGTACATATATATTGTATTCTGTTTCTTTTTCTCTGTGGGTGTTTTCTCCTGACGCTTTACAAAATAGGTCATCGATTTTGCTCGCCAATTCGCTGTTCTGAAGGGTGAATTGAAGAAGAAGGGACAGGCATTGCGTACTCTACGTGAACGTATTGCAGTTGTGGAGAGTGTAAGCAACTAGGATATTCTTTTTTGTGTTTCGAGCTAACAGTTTTCACCACTTAAGATATCAAGCTCTCCAGTCTCGTCACGAGCTCCAACACCACAACAGAGTCGCTCAACAACCGAGCTTAGAGGGACTGGATCTCAGAGGATTTTGGACAGAATATGATACATGGACATTGTAGTTACCTAATTTATTTCACCTATGTTTTCGCATCATACATATTGCATGCTCTATAGCAAAACATTTTTGCTGGCTGTTGCAAGTTTAGTCTGAGGCCAAGGACTCTAGAACCACTCACTGATCTGTGTGTCTCTTACCTACACTGCCCATTCGGACGAAATCAAGGCCACTGTGCTTGTCGCCAGCATCTTGGAGTGTTTGATTTCATCACTTTCTGCAAGAAAGACCACTATAACGGAGCTTCATTTCGAAAAAGGTGCTTGGGATGTGTGTTTAATGACATCAGATTCATGTCAATTGTGGATTTCCTTGGGGCAGGGAACGTCATGACGATCAGAACCTTTATTCCGGAATGAAGATTTTCATGTCGTATGTGAGTGCTGTCAATTGAGCTTTGAACCAAATGTACACGGTTCGTTCAACACCTACGACAGCAAAAGAAAAAACAAACCGGCTAGATGATGACGCCTGCTAGATGATGACGAGTGCTAGATCATTGTAATCGTCATCATTTATCTAGGTAGACCGTATGGTACGCACTAGAAAACGCTGTCTAGGTGGACTTGCCTGTCTTTGGTGATTTACGGCTGGTCATGTTGTCGTTTTGATTGCCCTTCTTGCTATGGGTTCTGTGTGGACCTTCCATTGGGTCTGCTTTACAGGCGTGTCAAACGTTTCCACTGTCAAAATGAGAGAGAATTGCTCTGCCTGCTATGTGCTTTTCTCCATTGTAAATTGTCTTGATATTGTGTGAACGGCATGTCACACCCTGTCACTGTCTGAACGAGAGAGCATTGCTTTTTCGTTGTAGGTTCGCCCGAACCTACCATTCGGCTACTCAAAAGTGAATTGTCTTGACATTATGTTAGAGCCCTGTCACAGTCAAAACGAGAGAGAATCGCTACTGGTTTAAAAAACGTTTTGCCTATCTCTCCATATGACATTCGTGCCTGCGTAGCATTTGATTTGTACAAACCGAAAAATCGTTTTAATCATGGCCAGATTGATTCGGGCTCTGTTTGTTGTCTCGTGTCTACTCTCATTGACAATTGCTGGAGGAAACAACAAGAAGACGGCTACACCAACTGCAAGTCCTTCAACTTCAACTTCTTCACAAGGCACTTCGTCACCGACATCGTCGTCATCGTCCTCTTCTTCGTCATCACCATATGCTTATCTTGGAAACGCTACTATAAGCACTGATGTATTCTACTTGCCGTCGTTTGATAGTATCTACACGTCCAACGGATGTGTGCCAAATGACTCCTATTCCGGATACAGACAAGTCACAATCAATGTCACTCGACAATTGGCTTATCCTGCTGGTGTATCGAAAAAAGTCATTGCTGTCAATGGTGAATTTCCTGCCCGTCCGTTTGTTGGTGTTCAAGGAGAGATCTTGAACGTAGGTTTAATTCTCACGCCAATAGCTCTGAACGTTACTTTTTCGTCTTTTGAAGTTCTCACTTCAAACATGGACTCTTGCCTGTCACTCTTTCACAACAGATTACTCTCATCAACAGCTTGGAGGAAGCGACAACAATCCATTGGCACGGTTTATACCAGCGTGATGGACTGAACATCTATGATGTAAGCTTTCAATTTTAATTTTCGTTTTAAGGTTTGACATTGACATCTCTTATCACTTTTAAAGGGTTCATCTTACACTGCACAATGTCCAATTCCAGCAGGAAGCAATTTTACACAAATCGTGGCTCTTTATCAGACCGGAACATATTGGTATCACTCTCACAGTGGTCTTCAGTATGGGGATGGAATGCGGTAACTGTCAAAATTGAATCTGTGAGACATTCTCCCGGTTTAAGCTCTTCTTTTTTGAGTTCAGGGCTCCGGTGGTCATATTGCCAAGATGTCAGCGACCCATTCTCAAAGGTGTTGAATCATTTGTAATCGGTGTCAGTGGTACGTTTTTGTTAGAGCAGTGGTTTCTTGCATTTTGAAACACGCATTTCAGTCCATCTCACGTTTTCTCTCTTTTTATCCCTCTTTAGAACACTACTTCAACACATCGACTGAAGCTCAAGCTGCCTACCTGTCACCTACTGACGGGGTTGGTATATTGAGTCCAGACTCTGGTCTCATCAATGGTGTTGGGCGATTCAACTGCAACGATTCTATACCTGCAACCCATACCTGTCGAACTGTCACCACTCCATACACTGCTACAGTTGTCCAGAACAAGACATATTTGTTTAGGTTTGCTGCCATCTCAACCATTGGCGTAAGTTTTTCTTGGTTGTACTGTTTTATTGTGTTGTCGCAGTTCGTTTCGACTGACCTGAGTCTTTTTTTTTAGTTCTTCAATGTCTCGTTTGCTGGTCATTCAATGACTATAATTGAAGCTGATGGTAGGTTTCGTGTCTTCTCTCTTTTTCGGTACATGAGCAAAAGCCAATACAAAGCCAATACATCTGGAATTCGTCTTGTAGGAGATGACATGACTCCAATTGTGGCGTCTGAATTTGAAATGGCTATTGGTCAACGTATATCAGCACTCGTCACAATGAATGCAAGTATTGGCAATTACCAAATATTGGCACGAATCTCGGAAGCAGATGTTGCAACTCCTTATTCCTATTTCAATCCCAACTTTACGGTAAGCGGGGTAAACCCTATGTTTCGTTATCCATAGTAGTTGAACGTGTGTGTCATGCATCGACTCATTCGTTACCATCAGGCTGCGCTTCATTATCAAGGAGCTGCTACTCCAACTTGGGACAATCTGGTGAATTCCACAGCAAATGGCACGAATAGTCTACACGATTACGAAACCACCCCTCTATATGGTAAAGTTGAACTGGTGAAGAACAACGAAATGTGCGAGTGCTTTGTCAATGCCACACATAAGCCTGTCAGCATATGCAACAACGGCACCACTACTACTGTCACGACTGGAAACTTCGCTCCCGCCAATATAACCAAACATGTCCAAGTGTATTGGGGCTTTTATCAAACGAATCAAACCGGGACTTTCTATCCTTTTAGTGAGTGGTGATATTTTTAATGTTTTAGAGGGGATATTTTGACTAAACACACTCTCCTAGTGACCTACTCTGTAAACGATGTTGCTGGTGAAACCAATAGTAGTTGGGTAGCAACCCCAATTCCATTAGTGGGTCTCGTAAAGTACAAAGAAGCTCTTCCTGGCAAATCCAACCCAATATACTTGAATCTGAATGACACTGTAGAAATCGTGATATCTAATGCAGGCTTGCAACCCCACATCTGGCATCTGCATGTACGTGCAACAAGCCCCAGTAAAGGGCTCTGAATATGTAACGTCTTTTTTTGGTTGTAGGGTCAAAGCTTCTTTGTCACAGGTGCAAGAAATTCAAGTTTTGCCCATGTTGCTGAATCAAGTAGTCAACCACTTCCTTCTAAATCAAGTACTCAAGCACTTTCTTCATCACTACAATAGCACACGGAACGTCTAATACGGACAACATTACTGCTGAAATGGTTCAGAATGCCACTGTGTTGGAAGGAGCTGCCTATCGAGACTCTATCTTCATGCCAGTTGACTCGTGGTTCGGTTTACGCTTTAGAGCTGATAATGAAGGTAGTTTCGGTGCTTCTTGAGTCATCTTCGTCCTTTTCTATGAACTAATGGCTTCACTGCTGCGTTCTATTAGGTGTATGGCGTAAGTAGTGAGCCTAAACCCAGTCTCTTTACACTACCCAGTCTTACGTGCTTCCTACATTTCACAGCATTCCATTGCCATATTGATTTCCACTTGTTGACGGGTATGTTGTGATTTTGATGTTGTCGTTGTGAGGGATCTCAGGGGGTTTTTTGTTAACTCCATGCTCTTTATCCACATACATTGACGCACACTCGCATTAGGCATGGCAGTCAACTTTGTTGTTGGCGCACCGACGATTGAAGATGATGTAAGTATCCAAACATGGCGTTGGTTGGTTTGGAATGCATGGACGACATTGCATTAGTTCGAACGCACTGACACTTTTTCAAACAACATACTCGCTAGCTTTACATACCGGAAGCCTGGTGGGAAAATTGCGCCGCCGCTTATGCTGTTGGTGACCTACCCTTGTGGAATGAAACGATTACCATCGCGTCGTGATGGCTTTATCCTTAAAAGGAGTTGTATTTTGTATTGAAAGCAATGCAAAACTCTCACGTCTGCATCCGTTGATGCCATGTTTTCTGCGCCTACGATAGAGCTTGACCTGTACAGCGATACCTTCGAAAAAGGCATCCATGAACCATGTCTCTGTCTTGGTCAGAATGTCACAGCACTTCTCTATAACCACGAAAGGCTCCAGATGGATTCAATTCTCTTACTGCGTCTCTCGCGCCTTCAGCGTAGCTTAACTTTGCCAGTTTGTCGAGAACTGTTGAAGATCATATACAGGATACGGGGACCACTCCGGAAACAGTGCCAGCTCCATTGGCGCCCTTGTACAAGAGGGTTTTTTGTCGTAAAGCTATTGAAGATCTCCATGAATCTCCGCTTTCGATTCGCCCAAAATCAAGATGAGCTTGGTGGTCTCCAGCTTCGTGGAGATGGTTGATGCCATCATTGTCTACTATAAATACCACTAACGATACCAAGTCAAGCCATGAACTTCAAGGAAGTCTACTCGGGATGGGTGTTTGGATCACATCAGATACACGTCGATTATGGACTGATGGATTCTTTGGAAAGGAACACTATCACGATCAGAACCGCTATACAGCAAGGAGGATTTTCGTATGGGAATAATGAAACGGAAAGCTGCTGGTCTTTTGGGTCCTGTTGATGATGCCCAGAATGAAAACAAACTGAAAAGCTTGGATATAATCCTGAAAGGGTGCAGTTGTCGCCTTATGAGAGTGTGTTTTTGCTAGATTTTTTGGAGATTACGGATTATGATTGGCTACAGAGTCGTTCATGAGGTGCCATATTGCTTGTGTTGAGAAAATCGAATTGGATGATTTTTTCGTCGCACGACGAAATGAGCGTTAGATCCTTTTGGCAAGACATTGTGAACTAATCTAGACTCTATGCTACACATGCAGGTCTCCTCAATGAAGGCTTATCTTTTTTCTTGGGAATTCGTGGCTCGTTAAGATATCTACGACGGCCTTCAGGGTGGTTTGGTGCTGGAATCCAGTTTGGTGTAGAGTAAGCTCGAAACATCTCTCTTCGTTGAAATTTGTATTGTCTGTATTTTTTGATGCTGCTGCATATGGACGTGGTCCGGCATTCTCTAATCCAGATGCCCCACGATTCTGCTGTGAACTCTTTCTGTCAGAACTTCGTACGTTGGTTTTTTCTATTGGGAATCCACTAATCCGCTTTCTCCACAATAGCAAGTTTTCAAGTCTTTCTATTTCAAGTTCGTGGCAGTCTGCTCAAGTACATCGTCACTACTTGGCAAATCAAGCTTACCATCCCTACCAAAGCCCATTGTACATACCGACTCTTTGAATTTGATATTTACTACTCTGAAATGGAAAGGACCGTTTCACCGATTCTCAGCGAAGCTGTCGCCAAACATTTCTCGTGACAGGTGTCAATGTCACAAGTCCAACGTGACAGTCATGAGTACTTTCTGCTGAATTGGTGTCAAATTACGATTCATGAATGGGCGAAATGGGTCGTCCCGCAAAATCCTTTCCCCAAATCAATCAACAGTTGACCAGAAAAGCAAAATGGCCAAGTTGGTATGTCTCCTCGCTCTCACATGCTTACTATCACAATCCACAAATGCTCGAGTAACGAATACTGTGAAGAGCGAAACCGTCGGTCCACAGCACACTATTGCTGCCAAAGCATCAGTGGCATCAACTGTACCATATGCTCCAAAGTCACGAACTGTATCAAAATCAACTCTACCAACTGCTCCAAAATCAACTGATCGTATATTAGAAGTTACAACTTCTGCCTTCCATCTGCCTTCATTTGATGAGATCTACACGTCAAATGGATGTGTCCCTCCAGATTCTTACAACGGTTACCGACGAATCTATTTGAACTTGACTCGAGAATGGGCATACCCTGCTGGTGTTTCGAAACAGGTCATTTTGTTTTTGGTGCTGTGATGGAGTCAAAGTAAGTCACTCATTTGTACCGTCAGCAGGTCATTGCTGTCAATGGAGAATTTCCTGCTCCCCCAGTTGTTGGTGTTGAAGGAGAGATTCTGCAAGTACGTCTTATTGTTTTTGGGTTTTGATGGTGTCAAAGTAACCCACTCTTTTTTTCGTCAATTTCTTTAAAAGGTCACTGTCTTCAACAATTTGGAAGAACCAACTTCTATTCACTGGCATGGATTGTTCTTGATTTTTTCGAAATGTCAAAATATAACTGACCTTTTTACTCCTTCTCGCCCTTTTCAGGCATGGATTCTACCAGCGTCATGGATTGACAGTTTACGACGTAGGTTAAAAAATGAATTTGTCATCACGCTGGTGTCTAGTCGATTGACGTTCGTTGCATTTTTTGGTCCTAGGGCTCGTCCTTTGCAGCACAATGTCCAATTCCTGTCGGCGCTAGCTTCACTCAATTCATCGCTCTCTTCCAAACTGGAACATATTGGTACCATTCTCATAGTGGTCTCCAGTATGGTGATGGACTTAGGTAACGAGGTTCTACTTTTGGGGAACATCATAACTCTTTTGCTCACATGTATATTTTGGTTTTAGAGCTGCCGTTGTAGTCTTGCCAAGATGTCAACGACCTTTACTACGAGGTGTTGAATCCTTTGTCATCACTGTTACAGGTATGTTTGTATCGAACTCAAAGCTCTTGGCCTTCCGGCATTTCACAGATTTACGACCCTTGCTTCATGTCTCCTTTAGAACACTATTTCAACACATCAACTGAATCTCAAGCAGCCTTTTTATCACCGAGTGATACTGTTGGTATCATCTCACCGGATACTGGCCTCATCAATGGTGTTGGTCAATTTGATTGCAAGAATGCGCTCCCTATCAACCATACTTGTCGAGCTGTCACCAAACCATATACTGTCAAAGTTCTTCCAAACAAGGTGTATATGTTGAGGTTTGCCGCAATCTCGAGCATTGGGGTAAGTTTTGTACTTGTCGTCATGACGGACTTTGAATGTGAATCGAATCGTATTTTTTTGCGTAGGCTTTCAATGTATCAATAGCTGGTCACAAAATGACTGTCATTGAAGCTGACGGTAAGTTTTTGGCATTCGTCGCCATACCTGCCAAAAAAGATACCATTTTGATTTGGTGTGATGGTAGGTGATGACATGGTGCCAGTTGAAGTGCCTGAATTCGAAATGTCTATTGGTCAACGTATTACAGCACTCATCAGGACCGATGCACGTCCTGCCAGAAACTACCAAATACTCGCTCGAATGTCTCTTTCAAATGTTCAATCGCCATACAGTTACTTCAACAACAATTTTACGGTATTGATATCACCCCCTTGATCCGGATTAAGTCATTGATCTGATCAAAATGCTTTTTTGGCATGCACCGTTAGGCTGTTTTACATTATCAAGGAGCTCCGGTACCAACCTGGACCAACATGATCAAAAGCACAGAAATTCGCTTGAATACGCTGCATGATTACGATCCAATACCAGTCTATGGATACAAGGAGACGACGGACTATTCTGTCAAATGTCCGACTCAACACGCGCACTTTGGACCTTGCTATTTAGATAAGCGAATCATTCCCGGTTCACATCCAAGCAAGAAGGTATACTGCCCCAAAGAAGTGGACAAACGAATCCAAATATACTGGGGATTCTTTCAGACCAATCAAACCGGTACCTTTTATCCTTTTAGTAAGTTTTAGCAAAAAAACATTGTTCAACAAAATAGAATTCTGACTGGATCTCTTCATCCCCCCAGTGACATACTCTGTAAATGGTGTCCATGTGGAAACAAACAGCTCGTGGGTGGCAACCCCTATTCCTATCTTGGGTCTTGTCAAGGGTGATTTGCCTCTTCCAAGCAAATCCAACCCAATTTTTTTGGAGTTGGGTGATGTGGTTGAAATCGTGATCAGTAATGCTGGTCGTCAAAGTCACGTAAGGAAACAAATAAAATACTTCCTTCAAAATTGTTATTTAAAACTAAGGACCTATGTTTTTATCTTTCTCTCTTCAGACTTGGCATTTGCATGTAAGTCCACACATAGGAAAGTGCGTTTCCTACGGAGCTCTCTTGTCAGACCTTTATTGTTGACTTTAGGGTCAAAGTTTCTACATTACAGCACGTGGGACGTCAAACACAGACAACATCACTGCTGAAATGGTTCAAAATGCTACCCGTTTGGAAGGCGCTGCCTATCGAGACTCGATCTTTATGCCAGTTGACTCGTGGTTTGCTTTACGTTTCAAAGCTGACAATGAAGGTACCTCTATGATTGCTGATGGTGGCTTCTATTGCATGAACTGACGCTCTCAATGTTGCGATTTGTTAGGTGTTTGGGTAAGAAAGTAGATTCAAAACCACACTCTTTTCACGGTAACAATTTTCTCGATGTACTTATAGCCCATGCACTGTCACATTGATTTCCATTTGCTAACTGGTAGTGTATCCTAATGATGCTTTTCCTCGTTGATGTTTTTGCTATTTTATGAGTTCTTTTGGACACTTGTCATACACCGACTCACGCTCTGGTGTAATATAGGGATGGCAGTCAACTTCATCGTTGGTAAAAAGAAGATCCAAGAAGAAGTAAGTGAATTGTCTAGAGGAATCTGTGTGCTCTGCTCACAAACACCTTGTTAGCTTTACATTCCATCCGAATGGTATGATACTTGCAATGCCGCGCGAGCAGAAGGTATTTTGCCGCTCTGGAACGAGACAATTACCATTGCTTGAATGGTATATTCTTCAAAAATACATATTTCTGTATTGGGTTTCAATACAAACGAAATATGAGACAACGTACAAGCATTTTTTCAACGCGTACGTATTATGATTCCGCTCGAATGTCGCGCTTTTGCTCGTTTCGCTTCTTCATCGCCATCCCCGTCCTCTCCCAACAGACTCTCCCAACTTTTCGTCCAAACAACTTGCATCCGTTGTTTTTGGTATAGCCACCTCGAGTTCGTCATGCATCTCCGGCTACATATATGGTTGCTGTTAGCTGTCGTTTGTTGTCTGGCTATAGGTAATGTTCATTGGAAGTCATTCTCATATTTCAGAGTTTCTGGTGATTAGTGGTGAAGCTGCCTCTGAACAATATGGAATATTCTCGCATTTAATCCATATCATTGATTACAATCATCGATGCTGCTCGTCCTAAGATGGAACTGTTCCTGTCAATCTGATAAACGTCAACACCTAACAATCTACATTTTTGAACATATGCCATAGTGGTCAGAGCACAAGATGACGATGAAAGTGACGATACCGCTGCTGGCACAGCCAAGATTCGAGTCGAGGATGTACAATTCACTCACTACTTTCCAAACAATCCATTCAAAAGTACAACAAAAATGCTCTCGTTTCGACATACACTAAACTCATCACATCCTTTTTGCTCTTGTTCTAGCCATCGTACCTGGTCAACCAACAGAGTGTTTAATCGGAATGAAGAACCTAGGCATCAAAAATGAAACATACACTGTATATGGATTAACAGGTGCTTTGGTGTCTCCTCAAAATCTTTCAACGATTATTAAAAATGTAAGAGCCCTATACTGCTATAGAGCTGGCGTTAAGGACTTGAAACTAACGTCAAGCCATTCTTCTCTGTTGCCATACCTGTTTTTAGTTGACTGCCGTCCGGTACATCGTCACACTGGAGCCATATGAAGAAGCAACACTACCGTACAAGATCAAAGTTGATTTGGATTCCATGGATGTCGGATTAGTTGTACTTGTTGACTACATTGACTCGGTAAACAAGAAACCTTAATTTGGCTAAAGCTATTTCAGCTCAGAACTGACCACCTAATGCATTATCATACAGGAAGAGAACCCATTACGAGGCCTAGGCTTCTCAGACACCGTCAAAATCACATCTCCAATCAGCACATTCGACATACAGACCCTATCTGTATATGTCCTCTTGGTAGCATTTGTCGGTATAGTAGGATATTTCACTTATACGACGTTTTTGGTACAATACTTGCCCCAATCACCGCCAAAGCGAAAGACGAGGTCGTCAACTACTGCAGGTCCTTCATCATCGTCTTCTGTTGTCGCTGCTGGAGGCTCAAGTCCTGGAAAGAGTGATGAGAATGGTAGTAGTGCGCCTACAGACCCGGGCAAAGTAAATATGGATTGGATACCAGATCATCTCAAGAATGAGAAGTCACCGAAAATGAAAAAGAGAAAGTAAACAAGGAACTAGATATATACATAAGTCTCAAGTTTTTTTGTATGTAAGCAATACAAACAACTGTTTTTTGAACCACAAGATGATAGTATGGTTTGCGTGTCATATAATAATGTGTTTGTTATTGTCCCAAAACTTACAAACAAGCGACTAATTTGAAGTACTTTGTAAAAATAGAAACGCTGGTTTATAAAGAGAATGTTCAGCGGCTTGATAGCTGATTATAACGAGACTGGAAGGCCATTGACTATAGAAGGAGAGAAGAAAAAAAGTGAGTGAAAACAATCCATAATTCAAGTGAATGGTTCGACTATTGTTGCTTACCCCATCAGCAGTAACGGTCGGTGCAATACCATACGAGTTTGCATACTCTATCCCTGGCTCGCCCTTCACCATAGGATACACTTGCTGTTGTTGCATTACTGGCTGTTGAGTAATAACCATAATGGGTTGAGTCGTACGTGGTCGAGGAGGCAGTGGAATCATATTCATGGGCTGATACGGCATTTCATATTCGAATTCCATCTGTTGTTGTTGTTGCTGTATAGGTTGGTAAATCACTTGTTGCTGCTGTTGTTGAGCTGGTAGTTGATGGTAGACTGTTTGATATTGAGGTTGTTGTGGTGAAGGTTGATTTATCACCATGGGCATAGTCATAGTAGTGGTAGCAGGCTGTTGTTGTTGCTGCTGCTTTGCAACGGGTTGCTGCTTCTGTTTCTGTTGTTGTTTTGGTGGTATTGATTGATTTCTGCTAGATGACGGTTCGTCAACAGTATCATCTTCCCTGGTACTACTATTACGATTATTACTATTATTACTCTTATTACCGTTGCCGTTACTGTTGTTCTTCTTTGCATTGTTGTTGTTGTTGTTGTTGTTGTTGTTGATGGTGTTGCTATTCTTTTGTGGTTTCCCAGCAACTTCATTCGTAAACGTAAACGTTATACTCTGTTTCACGGTGGTTGCCGGTGCAGCTTTAGGTATTTTTGGAAAGGAAGTCACGCGTCTAGTAATAGATACCGCCGGTACTGTATAATTGGTATTGTTTTTCACAGGAGGTGGTGGAGCAATGCCCCTCCTGGCATTGAACTGTGCATTCCTAGCCTGTGACGACTGAGCCCTGACACGATCCACGACATCCTTGACTCTGGCCTCTTCAGATATAGGTGGTTTGGTTGCCTTATTGTTCTTTCGAGGGTCTGGGCGTTGTTTGGTTGAAGGTTGATTTTGGGTGTTTTTCGTAGCGGGTGCTTTGCCCTTTGCCTTGTTTGATTTGGCCATGTTGTTTGCCTTACTGCTGGCACCATTTGTAGAAGGAGCAGCAGGTGTCTTTGCCTTCTTCTGATGTTTGATTAAATCCTCTAGAAGTTGATGTCAGGATATGTAGTGTAATAAGGACAGAGATTGAAAGTGGGACACTAACGTCAATGCATGTATTTACCTAGCGAAGAGTTGAGTGGGTCTACGTGTCCCTTCATCATGTTCCTCTCGTCAAATTAGTCCAAACGAAGACCAAATCGAGAATCCAAAAAGATACTCCTCCTCGAGTTATAAGGCAATACGGAGTAGAAGATGCCAGTACTCGAATGATTTGTTGAATGTTCCGTTCGGATGTTCAGCGCACTTGGCAACAGGAAAGACTTTAGTTTACGACTGTCAATATGTACATGGAGATATCGCGATTCATAGTACAAGATCACGCTCCGAGATCTGAGACCTACAAAGGCACGAGCGCGACGACCCTATATCTACCGTTTTAACACGCACAAATCCCTGGAAGCTCGTGCTCGACGCGCTTGAAAACAGTCCGTCGCCATCCAAACCCCAGCAGAAGCAGTCAACGTAGGAATTGTGGGCTAATTTACCGGTTGAAAGGTTGGATCAAGTAAAGTCGCGTCACTACGTCAATCTGTTTGCTACAGTACAAGGGAAGCTTGCATGTCGGCCAAACTCTCCTTCCCAAACGAGACACCAACAAGACACCATAGCGCACAGCAGCGCTCCAAATCAGGCCATGGAAGAACACTCGATACCACTTGCTGAGGCTCCACTCAATCTCGACGTCCTATACGATGAAATGAAGCGCATCAGCGCTGTACTTCGAGTAAAACTGATTGCATTCTTCAAGTACTGGATGAGCATACACCCTGCAAGAAGAACCTTTGTAATCGGAATGCTAGTCCTAAGTAGTCTTCCTGTAATTGCCGTAGCTGTGGTCGTGGTACTCCTTCCAGGTGCGCTTTTGTCGCACTTTTTCAAAATGATAAGCTGATTGTCTCGTATCAATATTAGTGGTGGCCTTCTTTGTCACGCTTGCCGTCGCATTAACGTGGGGCCTAATGGTGTTGATACCGTTCGAAATCATTCTCGCTTTGCTAATGATTGTCGTTGCCCTGATTTCAACGGCCTTCACCACATTGTGAGTACTTGAAACCCAAGCTTTTTCATGTCGGTCGCTTGCAAAAATTGCCGCTATATCGAATCCTACCAACGTTCTCTTGCCAATAACGGCTTATTTCACCCTTCAAACACTCACACGCACGCTTTTTTCAGGTTTTCCAAAGTCGAACCAAATTCAGCCAAAACTTTTGAAACAGACTTTAAAGGACACCGCCTAATCCTCAATCCTCTTTCAAATGAGAGCACTTTTGTGAGCATGGAATCAGGTGCAACCGCCACCATAACCGGAGATCGTGTTTCCCATGTGGTCTATGCTACAATAACTGGACATCCATCAGGCAACGATGTCCTCCTAGAAGCTCATCCAGGAGAGCATGCAGCCCAAACCATAATTGTAGATCATGAGACAGCTGAAACACGAGCGACAATCACATCACAGGACACGACTCTACAATCTTTATTACCGTCGAAGCCATTTGGAAACGACGTGGAGACTATACTTGCTGCTCAACCAGGTCAAGTATCTGCCATAGCATCAGCAGCAGCAGTAAATGGAAAGAACATTATGGTTGGTACAGCACAACGTGCTCATGAACAACAAGTGATTGCTAAAGCCGGAGACACAGCTGGGCCCTTGATGACGACGCATGATGGGAAGGATTTAGCTGCTACTGTAGTGCATCAGCTGCAACCCAAGTAAAATACACTGTTACATAATCCTAGCTCATAGGTGGACCCCTCGTTTACATCCATATATACCCCTTTTTTAAAACGAGAAAGCATTATATAATTAACATACAATCAGAGCCTTATATAGGCCACTATAAGTATTCAAGACGACAAGCCACTTTCTCGTGATGTGGACGGTCCATTCAACCAATTCCCACCACTAGACACCACCTTTGCTCCGGCTAAATCTACCGGTTCTCGAGCTAAAACATTCAGACTCTCCTTCAATGCCAACACTTGCCCAGCTCCATCAAGCTGCTGATGCACTGCCGGTGCTTGTGAAGAGCAAATTACATCCAGTTCAGCCAACAGCTTTGACCTTTCACCACAATCAGTAACCCTCACTTTCAAGTACGCTAGAGAACCAGCGCACCTCACGATATTTACGGTAAAGAGCATCTCTAGTCCAGGTCCAGGTTTGGCGTATATTGATTGCTACGTGGATGCGTGTTTGGATTAGCAACGTTTAACAGTAGTTATGCGAGACGGCAGGCATACCCTTATACTACAGATATGTCTTGTTTCAAGCTCAGAAATGTATTGGGAGACTGCCGTATATGCAGAACTGATAACAATCATGTGAAAAATGGATTCGTGAGTTAAATCCAAACCATGTGTTTGGGAGGTGCGATACACCCCAGGCGATAACTTTTGAATATTCATTGATTCTTGATTGCGTTAAGAAGTCGATAAAGTCACCAGCTCAAGATAAATCCTACAAAAAGTTCCAAATTATCTCACCAGCCTGCAAAGCCTGAAGGAAGTCCAGGGTTTTTGGCAGAATCAACGCACATGTCAGCATTCTCGAACACCCCGTCTTTTGAGGCTGCAATTCTCTCTCTATTGCTACAAGTTTCTTTACAAAGCACAGCTACAATTCAAACGTTTCAGTTTGGGCTTTTATCATATTCAAGATGGTGGTGTTGTTCAATGGGATGTACTACAGAAATTGTAGAGTGCGATTAGTAACATGACTAGAGCGTCGTTTCGCGAACCTTCAACCACTTTAATATCAAGGACAGACAATCGACCAAAAAACTGATCAAGGTTGCCTTAGGTGTACCTGATGGGTGATAAGCTTGATGACTTCCAACGATACAGCACCTCCGAGAATAGCTGCCATTGTATGCATTTCGGAAGCACCTGCACGAACACTATCCAATGGTAAAAATCGTTTAGTACAAGCAAACCACGTATTACAATACTGTCTCATTTAAAACTCACAGTTCTTGTATATCATCATCCTTCACTTGTTTACCAACCAGTCCAATCTTTGAAAGTATAGCAGATGCACACTTCTTGAGCTTTGGAATATCTGGTTCATACTCAGCAACACCTAATTTTGATGACGAGAATGTTAGGTTTTTGGTAACCTGCAGAGACAACTTTTGGAAGTCAGCTACCTGGATAATGCAAATGTGTCTCGTAGAAGCGGTCCATAGCACGGAAGATGATGTAGTATCGAAAATTGTTGTCAGCATCTTCAAGCCGTTGTCCTGCACAAAGACATGACAAACGTCAGAATCACCACAAATTGCTCACATGATGTCTTAGGTCTTACCAAACTTCTTCAGATCTGGAGAGCTATATTCGTCTCTCAATGATCGATATCGCAGCACAGTGACATTGTGAATGTTTTTGCAGAAACGATCCACATATTCATCAGCTATAGATGAAATCGGTCGACCAGCTTCTGTGAGGAGAGCATTCACTCGTGACCTGACAATAGCAGCATCGTGACGGGCCTTGTTGCGATATCTATACGGGAGCATATGTTAAATGCCAACGTTCGAAGAAACAGGTAAGGTAAAGTGCTCAATTTTTTTTGAAAATAAACCCAAAATCATGACTCACACGAACTGCAAGTCCACAAACTTTTTGGTATCAGCTTTCATATCAGGCACGTTTCCTGGTAGTGGTAGCATTCCTTGTCCCTCATTCTGTACAAATTCATTGACTGCCTTGGCGACAAACCAGAATTCATTGGTCTACCAAAGACGAGAAGCACTAGTGAATACAAGCGTAACGATCAAGGAACTCAGATGAGTGAGTTATTACATTTCGTGTAGGCTTCATTTCTGAAGCCAGCTTCAGCACTTCTGCAGTGTTGGATCGGATCTGTGACACACAAAAGCAACTGCATTAGAACACTACAGAAGCATTTCGAGAATTGAAACCAATTACCGATGTTTTGACTAGTGCCCTCCAAGCGTTGGCAGCTGCTTCATCAAAGTTTTCCAAATCATTGACATCAGAGCGCTTGTAACTCGTTTCAATGAATTCACGCATCTGAGCTCGACTTGGGGTCGCACTGTTGTGCTGTAGACTACTAAGTTAGCTACACTTCAGCCAAGAGCTGCTAAAAAGCGCGACGTCGAAGACCATAGTAGGTTACCTTGTTCTTGTAATCCTGCAAGGCTCGCAAGAGTATAGCAATCCATGGAATATGCGAGTATGATATGGAATCCATCTTGTCGAATTCGAACGCCAGAGCAAAGTCACGAAGTTCAGGGAAGGGTTGATCAAGACGAAGATCAAATACAGGGTTTTCTGGATGGCTTTCTATGACTAGGAGACGAATGGAAGAATTAAATTAGGATTTGTATATGAAAACCGAACCAGGATAGCTCTTCCTACTGGCATGTTCTTTAACTGCCACACGAATATAGGATAAGAAGCCAGCAGTACGAACAAGGACAAGAGGTATATTGGCATCCCATAATGTTTCAGCCAGCTTCAAGTTTGATTTCTCCGGTAGCCCGACAGCAATAACCATTGTGAATTGATTGAAATATTCAGGTCGAGTATCAATCAAGTTCACTGGATCCTTTTGAGAGCGAGCGAATGGATTCAGATTCCATATAAAACTCTTGAATAGCAAACAATTTAATCGACGTAAGCGTACTCGATCATCAGAATGTCCTTGCACATCATCATTCAACTCCTTTAACAAGTCGAGGGCACATTGAGCACGAGATTTCCCAATCGAGTCGACTTCCAAGAAGAAGTTGTTGCCGACATCTGAACCAGTGACGGTCTTTCCATCCACAATTGTAAATGATCCAATTCCTAGAGTAAGGTGTTTGTTACTTCAGAAGCTTAACAGATTGTAGGAGGATTGGATGCTTGCTTCCAATTATTTACCAGGCAATATGAGATTCTTCAGGATTTCAGTTCCGGTAGCAGTAGCATTGATCAAGCACACTTTAGCATTTTCTAACGCAGCTTGACCGTGAGCCTTCCATATTCTATCATGAAATTTGAAAATGTACAGATGTTGGCAAATTATCGAGCAAGCGTAGCTCTTTTCAGAGAAAGGAGCATGCAATGAATAATGGATGTGTACTTACCGAAGCTGCCTATCGTATTTCTGCTGCTTCGCACTTGGAGCTTGGTCACCCATCTTGTCCCTACTATCTGAGTTTTGTTTGACATCCAAGTTGAAAGCTCTCACAAACAAGAGGCACTTGTAACATGCCGAAACAATTAGATTGACTTAATGATGGTATAAGACACGTCTTGACGTGATGATCTTGTTATCTTATCTTGCCGAGATGAACTACGCGTGGGATATGTCCATGAAACAAGTCTTGACGCGTCGGTTGGTCTTGCTATTTGCTATTTCTAATTTCAATGTTGATGGTGATGTTCCGATATTGTAATGCACGGCCACTGCACTACTACTAGTCGCCAACTTTGGAGGAAGCAAGCTCACAGAGGCGTCCAACACGACAGTCCGAGCACCAGCCAGACAACAATACATTATTCTCTAATTAAACACTACCAAATTTCGGTCGGATGAATATAAAGTTTAATAATCAACAATCACCTACAAAGTGGCACTTTATGGTAAAATCACCCCAATGGTGTCGATTTCTTGATCGCAAACCGACTCAATTTACTCTACCAACACGTGTCTTTTATGAGATTCGAGAATTGTAAGATAATAATCATGTCAATAGCATTGCATTAGCCTAGTGCAATGCAGCCTCCGAGCCTTTTCGATAGCCTCTCTACAGTGCCCGACAATCAAACGGACTGGAAGGGTAACGGGCCGTATACTCTGGAAGCTGGCGAGGACTGCATCAGCGAGTTGAAGAAAGTGCTCATGGCCAGGAAGAGCCGACAAGGTGGCCAAAACCTAATGAAGGAATATCATATCAGAGGGCACACCTTGTCATTCACAAACTTGCTTCCCTTTTTACCTTTACGCATGCGTCGACACTCAGAGACGTTGTCTCGCTTATCCACGCCCTTTGGAGGTAATTCTGGTCAGATGTGCAAGTAGGCCAAGTTTGAGAGGGACGTCGCCTGCAAGGGCTTACCAGGTAGGATTCAGGGGCGTGATGATGGCTTGGACGAGTTCGTAGATTCGAAGTGCTGACCTCTTGGCTTCATTCACACTTCTATCTAATAAAACCTTGTCGGTTGTCAACGTTTTCAAGGCGAGAATCACTCCAGGCTAAGCAAACCAATAAACAAAATGTCAGAATAGCTCATGGTAGCTACAGCCGCAACTGCAATGAAAGTCCGCGATTACCTTGGCGATGGCGAGTATCGAAGCGTGATACATGAGATGAATGCAAACAACGTTCCACCCCATGTTGGTGTCCCACTTTGACGATTTTGCTGACTTTAACACACCCGCGAACCAAATTTGTAGTCCACCACTATCGGCTGAGTTGTAAGGTACACTCTCAACCTTCATGTAGCTTGGCAGTTTAAAATAAAATTCTCGGAGACGGGCTTCCATGGTAGGCCGAAAGTCCAAATTCTAAATGTGCGCATGAGTATTTAGACATTACTAAGAGGTGGTTTCTCACGTAAGGCAGTTAACACAGCGATGAAAAACACACCTTGAGCGTCAGTTGTCGCCTCAAGTCGTCTGGAGAAAAAGTAAACCAAGGTGAGTCAAGCGCACGTAGTACTTCGACATGGAAATGAGCAATACCATCCGGAAAATCGGACAATTTCTGACGGGCGATGAATCCAGGTGGGGCCCAAGATTCCTTTTCAAAAGCATCGTAGTCAGTGCGTGGGACCATATTGAACACGTACAGACGAGCAAGACGTACGAGGTTGTAAAGGGTCGTCACTCGTGTTGAAAGTATATAAAGGCGATAGACTTCAATACAGGCCTGAACGGAATCCACAATGTCAGTTTCCACCAAATCAGGCATTGCACCTGTTTGGGGATTTATGTTCATCCAGGTTCTCTCCGAGCAAGGAAACATCACATTCGAGACTTCGTCCAGCTCGTGCTGGTTCTTGAGTGTTATGGAAGGTGTGTTGGTCATTAGGGCAATACCTAATGTTTGGAGCGTCAAAATTTGAGCTTCACAGATTCTCGTGACGAGTACCTCTTTCAGTTGCAACAAGACAAAACCACGTTCGTCTGCGAGTCTCTTCTTCCAAAAAAGTCTGAGGTCCCAGTAGTTGTTTCTGCAACAAAATATCCGGGTCTTCGTCCATTCGTAATGCCATCACCATCCTATTGTGTTTTGCTGTTCAAATTGATCCTGCTGCTATACCAATACTAGAAACCTTCCGTACCTGGCGGCTATCAGCACAAATTCCAACCCAACATACTCTAAGACAGCAATGGAAGCGTCAAATGAGAGAGGAAGTAAAGCAACTTCCAAAAGATAAACATACGTTCATCGGCACGTATAAAAAAATATGACAAGAGTATGAGGCCATGTACTGTATCAACAGATGCGTTTTGCATTGCTTCGGGCAGTAATTCATGACATTTGCGAAGATAGGCCCATCCACGATGAATCGGGTCCACGCCAAGCTGACGCAGTGAAGGCTGTGAAGATACGGAAGCACCTAGTTTGTTTGAAAGAAAAACTATTAAGTTCAATACAGGCTACGTAACGACTTGACGGTTGTGCAAATTCAAACCTATGGCACATATGGCATAGAACAACAACGGACTCTTGGGTCTGAAGCGGAAGTCCAGGAACGAAGGTGGATGCAAAAATGACAACCGAGGGCCAATTGGATATATGAATTGAAAAAAGGACTGAACCAATTCCCTAACATCAACACAGTCCAGAGGGTGCATTTGTACTGTTGAGGGAGAGCGGTTGGATTAGAATCCACACTTGGAATGCAAAGACTCATAGATCATTACTTTGAGTGGGTATGGAAACATTGATACTACCGTAACGCGGAAAACCGACAGTGCTTAGTGCTGGAAACGTGTAGGTCCGCTCATAATAATTTTGGAATGGTAGATCTAAATGAAGCTGTTCAAAGCGTTCGTTCACCAGTGAAATTGGGTGATAATGGTGATGATGAGAGTTGACAATGTTAACAATGGTTGTGTTGTTGTGCTTCAATGAATACGACACGTCAGTCAATGGATCCTGACCAACAGAGGTCGGCTTGTCAAGGTAGGGTTCTGGTTTGATATCCTTTGTTCCTGATGCCCACGTACAGCGAGTCAGTTGGGTCCTACTGCATGAACCACAAGTTGGTGTGATTCCATCGCACTCAAGACGAAAACTACAGTGATGAGCAAAGGCACCTTGTGTCAAACGAAACCTCAAGTATACAGTGTATTGCAAAAATCGATATAGATCACCAAAATGAGCGCCACTCACCTTTCTTTTGCGTCTTCGACATTCGAGGCACTGGTGGTAGAAACGAAGCTCAGATCGAAATCAAACGACAGGAACTAATCAACACAATAGGAGATGGCTTACTGCTTCTAGCACTCGTAGACGGATACTCATGTTGCGTTCGTCAGTAGTTCATGGAATTTGACGAGGTGTCGTATCGAACAAGTTTGCGTAATTATCCGAGCCCATTTGGGTCTAGGTCCAACAGCTTATTTTGACGCATAAAAACTAGCCCTTACAAGCCTGTATTGCTGTTGGGAGTATGTACGTGATGCCATTCATGAGTTATTTTGCTATCAATCATGGATCAAGGTCCCCCTGTGATTGTCCTTTCTCTTAAGCTTCTCGCACTGACACTTCAACCACAGTTCTTCCTTGACGCAAATTAGTTTTTCACGTAGATCTTTGTAGTTCTAGTGACAGAACCGACTTGGTGAGCACGATACAGTGTATCATGTGATAGTTCTTGCCTCACAGAGCCGCAAAAATCAACATTTCGACAAAAGAGCTAAAATACACTTATACCGCTACAGCAGATCCTCCAGCTCCATCATTTTCTGATCTTCTCCATGTTCATTGGAGAAAAAAGTCGTTGCATTAAAGCGGCTACTCGTGATTCATCAACAAGTGAAGTTTAATTATGTTTAATGAAACATTTTGCCAACATTTTGGCAATTGTTACAACACTGAGCGACCTCCATCCATCACTATTTCGGCCCCCGTCATATAGGACGACTGGTTTGATATCAAAAAGGCAGCAAGGTGAGCAGTTTCGAATCCAGTTCCTTGACGGCCAAGTGGCACGTAGGTAGTAGCTCGTTCAGGCCTCTTTATAGAAGCATGGCGTCCCATTCCGGTATCTACATGATGTGATTGAGCAGTTTTCCAGATGTGGTAGAGTCACGCAAATACTAGCGCCCAGGTCTTACCGATGAATCCTGGCAGAATAACGTTGAGTCTCACACCTCTGGGAGCAGCTTCTCGAGCAGCTGCGATGCGTAAACCAGAAAGAGCTGCCTTTGAAGTATGGTATGCGGGAATGCCTGTTCCAGCTCGAATGGCGGCAACCGATGAAATAAGGATGGCGCTACCAAGCCTATCTGGCAACATTGGCAAGCCGTGCTTGAGTATCAAAAAGTGCTACAGGGGGCAGATGCGCTGATTTAATCACCACAATGATGCTCGACGTCTGTATGCTTCTTCTCTTACCGCTCTGACATTGGTAGCAAACACTTTATCCCACAACTCGACCGAGGTCCCGCTCAAACCAAGTCCCAGCCCAATTCCAACATTACAAACGAGTCCATCGACACCCCCCATGAAATCCGAAGCTGATCGTAGCATCCTCAAAATATCGGCTTCTTGAGAGCAATCGCCAGCCAAACACAATAATTTGGCGCCTGGAACTTGCTTTTTGATAATATCTGCAGTTTCTTGAGCTAGTTCCAGTTTCATGTCGACAATCTAGACGTAAATGTCTTGAGCAATGACTGGAGTTGGGTTGGAAGCACGTTGCCCTTACTGTGACCGCAGCGCCTTCCTTGGCAAACAAGATGCACATTGCTCGTCCATTGCCGACTGGTGGATCATCAATAGGGTATTTTGATTGACCACCACCGAAGACAATGATCTTTCGTCCTAGAAAGCAGGTGTATTGATTTGCTTTTCAGGACAGAGAGCAAGGAAAGTCACAAATTCGACGGGGCACATTAGCCGATTACCTTTTAGACGGTCAATGCTAAAACTCTCTCCACGAGCTTCTGGATGTAAAGTCCTATAATCAGGTACCGTGGATTTTCGTGAAGACTGGATTTTAAGATGGGGAGAGGATATAAGCTTCAACTATATGCATGTACTGACGCTGAATGACGCGAACGAGATTACCATTCTGTTAAAGTGAGAAATGCCAAAATCAATAAGCAAGGTGAGACAGTGCGTTTGAAGTGTGCGTGACTTGCAGTGATGGGGGGCAAGTGTTACGCGTCAATCCTATTGAACGTGCAAAGGGAGTTGTAAGATTCTCATCTCTGGAGTCATTCTTGGTGGCAAACAATTCTTTTTTGCGTCGACCTTCCTGATTTCGCACAACATTTCAAAAACTGCTTCGTTCTGATGCCTGAGATCTGGCAGACCATCGTAGCTGCCATAGCCTCGGCAACTCTAAGTCGTCTATTCACTCACCCTATTGATACGTTACGAACAATAACTCAACTTGATAATGCCCAAGATGAAAACCACTACTCGAATGACGAGATTTTCCAACAAGATCAACCTTCTCAAAACGGAGCCATAGACCAGTGGAAACGGATTCGAGAGGCTTATTATGATGTAGTGAAGAAGCAGGGATGGATAGGACTCTATAGAGGTATGGACTGTGTGTCGACGTCTTAACACTCGAATTGTGAATAGCTATGTCAATGATCACGTTGTTAGAAGACATTGGCGAAGTAAATACATCCGCATGTCAACAAGGAAACCATTTATTGCTTTGCTTTTTGAACTTTAAACGAATTGGATCTTGGAATTTGACCTTGTTTCATATCTAGGAGTCACAATTGCCGTCATACTTCAAATACCAGCCATCATCCTTTACATGAGCACCTACAAATACAGCAAGATTCTACTGGGATCTTGGTGGAGCGGTATTGATCGGCCAATTGTGCATTTAGTGTCAGGAGGGCTCGCTGAAATCGTTTCGTAAGCGTTTGACTTTGACTCGACCCAAACTGCAAAGTCAAACTAACCCTCACCATATTTTACAAGGGGATTTATATTCACACCAATGGAGATCATCAAATCAAAACTCCAAGCATCATCATCCTTATCAAAGTATGCATCACTTGATGGTGATTCGAGTACAGAAGACATACAAAGCCATAGTAGGAATAGCAGTACAGCTGAATCGAACGAAACCACTGATAGTATACAGCAGGGGACAACCAATTCCACTTTTTTGACCATCTTCAACATCAGCAGAACAGAAGGAATACGTGGTCTATACAGGGGCTACATCTTATCGCTCTTGGTGTTTGTGCCATATAGTGGAATCTTCTTTGTTATATACGAGTTTCTCAAATCTTTGGTGCCGAACGCATCATCGTATTGGTATTACCTCCTCTTGTCTGCTGCTATATCTTCAGGAGTCGCTGCACTATTCTCAAATCCACCTGACGTCGTAAAGACTAGATATCAAGTAGCGGCAGGGACAGACTCTATTCATAATTCGTGGTGGATGTTGGCTTATCATATGTGGAAGAACGAAGGCGGTATACAGGTCTTCTTTCGTGGTGCTCTCGCAAGAACTCTATGGATGATCCCAAATTCTTCTATCAGCATGGGAGCGTACGATTACATTAGTAACATTGATTTTGGTATGTAGAGGTAGATAGATAATTTATATGTAGATCTGTGAATAGATTGGAAGGCTGAATAGAAACCTGTAAAGATGCACCCTGCAACCACACCTCATAAACGGAATGAGGGGCTTCTATTCGGTTTTTGATACTCTTTTAAACCAATATAAGTCATTTTTCATGTGACAACCGGCGAGCCGTACAAGGATGCCTCGATGCAGATATGTGACGCACAACGAAGTTTGCGCATAGTCAACTCGCAAATGTAAGTGCAAGTTTGCTTAAATCACGAGAAAGCAGCCTCTTCAAACTTACTTTTGTTGCGCACCATCTCGCAGTACACTCAGCAAACGAAGAAATCTAAAACCCCGACCAGAACGATAGCCATCATTGAATAGACCTGGTGAGCCTGACGCATATAGATTTATATAGCGCCATGAATGCAAAGAATGTGGCTATACCTGTGCACTCGTCTACGTCGTCACCAGTTGCAAAACCAGCAAAACCGAGTCTCGAACAAAGGTTGAAGGGGTTTGCACTGGGAGCCCTAGCTGCATGTGGTAAGTTCCAAAGCCGGTGTCGTTTGCATCGTTGAATTCCTCTCTGTCTTCTGTGATTTCTCGTTAGTGCATTATTTGACAGGATAGTTTTTTGTTCGCTTCCACAAACCCAACCTTGCCAAACGTTTGGAATCTAATCTCGCCAATTCCATTCCTTGCTAGCTGCTGTCACGTTTACAAATCCATTCGAAGTGATCAAGACCAGATTACAGTTACAAGGAGAACTGGAATCCCTCGCACTACGAGAAAAGACAACCACAGCTGATATATTACACCAACAACGAGTCTATAGAGGTCCCATATCCGCCCTCTTCTTGATTGGGAGACAGGAAGGCTTAAAGGGCTTACAGAAAGGTCTTATTCCAGCTTACGGATATCAGGTTATGATGAACGGGACACGGCTCGGTCTATACGAACCATTACGAGATACATTACAATCTGGATGGGATTATATGACGAGTAGAGAGAGTGGTTTGCCGCCTCTAGTACCTATTATGGTTCTTTCAGGAGCAATGAGTGGATTTGCTGGGGCCTTTCTCGGATCACCATTGTTCTTGATTAAGACCCGTATGCAATCGTATTCGCCTGCTATGCCATCTGTGGGACAGCAACATGCTTATGCTAGTCAAGGCATGGTTAAAGGATTGACTGCAGTGTATAGAGCTGAGGGTTTACGTGGCCTGTGGAGAGGTACGCAATTGGTGTTGAGGTGCTTGTTGCAGCCAAAAAGGCTCTAACTATTGGTCCAACATTCAATAGGAAGTGGCATGGCAATGATGAGAGTAAGGCACTTGTCAGTTTGATTCGAATATCCGACTTTTTTTTCGCCAACACATCTGAACTTCAGACAGGCGCAGGATCGTCTGTCCAATTATCTTCATACGATCTAAACAAGCAATTTTTATTATCAACTGGATACTTTACTGAAGGACCTCGACTTGGCTTGTCAGCATCACTCTTGACCTCCTTGGCGGTAGTTTTCGTGATGAATCCATTTGATGTGGCCTCTACTCGCATGTACAATCAAAAGGCCAACGCGGAAGGCCAATTTATGTACAAGTCAGGGGTCGATTGTCTCGTCAAGACAGTCAAGGGGGAAGGTCTATTTTCGCTTTACAAGGGAGCTTCTGCTCATTATTTAAGAATTGGGTAAGTTGTTTCTGTTGAAGATGTGATCGTTCTTGTAGCACATACAGTATTGACTGACACTCGTCTCTTTGACCTAGACCTCACACAATCCTCACACTCACTTTGTTCGACGTCCTGAAGCGATTCTTCATGTAACACCTTGAATCTTAATAGAAGTTCTAATAGAAATTTGCATAATTCACGTATATTTGATGAGATGAGGCCTCTAGGTGTTATTGCCTAAAGTATTGATGTTGTTACATTGAGTGATCGTTGGTTGACACAGATTTGACTTGTTGACCTGTTGGTTACGTGTCTTTATATCATATATCATATAAGCTCAGAACGAACGATAGACCGTGTCTTTGATACTAACATCACGTCCCCTCTGTTGCTGCAAACACCAAAACACAATTTTTGCCATTTCTCCAAACACTGTGAAGAAGAAGAAGGAATGTTGGTTCGAAGCAGTGTTGCATCCGGACGTGCATTGGCACCAGTAGCCGCCAATGCATCAGCATCATCAGCTACTCGCCAATTTGCAGTCTTGTCTGACAAGTACTCGCCATTATTCGTAAAGAGAAAGGGCGAACAGGTAGCATCAGCTCCTATAGGAAGAAAGACCGTATCCAAGACTAGTCAAGGAGTCACTGTTGCCACTTACGATGATATGGGTCCCGTATCCACCCTGGCTGTCGTCTTGGGAGGTGGTTCAAGGCACAATGATGCTCATCATCCTGGTTTGGCTCACATTGTCAAGACTAGTCTCATCAGAGTAAGTATACCCTGCTGAATCGAAATCGTGGGGCTCTTCAAATTCGAGGAATGCTTTTATTGCTGTTCTACTCGTTACTGGATGGGACTTGACTGTCATGACATACAATACGTTTGGCGATGTAAAACTCTATTTGATTGCTAAAACCCACGTCATCTATGATACAGAATCTACCCGGAGACAACATTGTACGAACAATAAGGGAAACTGAACTACGTGGTGATACTCTCAGCACTGAATTGACTCGTGAAAACATTATCGTCCGATCAGAATTCCTACGAGATGACTTGTGAGTATATGGCAGTATCATGGTTCGGTTCTTTTTGCGCACAACCGTGACAATAGTATATTCGTTATGTCAATTCATCCGACACATCTCTCGTCTAGGGTCGATGCCGTCCCATTATTACTCAAATCAGTCTTCAACCCCCACTTTTACCCATATGAATTCCTAGACACCATGCCCAAGGTCGTGGCTGAAACAGCGGCTTCTCTGACCGACCCATCCACAACAGTCTTGGAAAACTTGCATAGAGTAGCATTTAGAACAGGTCTTGGAAACCCTTTATTCGCCTCTGAAGATTCTCTACATGGAATGACCCGTGCCCACGTAGCCGAATTCGTAGGAAAATACTTTAGCCCAGAACGAACTGCCATTGTCGGAGTCGGTATTTCACACGCTGATTTGATTGGTCTTGTCGAAGGAATATTGGCCAGTGTCAAGTTAGGCGGCTCTCAAGCAGCTGCTACAATCCCAGCTACCAAATACTTTGGTGGTGAAGCCGCTGCAGAAGGTGGACCACACTCGGAAGCTCATGTAGCTGTAGCATTCCCTAGCGTCGCATTCACCAGTCCAGATTATCCCGTATCTCTCGTCCTCCGTGCTTTACTAGATAGCACTCCACGAACTCTATATGCCACTGCTTCATCTGGTCTGTTGTCTCCTGCCATCACTGCCGATACATCCGTCTCTGCCATCCACGCTGCCTACTCAGACGCTGGATTGATTGGCTTTTATGCTAAGGGTGCTTCATCCGACATGAAGACTGTAGTCCAAACAGGTATTCAGGCTCTAGCTTCTGCTGCTGCTGGTGTCTCGGAATCTGCATTGGCCAGAGCCAAGAAGGTGGCTATCGTAGAAGCTGAAGCTGCTTTGGAAAACAAGGCTGAAAAGGTCGCTGACCTTGGACGACAGGTCCTGTCTTCTATTGGTGGATATCATACCAGTGCCGATTTGGCCGATGCCATCTCCAAGGTTTCGGCCCGTGATGTTGCCAAGGTATGCAAGAGTTATGCGGGAGGACGATTTGGTTTCGTATTCGATTGATTCTACACTCCTTTTTTGCTCTTGTACTACTGAATGTGACCCGAACTCGCACTCATTTAACTGTCCAATATAGCTCGCTTCAACTGCCGTCAAAGCCAAGCCCAGTATGTCCAGCTACGGAAACTTGGGTCTATTGCCATACTTGGATGAAGTGAAATTATGAATGAATAGGGTCCAATAATACCTATGATGTTAAAAAGAAAAGAAAAACTCTAAACTACTATAAAACCCACATCTCTCAAAATATCTCCAACAAGTATTGAGTCGTTTGTTGCAGTTCGGAGTGCTTGTACGCGCTCATTGTACACTTTTGCAGTGGAATGGGAGAGCGTCAGATTCTTGCATTGATGCACGTCTCTGGCATCGTGAAAGTGAAGATTTGACTGAGCTCTCGTCCTACAGCTCTCCAAACCTCTTACTTCATCCTTGTACCGAATAGCGCTAGTGGTCTCCAAAATAGTAACTGGACCGGTCATCATCCTGGGTGAACCCTCTGCCCTTCACTGAGCTTTGAGCTTGCACTGCCAGTTTGGACATTTGTAGGCTGAGTAAGCCAAAGCAGAAAAGTGACTGGTTCATCATGGTGTAATAAGTTAAAATGAGATTATACATTTGACGGCTTCCTAGGCACACTCTGGTATGCTCTCAACCTAAAGGGAGAAGAATATGTGAGTTAGCATGAAAAACTCTGATCAGGTTCTCATCACGAAAGCAACAGAAATACCGAGAAGTATACCTAGCAGATTCGCCCCTCAAAGCCCTTTCCAATTCACTCTTCAGCAAGGCCTCATAAGAAGCCTGTGCAGCACGATCAGCTATCGTTTCATCTTCAACTCGTCTCCTTTCTTCACCACGACGGACATTCAAAGCAGCAACTTGTTGTCCCAGTGTTTCTTTATACTTGTCTCGTCGTTCCATGACAGCGGCACGTTCATGCGCTTCAGCTGCGCGGGTTGCTTCAATGCGACGACGGATTTCGGCGGATTCCAAACGTGCTTGTTCTTGTTTGAAGCGGACTTGGTCCACTACGGGAGTAGACGATAGTGGTGAGATGGCTGGAAGATAATCCTTAAAAAGAGAAGGTATGGCGCTTACTTTGAAGGCGTAATTGTTCTTGACGGGATTGAATGACTTCTTGCATGAGTTTATCGCGAGCTCGTTGCTCACGTTGCCATTTCTCAGCACGGAGTTTCCACATCTGTCATAATTAATAGAAAGTTAGCACCAAGGTACGTAGCGCATGCAGCAGAAAACCATAGAGTGAACAGATTGGATCTTTCAATAGTCGTAGTACACAACACCCACGACATCCGCAACATCCCGATCTCCCACACATACCTTCTCTTCCTCCTCCCGATACCTAGCATCAATCTCCTTCTCACGCTCCTTAACAGTCTCACGCTGCGCAACCAACGAATCTCGATACGAGAGCATCTCTTCTCTTAACGCCTTCTTCTTGGCGCTCTTGGCGGCCTTGTCTTTAGCATCAGCTTCCAAAAACTCTGACACAATCTTCAAATCCATTTCTAGAGATTCGCGAGCATCTTTAGCACGCTGTGCAATCTTGGCTTTATTGAACCGGTCTAGTTCGGTACGGACTAGTCGTTGTTCGTGTTCCTTCTTCATGCGAAGACGGGCTGCTTCGGCTGTTTGGGCTTCGTGTTCGGCTTTCTATAAATGAATATGGTGTTAGTGAGCAAAGAAGGTAAGGGTCTGGTATGTTCTGGACTTGCCATCAAAGCAGCTTCTTCACGTTTCAATTCCTCTTCCTGTTCAGCCTGCACTCGTAATTGAGCCATTTGTTCGTCTAGCATAGTCAACATTTGTTCATTTAAGTCGCGTTGACGAGACTTGTCGGCCTCTTCACGCGCAATCTTCTTTTGGCGATCTGCTTCCCATAGTGCATCGTATTTCTTTCGTTCTAGTAAAATTGACGTGAATCGTTGGTTTCGAATCTGGATAGCACAATTAAATGATTCCAGCTACACCATGCCATCCATACCTTCAGCTTCTTCAACTTTGCGCTCTTCATGTTCCACTAGTTGAGCACTACGGGCATCTGTCACGGCTTTTACTATTACTTTGGATTCTAGTGCTCGTAAATCATCGCACTCGTTTCTAAAATAGAACCGGAGCTCTTAATACCAACGACAGAATACCCAAACATTAGCTCCTAATGAATCTCATCACAGCTAAGTACCACGTACCTCCATCTCTGCATAAGCTTTTCCTCGACAATAGCCTTCCTTTCTTGCTCCCTCCTATCCTTAAGCTCCTTGACCCGTGCCCTCATGACTTCAATTCGATGTTCAGTGGATTCTTCAGAAGCAACCAGTTCTCGCTCGTACAGATCTTCATCGGCTAATAACATTTTTCGTAATCTGGTATGAGGGAGAGAAACAAAATGAGCAAAAGAATAAAGATCTGTTATGATATACGACACTAACTTTTCACGTCTGGATTCCAATGCAGCGACTTCTTGCCCTTTTAGTTCATCAACACGTCTACGGATCGCATTCCTTTTCACGGAAGCGGCGCTTTGGTCTTCGAATGTAGACTAGGGGATCGTTCGATGTGAGAACTTTTGCATGGCGGATGCCTGAAACACTCAAGTGCAATTCAATAGATTCGTGTGCGATCCAACAATCGCATATAAATTCAACGCTAATTGCATACCTGAAGAGCAGCCTTAGCGTAATATTGAGTGGTTTCAACCATTCGACTTCGCTCCATTTCCTCTGCGCGTCGTTTGTCTACTAGATAATCAGCTGGACGAATAGTAGATCGACTATTGTACGTTGTGGCCATGATATGATGCTGCTCGTGATCTGCGTCCACCTATCGTCCAGACTGGCTAAATTGAGAATTTCGAATAAAAAGTTGGATTTCGCAAATAGAAGGGGACGGAGGATTTTCTGATTTTTTGGACTTGAAAACAATATAGAGCAAAAGGAAGGCGAAACGGAAAAAAACCCGTGCAGTACCATGCAACGTCAGATCAAAGATCAAAGGCATTTTGGGTTACTGCTGGTTGCCAAAAAAACGCGGTTAGTGCCAACAAATCACACACGTGCCAGCACGTCCTGAAGTTAATGAGTGCTGAAGTGCATAGTTATATACAATGACAAAGTTCCATAATCACTTGTGAATAATCCTACAACGGGGAAGAGAAAGGCATGTCAACATACCACAATTCTACTGGATTGCTTTTTGCTTGACACAAACCTCTTGAATTACAAAGATCCAATGTCACTTGTAGTCAAACCTATGAAGGGAAAGGAAATCGGGTGTCAATAAACCACATCCACTTATCCTTTCCCCCTGTTTCTTCGTGGAACGAACCTTTTGAAAGCAGGAGCAGCTAACAAATCCAAATCATACCCCACAACATCATCCTCCCGTTCCCGTTTCCTCCTCATAGCATCCAACTTGTCATCTCCCAACCTCTTCAACTTGCCACCACCTTGCTGCTGCTGATGCTGTACCCCAAGTATACCAGCGAGCGCACCAGGATTAGTCCGTATATCCGGATACTTTGGCAACGAAGTCGGATGCACAGCTCTCGGCAGCTCACCCATAAAATATGCATGCTCAAGTGCAATATCGGCGGAGATTCGTAATCGAGGATCGTATACAAGACAGGCTTTGATCAAGCTTCTCGTCTCCGGGGATGAGGTGTGGAAGATTCGTAGTAAATCAGAGTGGTCTTGCTGATAGAGGGGGAATGATTTTGCTAATGGGAGGTTTGGAAAGTCCATCCAGATTTTTTCTGAAGGTGTTCCTAGAGTTTTACATAGGAGCAGTACTTGTTCTTTTTCTGTTGCGCCTGGCATGAGTGCTGTCGCTCGAATGAGTTCAGCAAAGATGCATCCGGCGGCCCTGTATTGTGTGTGTTTCAGATGAGGTTAGACAATGGCGCAAACAAACCTTCGAACGATGCAGACTATACCACATGTCGATTGCAGTAGTGTATTCTTTAGCACCAAACAGCACTTCTGGAGCTCGGTACCATAATGTCACGACTTGAGGTGTCATTGGTCGTGTCGGCACAGAAAATTTTCGAGCGAGTCCAAAGTCAGCTAGTTTACAAAAGAATCAGCATGGTAGCAGATACTTGAATACACGGCTCAATACCTATTTTGAGCACACCGTTCGAAGTCAACAGTAAGTTTGACATTTTTAAATCCCTATAAAGCAATTTGGGTCACCCGAGACCAAGACAGTCTTCGCATATCATACGATGCCACATGTTTCGACAATGATACCTGTGGACGACGAAGTTTTCATGAAGATGCTCTAATAAAATACGGGCCGTGTTAGATCTATTCTTGCACGAACTTTTGTTGTAACTTACTCAAACCCGATAGTAGTTGCCACATTAAGCACTTGACTAGAGCCGAAAAGCGACTTAGAGGACATCCAAAACAAAATGCCACGCTGCCCTGACACAAACCTTCAGCTGTTGTAAATGGCTTGTTTTGACTGATAACATTGTCAATCAAGTATGCCATATCATGTTCACAGTATTCTGCAAACACAGAGATTCGAGATCAGAAAGAACGAACCAACTCGATTTCAAGATTGATTTGTAGCATACCCATAACTAGATGTATATCATCTGAAAGAAAGAGAATAAATGAGATTTCAGCAACAAATAACCAGCAATTTCCAGTAAATGTACCAACTGTACCTAATCGATTCCCAACAGCTACCTCCAAAACCTTAACAATATTATCATGCTGTGTCTTTCTCAATAACTGTATTTCTCGTAAGCTTGAAATGGGCAATCCTTGGACTCCATCACCTTCAGGAGCTAGTCGTAATTTCTTGACCGCTACAAATTGGTTTGATTTGGTGTCTCGGGCGAGCGATACAGCACCGTATGTGCCTTCTCCGAGACGAGATTCTACTTTGAATTCGGTAATTGATCTGCATTGACCAAGAAAAGGCATACTTTGTTTATGTTATGTTATTTTTTGAGCGGTTCTGGGCAGGACCCAGCTGCAAGAGACGTGTTAAAATCGCGACGTTACGTGAACTTAGATGCTTCTAAGCATGTCCACTTACCTTTAGAATACGAAAAAAATGAAAGGAGCTTAACGTGACGAATGAAGCAGGTATAAACTTGACGAGCATGCGATGATAGTTGTATTGAACAATCAAAACATAACTATGCTAATGGATGTGGATCTCCCAAGCCCAATGCGCTGGTAACATTTTGAGGCATACAACAACGGGAATCAACTGGATCCAATCCTTCAAATCCAAGCAATGACAGTCCAGCAAGACCAAAACACGTGTGAAAAACATCTGGCAGGTCTCCAACACGATCTGCAAATCCACCAGACTCTTCATCCTAGAAACGTTAGTATTAATCAGTTGCGGTGGTGGCCGGTTTTGCTGGGTCTGCTTACTTGAGCGGTCAATATAAAATCAATGAGTTTATCACGATCAATCCAATGTATTCTACCCAGTGTTGAGAGAGAAGACAAGACCCACCAGGAGTAACATACGTCTTCAAGTTTCTCTGGTCGGCCATTTAACCCGCCGCTTTTGAGCTGTCGTTCCGCCAACCACCAGCCCAGCTTGTCTGCATCGACTAGATGTAGTCTGTCTACTAAAGCTAGAGCGTTTACACAACAGAATACTATAGACAGGTGCAATGTCAGCACAAAATAGCCACCAACCCCTCTTCCATTGATGTTCTTACTTTGACCAGAATGGCTCTCAGCACCAGGAACCCTTCCAAATCCACCATCTAAGTTCCTGCATTTGACTATATGATCTACTACAGCGTCCACATTGATTGCATCCAATCGATTCAAGAGACTGACGGCAAGTATAGCTGTATAGTCAAACCGAGAATCACATTCTCCCCATTGATCCCCTTGGAAGGCACCAGAGGGAATTACTTGCAGTCCAGCGATGTAGGATACAGTGAGCTCTTTGTCAGGAAGAGCGTCGATCGATGACAACGTAGCGAGTATTTGGATAGCCGACAGAGTAGGGAGCAGATGTGGATCATGATTTGGTGACGATCCAAAACCACCTCGATGACAGAGAAGTCAGTAAAGGAACAAATATATGTGACAAAACTGGAACGCTTACCATTTGGATGTCGACAAGACAAGACAAAGTGTATAATGTCGTCTTTTTCGAGGGCATCAAGACGGCCCATTAGGGCAAGAGCAGTAATTCCCCAATATGCACCACTCATGCGTATGTGAGCTGAAGCCCAATACTCAAACAAGTGCTTTTGCTGTGGTGTTAAAACGTGTGAGTTTAATGCTGATTGTGTACAGCTATTGCAAGCAAACACTGTCAGTCCGACCTACATTGTCGAGATCAGATATATATTTTACATGTAAATCCGTGCATAAACGTCCCATCTTGTTTGTTTGCCGTGTGAATCGGGCAAATGTAAGTGCGAGACGAGGTATCGACACTAATCAACAAGTTATCAAGAGAAACGATTGTCGTGTCTTATCACGTCGAGATGTCAAGTCTACTAAAGGGCTATTCCTCAATTCGTTCCTAGTTCCACGTCCTTCAACTCGTTCAACAATTGTCGACACGTCGATTTTAATTCCAGCCCTATTCCGAATACTAGTTAGCAGAGAGAGGCTTCAAGGCAAGAGGATCTTGGCTAGGGCACTGGAACTAACTCGTAATACCTGGACGAATGGGCCTTTTGGATATTGCGTGTTGGCTATTGTGGTATGCTTTTCAACACTGATTGTCATCATGGCCCGAGTCCATTCGTTTTATCAACTCACTGTATCGACCTACTAGTCATTTCTTTGGACAGGCCTATCCAGTAAGCGAGCATCCTCCCTCCCTACCAAGTCATACCTGGAGTCGTTGCATTTGACCCGATTCATCAAGTTGACCATTTTGATACTCGGTTTTGTAGGCGTATCGATCATACAAGTCAATAGAGTCAAGAAATGTGAATGACTTGTACTCGTGGCTGATCTACTGGGTCATATTTGCTCTGTTCTGCTCAGTCGAGCTGGTATCTGATTTGTTTGTGTTTTGGTAGTGCCATCTTACTTGTTGAGCTCTTGTTGAAGGTCATTGATCCTAATGTGCTCATACTTTCCTAGGCTACCCTTCTATTATCAGATCAAGCTGGTTCTAGTGTTGTGGCTGGTACTGCCTCAAACTCGGGTATGTTGAATCCATCCACACGTGCTTTTTTTTGACCATTCGTACACTGACGGATTTCCTGACAAAGGGTGCCCTGTATATTTACGATTACCACTTTCAACCACGAATGGTGCAATTCTACGAACCCGAAATCGACAAGATGGTGTTACGTTTTAAGGCCATTGCCAAACAGAAGCTGATTGAACATAGCCGTCAAATGATTGCTTCGGCTCAGAAGGGTTTATTGTACCTATTCTTTAAGGTCCGTAGTCTGTATACTGCTTTGACTGCAAATGAGTCCGATCTTGATCGCTTCTGAATTCGCTGGACACTACACTGATCTGCTCCCTGCTATCTATCGAATTATTTTTTCACAAAATGATAAAACTAACCATACCCAATCTTACTGCAGGGGCAATACATGATTGTGGAGTCAGCAAACAATGTCACTCCAGCCTCTAATTCGGCATCTTCAACCCCGAGAAAGATTCCATCAAATAGAATACAGGAATTGTCAGATACCGACTCTGAAAGTGATGCAGTCGATGACGAAGACTATGTTTATCCTCAGCCACCTCCACGAGAATCTCAAGTGGTACCCCACCATCAACGAGTAGTTAGACGAAATAGTTACACAATAGCACCACCATCACAGCAATACCAGTATCAACAAGCTCATCCTTCATCACGATATTCGTCCAACCCAACACATCGAACAGCTACTGTAACGTATCCGCCTCCACCACCATCTCCTTACATGGACGTAGACTACTCTTCTATCAGGCCATATACCAATTACGCACCAACTCATGACCCGTACTCGTCTCGTGTAGCCGACGAAGAGACTCGATTACGTGCAGAGCGACAACGGCTCAACCGTCTCATCCAAGATCTTGACGATCAGGAAGAACGTCTAGGAAGGTACGCTGCCAGTCCACCGACATCAAATCCATATAACTCTGATATGAGGCATTATGAAGCTGAACAGCCTCCATCACGTCGAGGAGGTCAGCCTCGGATCAGAGCAAAAAACAGACCCTGTCCAGGAAATCAAGCCTCGTCTTCAACTCGACCTGTTGAAGAAGCTCCGGCCGGCCGAAGTAGAGAAAACTCTGCTAACCGCCCGTCAAGGCCGTTGTTAGGATAAATTTGCATTGTACTGACAACATGTAACCATTGTATAATTTGTTAAAACACGTAAAATATTCCTCAAATGTCTCGCATCTAGGATGATCCGCAACATAGACTTTGAGATGGTTCCTATGAGATGCCTTCACTCGAAGTGAACAAACTCTCAGCAGTAACAGCTACTATCGAGGTTATTGACGAGAAACTTCAAAAACCTGTAGTCGAGGTTGGGAGGAACAGTGATAGTGGGTAGCTTCCCCGTGGATGCGTTCCCGTGGACTTTTGAAGAATTCGTATTAAGCTCAAAATCAATTTGTAAAGTTTTGTAAACTTGATTCGCCCATGTCTCAAGTTTATACACGACGCGTTAAAAGGTCGTCTGCCATCGCGTCTGTCACCTTCTTCTAGCGCAATCTGACAGATTAAGCTGTACCAAAATCGTGATCAAGGACAAACTGCTGAGAACAGTCGAACACTAGATTAATATCGATGTGTGATGTATTGTTCGAAGCACACTACAATGACTATAAGGAAAGAGAAAGATCACGCAATGTTTGTGTAGTGTTGCATCATGATCAGAGACTATGATCTCATCACTCCCCCTCAACACTACATCTAAAAATACAAAAACCGCGTGCGCCTACATCTCACCCTCAAAGCAATGCGTCTAATAGGGATCTGCGACTACACATTCCAATTTTTTCATGTACTTTTCATGCAATTGAGGTGGTAGAGTCTTAGTCAACAAATCGGCGGGATTTTCGGTGCCAGATATGTGATGTAAATCAAACCTGACTCCAACAAATCATGAGTCCGATATAATTTCGGATCAATATGTTTATTAGAATCTGATCGAATATATCCGGCTCGTACTTGTGTATAAGCGGCTTCGTTGTCTTCAAAAACTTTAATCGGCAATGTCAAGAAATTTGTTCTCAATGTGCCATCAAGAGATTTAAGGAAACTTGATATCTATTGTACGTTCCGTGTTGCCTCGTAGAGTGCTATGAGCTCTGCCTCAAAAGCAGATGTTGCTGTTATTCCTTGTTTGACTGAGCGGAAGGCACGGTGGCGATGTGGCCAGTCTGGCTTTTCAACGACACGGAATCCGACTTAAAACCAGCATCAGCATAGATTTCTACGGTTACTTTTTCAGATCTTGGGTGAAGAAGACCGTAATCAATCGTTGATTTTAAACATCGACTCGGCAGAAGTGCTTAATGCCATGGTAGTAGTATCGGTAAGTTGGCATGTTGGAGAAACGAGATAAGAGATTTACTGCAAAGCTTATATCCGGTCGGGTGGTATTTGAAACGTACGACAGTATGCCAATATTCGAACGATATGCTGTGAGGAAAGGATATAATTCCTCTAGAGCAATTAGTTCAGCTTCAAAAGATGATGTGGCGGTTATGGTCTGGTTAATGGAGCACCAATGAAAAGCAGTCCCATTCACCAAAAAAAGATACCCAGTTTGACTCAATGTTGTTGCAGAGTCGGAAGCATCTGCGTACAATTACAACTTTTGGAGTTTGGATGATGTCTTCGGGTAAAACAAACCACAATCAAAAGTCTTCTTCAGATATTGACATATTTCCTTGACACCTTCATAGTGTCAATATTTCGATATTTCGAACCTTTAAAGGTGTATCCCGTCATTTGGTATATTCCAGGTTTACTGCTTGCAATATTTTAGCAGTCATTTTTTGCTGCTGATATATAAACGTCCCTTGTGGTGTACTTTTTCATCAAAGGTGCAATGCTTAAATCGTGCAACCATTAGTCGGTGAGTAATAATGTTCAATATCTTCACCACCGATCTTGAAACAAAACCGACATATGTATGGCACGTATAGCCCCCGACTTCAATATCGTCCGGAGTTCGGAAGGTATCAACACCCAAACTTCCACCTAAAATTCCTGAAATGTGAATGACACGATCGTGTCAGTCGGATCATCAAATCATGATCCTTCCTCATTCATTAGATTCATTTGAATCATTGGGTGTCAGCCGCCAGTATCAAGTGCTTGGGTGTCAGCGGCCAGTATCAAACTCTGTGGGTGAAACTGCCACCAGAATCAAAGCAGAAGACGCAAATGCGCGAACAAAGATGAGGAAACTGTATAATCCGATTGTCAAAGTCAAGTAAACACCAACTGTCAAAGTCAGATAAGAAGGTCATATGCTGTGGCTTGGATCAAAGTATAAAAAGGCAGGATTTCGCAAGATGTAACCTCATCTACTGAAATTCTGACGTATAGACTAAAACTTTGATTCAAGGTATGGAAGAGTAACATTACTGTTGCAGACCACTATAGTCATTAGATTAGCTTATATTGTGTCAATGATATGTCATCGCTATGTCAGCATCATGTTATCCATCCACTCATCTCTCTTTCTCACACACACACACAAACATCCATCTATCCATCCATCCAGTTGTGTTTGAGTCAGAGAGTTATACTCATTGTACTTTTATCAGGTTATGAGCCCACAGAACCGCTGAATATTCATCAAAATCCATCGGCAATCATGTCATCATCAGAGTTTATGAAACTCGAAAAATTTGACCCGCAAGATTTGCGCGGTCCATCATTTGTGGATTGGAAAGCATCCATTACCATGTATATCTATGCTCAGAACGGGTTGGCTGTCTACTTGGATCAAGCTGCTGTCCCTGCTCCTGAAGTTATTGCCTTAGAAGCCGAGACTTCACTCGCAACTCGTAGAGAAACACACCGACAGAATGGTGTCAAGGCTGCATTCATAATCCGCCAGCATGTAGCCCAATCTATCTCATCTCAACTTCCTATCACTTTGGTCGGACTATGCGATGATGCAGCCAACATTTGACGACTCAATATGGTGGATCAACTGCAGTCAATCTTGTGGTCAAATGGGAAGAGTACACCAACTTTAGTACTCTTTCTTCCGATACTCCTACTTCCATCATC